ATGTTTTTTTCACATACTATACTATGACATTTTTACTATACTATACTATGACATTTATTTACTGTACTATAATATTACATTTTAAACAAACGATACTATGATATTTTCATTATACTATGATTACTTCACATACTATACTATGACAATTTATACGTACTAAATTATGTCCTTTATCATTCTATGCTATAACATTTTTCACATACTATACAATGACATTTTTGATCATACTATACTATGACATTTTTATCATATTTTACTATGACCTTTTTACTATACTATACAATGTTTTTTCACATACTGTATTATGTGATTTTTAACATACTATACTATGACATTTATTTACTATACTATATTATATTTTTAACATACTATACTATGATATTTTCACTATACTATACTATGACTAATTAACATACTATACTATGTCAATTTATACATACTTAATCATGTCATCTATTATACTATGCTATGACATTTTTAACATACAATACAAAGACATTTTTGATCATATGATATAATATAATGAGATAGAAATATACTGGTTTTTTAAACGTACTATACTATGTGATTTTAAACAAACTTTACAATTATTTTTAACATACTATACTCTGCGATTTTTAATGTACTACACTATGACACTTTTTACTGAATATACTATGATTTTTTTTATCATTCTATACAATGACTTTTTTGTATCATACTATACTATGACATTTTTATCATATTATACTATGACACTTTTACTATACTATACAATGTTTTTTCACATACCATATTATGTGATTTTTAACATACTATACTATGACATTTATATTCTATACTATTATATTAGATTTTTAACATACTATACTATATTTTCACTATACTATACTATGACTAATTAACATGCTATACTATGTCAATTAATACATTCTTAATCATGTCATTTTTTATACTATGCTATGACATTTTTAACATACAATACAAAGACATTTTTGATCATATGAAATAATATAATGATATATAGAAATATTCTGTTTTTTTAAACGTACTATACTATGTGATTTTAAACAAACTTTAAAATGATTTTTAACATACTATACTCTGGGATTTTTAATATACTACACTATGACACTTTTAACGGAATATACTATGATTTTTTTATCATTCTAGACAATGACTTTTTTGTATCATACTATACTATGACATTTCTTTTATCATACTAGCTTATGGTGCTTTGATCATAATATACTTCGACATTTATATCATACTATAGGGTGATATTTTTACTATACTATACAATGATTTTTTTAACATACTATACTTTGTGATTCTTGTCATACCAAACTATGACATCTATTTGACTAACTCTTCTATAATATTTCAACATACTAAACTATGACATGTTTATTCATTTTACAAGATGACTTTTTTTATTACACTGTACTTAGACATTATTTTATCATCCTATACTAAGACTTTTTTTAACATACTTAAGTATGACATTTTATATCACACTATACTATGACATTTTAAAACATAATATACTATGACATTTTATCATACTATACTATGACATTTTTACTATACTCCACAATGTTTTTTTCACATACTATACTATGACATTTTTACTATACTATACTATGAAATTTATTTACTGTACTATAATATTACATTTTAAACATACTATACTATGATATTTTCACTATACTATACTATGATTACTTCACATACTATACTATGACAATTTATACGTACTAAATTATGTCATTTATCATACTATGACATTTTATCATACTGAACTATGACATTTTTACTACACTATACTGTAGCATTTTTAACGTACTATACTATGACATTTTGATCTTAATATATTGGATTTTTAAACATACCAGACTATACGATTTTAAACAAACTTTACAATGATAATTTACATACTATACTATGTGATTTTTTTTATACTACGCTATGACACTTTTTACTGAATATACTATGATTTTTTTATCATTCTATATAATGACTTTTTTGTATCATACTATACTATGACATTTTTATCATATTTTACTATGAAACTTTTACTATACTATACAATGTTTTTTCACATACCATATTATGTGATTTTTAACATACTATACTATGACATTAATTTACTATACTATAATTTTAAATTTTTAACATACTATACTTTGATATTTTTACTATATTTTACTTTGATTACTTCACATACTATACTATGACAAGTTATACGTACTAAATTATGTCATTTATAATACTATGCTATGACATTTTTAACATACTATACAATGATATTTTTGATCATACTTGACTATGATATTTTAATCATAGTATCCTGTGACATTTTTATTATTCTATGCTGTAACATTTTTTAACATACTAAACTATGACATTTTGATCATAATATACTGGATTTTTAAACATATCATGCTATGTGGTTTTAAACATACTTTACAATATTTTTTAACATAATATACTGTGATTTTTAACATACTACACTATGACACTTTTTACTTACTATACTTTGATTTTTTTGTGAACATTCTATACAATGACTTTTTTTTATCATACTACACTAAGACATTTCTTTTATCATACTATACTATTATGCTTTGATCATAATATACTATGACATTTATATCATACTATACGGTGATATTTTTACTATACTATACTATGATTTTTTAACATACTATAATACTTTTTGTCATATTTTATTGACATCTACTATTCTATGACATGCTTATTCTTTCCACACTGACTTTATTTCACACTGTACAAAGACATTATTTGATCATACTATACTAAGACTTTTTTAACATACATGAGTATGATATTTTTATCACACTATAAGACTTTTAAAATCATAATTCCTATGACCTAGGGAGGGGAGATACTTATGCTGGGCTGCGCTGCTCACCAAAATACCAAAATGTGTGTGGGCACGCCTTGTCGGCTTGGCGGACCTGACTTATGCTGCGCCTGTGCCACGCTGCCGGCGAGGAACGAAAGTGGAGCCCTTTATCACCTTCTCAGTATCTGCAGTGGATATAAAAAGTCTACACATGCCTGTTCAACTGCCAGGTTTTTGTCATGTGAAAAAATTAAATCAAGATAGATAAATTCACAACTTCTTCCACCTTTAATGTGACCCATAACCTGTAAAACACTATTGAAAAAACTAACACAAATCTTTCAAGGAGGTGAAGTAAAAATAAACAACTAAGATTATGTGGTTGGATTAGTCTGCACACACCTTTTAATAACTGGGAATGTTAACCAATAACATTCAAATTCAGGTTAAATTGGAGTCAGCACACGCCTGTCACCAATTAAAGTGCCTCTGATCAACCCCAAATAAAGTTCAGCTGTTCTAGTAGGCTTTTCTAGACATTTTTGTAGCCACATCTTCCAGCACAAGCCATGGTCCACAGAGAGCTTCCAAAGCATCAGAGGGATCTCATTATTTAAAGATATCAGTCAGGTGAGGGCAATAAAAGAATTTCCAAGGAATTAAATATACCATGGAACACAGTGAAGACCATCATCATCAAGTGGAGAAAAAATGTCACAACGGTGACATTACCAAGGACAGGACCGTTCAAAATTGATGACAAGACGAGAAGAAAACTGGTCAGGGAGGCTACAGAGAGGTCGACAGCAACACTAAAGGAGCTGCAGGAATTTCTGGCAAGTTCTGGCTGTGTAGAACATGTGACAACAATCTCCCGCTGTCTTCATATGTCTGGGCTATGGGGTAGGGTGGCAAGACGGAAGCCTTATCTCACAAAGAAAACCATCAAAGCCCGGCTTAATTTTGAAAAAAGACATCTAAAATCTCCCAAACGCATGTGGGAAAATGTGTTATGGTCTGATGAAACCAAAGTTGAACTTTTTAGACGTAATTGCAAAAGGTATATTTAGCGCAAAATCAACACTGCTCATCACCAAAAGAACACCATACCCACAGCGAAGCATGGTGGTTTTCTCCAGCTGGAACTGGTGCCTTAGTCAGGGTTGAGGGAATTATGAACAGTTCCAAATACCAGTCAGTGTTGGCACAAAACCTTCAGCCTTCTGTTAGAAAGCTAAAGATGAAGAGGAACTTCATCTTCAGCACGACAATGACCCAAAGCCGACATCTAAATCAACAAAAGAATGGCTTCACCCGAATAAGATTAAGACTTTGGGATGGCCCAGCCAGAGCCTAGACCTGAATCCCATCAAACATTTGTGGAGTGATCTGAAGATTTGCCCTCACAATCTGTCAGATTTGGAGCGGTTTTGAAAAGAAGAGTGGGCAAATATTGCCACATCAAGATGTGCCACGCTGATAGACTCCTACCCTAAAGACTGAGTGCTGTAATAAAAGCCAAAGGTGCTGCAACAAAGTATTTTTTTGAGGATGTACATATTTATGCAACCAGGTTATTTTAACTTTTCTTTTTTCAATTTTTCACCTTAAAGGTTTCAGTTTGTTTTTCAATTGTATTGTACAGGTTATAGGTCACATAAAGGTGGAAAAAGTTGTGAAAATATTTATCTTGATTTGATTTTTTTTACATGACAAAAACCTGGCAGTTGAACAGGAGTGTGTAGACTTTTTATATCCACTGTACTTGCAGGTGTCAGACTAGGGGTTCGTCATATTTTCTTATCACTCCACAAATTATGTTTCGCTGCTTAAAATGTATTGTCAAAAAGGTATACTGTTAAATGCAAGCATCATTATGTATGTAAGATTTTTTCAGACACCCACATAATTTCTGGTTGAGTTAAGTTTTTATTACACATCCATATAGTCATTGAAATGGCATGTAAAGGATTCGCTGTTTTATTAGGTAGTACATTTGTATACTGTAACAAACAGCACATGGACACTGTCAGAAAAAAAGCATGGTAAATATAGACCTACACACATGTCACCATCTAAAATAACATACATCATTTGGCATACTCGGATGGGTTGGGGGAGTACTCCTTGCATTCTGAAAGGAGTGGGTGAGTCAGGGATGGGTGAGGAAGGTGGGGTTGTTGGTATGTTGATCTGTCTCTTTCTTCATTATGTACAAACTGCTGCACAGCCAGCCATGACTTTCTCTCAGTTCTGCAAACATTCTGAGCGAGATAAGAGAGACACAAACAGAAAAAGGGTTGGAGAGATTTAACATTTGTGGCACATGCACAATCACACATTCATGGGCACACACAAACAAACTCACCTTAAAGCATAAGACCTGGATTTCTGCTGCTCTTTTACAGGCACTGGTGGACAGATAATAAAAGCAAGAAGAAGGTGAACTGGGGTCATGAGGTGTTCATAATCACTTCAGCCAGGAATGCTTTGGGAGAAAGTGTGAGTGTGAATTTGTTCCAGGTTTTTATTCAGTGTTTCAGTGTGTGTGTTTGTGTTTTTTCCATCAAGGATTATCTAGCTTGCTTTCTGCCCTCTTAGCCCATTCTCCCCTCTTCTCTAGGCCTGTTGACTCAGGGTAATGTGAAGAGTTTGGCTGTGTGTCAGATCATCTGGAGTCATTTTTAGAAGCTGTAGAGTGCTACACTGACATCACCCAAAACCCCCTCCACCACCAGCACCAAAAGGCGCACCCTCTCTAATCCCTCGTTTTCCCCTCTCAGAGGCCCTTCCTTGTAAGGCTGTGCCTTACAGGTCTGCACATCAAACCTCTAAACATACTCACAAGTGTAACCACAGTTTACACTTGGCATGAGAACTGGTCTTTGCTTATCAGATCCAAAGTGGATAGCTGTAAATACAGGTGAGTGCGCACACAAGCACATCCAGAATGCATTAAGATCTGATCACTGGAGCCAGATCCAGAGGGGGGGCTGAAGGCAGGCATGCAAACCCATATGCAGTATGGTGTGAACACACGTGTCCATGACCGCATTGAAGGTGGATTACTGTGGTGTGCATGACCCACAGCAACTGTATCCAGTTTGTTTGCTAAAGTCAATCAACTCAGACATCGTATCAATGCTCCATACTCAAGGTCAAGAAGGAAAATGACAGCAAAATATTTATCCAAATTTACACATGAAAATATAAAGGGTTTTCTGTTTGCAGTGGTCGTATTTTTCTGAGGACAAAAATAAAATTCAATCTTGGTGTATACTGTTATGATCAAACATTGGTTTCCCACATTTTTATTTGATCCATGAAAAGATTAAACAGATTTAACTAGTGGAAGTCTGATGTCTAACAACTATTAAAACACAAAACTGCACAACGTTTGGCTTGGAGTTTCCTGAAATAAAGATTTTGGCTTCTTAAAATCATAAAAAAATGAGATAAATGAGATAAAACAATAACTGTACTGCCTGCTCTGCTGCTCCTCTTAGACAGCTCTTTAAATTGCTGAGAATGAGGAGAAGATGGAGCTCCAGCCAAGAGTAAACTAGCAATCTGGTTGACTTTGTAGTTTCAAAGAGCTCAGGTCAAAACCAACAAAGTTTCGAGGAGAAAGCAAGTTTTAAACCAGTGTTTGTGTGTTTTAAAGTTAAGAAACGCTTTTCCCGCTGCATCCTCTGCCTGGAAATCACATAGGATGTAATGAGCTTCATGCAACTGCAAACACAGTCATCAGTCAACAGAGAGGAGCAGGGTGGAGTAGAGGGGATGGGCTGAGATATTTGAGGGACTTTCATATTCAAGTTTTATGAGATATGGTGATTGGCTGGTTGTTCACATGTTGTGAATGCACAGCCGGGCTGTTCAGTGATACTATTTCAAAAGCACCATAAAAAGAATCAAAGGTATGCCCTTTACAGTAAGATAAAACCATTATCCTTCCCTCATTTAATTTTACAACCTTCAACTATCCTGTGCATCCCTCCTGCTACGTGTCCAGCCTTCTGTCCCACCACTCCAACCAAAATAACTCAAATGTGCATTTCTATTTTTACTTTTTCTCCCTGTTTTGCCCTTTTCATCTTTCCACCTTCACTCACCACTCAATTCTTTTTGAAATGCTTCGACAGGTCAGTGCTGTGTGAAAGTCTCCCTGAAAGACTACACCACAAGCATTTAAAAAAGCAAAACTGCAAATGTGGCTCTCCTATAGTAAGGGTATATATATAGAAGTGCTAAAGCTGTAAAAACATCAAATTTGGTATTTCTGCTTGATAGACATTAATCTTTGCCACGTTACCACATCCAAAAGAAGGGCTCGTAATGTATAGGACATGCAGAGCGGGCGGATAAAGAGGAGGAGAGAGGGGGGCAAGAGGGTAAAAACAAATTAAAGTTAATTTGATCCTTTGAGTTTAAGGACAGGGCGATTCACGGCTGGTCGACAGGCATGGGAGTTTTATCACTGAAGAAGTCAGATATAGTGTTTACTGTGTATGTTAAAGAGGTAAACAAATGCTGTTAATGAGAGGGGTGGTTTTAACACTTGATTTAAGTATATCCGATCTGAATGTAGTGATGACATGTGAAAGTAAAAGCGCAGGAAAATAATCTGAATATTTCTCTCTGTTTCTTACCTCTGGAGGTTTTGCAGTTGGATTATTTTCCCTTCTCCTCTGAAATAATAATCTCTGTTGAGAGAGGAATATAGAGTTACTTCCAGTTTTTTTTTAGAGGACTGAGGTTCTGGTACCTCCATCAAACTACATCCTGGGGAAAGATTAAATTCAGTTTAGCATGAGGAATGAAAACTAGATTACACAACCAGATTAGCTCGAGTCAGAGTTAATGAAACCCACCCTCCAGCACTGAACCTGATACTTGCTGTTGCCTTCAGCTTTATATTAGGCAAGTAAAAATAGTATCTATTACTCCATTTCACTCTTGGCAACAAGGCAATAAGCAGAATTTCAATCAATTCCAGAGATTTACAGCTTTATACGTACGTTTGACCTCCAGTTTACAGGACACAGTGGCCTCTCCCTGGGCATTCTTGGCTCTGCAGGTGTACACGCCTCCATCAAAGCTGCAGGGCTTGCGGATCTCCAGGGAGCAGATGCCCTGGTTAGAGATCTGACGATACTTGGGGTCGTCACCGATCACCATCTGATTCTTCAACCACTCAATCTTAGGCTGAGAGAGAAGGGAGAGAAGACATCCAACATGTGTGACAAATCTTTAATCCACAGTTGAGTAATGACTGTCGTGATCCTAAATGACTTATTTATTATTTTTAAATTTGCCCTTTTTTCGGAGTAATGCTTGGGAACAGTTCAAGTTATTACAGTGTAAATAAACTAAAATGAGCCAGAGTTACACAAACCTTGATGTAAATTTATTTAAATACAGAGCCTAACTTGGACATGAGCAAACACAAAGAAAATTGGCATGTTTAAGGATGTCCTGATTAAAGTTACTTCTTATTTATTTAGTTAAATAAATAAAATAAAATAAAATAAAATAATAAATTTAGTTATTTGTTATTTCAAACATTTTTTGATCCAGATGTGGGTGAGGCTAATATTCAGGAATTTATCACGTTCTCTTAAAAACATATTCACAGGTTTTTGGAAATTTTCACACGGCTACTTCTCTGTTTATGACAGGATCAGTTGCTAAAAACAAACTTAATCAGAGTAAGCAGCTACTTGAAGGAAGTATAAGCAGGATATCAGTTTTCAGTCAGACATATAGAGATCTAGGAACATGGGAATGATATATCTTTAGAACAGGACAAGAGGATTTTGTAGTTCTGTGGATATTTTCCATTGACCTTGGGATCAACTCCTGCAGATATGGTAAAATAATGTCTAATAAATGACCTCAGGGTGTAGTACATAGATTTTATAGTTCCACTAAGATTGCTTTTGTTGCTTTTCTTCTATTTTTTAAGTTTTATTTCTTTGAATATGTAAAAATTGCCAAAGGTGGAGGGAAAATTTGAGGACTTCTGATTCTGAGTTGAAAAAGATTTCAATCATTTGGGATCAGAATCAAAATTTAGAAATCACTTATTTAAAAAAGTCATTTTACATTTATGAGATTTTTAAGTATTTCAGTGAAAGCATATCAAAGCTGCTGTCTTTATATTATCTATCTTTTACTTACATTGATCCCAAGGTTGCACACATTCATTACATAGATTTGTTTATTAGAATTACTCTCTATCTGCTTAAGTCTTGCACTTGTTTGTTTACACTCTGAACATTTGAGGGCACTGGGCTTGGCTTGTTTTCAGTGAACTCAGGCAGTCTGTGCTGAGGGTGACACATTGGTAGAACGAGAGCACTGTAAGTGTTTTTCCTGACCTCTCGAGCTATGTGCTATTCAGGGTCTCTGTGACACGCTCCCTGGATTTCTGAGGGTCCAGCTTCATGCAGGAGACTCTGGTTATAGGATTTCAATTCAGCTGATGCATTTCAGCACAAATTGTTTTAATTCTCCGGCAGTGATGCGTGAAACAGATTTAGTTCTTAGTTGCTGCCTAAGATTTCAAAATGGTGTTTTTTTAATTTAAGCTGATATGGGGAGATTGGAGGTAACAGAATATTTGAAAAGGTGACTCTTCAGTGGCTTTAAAATGGTCAAAAACTGTTCCGGTAAACTGAAGAGTTATGCAAGATAATTCTTGGAAATGATTGAAACAGATTTTAATAGGATAAATTTCAGATTGTGTAAGGGTTTTACATTTTTAACTGAGGGTGAAACATCTGTTCGAGCTTAAATGTTGTATGCGCAGCTTGGTGGTGAAACTCAAACTATGTTTAAGTCAAAACTAATACTATCTGTTGAGTCTTCATTACCTCTACTGCCCTCTCTAATAAAAGATGAGGAAATTTCTAGTCTTCAAATTCCAGTCTTGGCAGGAGACCAGCTTCTGTACGTTTGAGCTTCGGCAGATGAGAGGTGCTGCAGCTGATCTTAATGATGTTTTTGCAAACCAACACTGGTGAAAGATGAAGATGCTACTGGTGCTGACTTACTCTGTCGACCTACAGGTTTTATGTGGCAGACGCAGCTGAGTGTGTTTACACCTGTCCGAGAAGATTGATTAGCCAATGAGATCATAGTTTGTCTTGCTATGACAGAAAAGATCAAGTAAAGCAAAAACAGAGATGATGAGATGTAATTACAGCCATGTATTTTGAAAGAGGATATATCAGCTTTTAAATACACGATAATAAATCAGCTGACCTAACGTCTAATGTCCATCTCTCTGTCTTGGCCAATCACATTTCTGTCTTCGGGCATCTGTGTGCAGATATCAGTCACACTGATAACACAGCTCCACTCATGACAGGTGGCAAAAATAGAAACTAATGTGATAAAACAACATCTCCACTGAAGACTTATCATTGTCTCTTTGACTTCACTCTGCTTATCTAGCCTCTCTCCCTGCTCATCATGAAGCCTCTGTCTGTCTCTTTATCAGAGTCAGCAGGACAACTAACAGGACATCCTCAATAGGCCGTGGACTCTTAGTAAGAGAGAGAGTAGCCTGACAAACGGCTTTCACACATGCTACTGAGGTGTGAAATACTTCAGATAGTAGATGTTATACAAAAGGAGATAAAAACTAAAAAGAGGGCCGTGGTGAAAGTTAGAGGGACGGGAAAACTGCATTTTAATTTTAGTGTTGCTTTCCATAATTATGTAACTATGTGGTTCAGGAGTTATGTGGCAAGGACCACAGTCAAGGCTGTGTGAAAGCTGACACTGAGGGATTAACCTGTGGCAGCAGGTTCAAATAGTTGGGGTTGAACATAGGTTAAGTACACATTCAGAGAACGAGAGTCTCCTGTATGAAGGAGGTGTCCAGTGCCTCTCTTTCCGTGGTCTACAGATAATCAGCGGGTCTATTTTCACATAGCTCCTCGGATTCTGTTGCAGGATACAGCAGCTGAAAATTTGTCAAACTGGTCGCAGAAATCAAACCGGCTGGTTCTCAGGGAGAGGCAGCAGAGACCCAGTTGGGACACAGCAGGGCCATCTCTAGAGGTCTAATTTCAAATTAAGATCAAATTCAGGCTCTTCAGGGACAATCGGTCGTACTGAGTGCAGCCTGGGCCACCATCCCCTTCTGTCTGGTTTGTCTCCGCTACACCAGCGTGGACAGACTGTCCGAGCTGTCCTTGACTACTCTCACCAAGGACAGCTAATCAAACACATTTCCACCATCTGCGTCAGCCAGACAACTGTAAAGATATGTTTAACCAGAGCAGTGGCAGCCAAGAAAAGTGAGAGACATATTGAAACTTCACACAGACATGCCAGTGTAAGCTCTGCCCCCGTTCTCCACGGGAGATCTTCTAGCAGTGACATCGATATTTCATTTGAAGCGGTAAACCGCACACTCAGATGATTTATTAAAGGATCCCAGTCAGAGCTGCTCATATATAGAACTACAAATCTTGGAGATTGATGTTTGATGATAAAAAAACTCCTCCAGATGTTTTCAAACGCTGACTTCAAAGATTAGCTATCGTTTATCAAGATGAGATATACTGATGATTGACTCGAGGGTTGTCTGTCTAACCTTAGGGCATCCACGGACAGAACACAGCAGCTTGGTGGTGTATCCCACTGTGGCAGCACGGTCACTGAGGGTAGTGGTAAACTTGGGGGCCTCACTGAAGTCGTGCTCAGGGTATTCAGGGGGCTTGTAGACAATATCTGTGAAGAAATGTTTAAAGAGATGAGATTGTTAAAAAGTCATGGAGAACCAACCATTAAGAACCGGTCTTGAACAACACAGCGGACAGTGAAGCGAACTATACTATATAGCGAACTACTTATTTCATCAATGGGAGTAACCGGATTTAGCATGCTGACCTTATGACATCCCTTGCAAGGACACAGGTAAATAAGGTGTAAACATCCATATGCACAGCACACACACTCACAGGAAGAGCAGCGTTTGCTTTGCCAGCTGTCTTAATGCTGTCAGAACCTCTTAAAATATATTTCAGTAGGAGCTGACCAGCAGCCAAGAGGGTCCCCACTCATGTTTAAAGCAGTGCCAGAGTCATTTCCACCCTTCAAGTCTTCACTTTAAAGACACACTTACGCAGAGACACACACGCACACACGCAAACTAACAAGACCCACAGACTTACTTCAGCTCATTAAAGCCTAAGTAGCAACTTGTACAGCAGCCACGTCTTTAAACACTTCAGAGGGGTTAAGAAATGAGCCGCGGAGGTCACCTGTTTTCTGGATGGTAGCCGCACCCTTGGTCACAGCACAGCCCTCACTCATTCCCACCTTGTTCTCAGTGAACACTCTGAAGATGTATGAGTTTCCCATGATGAGGTCTGAGACGGTTGCGGTGAGTCTGTGGTAGTGTTCCAGTACTGTAAACCACTCCTGTAAGTAAACACATGTGAAGACTCTAAGCTTGGTACAACATGGATTGATTACAACATTGTATTGATTGGTTATGAACAGCAACACCGGCTGTCTGACTGAAGTAAGAGGTTACTACATACTGTCCGTTCTCTCTGAGAGGATTACCTGCCGACAGAGTCTAGAGCCATGAGGCACAGCTCTCAGACGTAAACAAGTGAAACTTAGCTCTTTGAAAGTGTTCAATATAGACAAAAACCTATAGAAATAAAGAGTTTTGGAAAAGTCTGCTACCATGCATATGTATAGATGATAGTTGATACAGTGTTTCAGACTTGAGGAAACAGGTCTGCTGATGGGGATGAATCAGTTCAACTCCATAATTCAGGGTCTGTCTGAAATCTAAAAGGGGATCTGAGCATTGGGGCGCTGTGAGACTGTTTATTTGACCTCCTTGACACTCCTGCAGCGTTCTGTACTGACTGCAGGTGATTTAGAGCAGACATGCTAAGTGAGTATCAGACAAAATATCAGGAGTTCATGCATGATGACATGGAAGCATATATGTGCATCTCAAGTTCAGGGGTAGACACCTAGAATCTCTGTGCATGGATAATTCCTGGATGAAAATAACATCATCACGTACGATCTTCAGTTTAGCTGTCAAAGATGTATGGTGCTGACTACAGTCCTGACTAGATACCACATCCTGAGACTGGAATGAGCACCATGGGAAAGGGATTCAATACCGTATAAGACTATAGGAACAATCCTATCTTGGGCAAAAACTTGCATCTCAGTCTCATCTGCATTTGGCTGTAAGTTAGCACCAGTCATATATATAGAGAGAGTCCAAGAGTCAAGGCAACCAACAGGTTTCATGGGTTTAAATGTGAAGTGGAGTTGCATATCCTCTGCATACAGGTGATAGAATAAATTAAAATCTGTTTATGACTACACGTAATGGGAGAACAGTAGGGGCCCCAGGACAGATCCCTGTAGCACTTCACAAGGCATGAGAGAGGACTTAGAAACCGTGGTCTCAGCTCACATATTCTGCTCATATCAGATAGTACATTAAGTTGGTTTGGACAGGAGTTTAACAGGAATTGTCTTTAGTCTGATCTTGGTAGATACATGTTTTAAAATGGGAGGGGACACCTTGCAGACAAAGCAAAGTCAACAATAGATCAAACCACTATTATAATGTTATTTTTACCTCTTCTGAGTAGTCTCTGTAAAAAGTCTAAAGTTATAGAGATGGTTCAAGTGAAACTAGCATGAGACAATCAAAGTAAGTCTTCATGGTTCTTTTCTCAGCAGCCCCTGGTAGAAACTTACCCACTGTCTGCTGCACAGTAACATGAACCCCTTTGGCACAAGCTCTGCACTCCTCACCATTTCAAGATGCTAAATTGGTTGGGCGATTATGTAAATGCAAGTGCCTTAATCTGCTCTCTCCCAACTTTCTGCTTTCGTTTCCAGCCCGTCTCCTGGTGAAATGTTTGGGTGACTTTGGGATGAGACACATGAACCCAGCGGGTAATAGTCTGGAGAATTTACTGCGAGCGAGGGGCCCGGGGCGATGACCTTGTTCGTGTTGCTTTAAACTCTTCTCTGCCACCTTCAGTTGTCTGCATCATGACTTCTTTGTACTTTGCATGTGTGAGAGGCTGTTCCTAAAATTATAATAACCTGAATGTCCGGTTCGCGTGTGAAAAGGGTTATTACAGCAGCTGTATGGGTTAGTTCATGCAAGGAAATGCGGTAGAATTCAGTCTATCTTGTTCAGTGAATGAAAGAGTGCAAACATGGTCAAAGCATGGTTATACAGTACAGGCCAAAAGTTTGGACACACCTTCTCATTCAATGCATTTTCTTTGTTTTCATTACTATTTAAATTGTAGATTCTCAAAACTATGAATGAACACATGCGGAATCATGTGCTTAAGAAAAAAGTGTGAAATAACTGAAAACATGTTTTAAATTTTAGATTTCTCAAAGTAGCCACCCTTTGCTTTTTTGATAGCGCTGCAAACTTTAGCTGTTCTCTCATTGAGCTTCATGAGGTAGTCACCTGAAATGGTTTTTACTTCACAGGAGTGCCTGAAGTAACCCTGACAAGGTACTTTTGTCATCAAGAGCAAAGGGTGGCTATTTTAAAGAAACTAGAATATAAAACATGTTTTCGGTTATTTCACACTTTTTTTATAAGTACAAATTTCTACATGTGTTCATTCATATTTTTAATGCCTTCACTAATAATCTACAATGTAAATAGTCATATAAAAAAATAAAGAAAAGACATTGAATGAGAAGGTGTGTCCAAACTTTTGGCCTGTACTGTATATCAGTTTGACAATATGTTTTTTACCCCAGTCTTCTTGTCGGCCTTCTGCACGGTGTATCCTGTGATCTCTGTGTTGCCATTATCCTTAGGAGGGGTCCATTCCAGTGCAGCGTTGAAGCCCCAGGAGTCCACCAGCTTCATACTGGTAGGAGGTCCAGGCAGCTCTGAGGAGACACATCAGTATGAGTCATTATTAAGTGTTAGAGTTATAACCAGTGTTTTCATCAAAGCACGGATGGTGTCAGCTCCTGGCTCTGTTAGATCAAAATTGGACCAGGTATTTGTTTGTTAATGCCACTAATGTCAGGCAGCACACTTTAACACCAGCAGCCGACAGCTGGGTCAAACACTCCGGGGTCAAAGGTCATCATTGTAAGAGGTGTGATGCGTGTCTGCATGTGCTATGAACCGCTGTTGGAGCAAGTCAGAAGTCCCGGAGGCAACAAGCGCAAATGTGCTTCTATTTGTGAATGTAAACATTACCCAGGTGTGACTCACCCACGATCTGAAGCACAAGGGGGACTTTGTCTTCAAAGCTTTCCACTTTAACAGATATCTCATAAACACCAGAGTCCTCCCTCTGAGCCTGGCGGATAAAAATGATGGTATCCTTGTCGCTGTTCCTGATGTTAACCCTCTTTGTGTCCAGAGGCTGACCATCCTTCAGCCAGGACACCGCAGGTTTGGGCTTTCCCTGATGAGTCAGAAAAAAAAAGAGGAAAATTAAATACTTCTGTGCAAATTTCTAAGTTTTTTTTTATGCATTATTTAGATGTGTATGTGTGTTTGTGCTTACAAGAAAAGGGATGACCAGATTGATCTGCTCTCCAACCTGCTTGACAACTCTGGCTCTGAGCTGACGAGGCATGCGGATCTTGGGACGATCTGAAAACCAGGAGGATATTTGAGCATGTCATATTTCGAGCTCTGAACGTCATAAGTTTTCTATTTTCATTAGCCCGTCTGTTGCATCACTTAAACTCCTAACTAACCACACCAGTTACCCATGCACAGTGTACAAACTGTGCAGAGATCACTTCCAAATTGGGGTCGAGTACACTCAGAACGTCAGCTCTACCAGACCTAAATAGACCAGCTGATGCTGGGTGAGTCTGACCAGACACCATGACCGAATGAGCTAAAATTAACCCCCTAGGTTAGTCCAGTGATGAAAAAGTACATGTTGTTGTAGTTTGTATGGGAAATTTGTAGGTAACTGTTTAGAAAGGTTGCTTTTTATGAGTGGCCATACATAGAAAAGGAGATTTTGCATTTATGAGGGTAGAAGACATTCAGTAGCTGGGTAGAGACAGTCCAAAGAGGAAGACCCTGTGCCCACCAGCACTCAAAATAGCTTTGGTGATGAGACACTTGGACACGAACCAACACGTGTTCCCTCATGTCATGCACAAAGAAGCAGCAGGAGGATGTCATCACTTTCAGCTTCGACTGGAGTGATCAAACATCACATCTCCAAACACCTACAGTTACGAAGTCTAGAGGCATCCTAATCAACAGCGATAACTGCTGGTGCTTGTGCTGTGAATAAAACGATAGGGATGAAATTTCACTGGGGTTGGGACTTTGTGAGACTACTAGTAAGCCACTCTGCTGGATGCTTGTGTTTGGTCTGGGTGATAAGTATCAGGGACAGCATCTCTAGCATGTTTGTGCATAAGCAGCAGATATCTGAAAAGCTCCGTGGGCTTACTGGAAACATGAAACATTGAAGCTGCTGCCCTCCATCACCTTTCCCCCTTGCAGTGACCTCCTCATCCACTCAAAATCATCTCTCCTCTGCATCTTTTGTAGGTGTCATAATTTCTTCTTACATTCTTTCAAATCAACCCTGATTTCTCGCCTGCTTTCTACTCCAACATTTGTCACTGCTACACTGCTGCACAGGCCGGTGTAGCTGCTGCAAGCATTATTACCCATGGGGATCAGGTCTGCATCCAGATTTGGCTCAAACAATAATCCCTGCTAATCAGAACACTTCCCAGCAATGCCCGGAAGTGCAGCTAGCATTACAGCATCCAGCAGCCAGAGAGTCCTCCTGCACACCATCTCTAACCTGTCTTTGTCTCTGGATAAAGTGTCTTTGTGGGGGGCTTTCAGCATATGTAGGACAGCGTGTCTTTATCAGAGACCTGAATGTGTGGCTGGGTGTCTGGTCAGGACACACAGCTGAATTTACCCCCAACAAGCCACCCAGAATCCATCTATTAGGCTCATGTGTCGCTCCCCTCATTCGGCCAGCAGATCTAATTGCACAACTTGCGTTTCTCTACTAAAGTTTCCTGTTTGTCCACAGCAGTTTGAACTGCGACCAGGAAATTCGCTCAGAGACGGTAAGCTGTTCTTCTAAAAGTGGATAACTGGGGCATGTCAGCTCAGGATGACACCCTGCCAATGTGACTCAAAGTGAGAGCTGATGGAAAGTCAAGGCTCTGAAATGAAACTGATGTTAAACAGAAGAAAGAGGATCTGCAAGTTTTGCTTTGGCAAGTTGTTTTTTTTAGCAGTTCTAGGGGATTTTTAATCTTTCATTACACCCATCAAAATAAAAAGAGGAAATGAAAATCCATGTTTATTTTGGAGCTTTTGCTGCTGTAAAATAAAAAAAAATAAAAACTGGTATGAGAAAATATTCTACATTTTAATTGTGAGAACAAAATGATCCGAGATGTTCAGATCACGCTTTGGCTTCATGTAATAGATCAGATGTTTTATGGATACTCAACCTTATTATTCTTCATAGATGCACCTAGTATGAGTCATGTTTTCGGTCAGAACAAAATAACTTTAACAGTTTTTGATTTAAAGGAGCTTTTTTAAACATGATTCCTCAAAAAACTCATCAGTGGAACTCATATGAAGTAAACAGAGTCACCATCCATTCATTTAAACATCACGTGCTTTTCAACCGTAGGATCTTTACGCAAGAACTACGGACCTTTCGAGGAACTCTGTGTGGAACCAGAGTCTAAATTTAGTTCCAGGGTGAACCATCTTCTCCTTGAAACCCCCCTGCTCAGGAGGTAGTATTTTTTAATGACCCTGGAATGATCTCAACTACACTTAAAAAACAAGGCTATTAATTTACACACAAAACGCTGATAGTTGTACACAGAGGCATAAATAAATAACCTGATGTTATTTGATCAGTAAAAATATATACACACATGAATTTTGACTCTTGTTTGGATTAGAGGCACCAAAAGACATTAGCGAACCAGCTGTGATTTAATTATTTAATCCAGTTTATCTGCTGCCAACTTCTAAGAAGTTCAACAGAAACACAAATAAAGGTAGTGCTCAGCAGGTAATCACATGGTTTAATATTACTACACTATGCTATAGTTTACTTGTAATATCACGTACTAGTTGCACCTGTGTAACACAACAATTCGGTAAGAGAGTTTTCTCATGAAGTGAAGAGGGAAAGTGATCAGGAGGTCATGCTCACGGGGCTGCAGTCACTTGAAAAGAGCTGCCAGATGGTTCATTAGCTAAGTGCTTCCTCTGTCTGACTCAAGACTTTCATTTAATCATCTTTAAGACCAGTGAGAGTGATGCAGCACGAGCTGTTTGAGATCCAGACCTTTCACTGTAGCTGCACCAGTGTTTGAGTCAATATTGTGCAGAACGGAAAAAAGATCCTGTGCAGTATAAGAAGATTTTTTTGTCTCTGCTGTTACTCTTATCATAACTTTTTATTACTGTTGTTAGCTTAATATTTTTGTAATACTCAAGGCTATAAAAGGGTCAATTAATTAATTCGAATTATTAAATGATTAAAAATTAAAGGTATAAATATTTAGAGCGCCTGACCGTCTAGTGCCGTAATCTGTCAGACCTTCAGTAACGTCTGAAGACGTGAGTACGTGTTAGTGAAAGCAAGATTTACAGCCAATGAAAGGTCTTGTCAACACCTGTGGGATTTATGTACACACATCACTGAAGTCCATCTGAGGCCACAGCAGTTAATAACTTCAGGGTTGCAACATGAGTATTTTAAGGATAGGTCATAAGTTACAACCACGAGAGGGCTTCTGATAAAGAGGTTCGACAAAAGAAGTTGGAAGAGCTGTCTTAACACGGCGGAAACCGCAAATATCAAAGCTTTCTTTCTACGGAAGATTCATTTGAGGGTTTAATACTTTGATTAAAACTTCTGTGGAGAAATCAAATTCACTTTTGATCATTCTGCACTCTAGTTTCCTTTATCTTCTTCTCCTTGTTGCAAAAAATCTTGTTCTCTGCATGAAGCTAGAAAGGTTTTTGCAATGACAAGCTCAATACAGTGAGAGATGACGAATGCTCAGATTGAAAAACTTCTTGGCTGCTACTCACCAGCAACCTCCCGGATTGGCACTGGTGCAGCGAGTGTCCCAGGTTCACTGCGGCCACCAGGGTTTACAGCCACCACACGCACATGCAGCAGGTCACCGGTCGTCAGATTCTTGATGCAGAGGCGGTTAGATGGGGTCAGCTCCTCTTGAGCCGCAACCCAGTCTGTCGCTGTAGGAAAAACACCAAATATGCTTCACTTTAAGAGTGTTAATCATGTTGGTATTACAAGGTTGCTTCTTATTTTCACTTGATACATAACATACATTCGACTTTCTTCTAATTTGAGTGTAAAACACCCCCTAATGGGAGATGTTAAGTAGTTTATCACCTGTCGACACACGTTTACAAACATGCTCATAAGGTGTACACTTTGGCCATCAGGATGAAACCTCAGAAGGCTCGCTGTCATCCGAGCAAACGAGCGCTTCTAAAAGTGGTGTCAGGAGATACAGTGACAGCCGGTGAAATGCTGCCTGCCGTATACGGTCTGGACCCAGCTATGAGTCTATCTGCCCTCTGACACTCTGGGGACAGGTGCAGCCCCACACACACGCACTCACACACACACACAAACACACGCATATGGAGACTTACTTCCATCCTTGCAGTATTCAATGGCATATCCATCCAGGCCAGAGTCTCCAATGGTCGCTGGGGCAGTCCATTTAATGGTGAGACTGGAGTCATTCACGTCTTCCACAGAGACATCCAGAGGAGGGCTGGTGGGGACTGGAGGAGATTCAGACGGGTTAATTAAGGATTCAAATGAACGACAGAAGATGACCTGAGGAAACTGGACACTGGAAAAACACTAAATGGAAACGTAGTCCTCAATAAACATCAAGACCACAAGCTAGACCGCAACCAATAAATACTTCTACCAAGATTTTCAAGTACCTGAATTGACTTTAAGAGCAAATAACTCAACACACATTCTTGTATCTGTTCCTATAATGAGTAGAAGTTAATACATCAGTTGAGTAAAGTGATGGTTTTTCATCAAAACTTGAATATTTGCTGTTACCACTAGCTAAAAGTGAACATCTGCCTGTTTTTTCAATACGAATGTATATCTTTGCGCCCAAAAGAACAAGTTCGACATATCTATGTTCAGCTGTTATAATCAAAAAGACTTGACCAACAGAGCACCTTGTGGATGTTACCTGCAGGAGGTGGAGGTGTGGGTGCCTTTGGCGGCTCCTCAACTACAGCAGGTTCAGCAGCTTCAGCTGGAGCGGCTAGCATCAAACAAGCGGAAGGTTAATGTGGTTTTTAAAAACACGCGCCAGCAATGAGGACCTGCTTAAATCCGTCGTCTTTTAATGTAGTACCAATCTGATGATCCTGAAGAAGTTGTGAGTCCTCACAGCTGGATAAAAGCATCATACATAGCTTGACTTATGAGTATATTGTTAATAATGCAGTTATTTCTTGCAGTAGTTTTTGTGTTTTTGCAGAAATGTTGCTGTCAGTGTGTCAGTTTCGGTTTACCGTCTGCGGGGGCTTCTTCTGCTGGTGCAGCGACACCTTCTTCAGGCGCAGCAGCAGGAGCAGCAGCTAATGTTAAAATGCCGTCAGGAGATCCAATGAGTGGTACATAATGTAAGATAACTCATGCAGTGAATTGGTTGTTGATGAGTATTTAAATAATGCAGTTATCATGCAAAGTTTTTGTGTTTTTTGCTGGAGGTGTGTTGGCTTTTGTTTACCGTCTGCAGGAGCTTCTTCTGCTGGTGCAGCGACACCTTCTTCAGCAGCAGCAGCAGGAGCAGCAGCAGCTAATGTTTAAATGCCATTAGTATATCCAATAAGTTGTTTATAATGTAACAATACTCATGCTGATGATTGGCTGTGGATGAGTATTTTTATAATGCAACTGTTTCATGCTGTGTTTTTTGAGTTTTTGCAGAAATGTTGCTGTCAGTGTGTCAGTTTCAGTTTACCATCTGCAGGAGCTTCCTCTGCTGGTGCAGCGGCAACTTCTTCAGCAGCAGCAGCAGGAGCAGCAGCAGCTAATGTTAAAATGCCATTAGTATATTAAATAAGTTGTCTAAAATGTAATATTTTCATGCTGTTGATTGGTTGTGGATGAGTATTTCTATAATGCAATTTTTTCATGCTGTGTTTTTTGAGTTTTTGCAGAAATGTTGCCATCAGTGTGTCAGTTTCAGTTTACCATCTGCAGGAGCTTCCTCTGCTGGTGCAGCGGCAACTTCTTCAGCCGCAGCAGGAGCAGCAGCAGCTAATATAGAATGCCATTAGGAAATCTAATTAGTGGTTTATAATGAACCATAAATCATGCTGTGGATCAGTCTTGGATGAGTATTTTCATAATGCACCTATTTATTGCAGTGGTTTTTGTGTTTTTGTTGTCAGTGTGTCAGTTTCTGTTTACCATCTGCGGGGGCTTCTTCTGCTGGTGCAGCGACACCTTCTTCAGGCGCAGCAGCAGGAGCAGCAGCTAATGTTAAAATGCCATTAAGAAATCCAATTAGTGGTCCATAAAGTAAGATAAATCATGCGGTGAATCGGTTGTTGATGAATATTGTAATAATGCAGTTATTTCATGCAGTGGTTTTGGCGTTTTTGCTGTCACTGTGTTGATTTCCGTTTACCGTCTGCTGGGGCCTCTTCTGCTGGAGCAGCAGCAGCTTCTTCAGCAGCAGCAGCAGGAGGAGCAGCAGCAGCTAATGTTAAAATGCCATCAGGAGGGCAAATTAGTGGTTTATATTGTTACAGTAATCATGCTGTGGATTGGCTGTTGATGAGTATTAGCAAACTGCAGATGTTGCTTGCAATGCTTTATGTTGTTTTTGCAGAAATGTTGCTGTCAGTGTGTTGATTTCTGTTTACCGTCTGCGGGGGCCTCTTCTGCTGGAGCAGCGGCACCTTCTTCAGCAGCAGCAGGAGCAGGAGCAGCAGCTAGCGTTTAAATGCCATTAGGAAAGCCAATTAGTGGTTTACAATGTTACATTAATCATGCTGGGCATCAATCAATGTTAGGCTAATTTGATTAAAAGTACTCCTGCGAAGCAAGCAGCAGGATTGAGTAAGAGGTACAAAGCTTTGGCAAGTCAGGATGACACAGACAGAGGAGCTGATTACAAAAACTAACTCGTGAGCACATTTGGAAGACACGGAGAGAACTGAAGACCAAACATGTCCAACAAAGGGAAAACTTGAGACACACAGAGCCCAAGATGAATGGATAAAAACACAAAAATAGAGAAATTACTTAAAACACTAATCAGGAAGGAGAAACACAAGCACGTGTTGTGCACAGTGGGACACCCACACAAACATCGTGCTCTGCATTTTGGACACCCACGGTGTGTGTTTACCCTCAGCAGGAGCTGTCAAGTCACCTCCTTCCTCAGGGGGAGTGCCCTCATCTGAAGCTAGGGGTTACATGTTGTGGTTAGCAAAACAACAGCAGTCACTCATTAAATCCATAAGTAATGCACTGCAACAACCAAGGACTGGTAAACAAACACTTTAAATAACTTTTATTTCATGTAGAGGAAATCTAAAGCAGTGGTTCTCAACTGGTTTCACTCTGGGACCCAAATTTTCTCATGGTCCTTCAGTCGTGACCCACTTTTATAGAATTCAAACCAAGCAAATGTATTTTTTACAAAAAAAAAAAAAATAATTTAAAGACTCTAATCTTTAACATAAATCCATTTGTTTTATTGAATAAAGTGGATTTCAGAGCACATGAAGGGGACACATGGGGACAACAACTACTGAAGTTGCATATACAGAAAATATCAAATATCTAATAAATATCGTATTAAATATTTATTTTTTTGACCAGCTGTTCGTGACTCATCCAGAACGTGTCCTTGACCCACTTTCGGGTCGGAACCCACCAGTTGAGAACCACTGATCTAGAGGACATGAAACTCTGTGTTTACCAGGCCTTGGGGGCTGATGTAGTGACCACTTGTGGGTCCAATAACTTAGCTAGTATGTGAGTCCCATGCAATATAAGCTGCTACTTGTTCCATCATTTTTTGCAGGAACGGTTTATGCAGGATTTCAAAGTTATGTGTTTTTTACATGTAATAAAAAATAACCTCTCGGGAAATTAATTTGAAAAGCAAGAGCCATCGAACTACTGTATTAGATTCAGGTTTAGATCAAGGAGGCTAAAGTGGGACTGGAAAAACAATCCACCCATGTGGATTTTATCTCAGCTCAGTTCAGTAGCCTGATCCGTCTACAGCTAGTATAATTCTTCACACGTTTCTATCCCCCTATGTTCATTAAATTAGGTTTAAACTAAACTCTGAGATGCAAAACAACCTAATGTAGAAAACAAACATTATCTATTTGGTTAAATAAGAGAAGAAGGTCATAGATGCTGCAGCTCCTCTAATACTTGTGGCTATTTGTGGCTCCTTACAAGATGGGCTGCTGCTCAGGGCAAGAGTTGTAGTATCTATCATTCAAACTCTGAATATGAAGAAACATTATACTAGCATCTGCTGAATCATAGAGGCTATAAGAGCAATGGCTGCTACAACTGTAAGATAACTCATCAGAAGCCTGCTATTAAAAGGGTAAAAAAATAAATAAATAAAAATGAATAAAAAAAAAAAAAGGTTAATGTTTGGACATGCTCATGTTTTAACAAAAGCTGAATCAATATATGATAAGATAAAGTCTGTGTTCTGTAGCCTATTACAGAAGTTTCACAGACTTGTTTACTTCTTCAGCTGCAGATAAATGTAAAAACCGGAGAAAAAAATCAGTTTGTAATTATCAGTCAATACTTCAGCTCAAGCGACATGGTAAGACCCCTGAGTTAATCCAACACTTCACTTAAAACCTCTAGGAGGTAGTTTTCGCCAAATTAACCCCTCACTTTGAGTTGGAGAAAGGAAAAAAGGCTCCTGTCACTTATAAAGGCAGCAGTGTTTCTCCAAGTCGGCTAATCTCCTCAAACTGGCTACATTATCTCTACTCTCTGCAGTACCTGGAGCGGGTGCTTCCGGAGCCGGGGTCTCCTCTGCCGGAGGTGCAGGAGCAGCCTCAGCCGGTGCCGCCTCGGCGGGAGCGGCCTCCGCAGGTGCAGCCTCCGCAGGTGCAGCTTCCGCAGGTGGAGCCTCTGCAGGTGGAGCCTCTGCTGGAGCGGGTGCAGGCTCCGGGGCGGGCTCAGGTGCCTTCACGGCAGCCTTCTTGGCTGGGGACTTCTTGATGGGTGCAGGTTTACCTGGCATCGTGCTGACAGATGGCCAGTTCTCAGTATGACAGACTTCGGATGGTCTGTGGTAATATATATAGCAAGGACGATGGGGGGGCTTGTCAACAACTCCAAAAACTCCACCCATTCACTGATGATTTCCCCAACCCACTACAGTCATATCATATTTTAAAAACAACAACAAACAACAACTTATGACACCTTAAGTTAAATATAAACAGCCAAATCTACATTTCAATAAAAATACTTAGCTACAAAAAGCACTAAATTCAGATTAAATAGTCCTTTGGTTAATTCCCTGTTGAGAAATAGAAACATTTGCGCCCTCTAGTGGACAGTATTATGTACACAGACAGCTGAGTCAAGTGGCGTTGTGAAGAATGGCATGATTTTATTGTGTCCATTGCTCAATGTTAGACATATGGGATTGAATGTGGTTATAGAGGCATGCCAAAAACCCTTCTGAGGCCCTCCTGTAAGCCAAGTGCTCCTTCCGACTGAAGGAAGACAATGAAACTGTCCAGGATGTAAGTTTTTTTTTTACATCCAGGTACAACACCTCCTCTTGAATCTAGATATAAACATGTTTTTAATGATTGTTGTCGCAGATGCACTATTTACAGTGTTTACAATAGTGATGGCATGTACAAAAGAGAAAAAAAGAAACTTTACAAATATTTGCATAAGAAAGAAACAAATGTCTGCTCTTAAAAATAAAAGGAAGATATCCAGTTATTAAAAAATCCCTCCCATGATAAGGTTAAGTGTGGTAGGTCCAATGAAAAGAAAACTTTGGGAAACACATTAAGGATACCTGCATCAAATCACATCTGCTTCTAACTCCCAGGAAACTCCACAGAGATGTCAGATCTTTCACACTCAAGATACAAAACGGTGATTAACTGCACACAAGCAGCCCACATTCTTATCTACACAAACATCACCTGAACTACTCAGCTCATCATCACCAGCCAAAGGTCAGGATTAAATAACCCACTCTCTACCTTAATCTGGGCATCAAGGTGTCAACATTAAAGTGACATCAGAGTAGGTGAGAGGAAGATGATTTTTCCTCTAAATGGAGGCCTCCGTGTGGTAAATGAAAGCAGCTCAGAGCAGCTTTAGGCCAAATTGTGATTCAGGCACAGTTAGAAGTAGGCATCATGTCTCTACTTTACACCAGCACCCTGTTTGGAAAAAAGTAGAACATCTGGGCAGAATATGGCAGTCTGAGGTACTTCAGGGTGTAGGGGGTTAGGGCTGAGAGGTTTTCAGAATATCTTCACTACCTTTTAAGTCTTTTCCTTCATCCCAAGAACAGTCACAGATATGAGCAATAAATACTCTGTCATCTAGTACTCTAACATATATTATGTGCAAACAAATAAAGGGAATGAAGCCACTTAAAGATGAGTATCAACCTTTCATCAGCCCTTACTCCGACACTATCCGTTGAAAGTGTGAGTGAAAGAAAATGATATCTACACTGTGACGAGATCGGGATGTTATCAAAGATATAAAAAGCAAGTGCAATGAGGAGGAAAATGCTTGTCGAGCTCGATGGCAGTTTTTTTTGTTCACCGATATTATTTTTCTCTTTGTGTTCAGATGAATGAGCAATGATCGATACTGCTATACGTCCCCTGCCTCTAATGAAGATGACGTGTTCATATTGGTTTTGCTGTATACAGATGGTACTTGAAGATGACTCAGTATAAAATCCTACAAAATCAACATTTTCAAAGCTGTATCCTAATCGTTCACAAGAGTCTGTGTGTTAAAACAGATATCTAAATACAGAATATACGCAAGCATAGCCAGAAATAGTCGTCCTGTTTTGGCAGACTGGATACACAAGAATTTTGTTTTCCTTTGTACTGACAATACTGTATGCTGAGTAGGGGTGTTTAATACTGGAGGACTTTAGTGGCTACTGAGTCCATTAATGAGGACAGTACTTCACTAACCGATCCTTAACCAATTCACTATTTCTCTGAAGTTTTACCCATGCATGTTGCTCGTACAGTTCACACATTCGATTCACAAATGAAAAGATGGCTTAACCGCAAAAAGAAAGAACATTCAAGGCCGTTTTCCTAGGTGTGTTTCAGCGCATGTGTTTTTTTTTCTCTACTGAGTGAGCACCGTTTTTCAGAAGAGGCAGGAAAAAAGAAGACGCTGCCATCTGGAGGAATTTCTAATAAACTGCAAAATTCGCACAAGTGATCATCCTGTTGTTTGGAACAAAGTCACCGACACAGCCTCTTAAAATCCAATTACCGTGAGTAGAAAATAAAGTGCATTTGTGGCTGTTGTCGGGTGATGATGTCACTTTGGAGGAGTTATTTCTGAAATGAGGCATGCACCTTCAGAGAAAGCTGGTACAGTCAGCACCAATAGTTGTTAAGAAAGTTATGGCCTGAAGACAAATAAACACAAAAGAATGGGTCTTGTGCAATAGGACTATATGTAATATTTTGCATCAAACTACTCAGGTTACCATGCACTTGCAGATTCAACAACATCCCATCTGGAGCAAAAAAGGCAGAGAATAGACGTGTCCTTCCCTGACGTGATCATCACAGCTTCCTATGAAAGCACTTAAACTCTCTTTCCTTTAGTCCTGATAGCAGGGCTAAAAAAAAAACCTTCATCCATAATCTCTCTGTCTCTCTGTAGATCCTTTACACTTATTTTTGTACTTTTGCCGCTCATCGAGCACACAACAGGATTAATCATTGAGTCTTAGAAGTCTCTTTGGGACTGCACTTGCTGCGTCAGCTTTAAGAAAGAGTTTATAGTTCCACAGTTTGACTGACAGTCACCCGTTGTCCTCAGAGTGTAGCCTGCAGAGTGGGATCCAGACAGCCCTCCCGCTCTGGAGACTCGATGTAGTTTGCAGACTCCTGAAGCTTCAGCAGCATGGCCATCTGTGGACACCAGAAGGAAGTATAGAGACAGGGGGAATTAAAGTACAGAGTACAGTAAAAGTTTTATGTCTTCAACAGGAAAATCAGTGAATCAGATCTAGAAAAATAACTGAATTAAGTAAGACTTTTGACAAAAACTGTGGACTAAAGTGATGCAACTGTCTAAGTCATTAGTTTTAAACCTGGGGTCCAGGTTGGGGATGCAATCTGGCACCCTAAAAGGGGCCCCAGAGATCTGCTGTCACTTAGTATAGCATAAGTCAGCAAACACATTCCATACCAGGAGGTCAATGTGGGATAAACAGATGGATAAAGGATTGAGTGATTTAAGAGTCCCTGGATGTTGTGCTGTATTGTTGTGTCTAATAAAATGTTTTTGAACCGTTTACCCGTGTTTTCCATATGGCTACAGAAAACCCTGCACACTATTTTCTCTGCTGCAGTGGTGGCTCTGCATTTACACATCAGATGCAGATCCTTTTCTAGCTTAAATGACCAATTTTTGTGTTACAAAACAGGATCATCTTAAAGTATGTGATTGAGACTTTCTCTGATCTAAAGATCTGAATAGAAATATGAATTCCTCCACACTCACCAGTGGGTCTGATTCCAGTGTGCTGGGTGGAGGTGTCTCTTTTGGGAGCTTCTTGTCCTCACTGGGTGGACCGATGCTGGGGGGAGGTAGATGAAAGAGCCTGGACTGATCCTGCTGGGCGTTGGGCCATGGGAGAGTTCCCCTCACCCACTCCACTGGATCCTCCCATACTGCTTTGTGACCATGGACCTGTGAGAACAATTAAATAAAGAAGAAAACAAACAGAAAAGTGAGTTATTGGAGCTGAATGACAGTTGTTACTGCATATATAAATGTATGTCAGATGAGGAGGATGTCTGTGTGTTTACCTTGATGCCATCTTTGGCTCCCTCCTGCAGGTACGGTATAATGGAGTGGTTCCAGAGGTCGATAAACCACTGCCTGAACTCTGCCACTGATACGGGACATGACAGGAAGAAGCAGGGACCTGAAGGAAGAAGTGAAACTTGCTCTTGATACAGATCTAATTGCTTCTTTGAAGTCAAATTTAAAAACTCAGTTTCACAGACTAGATTTATGTGATGCCGTCTTTTCTCTTTTATCTCTTTTACCTCTATCTTATTTCGGCTTACTGTCTGTTTTTAGCCTTTGTTATTCTTGTAATCTTTTCTTATTTAACATATTAGGCCTTTTATTGATTTTATTATTTTTTCTTGCTCATTTTTGTTATTCTATTTTATCATTACAACTTTTATCATTATTATTTTGTTATTATTTTATTATCATTGTTAATATCTTTTACATTTACTATCCTGTTTTTTGCTTTCAACACCCCTTTTTTTAATTTAATTTCTTTTTCTGACCTTTTTTATGTTACTATTTTTGTCCTCATGGTCTGTCTGGGTTCCTTATGACAATGAAATTGTCATTCAATTCAGAGGCCTTGTTTTAACTGAGCTTTTGTATTTGTTTGTTTTTATTTCCATGTGCTGATGTTCTGTGCTTTATGACTATCTCTCAAAGCACTTTGTAAACTTCTGTTTTTAAAAGTGCTTTAAAAATAAAGTTATTACTAGTTATTATTATTATTATTATTATTATTATTATTATTATTATTATTATTATTATTATTATCTACTTAAAACTATGTTTCTTGTTTTCTGTCTGCTGTTTCTCACCTATAAGGAAGTCTGAAGTGCTGTGTTTCTCCAGAAAAGCATGGAGGTGGTACCAAAGCTGAGGGACCCAGTCTAGTACACGCAGGAGAGCCTGATGTTGTGCTGCATCGTGCTCCGTCTTCTGGTAGGCCTCCACAGCTTTACGGTGCAGGTACCTTGTCAGGAACCCGTTTGCAGGTTCCACGTTATTTGAGAACATCACCATCCTGTGGTTACACATGCGAGAAATATGACATAAACAGTATGAACACTTCTTATCTATTTTCGCAGTTGAAAATTGAGCAGGTTTGGTGAGCATTCTTGAACTTTGGGCTTACCTGAAGCTGAGGTGCAGCCCGTGGTTAGACGACATCTTTACTGGCTGATTGGTAGTTCCAATGATGTATGGACTGAGACATAAACAGAAGAAAGGATTAATTCTACGATATCTCGTTTTGTCTCTTTAAATACTCTGAGTGTCTAAAGATACTAACCATTTATGATACTTGCAGGTGAGGGCCCCATTAACAAGCTCAGTTATAGCTGCTGAGTCGCTGATGTCGTCTATCAAAACAACCAGCGGCAGCTCTCCTCCGCTCTCTCTGTCAATTTGATTGGCTAAATTGGACAGATACAACTGCAGCTCCTGAGAAAACAAAGGATAAAAAGGAAACTTCAGTTTCTTTAAAACCAAGGCCACAAGATAAGTGGCTGATAAAGATCCTCAGTAGTTCTTCACCTTCTGGGTTTGACGATGCATGTTGAAAGTAACAGCGGCACTGCGACCTACGAGGGGCTCATGCTCGGCCTCAGGCGACTCGCTCTGGCTTCGCTGCAGGAGGTAGTGAGCTAGACGCTGAGCAAGGTAAGTCTTTCCTGTCCCGCTTGGCCCAGACAGAACCAGACGTCTGTGCTTCAGCAGCAAGCTGATATAGTGCAGCGTCATCGGCTTTGGAATCAAAGTCTCAAACACCAGTGAGTCAACACATTTCTCTTTGAGACCTGGATAGGGACAGACAATGAAATTTGACGTGATTGTGAGTTACACACCTTCAGCAGTAGTTTGTTCTGTCAGTTTACAACATCACTTACCTTTCAGGGTGACACATATTTGAGCTGAACCACCGCCGAGGCAATGAAAAGGTGAGGTTTGAGGTTTGTCTCCACCGATTACCCTCTGCCCTCCCTGTGTCAGCTGGTACATGTGCAGAGAGTCGCAGGACAGACCCAGACTGGATGCAGGGTCCACTTGAGTTAGGTAGTCCTGATTAAATTAAAGAAAAAAAAAGTTATTTTATGAAACCAGGTGTATACTTTTATTTTCAGAAAGAGGAAAAGTATGTACTCACCTTGAAAGTCTTAGCTATAAGAGAGTCCAGACAGGCCCAGTTTGTCCTCGCACTGATCGTCACTGAGCCCAGGTAGAACTCCTGCTGTTTACTGTCCTGTTACGACGCAGAGAGGGAACAGGCGCTCAGTCTTTTTGATTTTTGGATACATCATTAATATTGTAGCTACTAAAGGAGTTCTTTGTTTACCTCTGTTTGATCCCCAACACGGACCACTACTCGTGCAGACACCTCATCGAGTTGGGAGGTTACACTTAGCGTCTCGACTGGAGACAAGTCTGGAAAAGAGTTGAGGAGAGTTTAGCTATACCCCATTCTGTATTTTTGTTTGTGACATGATTATCAGTGAAATCTTCTTGTTTTTCTCTTACCTGGATCTTTACAATCATTCAGACTGAGGCTGAAGGACTTGGTGAGGGACATGGTCATTGGCTGCCTCAGCGAGGGTCCCAGAAGCGAGGCAAGGCCTGAGGGCTGGGAGGTGGAAGACGTAGGGCCAGAGCCGGGTAGATGCACCTGACTTCCTGTTTTCAAATGGTCATTCTCCGCCTTCAGGTTCTCGACTGTTGACTGGGACACAGGAGGAAAAAAACATTAAATTCAAGTTGCATTAAAGTCAAACTACATTTATACTTCATGCATGTGGATATTAGAAAACAAACCTGCATGTTGTTCATGGCCTCTCTTAGCTGCTCCAGCTGATGTGCAGAGCTCAGAGCCTCTAGTCGGATGTCTGTCAGCTCTCTCTCTTTCACCCAGAGCTCTGAGCGCAACTCTGATACCGCTGTTTCCTCACCGTCACCTTCTTCTGTACTCTCCATGATCCTGGAGGGGTCAGGAAACAACCATCAGAACCGGAGATCTTTGTAAACCACAGGCTTTCTCACTCTTTAGCTGCAGTGACTGTTTGTGTACTCACACAGAAGAAGTGGCAGAGGCTGAAGTTTGAAGAGACGAGGACAGGTTTTCTCCTACTTCTCCGCCCTCGTGAATCATCTTTGGAGAGTTGGGAGCCGAGGAATCAGGGGTGGCAATTTCCTCGATGTCAGAGTATGTTTTGGAGCCTTTCTTGATGCTGAATGCCTTGTTGAAGGAGCTCCTTAGCTACATAGTTGAGAAGGACGAAGCATGGAGGAGACAGACACAAATTAAACTGATGTTCAGATTTTTTACTCTGAGAAAACGGTGTTAGCATTATTAGTTTGACACATGCCAACATGACAGGAGCAGTTTGTCATCTTGGTAAACACTTGTTTGCTTTCTTGTTTACAACAGGAAAGAGACAAGAAGATTTGGAGTTAATCTTTGGAGCTACTTGTTCCCTTGCTTTGGTCTTTATTTTTAAACTCAGCATGACAGGTACAAGTGTTTTCCCCCAAAATTACAAAACAGTCCTTTGCGCTTTCTGTTTTTTTCTGTAAATGGGTCAAACGTGATTGCATATTAGTAGTACCCAGCAGCTGGATGTCTTTGAGTTACTGAGTAAGACGTTTAACTGGAATAAATTATGTAAAAAGAAAGATGGTATTTAATTAGCTCTGATTACAAAAACAAACAAATTAAGGACTCCACTTTTTATGATACATCATGTCTGCTGATTGCCTCTCTATCTAAATCACAGTCCACTGTTAATCTGGGAGGTCAATGAGCAGAGATGGAGGGTACTTGACGGTTGTGTTGATAGTCTATTATGCTGTATGATAGAAAATTACAGAGTCTAAATTGGTACACAATAACTGAACTCACCTCAAAGACCTACAAATAAAAATAGCACAACACAGGAGAGGGAGAGGCTGGTCATACTCGCTTTTGTCGGGTTGTGTATCTACATGATGTTACTCTGAGCGCAAACTGACACCAATCTGAGAGAGTAAAAGATCAGTTCACATGCAGGGTGCGTTCTTACCCAGCTCTTTTTCTTCTTCTTCTTTGCATCTACGTCCTTCAAGCTGCCCATACTCGACATGCTAGTCAGGCTGTTGAGGCTGGAGATGCTCTCACACGAGTTCTGACGTCGTATTTGTAGATCTGGTAAAACATGACACCCAGCGTCAAAACAGGTGAACTTACAGAGACAAAGAGGTGGATAGAATGATCAACAGGCCACCCCTCAAACCTTTCGTGTTGTCTGGGTTGTTTAGAGCTCCGTGTATGACAGCGTGGGCTTCTTCGTTCTTGCTCCTCAGAGCTTCGATGGTCTCCCTCAGCTCGACCAGCTCAGAGTCCTGCGCAAGAATGTCAAAAAGTCAGATTACAAATTTAAGAAAAATGTTGCAGCTTTTCACTACAACTAACTTTGAAAGAAACAACATTGAACTTTTAAACATTCAGGAGTTGTTTTGTTTTCAGTTGACTCCATTATAAATAAACGAGGCCCTTAAAAATGGGTCAGCACAGAAAATGTGTTTCAGTAAAACATGACGAAGGAAACTAAATACGTAAATGAACTATTAATAGTGATGTTTTTATCTACGTATATAGAACGATCACAAATCTTTCATAACACTACAATGTTATGCACACATATTATTTTAAATCATTTCTATGGCTCAGTCTCAGAGAATGGAGATAAATCCTCATATTAAACATGAATGGTTGAGTTATGAGTTTCAGAGTTGAGTTTCTGATTTTTGTCCTACTTTGAAATATTCAGAACAAACATTGCAACATTTTAATATAATTTGGAGACAATAGGTGTTTTTATCTACCACTAAAACTTCAACCAACATTAGAAACTTCAACTCTCTCGGATGTTAATGGTTCACAAGGACAAGGGAAACAAGGGAACCTCTCTGTGCTGCTTGTTGTGTGTTCAAGTCGATTGCACTCCTCCCTAAATGGATCTGCCCGACCCGTCTCCTCAAAGTTAAAAAGCCCATGCTCCAGGCTGAGCTGCACAGGTCAGTGCGCTGGCACTGACAACAAAGACTTTTACTGGAGGGTCTAGACGAGCCTTTCAGAGGGAGCAGCAAGGCATGAAGCGCCGAGAGAGACTCCTCTCATTTTTACACACACTGAACACCACCTCCAGCCCTGATCAATTCTCTCACACCAACGCAGATACAAAGGCTGAAGAATGCTGGAATGTGCTGTTTGGTGTGAGCGCACGTGCAAACTGTTTGCACTTTGAGGCACTAAGTAACCCTGAGGGACAGAGCCCGGGCCTCTAACCTACATTTAGCTTCTTTTTTGCAGGCTGCGATCAAAGTCACCTCGCTGTGTTTGCACCATAACTGCTCTTGGCTGCCTGCCTCGAGTAAAAAGAGTCTATTTCTGTTATATCAAACTGAACAACGCCGAAATTCCTTTGGTCCACAGAAGTATGATCAGCTTAGTTAAAATCAGAGGGTGTAGTATCTGTGTAATAACAAGTGTCAAAAGATGGGTTAAGATATGTTTGAATTGGTTTTGTTAAATTCATTTGTTTCATGCTTTTTTGTTCTTTTTCACATGGTCCTGAGTTGCATAAGTAAAATATATGATGTGAATAAATGATACGTGTTTGCAATGTTACCTTCTGCTCATGGCTCACTGACAGACTTTGGAGCCGAGTTGTCATCAGTGCCAGACTCTGCTCGAAGGCGGCTACCAGATTTGCCTATTCGAAAAATGGAAGAAAAAAGCAACACATATGAAAACAGCTTTACATAACAGATTTATCAGAAACATTTAACGAACACCGACATGGACTTTCATGGCGGTAAAACATATTTTAGACACAGAAAGAGTATTGAAAGTCTGTAATTTTCTCTCTGAATAACACATAAGGGCTGAACAGGATGTCCCCAGGTGGAAAAACAACCTCCTCCCTAAATTCTCCCCCTCACATACTTGCCCAATTTAGACGCCAACAGGAAGGGAATTGACTCTCCCTTTCCCTTTATAGAGTACATTATTACAGTAAAATAATGGATTCAGCTGCGCCATTAATCCAGCACCTAATCCTGTTGTGATCCAGACATCTGTTTTGCATATTCACTGTCCCCCACATAATAATAATAAGGTCAAACAGTATGAATCCCTGCAGGGGGGGACAGATTTGCACACACATACATGAAGACAAAGGAAACACTTGATTGATGCGTGCTGCATGAAGCCATGAATATTGCCTGCACTGTACTGTTGCACTTGGACCAGTGGGAGTGCTGACAGAGTGGTGTTACAGGAACAACCTTGCAGAATAAAGGGAAGGGCATGGTACCTGCATGAGCATGAGCGTGAGAGTGAGCATGAATACGTGTGTGTGGCTCAGGGAGAGGTTCAGTAGGAGGTTAACATTATTCATGTCTTAACACTGATGAGAACTGTGCTGAGGCTGCACAGAAATGATGTATGACTGGCATGCCACGGTTTAATATTAATCTCTCTGAGGGTTTCTCTTACAGTTTGAAAGAAGGGCACATTCCTCACCTTGTGTGAAAATATAGGGTTCGTAGAGGCAGGGAGAGAGAGTACGGGCATTTTTATTAATGCAACCAATCCAATCAAAAGACCCACAACAGTAAAGTATTAGTCTGTTGCATTTTAGCCAGCCTCAGACTTCAATATTTGCATAGTGATAAATCAAAATAACTGATTAATTTTCTATGATTGGAAGGAGCAATAGTAGAAAAGTCTGACACAGTTAGCAAGTGCGAGAGTCCAGCCTATCAAGTAGTTTTGAAATGTGTTCAATCTGTTGTGATAATCTATTTGGAGAAGTATAAAGTATTAGAGGTTATGGGAAAAGGAATTGTTGTGTTTGTTTTTTTCATGATTAGAGAAAATCGAAAAAGCAATAAACAAGCTTCAAATTAATAAGTCAATCTGCTGGTTTTTTTTTGTTTGTTTGTTTCTACCAGAAGCAGCAAAAAGCCAAAAAGGAAAAAAATGTACGCAAAAAATGTTGGCGACTCTCTGACATTGTTCTTTTCTTTAAGCCTTGGACTGCTTACTCAACACTCAGGGGTCTCTGTGGGTATCAGTTACCCTTGCCTCAGGCTAGATGTCATGTTGAGCTGGACAGTTTATCAAGATGAGTGACATGAAATGGGGTTTTAATAGGAGGGAGGAACCATTACAAATAAATCGCCTGAAGGGAAAAGCTAGAAATTGGAGATGGCAGGTGATTGATTTTACTATGTTTTGGATTTTTTTTTTTTTACCTCTAAGTAAATGGAGGGACATGTTACAAAATCTAAGGACTATTCCCTAATATATTGAGCCAATTTTTCTTTTTTCTTTTTTTTTTTTTTTTTGAGAAAATCTCTGACTTATACAAAAGAAAGCTTTTCACACATGAGCTCTGTCATATGAATGAATGAGTGATAAGTGAGTGGGCTTTGATTACGTACATTTGCAGTCAGCTGAGTCGTCAGGTTGGAAACCTTCTCCTGGGATGATTCCAGCTCCCTCCTCAGCTTACGGATTTGCTGCAAAAAAACACAACATAGGTTTTTAAAAAATTCAGAAAATACCAGGTTAGTAGAGCTGACATCGATTGATATTACACCAGCAACATATCAAGAGGATGTTGACCATGAAGTTAACAATAGACGTCTTCTGTCACAGACAATTGGGATGAGAGTGATGGATCAAGGTGAGCTGTCATGAGATGGAGAGGACAAAAGCGCCGGAAAGAAGACACTTACCTCTCCTTGAATCCTTTCCTCAGCCTTTGGAAGCAGGAGGAGGAAAAGTCAAGATGTTAGAAGAGACGAAAGGAGAGGACAGGCAAGGAAAGGAGACTAAGAAGGCATTTGGTAGCTAGAGTTAGAGAGTTTTGCCTCTTGTGTGCAGCTTTTTAAGAGTAAAGAAGAATCACTGCAAAAACACATTAATACACACCATATCACATATACTGTAGAGCTGTAGCTACCTGAGTCTGCATGCCGCCCACACTCACCGATGAGTAGTTTGACGAAGCATTGGATGCCAGGGAAAGTACAGATCCATGGACTGAAAAAGACAAAATTAGAGAAAAGCAAACCAGTAAGAGTCTCAATTAGAAACACGGAGATGAGGAGAAGTATGTAAAGATGAGGAAAACTTTCAGGGGCTCACCCTCATCCACCTCTTTGTCTCTGAAGGAACCTGAACGAACCATTCCCATGCTGCGGGGACGGTCAGCCAGTGACAGAGTGCTGCCTAGTGGAGAAGCTCCAAACAGCTCCATAGAGACATCATGTGTCGGGATGCTGTTGGATCGGGTCATTCTTGGAGGTCCACCAACTGGACTGGGTACTACAAAGAAACCAGAAGTGTTTGATATGATTAATTTGCCTGTTTTATACATGGACTGACATAAATACAGAAAAAGACCAGTGAACATTACAGCATACTCACCCACACTGGTCTTGGAGGTTCGGGGTAGGGAGGTGGGTGAGGACAGCAGTGGGAGAGTGAGTGAGTCAGTCATACTAAGGATACTATGGGAGTGTCTCCTTTCCCCTTTTTCCTTCCCTTCATCCTCAACCTGGGAGGCACCGCTGAAACTACACAGACAGAAAACAGAGTCAGTGACTGGTCATCATGGAAAAAGTGACAGTACAGCTGGCACAAACAGTCTGCGCCATAAGACAACACACTGTTATTTTAATCATAAGCAGATATGACAGTCTGTTTCTGTTACTGCTCATGTTTAACAAAGAGAAGAAGAAGAAGAACTTCCAACTGCACACAATTTAGTTTTCAAACTAGAAACATATCTAAAATTTACATGAAAGTATATAAGTTTGCTGTTAACTGTTTACTAAATGTTAATATACTGTTATGAATGCTGCAGGGGAATTTTTATACAGAAAACAACATCTTTCCATGAAAAAAAAAAATGTTCCCAGGAATCCACAATGAGTCAATTTTGAGAGCTTAAGTCTTGCTTTTTCTAGTACAATTGACAGGAAAATTGGGGATTAACAAATCTGTCACTCACTGGCAAAATCTTATCAATGGGATCTCTGTACTTGTGTTATTAATGAACTCCAGCCAAATTGCATCAAACTATCAGTGCCTGAAAATCTCGTTAATAAGGGTGTGTTTCGCATGTGTGTGTCCACTTACCTCAAACCTTTCTTTGGCAGCGTGTTTCTGTCTCTGTGAGAGCTGTGGAGATTAAACAAAGTCATTATTTAACAACTGCTGCAGGGAGTTATTAGACTCTCAAGAACAGGCAGCAGGCACAAAGAGGTACAGAACGACTGTCAGCCAGCTGGTGTCAGGCCGTAATTATGACTTCAGTCACTGGGGCCTGTACAGCACTGATAATAGGCCTGTAATAATAACAGCCCAGAAACCCATCAGTCTGTGAGGGTGCGTGCATATGGTTGGCCGTACTTGGGAGTACGCAATGTAGATGCTATTTTTAGCTCTTTCATTAATTTGTTTTTGTGTAGGTGTGTGTGTGTGTTTGTTCAGCAAATCATACATTTGTATAAGCATCTCATGTGCAAAAGAATGTAGTCCATGACAAAAAGGTTAAAGACATTTAACTGTGATTTTCTTGTGCAGTTTCACAACTGACCAGTAGGTGGAGCTATATACACTATTACAAAACTACCAAGACAATACTTGCCCCATGCATAAAGCTGGTGGAGTTAGAGTTGCTTTAAATGATGTGCAAATATACAGAAGTGACTCCCACCTGTCGATAAGAGACATTGAGATTTTGCTTCCAGAGCTCCAGCTTGCAGGAGGGCCTCTGTCTTCTTTCCTATCTTTGTCTCGAGACTCTAAGGTGGTGTAGCCTCGCACCAAGCTCTCCCTTTCTTTCTCCTTTGGCTCCGGGGCCAGACTCATATGCAGCGGAAGGGACTCCAAACTGCGATGAAGCCCAGAAAGGCGAGGGTAGAGAAGAGGAGAAGTACTTCCTGCGTTCACTTCAACTCCCAGAGAGGAGACCTGCCTGGGTCCCAAACTGGTGCCAGAGGTGGAGAAGCAGGCAGAGGAGTTCACATTAAGCACAGGGGCAGGGCTCGGGGTCAGGCAGGGACCAGCAGAGCTGGCTAAGTCCTGGAGCTTAGAGTAGGGAGGGATCTTGGGTGGGAGGGAGTCATGAACTCCTACATCTAGGCTGTTGGAGTTCAACTTGTCCAGTTGGACCATAGATGGAGGTTTAGCCAGACTGCGCACCCCAGATAACCTGCAGTCAAAGAAAGAAGAGGAGCAAAGATGGAACAAATGCACATTCATGATTTGGATGTCTAAGTGTTGAGAAGATAGAAGAGAAGGTCTGTTTAGTGTTACAGTATAAAACCTGGTACCTGTGTGTGTTGGGTGAGGTCAGATCCATGCTCTTGACACTGCTTGGTGGTCTCAGCCCCTGCAGCTTTCCTCCGTTCTCAGAGGGGGTCTGGGCAGGGCTGCCCTTCAGTGACCCGCCTCCACACTCAGAGTCGGATACCACAGATTTAGTTCTGGCTCTCTCTTTCTCTTTCTCCCTGTCTGTTAGGTTGACAGGACTGGGACTTGGGATCCCACGACCGCCTGCCTTGCTCAACCCTGATCCAGAACCATGTCCTGAGGAGGGCTCTTTGAGTCTCGAGCCCTGAGGTGTTGTTGTGGAGGGTTTGATCAGCCCTGAGCCTGCGTCCATGGTGGTGCTCACAGGGCGGGCTGAGCTCGGTCTTGTCAAAGTGAGGGTGCTGGTTTTAGCAGGGCGAGGCAGAGAGCGGTACTGAAGAGATGTCCTGGCATTAGGAGATAGAAAACCGCTCTGGTCGCTGTTAGAAACATCCAGACTTGTCTTACGTCCTCCACCGCCACCACCACCAGACACTGGTTTGACAGGAATACCAGAGGTTTTGGCTGTCTTCCCCACAGCTGCAGAGTTGCAGGGTATGCCGCTGCCACCTGTACTGGTGACAGTGGGTGTGCTGGAGTTGTTTGTGCCATTAACCGTGTTGGGCTTCTTGAAGCCAAAGTTTCCACCAGTTGAGGGCCTGACCAGGCCAGACGGAGGTTTACGCTGCTCACCAGCACTGGTGCCATTTCTGTGCTCTTTACCCGCATCAGAAGAGGAGCGCTGTAGACCAGAGGACTTTACTGCCATCCTAGATTTATCCATCGGCTTTCCATCTGACTTCACTGAACCTAAGGAGATGAGAGGAAGAGGAAAAATCCCTGATGAGCAGTCTGAGGAGTTTAAAGCCTGAACAGTCTCTGCTGGTGAGTGAGACTAACCAAGCCATATTAGGACATCATGTCTTATCCGAAAACACCTACAAGGTCTGACTGTCTGCTGATAAAACCAAATCCTTGTCTGTGCAGACAGACAGTGCGTAGACCAGACTCTCAGCCAGCCACACACGCACACAAATGTACACACACACACTGTTATCACGCAGTTACTCCTCTTTTCCATCCTGATGAACTAAAACTGTTTTCTCTGGCTTTCCAGTAAGTACATGTCTGCGGGTCACAGCTACAGACTTCTCAGATTAGCATGTCCTGCACGTGGAAAACTAGAGTTCACACTCACAGGAGTGAGTCTGTGAGCGCAAAAACTGCATGAAACACCCGGAAAAACTACGTTTCTCTACAGTTTGGAAAAAGTGGTGGAGTGAGAGACAATCAAAAAGGGGAAATTATGTGAGTCTGTCCCAAAATCCCAGTTCAAGTAGCTTGTTTGGAAGTTATTATGAGAAAATAACACTCTATTAGACGCATGTGCAATAAATGCACCACCCACACAAGTGGAGTCCACTCTGCACACACTCTTAATTTGTATCTAATGGGAGTTGTTATGGAAGGTTTATATACAAGGTATTAACAGAGTCAAAGAACTGCTGTTCAATGAGACCCACCGGCGTGCTGCCCTGGGACATCTGGAGTCACTTAAGGGTTTTTGTAAACCCACAAAAGACACATAAGCACACATAGGGCCAGACATACAGTATATACCACACACATTCACAATCCCTAGTGATGGGATCTTATAGGAATGTGACACTGACAGCACATTACACTTGCACTTCTTTTGTAAATGTGAAAATTGGGTTTACATGTCAAGTCATAAACTCAATCCATCGTGAAACCACATTGTCGCATGTTCCAAGAACTCTTTAGGCTGCAGAAACACACACTGCTGGCGGTGACAAACACACACTCATGCACTAATAGAATCCAGGCGTGTAAATTAATTCTGACATGAACGAAGCCTGATTTATTGAAACTGGCTGTGGACACTGTGGGGCTCACAGTGAGACGATGTGAGTAGAAGAGATTTTAAATTGATACACGTCTCCACACGAGAGGCCTACATGTCAGCAGAAATAGAGATCTGAACACACAGACAGACAGACAAACTGTGTTCATGAGTTATCTAGATCACAACATCTCCAGATGCAGGCTTATTTATGCTCTCATTATTTTAGTCCTTTTAGGTCTAACTAACTGTCGCAAAGATCACTAATACTTAACTTCACAATGCCCTCATTTCTTCTATCTAGAAACCCATCAGTTTCTGGATCCACTTATTCTTGCAGTGATTTAGAAACAGTACTCGTGTCCATGATGTGTAAATGTGTAGCACTTGTTGACACAGGTGGCTCCAAGCATCTGCAGTGTATGTTAGAGTAAGTGCGTGTGACAGAGAGGACAAAAAAGGGGGAAGCACATGACCAGTCAGCAGCTTTTCACTCTGACAGGACAATAAATGGGAAGAAACAGGAACAACACCTGCACTGTTTTTTTCTTCTTCTTTTACACCAAATCATAAAATTAATTCTGCAGTCCGTGTTTGTGTGAACACAAAGAGTTCCAAAAACAAACTCTCTGTATCACCTCTGTCTATGAGTACAATGTAGAAGGGATACCCTGGCTTTAAAAAGGTTGGAAACATCTGCTCCAAGATTCAAACAAATAAAGGTTTAATAATTTGGAAAAAATTATCACCCCTTGTTGAGCTCAATTGTAAGAAGTCGTAAAAGTATGCCTAGTAGGTAAAATATTTCCAGTGGAGAGTGAAGACTGAGGAATTTACTGTTCACTAAATCTGTTTTTGTTTGGAGAAGACAATAAAACCCAGACCTGAACCAAAGAAAATACATTTATTAGAATTAAAATGACTGCTTATTACTTACTGACAGGGAAAACAGCATGTGTGTTAGTTATTGCTTCTTTGGAAAATTGGGTTTGACAACATTAACCCCATCCTTCAAAACTTAGACAGTGTGTTTTCCTAGTTTCTCATTTTTAAACAAGTTGATAAGTTATGCAACAGTTACCCTTAGAACAGAGTGCACCAATGTTCAGTACAAGCAGGATATACTGTAGACTGAGTATCAATCATGTTAGTGTGTATCCCCATCTCACACTAGCTGTGTCTCCTGCAATGCCACAAACATGCAGACACAAAGGCATCCAAATGAGACACAAACACACGCAAAATCCTACAAAACCTCAGGGATAAACTGAGCTCGAGGATGAGCGACAAAGACATCTTTCTATCTGATCATGTCTGCATGCTTTGCTCATAGATCACAGTCTGATCTGACACTGTTTTTCTGACATATCTGTCATTGTAACAGCTGGCAGCGCAAACAATGAAGTCCCACTGAGAGACAACTGTTTACACAGACTCTACCTATCTAGACTGGCAGACATCACATTATCTAATATCCTGTTGATTGGGTTGTCTATATGCAAGTGTGTGTGCGCGTACATTAACGTTACACAGATGGTGTGCCTAAAAGACAGCTGCACAATCCCCTCTATTGTGTCCTCTTTGTGTGTGAGTGAGAGTGTGTTTGCGTATTAAGTGTGAGGGGTGACCCTCTGTTTGGATGTGTCTGCACTCACAACAACACACAAAATTAGATACACACACTATTACAAACACACACTGTCTCTGGTCCAGTTGTTCCTGGGTACAAGGCCTTCATTTAAGTGCTATAAATTCTCTCTGTCCGGCACTAAAATAAAGCTTGGATAGGAAAGGCTGGACCAATAGGAGGGATAGAAAGACAGTGTTAGTCAGTGTCTGTGTGTAGAATACGTGTGTCTGTGAGTGTGTGTGTGTGGTTGGCTGGCAGGAAGGGAGTGGGTGTTGATGGGCGTTTGATACATGGCACCACTTTCTAAAAGCCTGGAGGGTGGGCTGCAGCTGTGGGTGAATGTGTGGGATGAAGACAGAGAGTGCGTCTGTGACTGTGTGGGTGCAAGGCTGCCAAGTGGAGGGGAATATTAAAAAGACAGCCAAAGAAATGTGTCAGTGTGCTCAGGTTATGAAACCATTTCGAGAGCAGCTTTATATATGACATCCCTCTGTGCATGTGTGTGCGTGAGGTACTTCACTCACCTGCCACTTTCAGCCCACTCTGAGATGTGTGTGTGATCGGGGATGTGACTCCCACAGGTGGGTTTCTTCCTCTCTTCAGTGCGTTTCCATGAGCCAGGGTCTGAGGTTTCTTAAGTTCACCCTTTCCTCCTTCCAGCCCCTCCCCGTGCGTACGAGTCTTCTTCCATTTATTGGCAGACTCGGACTTGAGACTTCCTGTATCGTAGATGCCGCTGCCCTGGCTCTTACGGCTGGGTTTGGTGTCGTCGGTGTCCCAGGACAGACCACTCTCCACAAGAGATCTTTTCTCTGCGTCTGTGCGCATCTACAAAAAAACACAGAGACATTTAGAAACACTTGAGTGGACTGACAAAGATCAGTGCAAAAACACAGCATTGAAATACTGATAAACAATCAATAAACACTAAAACACACCACCTTGATCGTACATGAAATCTTCCAATGGACTTAAATGTCCAGTTAGAAAATTGGAACAGTTCCTGCACAATCAAATCATTCTTAAAAATAGCTTCATTTGCATAATTCTGATCAAAATCCATGCAGCGCCTGCTCTGCAAAGACTGTGACTGTTCTAAAATACACCTCTAGGTGCTACTTGGACACATCATCAGTGATGAACCTGAGGTCATTGGGTGTTTCGGGTCTTTGATCATCAAACACCCTCGCCCAGGCGACCCAGTCAGGGGTGATCAGCCCCAGACTTGAGTCCAAGTGGCCCGCTACTCCAAGGATCTCCCCTCCGGATCCACAGCCATCTTGAGCCTTTCTCTGCAGCCTCTGTGATGTTCTTGATGGCTCTTTTGCACAGCTGACCTTTAACTTCAAGGAGTTTGAAGGTTCGGTGGAGTGACAGGCCAGCAAAACCCCAGCACCCCACCTCAACTGGATCGCATCGGGCTTTCCAGCCTTGACTAATTATTTTGTCACATAAGTCTTCACCTAGATTTGTTAGAGTGTAAATCTTGACAGCTTCAAAGCTCATAAGTCTGATTTACAGTTTGTCAATGACAGCTTGAAGAAAAGTTGACCGTATATGGTTTAAGCATTCGGAAAAGAGTTGTTAGAGGATCTCTGTTTGGATAGTTTTGAAAATTTACAATTGTAGTCACTTCTTTCAAACAAGAAAATCCTTGAAAAGGAAAAGATGCAGATGCATTTTGGGATGGAAAAACGATGGGATGTGCTCCATCCATGTTAAGTCCATCTCACCACAATATCGTGACTTGGAATACTAATACTCTAGTTTCCTTTTGTTTGACTGTTTCCTGACATCCTGCAACACTATCTTTGTTACAAAGTTTTGGCACAGGCGTGAATGATTCAACTGAACAACTCACTGGATGATTTTTGCCAAAAATCAACATGATCTTAGCTTAACTGGGTTAGAGATTGAGAAACTTGATGAGGTGTGTTGATTTTGAGAGAGCTTTAGACTCATTTCGATACTCTCTAAGCAGAAAAAAAAACACATCCAGCCCAGTCATAACTCATGTCTCACTTCAGTCTGAATCCTACTGTTTGCTCTGTTTGAACACTTAAAAATAAACCTGCACACCGACAGCCCACTGATGCAAAATAATAGATGAGGTCAATCGAATATTCTGGCAGAGGGAAAGTCCAAACATAATCCAATCAGGGGAGATGTCAATTGTTAAACTGAAATAAATGTGAGGTCACTGTTGGGTGTTTTGTGTGCCCATATTCTGAAAACACACAACGTACAACCTCTATATAAGTGTGTGTGTGTGTGTGTGTGTGTGTGTGTGTGTGTGTTTACTGAAGTCTGCAAAAGGAGGAAATCACTTGTTTTCACTCGTCAGATTATTCAACCCCCTGTAATGGTTACACAAGGCATCTGGAGGTGTGTGAATATGAAGCTGTGTGTGTGAGTGAGTGTGTGTCAGTTCAGGACACTGCACCAAGAGGTTCTCATGAAGACTCATATGCTGAATTCCTTTTTTATTAAAACCAATAGACCCCATAGGGAGGTTCACATCACATGAGGAGGAGTCATGCATGAGTGGAGGTGCATGAGCAGCACACGTGTGTTTGTGTGTGTCTGTGTGTGTCCTGTCTGAACAGACCTTGTTGATAAAACATTGTCATTTCCTCACACACATTTTCTGATTATTGAAACAGGAGGGTAGATCCACATCTGTTCAGATAGCTGTGGCAAAACATGGATAACAACACAAACAGACAGACGGATGGACAGACAGACAGACTGACGGACTGAAAGGTGATGGGTAACAGGGTGTGTTGAATATAATGTTTGGTTCGTCTCAATGCAGAAAAGAGAAAATCCAGTCCCACTTTCACGACATCCGGCTTTAATTCTCTCCCTCTGCCATGTCTTCTTTGTGCCCCCTTTCTTCACCCACCTCTCCTCCACCCTCATATCCTTGTTAAGTATGTTATATAATTATATGTGGGAGATGAGGAGGAGGAGGAGAGGATGTTAAGTCAGGGTTGTCTTTGAGGAAATTAAAAATCAACAGGAGCAGAAAGGGAAACGTACGAGGAAGGATGCAGAGGAGGGAGCAGACAAAGAAAAAGCCCCAGGACACAAAGAAAAGGAGAAACATCAGCTGAGAGAGGCAGGGAAAAGGGAGCCATGTGTAAGATACAGTGTGGGGTGCATGATGATGTGATAGTTAGTTGCTATGGCAATGATGCCATAGGGGGGTAATGGTTGCTATGACTCCTAAAAAAAAGGCGTGGAGGGGAGGTGTCCCGGTTCTTATGGCTCGATGGCCCGGATGCAGGACTGCAGATGGCCCTGTGTGCATTTGTTTGTGTGTGAGTGTGTGTGTGTGTGTGTTTCTGCATGTGTGTGTGTGTGTGGGTGAGTGCAGATGGCCATGTTCTAGACCTTCCCTTTAGTATACGTGAGCAGACAAAGACCAGCACTCTCAGCATCCCTGCGCCACGGTTGCTATGGTTACACTGATTCCCGCTCATGTTGTCTCTCTTCCTCAAAAATCCCTCTACATTAGTCACATTAACCACATTGCGGAGGTGTGACCTATATCAGACACTCAGGAAAAACACACACAGATACACACAGTGTCTGGAACCCTTTCAGCTACAGATGGATCTAAAAGAACCTCAAGCAGAGCTGCAGACAGGATTCTAAAAAGCACCGAGGTCACAAGTCTAAAACCTCCTGTCCCACGAGACAGAAAAATCAAAGCATCAAAACAGATTACTGAGACCAGGGCAAAGAGTAATTGACCGACTTAAATGAATTATGCAAAAGAAAGAGAATCTCTAGTGCTTCAAACTCAGTTAAACTACTTATACAACTGAATCAGGGGGGTGAAATCCTGCAAGAAATGTAAACTAGGGCTAAAATGATTTAGTTTGTTCGACAGGCAAGTGTGGACTTAAAACTGGACCGATAGGGCGTCTTGTTGAACACTGCGGCCATCCTCTCTATGAAGTGTGTGTTGCTTTGACATTGATCGCTGCAGATGTGATAAATAATACGGATGTGCATGGAATACTTAATCAGGCTTTGTCTCGGAGTCCTGAGTCTTGTTGCCGGTTGTGTGTACTCCATTGTGAATCTGTGTGTTTAGTGCAAACTGACAAAGCCTATGACACACAATCCAACACCTCATCAATACCTATACTGGATTAACGGCTTAATCAATACTGCTGTAATCAACATACTGCTAATCCATAAATCAAACAGGATTTTCTCTGTGTGTGTGAGAGAGAATACTGTGTGTTACTTACCACCACAGCTGAGTTTCTGCGGGAGCCAATGGGAGTGGTAGGGAGGGAGTTGAGAGTGGGACTGGTGTTGAACTCTTCAGAGCTGAGGTTGTCTGAGCCGTCGCTCAGGCCGCTGCTGATGGAACTGCTCTCATCCCAACTAAAAAAAACAATTGCAAAGGATGAAAGGTTAGATCATGTTCAACATATACAGCAGGGACTTTTAAATTACAGTCCACAAACTCTCTAGGATACTATACACCCACACTAGCACCCGGAAATAGTGTGAACTTTCGGAAACTGTTTGCAGCTGTGGATTCAGGTGAAACCATCACACCTGACATTATGTTTAAGTTTGTTTACAAATCAGCAGAAATATCTAAAAGGGTAGCAAATGCAAAAGGCGAAAGAAAATCTATTCAAAGGTTAAAGCAGTGTGTGTCTGGGGATGTTGATGGCCCAGCGGTTGAAGCACGCCCCATAAACAGAGGCTATAGTCCATGCGGATCAGCGGTTGCTGGTTTGACTCCTGGCCATGACCCTGTGCTACATGTATTTCCCCACTCTCTGGTCCACATTAGCTGTTCTCTTCAGTTGTCCTATTTAGTAAAAGTAAATATGCCCCTGAATGTATATTTAAAACAGTGTGTGCTGCTTTCACAAAGTAAGTGAATAAGATAGAAATTTCTAAAGTATAAAGATGCCAGTGATTTCAAAATGACATTTACTGACTCTATAGTTCGTTATGAGAAAAACATGTATTCTCAGTATTTACTTATTGATAGAGTTATGCTGAAAGTTAAAAATAATCAAATTCAAAGCTCTACATGTTTCCAGTGAGCAGTCTTTGAGATCACAAGATGGATATGTAGGAGTATTCTCAGAGTTGGAAACACTATCATTGATGCCGTTTCGTCAGTCTTATAACATCTTATCTGGATCAAATGCAAGATTGTCTTCAGACACATTGTATTTGCTTTGCTCTCATCCTCATTTCACAAACTGATCAAATGTTCTGGTATTATTATTTAAAGCTCCAATGCGATCAACATCCGCCTATCTGAAAATGTCCTTGATCAAGATACCAAACTCTTTCAGCTTCAGAAGGCTTGAAGATCATACTTTGTTTTCCAGCACAGATCCCTCGCCCCTCATTTATGACCACAAGCTCTCAAATCAAAGAAATCTGACCAAAAACAATCTGCAACCGTCAGATATCTCCATGAAGTTATGCACAGTATGAACTATCAAATCTGGGTTACACCAGCGCCTGGTTTACTCGGCTCCATGTCCTCCTCTTTGTTTTTTTGATTAAAAATGAATTGACCTCAATTAATGCTGCCCACTCTGTATAACTAACATTCACACTTCGTGAGCTGCAAACTCTTGGCAAAGTGAAATCTGGAGCACTCTCGACAATATCTCAACCCACACACACAGAAATAGAACTGAAGTACATATACACTGTTGCATTCGCCCACAAGTGCTCGCTGGAGGGGAGTCAGCGCCAGGACTGTGAAGTCTGTTCGCTCGGCACACATCTGCTTACACATTTTTTCTACCTCCAGAAGCAAGTGTTCTGACAGTTCTGGTATAAACAGGTAGAAGAAACAAGGGTTACCTGTTTGCATCTTAAACAAAAACATAACCGACTCGTGAAAGTGGCCAGACATCTGTGGTGTTTGATCCATCTTCCTTAGGCATCGCTTTTCTGTCATACTTTCTGTCTAGCAGGTGGAATCAATAACACGCACTTGCTATACCGGACTATTTTAAAGGTCTCTCTCTGATAAAATCTCTTCTTAAGAAATAAATGACTCAAATTTGATCGGACTCAGTGACTTCTAGGAATGGGGGGTGGGTGCGGCACATCTCAGAGGTGGTCTTGAGTATGTTGGTGTGTATCCACATGTGCCATAAAACATTAAGTAGGTCACAATCAGGAGGTTAGGGGGTTGGTTTCTCTCATTGGGGTCAATAGGTTGCACTGATATTATAGCATATAGTACAACAAGTCAAGAGGGCGGGGCTTGCCTAATTAGGTCATGTATACTGTGTCAAAGGGGAGGATGGAAGGAGAGAAAGCGGTGTTTGGCCTTCCGGATGGGTGCCTGTGTGGGTCACACTGTACCCTGGGGGGCATGGCGGCGAGGATCAGGGGGAGAGGGGTTGAAGGGAAAGCCCTCCCTGTCTCGCCTGTGGATATACAGACTGAAAAAAAAAGAGCAGACGAGATTTTATGTCTGAAGTGGCTGTCATGCTGCCTTGTCTGTATGCCAGAGTAGGATTAGGGGCAAATTCAAGATTGGGCGAGACATGTTCAGAGAGCAGACAAGCATTTTCTGTCACCAAAACACACAAAAGAATATTAACATAACGAGCTCCATGGAAGGACTGGTGAATATCACTTGATTTAGAATATTTGAGATCCATTGTGATCATTTAATTCTCATTTTAATTTCATATTCATGTTTTAAAATTTTCCAAGAAATGTGATATTTGCATCAACCAGATATGATTGATTTGTGGAAAAATATTAAATTTAGAAACTGAATAAGAGAACAATTTTTCTAGTTCTCTTAAAACCAAGCTTATGGTCCTGTCTAAACCAGATTTCTCGTTCTCTGTTACTAAATCGTTTCAATGAACTATCTAACAAAAGCAGTCTATTTGAACCTGATACTTCTGCCTGTTTTGTTCATCCTTCATGAACAAACTCTTTGCTGCTGGGAAATCTCTTCTTGGGAGACAGCTTTGTGTTGATATCAGCATCTTCCTGAAGAAACACCCTCCTTTTCACTTCTTGTAATTCACTTCAGAGCTGTCTGGGTGCTCACTACCGCCGCTTTTGTGGATGATAACGCTCTCTGATGAATAATTCAGATCTGATAGGAAGCCAAAATAACACCCTCTCTGCTGGTTTTGATGTCACTGAGCTGACAGATGTGAAAACAGAAAGCCACAGAGGAGGAAGGTGGGGTCAGGGGTTATCCATGACAGACAGCACAAAGGTGAATCATCAAGGATCCCATGTATTAATATTAGAAAAGGTGTACAGCTTTATACTGTAACTATAAAAACTCTTGTATCTCTTGTTTTCATCCTGTTGATGAGATTCTTTTAACTGATGCAGTTTCCTCATGTGTAGATCATTAGCATAAGTCTCAACTGTCGACTGATTGGTCGACACATGCTAGGTCGACTAAAATTTTGATTGGTTGACTCGATCTTTTTTCCGCGTCAATTTACAGTCCATGGTTAATTTCATTAGGAGGAACGTACCAAGTAATAATGGGGGTGTTTTCAGAGCACCCCCGTTTCACAGGTAACAGCCTGTCTCAGTTTTCACCATTTTGGAATCGCCCAACCCATTGGAGACCTGCTGAAGACAAGAAGCTTGGAGACCGTCCACGTAAATTGACATTCGGTGGTTTGCGGAACATAATATTTGTGTTTAAATTTTTTCTTGTGCCGATATCAATATATTTTCACCCTGCCGAGCCGTGCTCCGCCGAGCCACATCGTCACCTACCGCAAAAGGGTTTGCCTTCAGGGTTTTAGTCAACCAAGAATTTCTTTGGTTGATTACAGCCCTAACTTCGTCTGTTTGGATCAGTCACATTTTTGCATCTGCACCATGTCTTCTCTTCTTCCTTGTCATCAGCTTTGACATAATATTCAAAATTATCTTTATTCATAGCAATCTGAAACTTCCCAGGCAAAAGATCAACTGTTGAATGAAGAGCTGCTTTCCTGACTGCAGAAAGTAACTGAAATCATAAGTCAGAGTTAAAGGTCATGCTTGAGTTGGGAGTGTCATTGTAAAAAGTAAGGCTGCCTCCCGCTTTGATCTGCAGTAATTATGTTAAATCAGACTTTAATGACCTACACTCCTCAGCTCTTTGAGTAGAATAGCTTAACTTAAGCTCCAAAAGATCTCTGAAATTATCAGCTGTGGGTTTTAAGCTTCATGCAAGTGGAATTTTCCAAAGTGAGTCAAATGGCTTGGCTGAAAAAGATCTGTGTTATTTCCCAGCCAAAAACTGATATTCTCGATCGGTGACTGAAAAGTTACTGCTGCACTATGTTCCCTGTCATCTTGTTGTAGTCCTCCATCAACTCCTCTGGGTGAGATAAAAGTCAAGCCAGAGTTTGAAAAAAGGGCCGTGAAACATGAGGACACTTGAGAAGTGAAGAGGATGAAGAGGCAGGTGGGAGAGAAGAACCAAGTACAAGAAAAAGTATGAAAAACTGGGAGAAACAGAGGGAGGAAAAAAATCTGTTCATGACACAGAAATTCCTCTCCATCTTCTCTTAAGATGATGCACACTCTACATGGTAGAGACTGAACTCTCTCTTAAATCTGCCACAACTCCCTTCCTCTCCCTCACTCAACTCAATCCCTAATTTCCTTAACAGCGGCTTCTTAAATCTCCTCTGATAATCTTCCCTCGTTGCGCCTCCTTTTTCATTTTTAAGCAGCAGCTGCAGAGATGGAAGAATAATAATAGCGAACCATTCTTTAAAATAAAAACCTTTTCAGACAAATGATCTCTTTTTGGCCTTTGTTTGAGAAATGCGTGACAGGAGCTGCAGGCAGGAAGCAAACCCAGGCTGGCAGCTTGAGGTATTACCTCAATATACTGTATGAGGCGCATGCGTAGACCACAAGGCCAAATGGCGCCCCAACCCATTTATTTTATCACCTCTCTCACACATAAACTGAAGCACCTGTTTACTAAAACCACTCCCCTGTCACTTTCAAACCTGCTTTATGTTTTCCTTTCATAAGAAATTGCCACATCACTTCTGTGTGTACTGAATGTGAGTGAAAATTCTGTCAACCTGTTACGACCTCAGATCTGATCTCAAGCTGAACAACACAACCTGGAGGGAAAGGATGATGACATTGAAAAATGGCGCCCTGTGACTGCAATATCGTAAACTAAATCAACATCAACGCTTATTTGATTTGGAGCGCAATAACTGTCAATTAATTTGAGATGATGACGCTCATTCTCAAGCGTTTTTTTTTTTTTAATGTGCACAATGTAAAAAATGCTGCATGTGTGTAGAAGAGGCAACATGGACTCAATGTATTCAGTTATCCCATCCCAGCTGCACAACAGTAGCTTCCTTCTTCATCGTTTCTCATAAAACCGCAACTATAAGACATGTCGCAGTAAATCGAGAGCAATCTGAGAATTAGTCACCTCTCACAGAATGAGGATGTATTGTTCATGATGCAGAATATTTCAAATGATTTGAATGTTTTCTTTTTTTTCTCCAGCCTGTTTAAGGTCATGGTGGTCAATATAAACAGCATCCTCTTCCCACAGAGACATGATTTCTTTGTTCTTTACAGTCTGCTGCAAGGACCAGCACACCCACGCAGACCCTGAGCCTCATGAACTATCAAGAGAGTGGTTCAATAGCTGCTGTTGAGCTAAATAATCAGCTTTTATTAACAGGCCTCTGTCCTCCTCGGTCATTCAGGCTATGGAGCTAATTGCTGTGATCTCAACATGAATAGTCTTTCTTTGCAGCTCTCTGGACCTTGTTTCCTTCTCTCCTATCCTCTTCTCACTCTGACCTGTCGGAGGTTGAATGATAGGAGGGAAAAGTGAGAGAAAAACAGCAGATCCAAAAGACAGAAAAGGCTACTGCAGAGACAGGGCAGCTTTGCTTGTGGTTTGAGGGTGCACTGCCTGCTGGGAGTTGGAGTCTTGCCAGCGGCTGTGAGCAGACTTGACAGTATTTGTTGCTCAGCCGTTCTGTCTGAGTTAACATTCACTCAAACTGATTGTGACACGAAAGCTTAGGTCAGGTGTGAGTCAACTGTAATGCTAATGAAGTATTTCCTGACTTTACTGGTAGTAACTGTGGACAGAGACAAAAACAACTCTCATGACAGAGAAGATAAAAGGAACAACAAAGACTTTATCTGACCTATAGTCAATACAAATTATAGCCAAAGTCTGCTACAGATCGATAACAAGAGGAGGCTAAATGCCATTGGAAATCTGATAATCTAATTCTAGATCACTTTTCCGCAAATAAACAGAATCAGCTGTTTGAATGATCATATAAGTTTGGAGAAGTTATCTTCATGGTAGTCTGTGTTCTTTCAGATTTAAGACCTCTACTTTTCTCTGAGTCGATCCCTGTTCTGTTATGTTATGCAGAAGAATGCTGGTGGCAATAGGGTCTCACTACACCACTGATCATCAGGTGAGGGTATAAGCTAAGAAGTGCAGCAACACACCAGCAGAGGAAAAAGAAGGCCGCAAGCTAGTAAACACAGATGAAGCCAATGTTGGATTTGGAATAAATTTCAGAGCGGGTTTTGCAAATGTTGTCTGAGGACTAAAATACACTGGAAATGTTTGTGAAACTTCAAGGAGACACGTATTGCATTTTGCTGGGTGACACTTCATGTGAACAAATTCCTACTTAGCTGCAAGAAAATCTAAGGGAAAGGCTTTTGGCTAAGAGTGCGAACGCTATCTGGATATTTAGGGATAGGCGGACAGAAAGTGGAATCTCTGGAGTGTACTAAAGCGGATAAGATAAAAAATAATGAGGCTAGTAGTTGGAGACTGTGAGTGAGTCTGCGAGTGTGTTTAGAAAGAATTAGATGCTGTAGTTCCTAGGCCAAAGATTTTGAAATGAAATGCTGGTATGAAACGGTTTCTTTTATTTGTACCCTCCTGGGGTTACGCACGTTTCATTCAGGTTGAGATTTGCACACATTGTAAAAGCATGGAAAGTGTTCCAGTGTTCAGGAACTTTCCATTCCTATTAAAAACCCTCAGTGTCACATGGCAGAACCCAGAATGGCTAAATCAGACAGGCTCCTGCTTGTAGTGATGCCTTTTCAGGCTAATGGAAAGTAGGGCACGGCCCAACTGGCACTGGGCAGTCGGCTGCCCAGAAACCGGAGGGGGCATGCATGAAAGAGCTGTTGAAGTCATTAGATCCACTAAAAAGGAGTAAATGTGAGACTGTGGTTGGTGCTGGACAATATGGTGCGGTTCATTGTTTTTTTTTTAGTGTATCAGACTGTACACTCAAGTGTGACAGATAGAAACCAGATCAACCTAAAGAGGAGGACAACAGCAGGTGACTTGGCCCTCTGAGGCAGGGGTGAGGGACACTCAGAGGACACATCTGCTAGTACACAAAAACCCCCCATCTGAAATAGATTCAATAACCGTGTCATAAATGCAACATTTAACTTTACATTTGGGTTGATGGTGAATGAATATGAATATTTCTTAAGTCCAGAAGACTTCACAGACCAAATCTGGAGTTAAAAAGCAGAAGTACACAAAGAAAACAAGAAACACAACAGTAGCACCGTGACCTGCTGTTGACTTCAAAATCCACCATGAGTTTCAGTCTGAGTGGATAAAACAGGATGTAAACCAAGCAGGGCTCACCAATAACTACGCCAAAGAGCACTTATATAAACACACATGCAGGGGAAATATTGACTCATTTGCAGGGGACAGCATTGTGACCAGTCACACCTATCCCTCTGTGCTTCCTCATCCCAGCAAGGTCACAGCTTCACTGACGGTCTTAAAGAGTCTGTAGACAAACGCTGCAGTCGAGCCTCGATTCGAGCCTTAGACATTCTGTGATAAAAATCATGCTGACTGTGCGCACAAGCTCTCTTCAGATGCGTGTGGTGGACATTTACCTGATAAGACCAAAAGGGAGGTCGAGTGTGTCTTGTGTGCACAGATGGCTAACAATATGGGTCCTTGGACCACTTTAGCAGCTTATCACCAGGACACAAACACACACTCCAACACACACACACACACACACATAGATCTGTGAAACACCTTGTTGGCTTATGCGCGTATAACAGATTGTGGAAACAAAATAATTATTTCCAATCACAACGAGAGCAGAATTGGGACAAGTTGATCTGATATCGGACATGCTTCCTGGCTGGATGAGCATTTAAAATACTCTCATATTGATTTTTTTAAGGAGGGCCCCTAATGCAGGATTATTCATCTCTGCAGCACCATATAGGGACAAGAAGAGATCTCCTCTGCAGTCCATGCATTTATTACGTCTTGAAAGCTTCAAACTCTCACACACAAGACATAACATTTTGTAAACATGCAGCCACTGCTGATCGTCATATTGTAGCTACAATGACCATTCCTGGGGCTTTACTTCTGTTGAAGGCGGACTAGTTAGAAGTGCCATATCAGCGGTTTTATTTCCTAAAATATAAGCCATCTGCTGCAAAGAGCAACACTTCTATATGTGCTGAATGTCTGCACTCTCACTGATAAACTACTTTTTCATCCACGTTGTTGTCCAAGCACCGAGCGCTTGTCGAACAATTAGGCAACAAATCTGTCATTAAACGAGGCTTTTAATTAGCCGCCCCATGCGGATCTTCTGCTGAGTTTTACTGCTGAACACTTACAGTAAATCATTGACAAGACACAATTAAAAATCAGATCGTGCCAACAAGCCAGTCCACTCCCCTTTGGGTACACACTCAACGGATAAAATCATTTCCTCTTCAGCTTATTTATAGTCTCCTCTCTCTGTTATTTCCACGATGTGGTGTGGAACAAAGAGCGGTCAATGCTCGGACAGTCTTTTCTGAGCACACGCATGCGCACAATACGGTCTGTACACACACTGAACGCAGCAGTATTTGGGCATTACAGAGGATTACAGAACAGGCTGAAGTTAATGAGCTCGTAATTACTGCTAATTCCATCTGCCACCAGGATCAGAGCAGGCCAGGGATATCAGCTAGAGGTAGAGTGTGTGTGTGTGTATATATGTGAGTCCATAGAGGTCACACACCCATGAATGGCCATCACAGAGGAGAAACCCTGTTGTGCCTTTGACAGGCAACTCCCTGACAGCATAGGCCTCAGGGATTAGGACACACACACACACAAACACTACAAATCAAGTGCACTTAATTGCCACTGTCCCCTTGAGTGGAGTTTGAAATAGCTGTCAAACGTGTGTGATGTTAGTAGCTAGTGAGAACGGCAGCTTCGCTCAAGCCACTGCTCCTCTGAGGGTTAGACTATAGCCAACAAGGCAGCATATTCCTGGCTCTGAGACGTGTGTGAGGAATATTAAAGTATATCTTTCTTCCATATTTTCCTCGAGGGGGAGAGGGGACAAATTCTAGAAATGCTTCAGGGCTTTGTGGATGGAAAGTTTAAGTACTGAAGGGAACTGGGATGCACAAAGAATCCTGGTCAGTAAAGGTTTTTTTTTTTTACTGACTGTGGGGGAGGTAGAAATGGATGGACAGAGAGAGAGAAAGAGGGACTGCAGTGCTTAAAAAGAGGAGAAATTGCTTCAGCTGAATTCTCCTCAGACAGCAGATTAATCTCTGAATCCCTTCTCTCACTTCTGACCTCCCCAGGGTAGACAGACGAGGGTTTGCTCAGAGTTCAACACATAGCTGCTGAGAGTCAACTTGGCTCTGAGCTCCTTCATCCCTGTGAAATTAAACAGGACGGTCTGCACAGCTGAAAGCTCCAAGCTTCATTTAAGGACCTCCGAATGGTGAAAAACTCCTGGAACCAGAAGTTTGTGACTGTTGATACTGCAGACGTGAATTGGGTCGCCTGGATCTTCTCCTTCGGTAAGCCCCAAAAAGGAAAACAGTAAGAGCAGGGAGAGGCGTGCAGATGGGGTCTTGGGAAGCACCAGACGCACACTCTTGATCTTTGTATTTGTCTTCTTAGCTCAAATGGGGTTAAAGGTCACTAACCCTCAGTCTAAACAAGGCTGATACAAAGCTTTGAATGCAATCACAATACACACAAAGCCTTTTGAGCTGATTTAGCAAGAATTTATCATTTTCAGACTTACAATAATGGCAGAAAACTGCGCTTTAATCTCTCCACAAAGTCGTCTTTATAATCCTAATTTAGAGATCACGGTTAAATAAGTCAAAGAATGTGACACTTTTAAAGATATTAACATTGTCGGTGTTAAAGGTGGTGACACAATAACCTTTGACCCTCCGAAGCACACTGAGTTTCTTCCAGAGTCCTTTTCTTCTCCGCAAGAGAGCAGGAAGCAGAAGAGGGACGGCACTCCTGGGACGAGGGTGGAACAGCCTTTTAAATCACCTCCATAAGGAGTTCAGTCTGGGGTGCAGTGTGGAGCGCTTCCCAGCCCCAAAACTAGAGCTGAGAACTGGGGAGGAGCTCACAGGGGGAACCCCGGCATGCAGAGGCCCAGGACAGGGGCTGGATCTTGGGGTAGAATTACCTCTGGCCTCCCTTAGCACATGTCAACCATAACAAAACTGTGCGAAATATGAACCTGTTGGGTTTCAGGGATGGAAACTGTTGCTCAGATCTGAGTTAGATCAGTGTTATTAACTCAGTAATCTAATAGTGTTTGGTTGGTTTTGCTTACAGTAATGAGGAAGCTGCAATCAGGAGAACCGCAGTAGGGAACTATCCCTTTTGACACAAACTCGAGCACTAAGAGTGGGGACAATAAATGAAGTGACAGCTTGATGTGAAAAGAGAAAAGTGCAGCCGCCAAGTAATGGAATAGCAATTTCAAAGGTCACCCTCTCCTTATCACTGGGAAAAAAGATGACGATTCAATCCTATTTTCTGTATTTTCTGATGACAATAGAAACACAAGAGGTAAATCCTCGAATTTGAAGCATGGGGTGCTGACTGGATTAAACTGTGTGCTGCTGATGGTACTCAGAGGTCAAACTATGTCTCATAAGCAAATTTAAGGAACAAGAAGGTAAGGCTAGGCGATAAATCGAAAAGTCATCGATATTGAATTTTACATCAATAAGCAACATCACTGTATATTCGCTGTCAAATAAATAAATAAATAAATAAATTTGGTTTGGGATGTGTGAAAGTAGATTATGGTCTCATGTTTCTTTAAGACGATGTCCTATGTCAGAGACATGACTCCACCCCATCCAGTCTGTAAAAAAGAGGGAAAGACAGGTGAGGAGATGGTGGACAGTTAATAAGCTGTAGCAGCTGGAGCGGCGGCTGAAGTAGACGAAGTTAATGTGGGAGGAGGGGGTGAGCAGCTTGTGGAGTAGTTATTATTCATTTGTTGTTATCGAGGTGAACTGCTCAATATATGATGATACTGATTTGAGGTCATACAGCCCAGCCCAAGAAGGTTAAGATATATTTCGACTGGGAACTATTAGGAGAAGTTAGATGTGCTTGTGTGTCTTAAGTGTGAATTGAATCAAGTTACACATAGAGATCTAACAGATCAGATTAGTACACCTGCAGGGACTTTTTCACATTTCTGTCTGTGAGATAAAGCAGACACCTACTTAAACACGCACACATTCTCAAGCTGGGGAGGGGACACATTACTTGAGTGTGTATTCCCATATGAGACCACATGTGGTGGAAGCGGACAAGCCTCTGGGGCGCACCCCGCGTGAGCACGCACCCATCACCTGCTGTCACTCATAACACACACACTCTGGTCATGCCACTTAAAGTTGTTACAGTGAGTTTGGGAGACATTCCTCGCCCTCGGGCTGCTGAAAACACACACTTCACATTCCAGCCAGTGTATTCTGAGGTCCCACTCCCTAATCCTTCGACATATGCAGACTCACAAATGCATACCATCGCACGAGTGCACAGACAGACCGTCACAAAAATAAAACGGACGATTCAGTCGACAAAAAACAAAAATCACAGTCTGAAGTTCATGAACCCGAGAGAAACTACAGAAACTGCTTCACTTTCCATTAAGTTAAAAGAAAGCTCAGAAAGTTTCCACCCTACCCTAAACTTCAAAGACAGTAAGACTCCACTATCAGGTGAAAATGACATCCGGGGTTTGTTATTCTCCCTGGCTGTCACAATCAGGCCTAAAGCTTTCCCTCTCAGTCTGCAAGAGGCTGTTAAGGTGCGCTGCTGTTTGGCTGTAGGTCCTCCTCCGGCTTTGATGTAACAGAGATACTCACTAAAACCACGGGGGGCACCACCTCATGAAAATATGAGCTCTGTTTGTGAACACAGGCTCCTGTGTGTACAATAAAAACAAGCATGTGTCTCACAAGCACAGGTTACAAGCATCTGTTGTTTCGCTCTCTGGTTTCCTTAATGACCTTGGAGGGAAGGCGAGAACACACACTCCATCAATTATAAAATTTTGAGTTGCTTTGGGAAATTACTTCAGATTTATTTTGGCATTTTTTGGTCAAAAGCACAATCTGTAACACTGTTAGGCTGGTTGGCTGATGGATTATGTGTCTAATACAAGCACAGAAATAGAGATAAATACGTATTTTGGATTCTGTTTAATTTTTATGTGAACGGGAACTTTAGAGACATTTTTAAACACAATTATACTGACTGAAAGCTTTCAACACTCATTTTCCTTTCAGCATTTTTATTGGCATTTGTGTGGACATGACTGTGAGCTGAAGGTTAAGTGCTTTTCTTCAAGCTTGAATAATGAGGGTGTGATAAGATCATCTGGCCGTTGACCCTACAAACTCATCCAGCGTCTGAGTCAGCAAACTGTGTTTCCAAAACAAGTTAATCTACGGTGAATCCTGAGTCTTTGACACTAGTGCAATATGCTAAATTTGTTCAACAATAGTGAATTTCTACATATTTAGACTATTTTAAATGTGTTGTTCTAGGGCTGGGCGATATGGCCTCAAATCAATATCAAGATATATTAAGCAGTTCACCTTGATAACAATAAATGGATGATAACTACTCCACAAGCTGCTCACACCCTCCCACATTAACTTTGTCTACTTCAGCCGCCGCTACAGTCGCTACAACTTTTGAGCCGTCCTCCATCTCCTCACCTGTCTTTCCCTCTTTGTTATGGACTGGACTGAGTCATGTCTCTGATGTAGGACAGCGTTTTAAAAGGACATGAGACCATAGCCTACCTACACACATCCAAAACCAACATTTAATTATTTATTTTTTTGACACCTAATATGCGGATATGGGCAAAATGACGTTGGTTATTGACGTAATTTTCAGTTTTGGTATTTTCGATTTATTGCTCAGCCCTATGTGGTTCTTCGTTAATGTTGGGAATGAAAAGAAAACGCCTTCCACTGACCAGGGGACCATATTCAACAAACACATAACCCATGAAAAGAAACAGGATTTATTTGGGTGTGAAATGATCCAGTAAATGATATCACAATCTCACAAATCAGTTCTTATAATGAGGTTGTTTTGTTAATAAGGGGTGGCTCTGGATACATGGAGGTAGGTCATGCTGAGTAGGCAGTTTGTGCACGGTTCATATGACAACACACTCACACACAGGCACGAACTGACGGGCTCTAAAGTTGATGTTGGGTTGCTTTCAAAATGACTAATAGAGTTGATCAGATCTTTGTGTTGGCTGACAGTGTTAGGCTCATGCTGAATGTGTCAGAACGTGGGCATTCATGTTGACACACCCACACAGGGGCTGACATGTGAAGTGACTCACACACAAACACACAACCTCTGGCTTAGCTCTTATAGTTTATCGGTCTTTTGACAGCCAGTGTGTTTAAGAACACGTGTCCAACACAAACACACACATATATAAACACACAGTTGGTAAAAATTTGTGTGTGACTCGGTAAGTGTTTGTGTGTGTATGTGCATGTCTGTGTGAGTGCCCAATGCCCTGATATCAGACCACTTTGCTCTAATGGGTTTACATAAAAGGTCGCTGGATCCTATAGGGGTCAGAGGACCAAAAAAGAGCAAAGCTGACCCACAACCTGTCCCCAGCGGCAGACCCCCCAAATGCTCACTTAGACACACATGCAGACAAACAAAATCAATGTGAGCATCTCCCTCAGTCTTAATGCATCTTTCTGGAAGGTTAACTGAGCGATTATTCCTATAAAAAGTGGGCTATATATACATATGACGTGTCTGTGTCTATGTCCTCTTTCTGTTCAGCCAACATCCTCATCCTACACATATTACCTGGTCTAGTTTAGCCCACACATTAACCCAGCAATTAGATAATTCTCACTTTTTGCTGTGTGGGTAGCAAGATGATATGGAGGAGGCTTGATTCAGTTCGTCCAATCACAGCACATACACCGGGAGAAGGCGTCTTTCAAAATGTAGGTCAGCCGTTCAGTAGAATGCGGTTCGGTCCTGCAGCGGATCAATGTGAACACACCCACCCACTCACACACAATCACACACCCACCCACTCACATACAATCACATATACCTGCCTCTGCATGCTGACCCATCACCAAACACCCGCATACCACTTGTGATCATGACAGTAGCTTAAAACAATGACCATAGATACCATACCATAAAATTTAGATTCACTCAAGGCGCGCAAGCACGTTGCGCGCGTGCTCATGCGGCATTTACATCCATTAGCGCTCATGCTCATTAGATAATCAGCATTGTCTCCTTTGATATGGGTCCCTTTTAAGCTAAAGGATCACCCTCCCTTTAAGATGCCGTTTCCATTAGTCTATTCATGAATCGGCAATAAAAGATAATGCTGATTCAACATATGGCTTTCCGCATTGAGGTCTGCGCACAGACGGTACAGACTATACCACGGTCCATCCACTCACCTAGAGCACGTACTTCACCAAACGTCTAGACTATGACACAATATCCCAAAACAGTTCAATCTGAGTGCATGCTGGTCATAATAATGAAACGTGCCACCATGCAGCTGTTGGGAGTTTTATCAATGAGACAGACTGCTGCTTTTTACGCACAGCCCCTGCCGGCGCTTTTACAACCTCATTCAAACCACGGGTGATAGCGAGCATTTCCACCGCGTATTTCAACACAGCTCAAAGTCATCTCACCAGAGTGTCAATTAGCTTCTTGTTCGGCGTTCCCAGTTGCATGTTGTAGTCTCCTCTTATCTCTTACCTTGACAGAAAGTGCATTGTCCTCCCCGCACGATGCGGAGCCTGGAGCTGCAGCATTTTCCCGTTCAGCACGCGCCCGCTCATTCTGCAACCGTCCAGCTTTTCACGCCGCTTTGTTTCCGATCAGCATATCCCGCTACAATCGCACCAAAGCAAGAGAGAGAGTGTGTCCGGCTGGTGCCGATATCAGGGGAACCGCCTGTAAGAGTCAGCAGCGTAAACTGACTGACCCGCTCCTGCAGTGCCTCTATACTGATACACACACACTCTCTCTCTCTCTGTCTCTCGCTCACACACCCACCGTAGGAGAGGAGGGAGGGAGGCGATGAGCAAGGGAGGGAGGCATGGAGGCAACACCCCGAATTCCTCCTCCTCCTCTGGCCTCAGCCTCACTGATCGCGACCAGCTGTGCCTTTTCCAAAAGCGCAAAGGGGCTTTAACGCGCGTTCAGGCGCGAGATAAAAACGCAGTCATCACATTCTCTGAGGTGACATGTCAAAGACATTTTCACACCCTCACATCTCCAATCAACTCTCAAGACAGCCCACTGACTCCACTCACTCAGTCAGCACTCAAAGTCTGTACTCTGGGTAGCTGGCATCCACTTTATTCACTGAGTAGGAGTGTGTAAAATTTTGGGGAAAAGAAAACATTCTTCTCTGAAAAAAGATGCAATTGTGTTTAACTGAGTTTCACTTTCAGACCTATAGTCTGAATAGTGGTATCCTATAGTACACAGTGTGGTGGTCTTTCTAACGGTTAACCATGTATTCGTGTTTACAGTATATCAGCAACAGTTTTTAATTGCCAGATTGTGAGTGGGGCATTTATCGTGGGAAACCCTTATAATTCTCATCAATATGCGTCAATCTTTTTACAGGCACAGTGTGTAGAATACAACAATATTTAGCAGGTCAGATAGGTTGAAGTGGAAACTATATCCAATGAAAAAAAATTATTGCGTTTCTGTCAACTTTTAACCTGGATTCTGGCCACTTTGTATCACTAAATATCCCCATTTCTATACTTTCTTTTAGTGTTAAGTATGGTTTTGCAGTTTGCAATGCAATCAGCAATGTCAGCTACAAGATAGAAGGAGTAAATGGAATTATATCCTAATTTAGTACTTCCTGTTACATGAAAAGCAGAAATGCAAAGTTAAGTTGCATGCAATAGATACATGACATAGGACACCTTAAGTTAAATCTGCCTATCTTCCTGACGCATTGATTGATTGACTGATTGAGTCGACACTATGCCAGCCACTTTAAATGTCGCACGTTCAGTTTTAGATGTGGTGTCTTCAGTGCAAATGCAGCCACTCTAACATATACAGTAAAGATTATTTAAGTAACTCTTTATCCATCCAAAATGTCTTGTTTTTTTGCGTTTATTCAGGGCAGACCATAGTGGCACACAGATGAAGTAGGAAATACTTGAACTTTGATTTATTGCACATAAATATCTCAACAGTTGCCCTCTATATAGAAGAAACGCTGGCTGGGAGCCAAACCAGTACAGAGGCATAAATACGGTTCAATCAGGATGTACTGATGCAGAGAGGGTAAATGACTCCAGTGTTTCTATTGTAACAGAGTGTGTATTGGCTTTTGGAGACTTGTAGAGGAATAGAGTGGGTATCATGTAACCTCCTCCCCCCTGAGCTCTATTCCCCTTCACAACATCCAGTGGTGTTTAAACACTTTAAGCACTGAATGCACCCTGGTGAATAGATCTGTCTGTCTGCGGAGTCTGTTCAATAAATGAATGAAGGGTGAGAGAGGGAGGCAGACAGATGAGGGGGAGGAGGGGAGCGAGAGATAATTAACAGTGTCTTTTCATTAAAGCCAGGAGAAAGGGAATGTGTGAGTGGTGGAGAGAAAGAAAACAGACAGAAAAAGAGGGATTAGAAAACACACCCAGAAAGAGAGAGGGATCATTAACACACTGGTTTTAAGACTAGAGAGAACAAAGACCGGATTCTTGAGGCCACTGCTCACCCGTACCAAGCAGGGCGAGGTGGGCACAGTGTATCTGACAGTGTGTTTGTTTTGAACTCTGATTGGCATCTTGGCAAGCTCAACTGCAGGTGTGTATAGCTGCTGCCATCGGTGTTGCCTAGCGTTAAAAAACAGTTTCTATGTGAACAAACAGGTTACTCACAAACACTCCAACGTTCAAAGACACACACTCAATCCTCCTTTAGACAGTGTAGCTTTTGCTTTTATTCATGTAGACTCTTATCCGAGTTTCTGGAAAGGCTTGTTGGACAGCGCCCCGCGTCTGTCTGGCCAGTTCTCACTTTGACCGGTGACTCATGTCCAGACATGCCCTCTCTTTTTATTCACTTTTCCTCATCAAAGGATGTCTCTTTTTTCACATCTATCCTCCCTTTTCCCCAGTATCCATAATCACATTGTAGGTTTCCAGTGCCCATGGTAGTGTGCTGGTGCACTATGAGGCCAGTGTAATTAGGCAGAGATGTAACTGTGTAATGACAGCGTACAGGCGGGGTCATCTATGTGACCCTGGGAACTTGTCACTCCCCTGCAGATGAAAGAGACAAGTGACCTGGGAAAGCTCACCCCTCTTATCAGACCAGGAGCCCACACAGACAAATCCACATGCAGCAAATGCAAAGATGCAGACCCTTTATGAACCAAGATTAACACCCAATTTGAACTCATTTAACATACTGACACACGAATTAATGTTCATAAAAGATAATCCATTTCCCCTCCCTACCTGGCATCTCTTAGCTCTCGTGCACACACAGACACGCACAGGTTTAACTGACTTACAATGATGTATAACAGCAGTCATGCATGATTAGGAAAAACAGGTATTACAATCTCACTATGTTGACTCACACATGACTTTCGCAAAAAGTAGTACTCAAAACAAACACACAACATTCTTCTGTCAGAGTTCTGGCATACAGTCTTCTCTATAGGAGCCTGCATGCTCAGTCTAGTCGCTCGATACAGAAAAAACATGACCTCACACTGAAAAACTCAGAGTTGAACATCAAAGTGTAGTTCTCCAGCTGAAGAGGTGCTCCAGTGGCTAATTGAGGGACCCTCTAGGTCTGGTCCACTAAAACCATCTAATTAGACCCTGGCTTTCAGAAGATGCCGATTGAAGGGGTCCTATCAATAAAAAGAGGAAGTGCCCAGAAACTTGAGAAGAGCAAGATGCACTCCAAAACAAAACCCACACACTTAAGAGTTCAAAAATGCCTCAACAGGTTCCTGCAGCCAGCCGAGCTTATGTCTGCTGGGGAATATAATGAGGATATGTTCACTGTAGGAGGCTCTGGTGCACAAAGGAAAGAATGAGATTAAGAGATGGTGCAGTGAGGAGAGCGGGAAGGGAGAACGATGGCAGGGGGCAGAAAGAAAAGTGTGTGACTAATGTTGAAACAGCTTCAGAGAATAACACGGTGGGAGTCAATGGGAGGGAAGGAAGGTTAATTCTTATGCGCATTACAGACCCCCGTCACACCCCACTGTTAACCTTCTATGGGCTCAGCTCAAGAGTGCTTTTTATATGTGTGTTTGTGAGCGTGTGTAGCAAAGATTTAAGTTTGCTTCAAATCCTAGCTCCCCAAAAAGCTTGTCCTTAACCATGCAGTTTCATTTACCCCCTATAGAGGAGCTAAGCATGTTCTTTAAAGGTTGTATGGATGTGGTTTGTTGATTGGAATGGGTGTGTGTGTGTGTGTGTGTGTGTGTGTGTGTGTGTGTGTGTGTGTGTGTGTGTGTGTGTGTGTGTGTCAGGGGGGGTCTTTTACTGTGGGAACCAGTCCTGAGGAATGCACCTGAAGATTTCCCTCAAAACAAGCTACTCTTAGAGAAAAGTGCTCTTAGCAATGGAAAAAATGTTTTGTAATAATTTTTCAATAAATGGCCAAGAAAACGAAATAATGCAACCATCACGTGTAATAAAAATTGTATTCAACAATACTTAAATAAAGAGACATCTATGAAAATTATCACTTCTAGTATTCACAGTATCCACTGCATTTGTGTCTGTTCTTTTACAGGCTGTTATCTTAGGCTAACAGCAAATGTTAGCATGCTAGCATACAGCGAAATTATCCGTTGAATCCACAACCATAAAATACTGATGACCTAGTTAGTCATTTCATATCTCTTTGATTGTGTTGTTGAGGTTGAGGCATGGAAACAAACAATGACAGCCCCATATATGCATGCTCAGAGATGCACGCACACATAACACTGTTCTGCCCTTCTGGCTCTGCATTTATATCATAATCTTATTTACCAGGCTTCTGTTACTACCTCAAATGCAAGCACTGCCGCAATATTTAAGCCCCTGAAACATCAAGCCATAAATATGCATGTCTTAGAAGAGGGATGGTAGGACCAAGTCGTGCCATTGCTTTGCCACCACTTACAGAGCTGTGACAGAGGCCACAGGATCATTGTGAGGCTTTAAGAACTCAAACACAGAATGAAATCGCAAGCTTGGGCACCAATATCACACCACTGCAGGATCAATATAAAAGCTTAAAGGTGTGATGATGATGGCAGACCTGCATTATAACATTGTTTTGGACTCACAGTATAAGAGCTGAATTTAAGGCGAGACAGTGCAGAGGGTCTTAATGGTGCATTTTAAGCTGAAAACATAAATAGAGCATGTTTCATTAGCTGTTGAGTTGGACAAAAAAACAAACACTGGCTGGTGGGGATACGTTGAAAGCTACTGGATCATCGGTCAGTCTGATTCATCTTTTGAAAATTGCAATTGTACATAATAAATGTAGCACAAACAAATCCCATAGATGATGAGATATTCGAATTTAGAAGAAATTTTTTGGGGAAACTTCTAGTCATTCATCTTGACCATATTTGAACTGACTGTGTTGCTTTTGCCTGATCCTTGGAGGATAAAAATTGTGACTCAAGTCATCTTCTACTTAAGCCTTATTACTTTGGCTTTGCTTCATCTTCTCAGGGGGGTTGTATAAAGAGCAACAAAAAACTCCAATGGAAGGTTTAACGGTATAGCCAATCTTTCCTAGTAAACATTCATTTTGTATACGTACATGTCTGGTATAACAACATGTCTTTGTTGGAGTCCAACCAGCCCAGTATCAAATTCAGTCTGACGCTTTCTTCTGAGGTCTTAAAGCAAAGCTTTGTTGAATCAGTGATGTCAGTCTATACAGTTTAAATCTAGGCTTGTTGGTTTAGCATCACGTTCACCATCAGTTGTTGTTTTCAGGTCGTTTCCACCCTTTCATCTGCTCTAAAGGTCAGCTGTGATTACATCATAAGAAAAGTATATAAATGAAGACAGTAAACACCTTCAGGAAGAGCAGGATCCCTCTCTCTCTTTAGGGGATATGGGGTGAAATTGGTCATCTGCCAGATGTCATGACTTTTGACCTGTGTAAGTTTAGACGCCGAGTCCACTCTCTCACCCGCACACACACACTCACTCCACTTATTAGTGTTGTCACGGTAACACATCCCTCTGAACTATGTGGGGGTCCTTCACATGCACTCGCACATACACACTCATGCACACAATGGCCACCATAACCCTGTCCACGCCCTCTCGTCCTCGCAGTCTGCTGACCACGTCCCTGAGTTCTTTTCCAACCCTGCCATAAGAGGAAGCTTGGGATTAACAGGGATTATGCCATAGCGTCTCCATAGAGATTTGAGAAGACTTAATGGGGGGGTTTTGGGGAGGGGGTTCTAGGCAGCTCTTGCCATGGCAGTGGCTTTTCTTTGGGTCAAGTTAAATGACAGAGCATTTGAGAGAGAAAAAAGATTCACTTTTTCTGACTTTCTCAAACTTTTGTTTTCGTCCGAAGCAGGATGTGGGAAAATTCGTCCGAGGGATGTAACTGTAGTTCCCAGGCTCCCATCCAGAACATGTGTTTGTTGCTCAACATCAGTATGTTTCACAATATTCTAATGGCCCGTAGTCAAACCAAACATATCCTTTATATTAGTCAAGCACTAGTGTATGCGTGTAACTGCACATGTATGTGTGTTTCCGTCTGTTAGTGAGGACAGACGAGGGGAGTCGCAGACAGACAAAGAGTGTGACGAAAATAAGTACAGCAAATATTTTCTTTTGCAACAGTGAAATTCACAGCGGTTGGAGCAACTATTTCCAGAAAGTCTTTTTTTCCTTCTCCAAGTTTGTTTGGACTTTGAATAAACAAAGTAGTGTAATGATAGTGAGTTAAGACGGTTAACCAGAAAACCATGTGGCCTAATCAGCTTCAGCAAACACAGGGTAATAAAAAAGGTACATGAGGACAGAGTTCCCACCGAAGGAGGAGGAGTCAGGGGGTTTCTGGGACTCCCAGTCCCTCTGCAGCTCCATATGTTACTCTTTGTTAAATGGTTTAATATATTGTCATCTGTGTGTCAATGCCTCTTTATGTGTGTATGATTTCATATGTGTGTATGTGTGTTTTGTGCTATTTTGGCAGACGAAGAGATTAATGTCATTATTGTTTGTCAGCAGCGCCCTGCTGTTACAGCTGGAACCATTTACATCATCCCTGACAAAAAAATTGCCACACAGTCCAAATCGTGTTAAATTATTAGATCAGCAACAAGACAAGGACTAAATGTAATCATCCTACAGTGTAAGTATGGTTTTCAAGCTTTGTTCGTTCAAATTTAGACAGAAAAGCGGCTTAAACTACATGTAAATACATCACACAGAACAACAGGGATTTCTATTGTCCATTTACGCTTGTGTGTGTGTGTGTGTGTGTGTGTGTGTATGTGTGTTTTCTCCCTGGGTGTTCCCTCCAGTGTTTTGCCCACACGTGCTGGAACAAAGAAAGCGCACACTCCTCAATTCGGTCAGACCCGCTCATAATGACAGGAAAAGTAATTGATTACACGCCGCACTGAGCAGATACAGCCAAAAAGGAGCAGCACAAAGACTTACAGACCCGCACAGAGGTCCAGAGAGAGCAGGTAGTGGATGACAAGAACAACAAATGCCCCATCAATCTGCTTGAACCCCACCTAGATCTGCCTCTCATCAACTTTTCATGTGCATCCCACCATCACAGACACAGACAGAGAGGCAGATGGTAATTTTGATTCAGAAACTAAAATCTGTTGAGGACATTTGAGAATAACTAGGTAAGTGCAATTTAGATTTTGCTTTGAAAATTTTTTTTTACAATTAGTATTATTCACTCCTGTTTGCTGGAAAATCAACATTTCAACAAGCTTGTCAACTAATTCTGCACATTTAACAGCATTAACTGGCATTTCAGATATAGATTCTTTCTTACACGAATTTGAGATCTGCACAAACACATTTCTTTGACTAAAATAGATGGAGACTTGACATGTCATAAAAATGAATTGAGCAGTTTAAAGGATTTGCTGCTTAATTGTTACAACACATTGATCATGTCCAGCAACATTGCAAGCACATGCTACTATTATGCACAACAAGTCTTATCAATAAACTTTTGAAGGAGCTAACTGTGATCATTTTAAAAATAAAAGTGTCTCAGAGTAGCATACACCCATTTGGTCACTGAATAGCTAAAAGTACAAGTAGAGACATGATGCAAAAGCAAAACAAAAGCAATTCCAGTATTCAGTTGGAATCTGATTTCTAGCTGCATTTGGGAAATAAACCAGAGTAACCTTAAAAAAATAAAACTGTGAGTGTTTCTCACCTGAGACTCACAATCAATAAGGAAGACATTTGTTTTTTCTTCTTTCTTGGTCACTATATTTTATAAGAGCACAATTTAATCTCAGCTCAAGTTGGGGCTGAGTCCTGGCTAAGGGGGAGACTGCTGTATTGTTTTTCTTTCTTTCTTTTTGGGAAGGGGTCTGTAACTGGACCTGCACTATGAGTCATAACGTAAAGATCTGGCACTCAGCAAGAGGGAAACCCAGGGTGTGTCCACAGAGGGACGCATCAGGGGAGAGAGAGAGAGAGAGAAAGAGAGAGTGACTGAGTGAGCGGATCCATTACCTGTAACATAAATCAGATCCAGATGTGAGGAAAGGAATTCATTAACCAGATGTGTCAGGCTGCATCAGATCCTCTCTGTGTGTTTTTGCTTGTGCCTAAGTGTTTGCGTGAGACTGTGAGTATGGGTGTGGTTCAGGTTTTTAACCAGTAGATGGAGTCAGAGTACAGCAGCACTTATCTGAGAGGACTAACGCTACACTCATCACCCAAACACACACATGCACATGCACACAGATATGAGTGGGCTTGTCAGTAACTCCCCTAACCCACTGCAGATACGGTTGAAAGGCAATGACAGGGGATGGGAGTCGGGGTAATTAGAGGAGCTTATCCGTGGCTGTGGTCAGATAGGCATCAGTTAAAGGCGAGATAATAGCCTCCGGGGTTTATAATGACACCATATGGAGACAAGCTTGAAGCTGAAATAACTACTGCTGTCAGTTTCAGTTCAGGACATCTTTTGTGTAGAAAACAGAATACTTCTCTGTCAAAATGTTCCTCTTTCTGTCTCATTTCCCTGTTCTGTGCCAGATTTACACCCAGTAACCAGCTCACTTCTGCTTTTCAAGAAACCAGACAGTTCAGACAGTCAAGTGTATCTGAGTGCATACATGAGTGTGTTTTCCCTGCTCCGAACAAACGCTTTCATAATTCAGACGTTTAGTTCAGTGAAGCAGTTTTGACTCCTGCTGTAACCATGGAGACTGTGCGTTTACTAATGGGGGGGTCGCTGAGGATGGGTGCTCTTCCATCCAGAAACAAAAGCGTCTGCACCCAGCAGGGCAGAAAACACACACGCACGCTCATTCAATCATCCACACGTGTGAGTGTGTGTCTGGACCATTACAGCCACTTGAATGACAACAATGGCAATCAATACCGACGATTAAGCCCAAATGAGGCTCAGACAAGAACTCAGCTTCATGCTCTCTGCCAAAAAATTACATTTATACACATAGAACAATCACTTTCCTCTTGTAAGCCCACAGGTGCCTCATACCCTCATGATTCCCTGCCTAGAGCGATGCTACAAAGCATATACATTAATGTAATATGTATCAGCTCTGCTCTAGACAGTGTACAGTAACCCGGCTGTTGTTTCCATTATGTAAATGGGGTATAATGTTAAGAGTCAGGCCATCTTGGGAGAAGAAGTAATGAGGGCTTTGACATGGCTGAGATTTTACAGTTGTAATTTTCAGGTGATAAGTAGAAGTTACGAGGGATACAGCGTAAATACTGCCTGTGAAGTTTTTTTTCAAGCTTCAATCGTCCAACAAACTGCTGAAACTCCAAAACAAAGGGTCTTACACACAGCTGTAACATGTTATCCCGCCTTATTACTTGGCTCCCTTAGTAATTAACAAGCTGTGTTAAATACGCAATTCTGATTGGTCAAACACCCACAACAGCAGTGATTCATTCTCAATGTTTAAAGCAATGCCAGAGACAATCGGATCACAGAAATAGTTTCAAATAAATCACAGCAAAGACTCTGGCATGTCACCTCTACTTGTTGACACATTGGCAAAAACACTTGTTTTCAGGCCGGTCTTAAGAGTCTGGAAATAATAGTTAAACTGGTTACCAAGGATAGATGTGAGAGCAGCCTGAGAAGCAACTAGGCCTCAACCATCTCTGATAGAAAAAGCAATATCCTTTCTTGTAATCCAGGAAATAGCAGCAGAGCTTCTGAGTGCATCCTGATCATTACAGAGTAACTTAAACCATAAGCAGTATCAATAATTGCAAAAGTGTACAAAGCCGTCACATTTATTCCTAAAGAAGAAAAGCTGAATGAGGAGAGAAATATCAACATTTAAATATCCTGCAGCATGCTTGTTTAATAAAACATTAATAAAAAGGGAGGTGATTTAGGATTTAGTGGGTTTTTATCAAAATGTAAATCCACACCTCATTACAGTTAACCTTCACAAACACTCAGTGGAAGGATCTACTCGTGGTCCCCCTTTTTGATGTTTCCCGGTGAGAATGACGTACGTGAGCGAGAATTGGGAGGAGGGGGGGTTGGAAGTCTGGATCCAGATGTAAAGCAAGCAGCAGCACAGGAAGCGCATAACTGACAGGAGGGGCTCTGAGTCAGTGTGTGTGAGAGTATGGGGTCTATGTGTCAGACAGGTCAAGATAGAGTCACGGTAAACCTATCTTAGCATATGAAGGTGACTCATGCCCATACAGTAAAAGTGGAGCGAGTCACAGTGAGACCCCTGGTGAGTCAGGTCCTGCTCACACATATATGTTTACGGCCTGACTGTAATAATGTTTCCTCACAATTAAACAGAACAAAGAGATGAGGAACATTCACCCAAACAAAGAACATGTGTGTGTATGTTTGAGTTAAATTATGTATGTAAGGGGATCCTGTGTATTATATATGTCTGAATGAGATATGGCTGTGTTGTGTGACCTCTATATGACCGGGGCACTGCATCTATGTATAATAGATGAGTATAGGTAATAAATTATGATAAAAGGCAGGGTTATCCTGCATGTGGCTAATTCATGTTGAAAGGCTGAAGAGCCGCAAAGGGAGCAGCGCTAGCCTGCCCTCTGCTGGTAAAGATACATTAGTTTCAAACTGGAGCAGACGAGTTATGACAGTCTAGTGGCAAAAATGACCACATAAGAGGTTCAATCAAAGAAAACAAAAAGAGAGTGTCAAGAGGACTGATGGCGTCAGACACAAATCAAGTAGTGCATCTTTAAAGATTAGAAAGAATAATTTCTTACTTTTGGTTTCTTGTTTTTGGCAAATAATTCATTTCTCAATCTTCCAACTTCAGCCTGCTAACCTGTGTTTGTATTCCCACAAAAAAAATTCCATAAAAACCTGTGCAACCACTTCTGAAATACACAAACATCCTGACATAACAGGAAACTTGACAGTGTTGCAATTGATTTCCTGATGACTGGGGGTGCATTTTTGTGGTAACCATAGAGGTATTTTTGTTTTGGTTTGGTTAGACAAGCTCTGCAGCTTTGCAGAGACACACAAGAGACAATGGCAAACAGAGACACACATACTTTCAGAGTCCTAGTTTGTAAAGAGATTATGTGTTTTTCTTCTCTGTGCTTAGAGCTGGTCGGGACACATGATGCTGTTTGTACAACCGAGTTAAACTGTTGTGTCAGACCTCCTCATTTTAAGACAAATGCTGCAAAGTTCTCCCAAACCAGCCAAGGAAGTCTAATCAGGTCATTCTTAAACACAACCCCTCAATTCAATTTCTTGAATATATAGGTAACTCTATAAAGTAATTAATCAAGTCACAAGATGATGTGACAGATGGAGACTCAGGAAGCTAAATAAAAGTTTAAAAACTCACCATGGCAACCATCATGCTCCCTCAGATTCAGCTCACAAACAACATTAACAAAGGCGTGATACACCATCTTTTTAGGTCATTGTGTTATTTTCATTTATCAAATCCAGACAGACACCCAAACACATTCACACTTGTATTTGTAACATGAATGAGATTATTCATCCCTAATCCATTTTAAAGCAGATGATGGATGTAGAGGAGAGACCCTTCTCCTGGGAAGTGATCAATCATTGCTGCCACAGTCTCAGCTGGACTGTGGAACTGCAGACAGGTGTGTGTTTGATAAATAACACCTAAAAATATCTCCAACCCTAAGACGTGACATTTTTCACCCACAAGACGCCAGAATGTGATAAAAAAATAGATGTAATGTTGTTTCTGCCAAGGTGATCTCAAAATCAAATCTGTTGTATCTAATGAGTCTATGCCAAGCTTAAAAACAACACTCCTTCCAGCCTTGACAGCTTTGACTGAGCCCACCTTGGCTCGGCTGGGTAGGCCACCAGTTTTTCCAAAGTATCTGCATTCGAGCTCTGCCAGAGGGCTCTGGTGAGCCAACGCTGCAAGGGGTCTTCTACGTGGAAGGCTGCTGGCAAAGCCTGTGGGCTCACAGCTGAATTTGACAGGATGATCTCTGCAAGGGGGCTACATGATTGTGACATCATCTGCCACCTCTGCCAGAGGGCTGTTTACTGACTACGGCAAAGCCAGCTGTACCGGGGAAGCTACAGCTGCCAGTGTCAAGGCCAACTCTATGAGAGGCTCATTGAGGCTTTGTTGTGATGCTAAACCACAAACACCAGGCCAGGCTGCAGCTGTGGGGTCGTAACAGTTAGCAGGTGGCAGGATTCACCTCTCCTGCAATGTTACCATCACTAATGAGACACAAGTTTCCTGGTTCTTACAGACCGCTTTGCCAGGATGTTTTACAATGTTTCATCAAATACAAAGGAATCAAAAGAGCTTCAAAATAAAAACAACCAAAACTCACCCATTCCCCAGATCATCAATATCATCATCGTCCTCCTCGTCCTCAACCGGGCTCTTCCTGCCGATGTCGCTGCTGCTCAGGTAATTTCCCTTCAGGAGGGCGGGATCTGAGTCATCCAGTGCTTCGATGAGGTGGATACGAGAGGTGTGGCTGATGCGGAGAGGCACGTCTGACTGCGTGCTACCTGTAGACGGAGCATCACCGGCCTGCAGTCGGGGGCTTGCCTGACCTTGACGCCATGACAGTGGAGAGGATCGATTTGATAGGCTGGAAACGGAGAAAGCAGCAGCTTCATCACTGTCGTAGCACACGGTACCCTCGCCACAGCTATGGAAACACACGCAGAGGATAAACTTCAGTATGAAACACAGAGCTAAGTTTTTTCTGAAAAGACATGAATTACTGTCTTTTATTACATTTCCCTTTCAGGATCTGCTTCTTCATCCGTTCTTCTTCTTCTAGCCTGCACCCTCCTCTTAGTATAAAACTTTAACCCTATTTTATCTTGCAAATGGATAAGTTGTTTCCTGAGTTTCTGTGTATCTGTTTGCAGTGTGTCTTCCTGTTTATGTCTTACAAATGTTATGAAATTCTTCCTCTTTATTACTTTGCTTGAAACTGCTCAGAACTCTCATGTGACTCTATAAAATAAGTATCACATCATATCATGCATTCCCCCTGCTGAAGCAGCTCAGCGTGTAAACGCTTGGTGCCTGTGTCAGAACGATTAGTATTAGCATATTAAAAGTTACTGACTCTCAATTGTATGACATTCACATTAATCTTTTCTGCAGGATACAGAATCTTTCCCACTAAAACCATGAATGGAGACATTTTCGCTTGAAATGCTAAACCGCTAACGTTAAACAGTCAGGAAAGAAGCAGAGCGAGAGGATGCTACACTTCTTGTTCAAACGGATTTTCACGGGCCTTCTGCTTGTTATGCATAAAGTATACATCAGGGAAAATATGTGCAAACAAAACTGCACGCTTGATCACCAATTTATCTGTAGAACAAATCATAGTCACTTAATAAAATGCTTGTTTTTTAACAGGAAATATAATTTCTTGCTTGAGCCGGAAACTTCCTTGAAACACGCCTGAGGCCTCATGGCAGGTTATGTCTTTGGGGACAGCGGTGGATCATTCAAGGTCATTACAGTACATCAAAGTCTGAATGTCAAAGAATAGGTATTCCAGCAGGTAAACCATCTGCTGATTTGCTCTTCATGTTGCGATCTCCCACTGAAGGACTGAGAGGAAATACATGGCAGGAGTCTGGCAGACCGAAGGGAAGCTCTCAAGGACAAAACCTGGAGACGTACTGAACTCAATCAATGAAGGACAGGAAGCGGAGGGAAGGAGAGGACACACAAACGCCCATGTGCACTCAATCACAGCATTACTACCTGTTTTTTTGTGTGTATGAATGAATTTGAGTCGTGAGTGTGCATTGGCAGGGCTGGATTTGAAGTCAGCTTTTGGTTAATCCTGCTGCAGTTAAGCATTAACCAACACAGGAGGGGAGCAGAGCAGGCGGAGAATGATAGACTTAGGGACTACTAGTCTGTCAGAAATACTGATATTGATCCAAGAGCCCACAGGCAGTTAACCATCACACCCCTAAGCCATGTTGATAGGAATCTACTCATCTCAACAACTCTCCTTTTCTACTCACATCAGCTTTATGTGCTTGGTTTATTCTTTTTTTAAGTTTACAGACCTGTGTGTGCGTGTTTGCATGTTTCTTACCTGTGACTAAGCTGCACCCCTCTCAGGCTGGTCATGGTTTCTTCCAGGTTCTGTCGAAGGTCTAGCACATTTTGCACCGTCCTCTTCCTCTGGGACTCGGGGTCTGAACACACAGATGAGTGCAATTGGTCACAAAATCATAAAAGGACATTTTTGGAGATTCAATTTGCCTTAAACATCCCCTCTGTGTAAAAACCTAATAATACATACTGTATTATATTTGGAATGTATACTGTATTTACTGATACACATGGAGTTAGTAATAATAATTATGTGTGAAATCACTGAATACGTACATAACAATTAATTAGACTGCTAAACATAAACTACACTCATAAAAATACAAACAAAGATCGAGTTATTAACAAAAGGAAAACAGGAGAATCCCATGAGACAAAAAAAAAGGTCTTAAAAGAGGTAACAGCGGCAGAGTAAGAACATCCTGTTTTCCAGGTTGCAGTGGAGCAAACTAAATTAAATATGATGGCAGTCAGACACTCAAAACAACAGGGCAGACCCCTCAGACCCCAGAGGTCTATCATTCCTTTATGGATCATTATTCCCCTTCTTTCTAACCACAATCAGCCACAATGCCCCGCTGCCCGCTCATTGCACTGTGCCCCCTTTGCCCCCTGACTCCTGCCACAGAGGAATAAATCAAAAGCCTTTCTCGCTTAAACCCATCAGGGGACATGCTGCCATTTGTCTCGCTCCTTCCTAATATGATGTAATCGGATCAGACCGGGCTTCATAGATTTGAGCTAGGACGCTGCTATTTCCAATATTTGTGTGTGGTTGTGTTTGTGTGTTTGTTTGTGAGTGTGTGTGTATATGAATTCGGACGTCCCCTGGAGAACTGGAATATAAACAGTAAATTGAAAATTAAGAGAGTGTCAACATTTTATCAAACATTAACACCTCTTTAACAACAGTTTAACAAGATTTTTTGTTTCTTGTTTTTTTTTTTGTGTGTTTTAACATTTTAGAATGTGTTGCTTTTCACCTAGGTCCAAACTTAGCTTTATAAAGATTAGGATCAGACTTTGCAAACAAGCAGTGAAGTAGGGTTGCTCCCTTATGGATCAATCTGCCAGTCACTGATTAGGATCTTAATCCAAAATTAGACACATGAAATAACAAGCATGTTAGCATTGTCTCTGAAAACATGTTAGCATGCTCAAATGTGCAGTATAACAGAGACATTAGGACAGATTTGTAGCTGTGAAGTTTTGCAGCACCCAAATATTTCCTTTAGACTTTTTGTGTTGTTGCATAATCCAAAAAAAAAAAAACCTTTTGCAAAGCAGAGAAATACTCAACTCTCTGAGCAATATATTCTCTACACCAAAGAAAGCTACTGATTCATATGACACCAAAAAAACACAACCCCCACACACACATCAAACTCACTCCTCCAATGGATCAGTCCAGCTGGTTTATGAGGAGGTGGAGGGGGAGGCAACCTGATTGACTGCGTGAGGCAAATCATGAGCTGCCATAGGTGTCAATCTCAACAACAGCTGCAGACTAGAAATGGTATCCACATACGCACATATGTCCATGGACGTAAATGCTCACTAACGCACTGTGAAACACTTACTGCACACCAGACCTGATTTATAGAGTTGGATTGATTTCTCCTGAAGATTGGCCATGCAGACAATTGATCAGGCAGCCCAGGGGACACATGGATCAGTGCAGAGATGAAGAAATCATAGTGTTTAAACCTCCGGCTGCTCCCAAAAATCCACACAGCACAATGTTTTGAATAAAAAATCAAAAACAAGTATAGAGGTACTCTTTCCTGCTGAGGGTGTTGACTTGGGAAGTAGTGAAGCACACTATGGAAATAAAAACTACAAAGAGCCACATTTATGCTTCTAAATGTTTAAGTTTTGAAATCTGACAATAAGAAACCCTTATAATAGGCAAACACATCTGAAGTCTGACGCACACTTCAGCACACAATCATGCAGGCTTTAATTGGGCGTTTTAATTACCCCAAAAGTGAGCTTTGTTTAACAGCAGTATCAAATTGATTAGACATGGTGTGTATGATTGTGCATGTGCTTATACACATCTAAGAGTGAGCACACGTTTGTAAAAGACTTCCTGTCTTGCGACTGCACTTGTCCTGCGGGTCCCAGCTGGCACACAGAGGGGGTGTATGGGTGTTGGTGATGGGGAATTAAGGATGCAAATACCCCTGTCAACCCTGGCAGCGCCCCTTGGGAGCAGATGATTTACATGGATCTACTCAAAGACAAGCGAGCGAGTGAATGCCTGCGTGTGTGTGTGTGTTTGCATCCGGGACAGTGGGCTCCACCTGGCATGTCTCAATACACTCTTGAACACACACTCCAGCTCTGAAGAGGCTGTGAAACCAGCAGAGGAGCCGTTCCTAATGGCCCACTCAGACTCTAAAATAAGAGTCAGCAAGTTAGAGTGAGCGTGTTTTTGTGAGTGCATGTGTGCACTGCATGGAGAAGAAGACCTTTGCCTCCTAATGCGAGTCTGACAGACAAAGAGAGGTAGGAATACAAGTAGAAATTAGAGATGCAAAGGATGAAGGACAAAGAGTGTTTAATTTTAGCCTTCCTCCAACTACACAACAACAATAATATAAAGAGTGGGTCAGACAACATAAGTACACAACACCAATAAAAAAAGAAACACTGCCTTTTTCTCTCCCATTGCATGTGTGGTCAGATTACGAGCTTGTTTAATAGAACTGCTGGCCTTTGCATTAGCAGCAATGTTATGGAGCCTGTTTTTGGATCTCTGAGACAAAAGGTCAAGGAGATGTTTATGGGCAGGGATGCCAGATCTGAGGCAAAACCAGTCAAATGGAAAATCAAAACCAGCTCAAAACTCGCCAGACAGCAAAAAGCTTCCTAAAAAACTAGCCTGATCTTTTTAAAAGTTAGAAAAACCTCTGCTGCACCATACATACTAAAATATTTACAAAACAACTACACCATAAACAATAAGTGTGTCATTACAGAAAGCTTTTTTTTTTTTTTGGAATAGTTTAGATTTTTATCAATTAATTTTTCAACATTAGAAATAGGTCCACTCAACCAGCAGAGAAAAAAACCTTCAATATTTTCACATTTGATATTTTTAGTAATTAAGTCATTTCTGCTGTAGATGTTACATAAAATCTGAGAATAAATGTGCCTTGTATATTTTTATTAAGGGAACACACCACAGAGAGCAGCAGTGTGACTCATTTATATGCTTTTAATAGTCGTAAGTCAACAATGAGGCACAGAGAAATGTGCTCTACCGTGCAATACTTATTGGTTGGGGAAATTCACTTTTGGTTTCGATGGGAATTGCTGACAAAATTGGATAAATAGAATAAATAAAATAAATAAAGCACATTTTATCTAGAATTTAGAAGAAGTAGGAAGCGTATGTCCAATGATGTTTCGTATAATGGCTCCTTTCCCAGCAGATAGAATGAAAATGTAAGATGGACACACTCCTGCCCACTTGGTTTTTAGTCTCTTGGGTCTTTGTTCTCTCCATTAGAGAAAAAAAACAACCTCTGAAGACAAACTAATGGTTGTTTATTTGTGGGAGGTTTTGCCTTTCTTTGTATTTTTATGTTTTCATGACTTATCACATCCTTACACATTCATACTCTACCTGAAAAAGTGTGTCTTTACCGGCAACAGTTTCAGTCTTACAGAAAATGAATGAACGTGTGAGTAATGGCCCCCGTTTCTATTCTTTCCTGCCTTCCCTCCGGAGTTCATTTATCCATGTCCTGTCCACGTGTGTGCTCATATGTCTGTGTCGCTCCAACCCTCCTCAAGCTACGGTACGCTTAACACATGATAGATGCGTGCGGTAAATCGTAAAAACATTCGTCCAGCAGGTATGTGTGAATCTTTAAAAATTGCTTTACACTTCTGAAGTGTGTTTGTCTGCAGCGAAGACAATCATTACAGCATTCCTGACAAGTGACATAGACGCACACAAACAGGATGCTAGTAAAACCTTTGTGGTTTTTGTTATCGTTTTGGCTCAGACTGAAAAATTGAAAAGTGAGAGAAAGAGGATTACACCTGTCAAAACAGTAAGGGATAAACATTTTGTATATGATTCAACATAAACATATTCTTCGTCCTCTCTATTTTGCTTCTCTGTCCCTTTTCTACACTCATCTGAGCATCACTTACAACCTTCTGCTAAACTCGGACAGTTTGCAAAACAGGAAGCATTACAACACTCAGCCATTCCTGCACATCTGGACGAGGCCGACAAACGCACGCGAAGGCACCCAAATGTGCATCAACGCACTTATGCATACACACACACATGCACACACAAGGACAAACACACATGCACTTAAGTTCATCCGTCTCACCGGTATGTCGCAACAGGATATTAGAGGCCTTGAAGATCATTTCTGATATGAGACATGAATGGTTCATGAGTGTATCAGCACGCTATGTTGCATCCATGAACCCACTTTTTTTAAAGCCTGGGTCCAGTCCAACACATGCTACAACAATCTGCCAATGAGGGGATTATTATTCAAGGGCTGATCCTCATGTGTGAGAAAGTGAGGAAAATGAGTCAGTTTATTGGGGTTTTAGGTTAGCTGTCTTGAAATCCATTTACCCTAGAGGAAGACTTAATTCAAATACTGAGTTTGGGAGGATGAGCAATTTACTTACTGTCCTGGAAATATGCTGACAAACAAAAAACAGATATTAAAAAACAGACTCATGATTCTGCGAGCAGCTGTTCTCATACAGAGGTAAAACCTCAACATCTCCTCTTTTCCTCTGACATTTGGTCTCCACACCATACAAAAAGCTTGGCTTTGAACACATGAAACATAAATGCTGTCACCATAAGTCCTTCAGCAAAGCCATGTCAAATCAGGACAGGAGTTTCCTCTAAGAAGGTAAAATAAGGTTTGTTAGAGTTTAGATCCTCCTCTCTACAGAGGTAACTCTACACTAACATTGCACTTTAAGCCCTCCACGGCAGGTTTGAAACGAAAGAGTCATACCTGTGTGGGTGTTCAGTCAACTGTGCTGAGCTGCAGGAAGAGAGTCACTATTTCTGAGGTTCTTTGAGATTGAATACATGAATAAAACACACGCTAACCATTAAAACCGATACACTGGACACAGTCTTACAAGGTTTTTATGAGTGGCATCATAAAAATGTCAAACAACACTCCCCTTTTGCATTATCTCTTTCACGCTTCCTGTGTGTGCTCGAGAAGTTTCCTCTCAAATCTAAATCCGAACTGATCTAAATACTGACTGAGCCGCACACACATTCAGCTAAATAAACCCAGCAACGAGCCAAGGCAGAGACCATAATGTGTGGCAATGTTGGGGTGTATTTTTGTTCAAGAGAGTTGTTTCCTGTGGAACTGTATTTTACAACATGCTTAAAGCCAGCTGCAGCTCTGCTCGCACATGGCAGACAGACAGGCAGGCAGGCAGGCTTGTTGTGTGCAATGCCTGAGCTGTCACTATAGCGATGGGTGAAGAGGTGGGACTGATGACAGTGAGAAAGCATCTAAAAAAATCTAACTTTGGTGGACAAGATATCACTAAACTATAAAAATCTCATTTTCACAAAGAACAGAACAAATCCCAGACATAGCCAGTTAACTGTCACATAAATGAAAGCAGTACAGCTATAAAAATTGTCCTTTATCTAATATCTTGCTTCTGTATCATGTTTTTGAACACTATTAGTTTATACTGTTTGAAACCTTTTCTGAGAGGCTGTTTATGAGGTAAAAGAAAATTAAGCGACACAGAAATAAAAATGTATAAAGCAATGGTTACCTTAAAAAACACACATTTTGAAAGTTATGCGTTGCATCATTTGACCCTGAAGATTATGTTTCCACTTCTTATCATTCCATAGAGTTTGGTTCAGTAGCAGCACTGCAGCCCTACTGTATTCAGCAGAATTTCTCACCAAGTCTGAAAACTTCTACTTGTGCTTTAATTGAACTTAAACCGAGTCAGATTTACTCTGATCCAAACAGACGATGTCTTCTGCCTCTGGTGAAAAAACAAAAGTTATAAAAATATTCAAACACCAATCAGTCGTTCTGCTGACTTCCTCCTCAAAAACACTTCAAAAAGAGGTCAACACATGAGATCAGGATGTTCTGAAAAATCTGTTTCCAGGTAACAACCCTGTTTGTCAACAGTTTTGTGTCTGTACCTAAAACCACAAGCTGTGCTTTAGCTCTGCCACAACACTTTCATATGACTCAGTTAGATGTACTCATGAGAGTGAAACCACAGCTTAAACACGCAGACAGCTGCAGCTTTATTAATAACAAGAACTTTTGTCTGTTACACTCATATCATATAAGATGACAACACAAAGAGAAGAGAAAAATATGAGAAATAAGCTTTTCTCCTCAAACTAAAATCACTTCTTCTGTCTAAATATTATAAATTGCATTACGCCAAGACTTTGTATTTCTTTGTTGAACCTGTGGTTATAAGAATCTCTTTCTTTCTCTGTTTTGATCTTTCTATTTCATCATGATATTCAAGCTCACCTCCTGCATGCATTTTTTATACCCAGTAACAACTTAATGGTAATTTTCCCATGATACTAATTGAAGGTAAGCATGAGTGCTCCTGTGCCATCAATAAGCACTTAAATCTTTCTCACATCAATAACTAAAGAGCCTGTCAGCTGTCAACTCATGTCTTGAAAAACAAATCATATACAAAAAAAGATATGATTGTATAACAGTGTAAGAAATTGCCGGTTTACATGACAGGAAGCACGTGTTTGTGTGAGTTGCAGCAGAGCTGATGAAACTCAACAGTCCAGAGAGGACTAATATGATTGAGGAGGCAGATGGCAGGAAGCAGACAGCACTAATGCAATGTCTACTGCATTAAGTCCAAAGAGACTGACCACAGAGCATTGTAAACACACACATGCACACACAAACAACAATGGATGGAATAAAATGCACAATCATACAACAATCAAATGCACAAACATGCATCTCATTTATGAATACTCCTGGTGTCATACTAAAAAAAGAAAGACGTCCTCTCTCTGTCCTCCTCATGGAACAGTTGTACCAGAAATATCCTCCCTGCTGTATGACTGGTGACAGAACACTGCTACCTGTCAACTCAAATCAGAGTTGAAAGATAGGAAGAGGAACAGAGAGAGAGGGAGAGGAACAGAGAGAGAGAGGGAGGGAGAACTGGGGGATGCTTTATTCCTCACTTTCCCTGGGCGTTTGTGTTTATTTGGCTTGTCACCGCCTCCTCGACAGGGAGGACAACTGCCCCAAATCCTTCAGTCAGCAAAGCCCAGGGTGGAGCCGGCCGCTCCCATCGTACCCGCATCACATTAGAGACTCAGCACTACCTCCGCAATGGAGGGCCTAAGTATGAAAAATACCCTGTCATGGCCAAATGGATGAATTTCGGAGAAGAGGAGATATCAGTGACTGAATTTGGAGCACATTCAGTGTGTCTGATAGTTGTGCTTGCTTAGTACATGTAAAGCTGTAGCGCTTTGTTGTTGTTTCCTGCAGCGCTGCTAAGTTCTTTTGAAAGGATTGTGCGTGTGTGTAGGTCTGTGAGAGTGTGTCATCCCTTTTAGGCTTTGTCGATTGCTCTGTAGGGTTTATTGTTCCACAGACAGCTGACAAGGATGTAAGAATAACCATCAGCTACACAAGTATGCCCCCACACAACCACACAGAGTCACAGCAAAATAACAAGTTAGTAAAGGCTACTTTTGCATGCACTCGAGTGTGACTGAACTGCATTTATTTCCCTCTGACACAGTTCCCTGATTTCTAATATCAGCTGAGCCAACACCAAAACCACAAGGATATCCTCAGTCTTCCAGCCTAGATCTATTTTCTCTATCTGTCCCTTTACCAAGTAAAATTCCCCTTAAGACCCAAATCTCCAGCCAAACAGATGTCCCCTGGGCTTTAATCTGTAATTCATTTTAGTCTTGATGGCTGGCCTTTTTCAGGGTGATAGATCCATGATTAGTGGAATGGAGGCCGAATCTTCTCTGTCTTTATAAAAAGCCTAATCCCAATGCTTGCTTGTGACTTCAGAGTGGATCCCTCAAACCGAGCCTGACCCCATGCTGGGAAGGGCCACTGCTATAGGGAGCTTACCCCCCTCACACACACCTCATTATGGGTGCTGGATGGGATCGGGAGGTGTCATTAGTGGCACACATCTGAGGTTCACTGCATTACATTATCCTGGCAGCCTATGCAGGAGCTGCTTTACAAGGTGCCTTTTCAGGTCGACTCATTTTATGAGCAGAATTAGCAGACTTTATCGCTCTCTGCTTATATGACTTACCCCGATGCTAATGCTGTTAACAAGATATTGTAAAAAACATGCTGGGTTGGGGAGAATTAAAGCCAAAGCTGCTGCCCATGGACACACAAGTAATTCTCTAAATCCAATTTAGAGAAAGCTCTTAATCACTCAGTGGTAAAACAAGTATGTGAGATTACAGAAAAACAGATCATTCTGACACTAATCCTTAATCATCTCGCAAGATAGATAATAGTAAAATGCGGACTCTAATCTTGAAATATCCTGGATTGTTTCTTTCTTTTTCATCTCTTCATTTAACATGTGAGTGTGCAACCTCACATACACAAGACCAGGGTTAAATAGATCCAAAAACGCTGGCTACTTCTGTGGGCTGACTAATCAAAATTTAAAAATTCCTTTTGGAATTCATGGATGCTACATTCTCCACTCTTGGGAGAGATGAGGTACCCTCCAGCATTTTTTTTTATCAGTTTAAAAGTCAGTATCTCTGATGCTCTTGGGATGTACATCTTTTCATGGTATGACTATTTCACACATCTGGGAAGTCGCTATTAACGCTGAACGCAACATAAACAGGTTTTGGAGCCACCCCAAAAAGCAGTAACTTTCTTGCATGTTTGAGCAAGAAAATGTGTAACCACATTCTGCACACATTACAACTATGGATGCACCGATCCGATATTTGGACCAGATAACAGCTCTGATAATGACAAATTAATTTGATATCTGATGAATGACGCCGATCCAGCGTTCCAATCAATTTTTTTTTCTTTTTAATTAATATCATACACAGCAACACAGTGGTTCTGTTCACTCTATATTCTATGTCTATCCTCTTGCACTAAATGTTTACATGAAAGTCTTACTTTTTGCTGTGTGCTAATGTGCAATTCATTATTTGTTAACAAATAATATTAAGTAAATGTATATCTGTGTTAATTTGTTACCGTTTTTTTTTTTTTAACAAGGCTAATGTCAAGCCTGATGCCTTCACTCACAGGGCAAGGTGTACACTTCATTCATTTAATAGTAGTATTGGTTCGGTATCGGACGATACGCTCAGCCCAGGTATCAGTATCGGATTGGATCAGAAAAAATGGATCAGTGCATCTCTAATTAAAACAATATTGCTCAGTAGTAAAAGGGTCTGAGTGTTTAACTGTCTGCCTGCAGTCACTACCCTCCACCCACTGAAACCAACTGGGATATCATGAGTGTGTTTTTATAAGCAGATATGATGCATCACAAAAAGTCAATATCACCTTCTTTTCAAACAAGCTGCTGGGAACATCTACTCAGGCATGCTAACAAAGCTAACATATAGCTTCACTAGGAAGTAAATGTCTTCATGGTATGAGACCAAACCTTCCACCTGAGACGTGAAGAAGGCTAGACTCCACAGTAGATGGTAAAAGAAAGGCTATTTCACTAGGGATGATGTATCGAACACCCATAATCTATCTTACTATGACAGATTGCGCAGAGAGGAAACCCGTTAGCTGCGTGTCCCATCGGAAAAGAAGAAGCAGTTATGATAAAAAATGAGCCCACAGTTGTGAGCTGCAGGGCGAGTTACAGTTGGCTTCATTCAAAACACACACACACAGATGTAGTGTTCTCAAAACAACTATCCTAAACACTTGCTGTTCTGTGATAAAGCCCTGGACAGTTTGAACTGACCCCAACAAACATACGGTTACCAAGGATACTCAGTGAAATTATAGGTCACTGGCAAAATTTTACTTCGATTTTAACCTACACCTCCTCCCTGTTATCTCTAGTTTGATCATTCTGTCTCTGCTTTTCCATCCTCACCTCTCTCCTTCCTACCTGTCCGTCTGGCGTAGGTGCGGCCAGCAACACTACAACGATGTCTGAAACAAGGAGCAAGGTCGCACACAGATACACACTGCATGGACACACACTCACAAGGTCAGAGAAGCTGTGATTTTAGGCGGTGCTGCATGAGGTAAGTCAGTGAGGAGAGAAAGAGGAAATGAGGAGAGAGGGAGGAAGACAGAGAGAGGCTTGATGATGGGCGGAAAATGATTTCCTCATATCAAGCCAGATATAACGACCCGTTACTTTGTTCTCTCCCTCCATCTCCTCTCTGATGCTATCTGCTCCCGAAGAGGGGGGGATAGAAAGAGAATGAGTAATAGATAGAGAGCAACACAGGCATGCAGTGAGAGTGTCTATGCTTTCATAAATAATGGATTTAAAGGGCAGGATTGAGCTTGGTTTGACCTATTAGCCACAAACTTAGCTAACATTCTTCAAAACAACTCCATCAACTAAAACTAATGATACACATTCACCAAAATGTGTGTGACAGTGTGTATTCTCTGGGTTAAGTGTGTGCATGTCTGTGTGTGAACATCAACCCGTTGATTACCTGCCCATGCCACCACCCCCTCAGATTCCCCTCTCTCCTCCTACACGTTGCCCCCGGTAACAGGGCGAAGGGGAGGAGGGGTTGGAAGGGGTGGATGGTGACCATCTGTCAGTGGCCTGAGGATCAATGGAGCTAAAGGGGAGTTGGGAGGGGGGGGCGGTGAGGGAGTGGTGCAAGGCTAAATATGTGGCCCACTGTGACCGGAGCCTGGCTCAATATGCGGGCGTTTTATTTACTGAGCGAAAACACACACTCCCCACCAGTCCAACTCACACGGTGTTTATTAACGAATGGCTGATTTTGGTGCAGGCCAGGAGATGCAGGGGCTGCGGTGTCAACGAGAGACGAGCAGGACAGCTTTCAATCTGAACATAAGCTCCTGTGCCAACAGGCTTGTACAGTGAATGAAAAAAAATGTGTTATTGTGGGAGGAAGGACGTGATATTTAATAGGTTAGTATATATCTAGCTCACTGTGGTAGTGGGTCATACGAGACTGAGACAAAACACTCCGGTGCTACAGCAAAACAATGTCAGCCCTCTCTAACTGCTTATTCAGCTTCTTCACGCGGCGCACAGTGCGAGTAAACACCCCCACATGCGTTTTCGCAGATACATACATTGTGTACATCAGTTTTACACATAGAAATGAAGCGTATTTAAATGTCATGGTGATGTAAACAAGAGGGGTTGTCAGCTATAGAGCGAGGGCTCTCATTGGCACGTAGTGAGAGGAAAACACACTGACATTATGCTCTGCTGCAATAGAGCCTCATTTAAAATTCACTGTTGATGTTGGAGCTACAGCGAGAGCATGGGCAAGTGGTTTGGGTGTGGAGAGGAAAGGAGAGGATGCTTATGTTAGTCAATGCTGTATGAATCAATGTGTAACTGTTAACTTAGAGATGTACTGTATATCAGAGAACAGCCTATTTTGAGATGAAGATGCCGTATACGGGTACATAAGCAGACTCACCGAGCATTTGGCTGAAAAGAAGCTGCTCCAGGTCTCCCAAAACAGTCACCACTAACTCTGGGTCCACCTTCAGAAAGCCTTTATCATCTTCCCCCTCGACCCCCTTCTTCTCTTTCTTCTCCTCTGTTGACATAGCTGCAGGTCTCCCCTTATCTCCTATTTTCTTGCCATTGGCTCCAGTATTCCCAGCTCCATTGGAGTTAGTCTTGGTTTGCTTCTCTGCAGGGTCCAAGTCGGCACTCTGGCCTGCCTCAGTCGCCTTGCTGATGGGCTTCACCTCAGCGTAAGGTCCCCGTGGTTTACCTGGGGCAGGGATCCTGCTTGGCTTGCTTACATTCGGTGTCACAGATGGAGAGCAGAAAGGTTTGGGTTTCCCCTGGAAGAGAGACTGTTCTGACTTTGAGAGTGTCCGGGAAAGTGGTGGTCTCCCACCCCCCACGTGGACTGTCTTAGTCTGGCCTGGCTTGTTTGTGCCAGTTCCAGTGCCAGGCCTGCTGGCATCATCATTCCATCGGGGAGATTGATAAAGGTGTAGCTTCTTCTCAGCATCAGTGAGCACAGACAGGTTGCTAAGCGATCGCTGCTTGCGGAGCCCGGAAGGATTGGGGACTGGAATAGGGATAGATCCAGAGGAGGGTCTGTAGACCTTGAGCTCTGATCCCCCAGAGGGACGCGCAGGTCCCTGGGGCAAAGCGGATGGCTTGGTTGAGGACTTCCTTGTGGCCATGGCCTGGGCTGGAGTTTCCTGGCAGGAGACAGCAGCAGCAGACCTCAGGTCCAGCTCTCTGGGCTTAGCCGTCATGCTAATGTTAGCCACATTAGCCTCCAGCATCCCTCCTGCAGAGAGCCAAGCAACAGCATCAGTGACACAGTCTGATACACATACACACAGGTAGACAGAAAGAAACGGAGGAGGGAAAGGGTAGAAATACAGATGTAAAAATGTCAGCACTGTCAGGTTCGTCTCATTCCTGCCTCCAGAGGATCCAAACTGAGGCAGAATCCCTGCTGTGTGAGCCGGTCGCTTCACCCCTATGATTCAAATGATGAGTGGGTCTGAGGGTGGAAGTCACCCTTACTCACTTTTGGTAATCCATGGATTGCAGATCTGTATCCAGTGCCCAAATCCAACCCCCTGACAGTGTGTGTGCTGCTTCCTGAGCCACAACAGCACAGCAACAATAAGAACCAGCACTGACCAGCCTCTTCCTTTCTTTCTCTGCCTCCCTCACTGCTTCTCTCCAGCTCTGTGTTCACTCCTGTTCGCCAGGCAGGCAGCAGCCGAATGACAGGAGAAACAGTCACCGCAGCAGCAGCAGCAACATCCACCCCCCTCCTCCTCTTTCTCTCCTCCCCTCACTCGCTGGTCTGCTCACTCGACCCCCGCTGGCTCATTCACCCTCCCTTTTCCTTCTTCCTCCTTTAGCCTTCCCTCCTTTCTTGTTGTCTCTATCTCTCTCTCCTCCCACTGGCTGATTCACCCGCCGATCTTTCGCTCTCTCTCTCTCTCTTTCTCTCTCTCTCTCTCAAATACGCACCGCAGATGCTGTGTTATGCTTCACGCTAGTGAAACAGAAAGAAAAAGGGGGAAGAAAGGAAGCCAGAAATTGGAGAAAAGAAAAAAAAAAACATCGATCTCAGCTGCATTTGACTCTCACTAAACTGGACGCCAAATACTGTATTACACCCTGAAGCAAAGACCCCCTGCAATTACACGTGGACATCTAATAATTCATAATCACATTAACTGCTCTATTCATCCATTCACATTCAGATTTTCTCATGTGCCCACAAGAGGCCCACCCATGATTAAGCTGATTCAAATTATCTGAAAAAAAGCGGTGACGGCAGGATCAGCTTAGAGGAGGAGAACAGGACGCACATTTATCAGCCCCTAATACACAGGGAGAGAGGTCAGCCACTAATTATGCTTCAATTAGCAGCCAGCAGACCCCAAATGATCATCACACCCCCTCCCACCTGCACCGTTTTTCTCCTTCACTTAAGTCCATCACTCTTTTTTTCATTTCCTACATACACAGTATATGTCAGCCTCCCTCCCCCTCTGCAGTTAATAGAGATGCACAGACTATTAAGATTGCCGCATAAAAAATCATTACAGTCCCATTCATCTCACAGCAAAACACAATTTATGTGATCCTTAAGTGATTTAAAACAAGCACAAGTTGCACGTGTAGATTTGTGAATGACTGTTAAGTGTCTACATTTTTGTCTACCCTCCCTTTGGATGCGTCAGAGTGTGCGTGAATGGGACTATCACGTCCAGTGTGTCAGATTGATGAGACAGTCTCAGAGAAGACACAGCTCCAATCCAGGAACTCCATTAGCTCATCCTATCCAAATCAAGACAGGAGTAACTTGGACTCTTCAAAAAATACCTAGTTTCACCCTGTCATCTTCTTTTGTTTGAGCTGCAAAATATCTGCACAACTTGCTATTTATTTACATATACTGTTTATATGTCATATTTGAATATATACTGTATATAAAATTTTTAAACTGCACTTTACTTCAGTTACTTTTTTCTACAATTTTATTACCTTATTCCTCTTCATTTTAAACACATTTTAATAAATGTGCCATGTAGCTGCTTAAAATGAGAGATGCTGCCCCACGAAATTTCCTTGTATTCCTGTACAAGGACAATAAAGCTTCTTCTTTTTCTTCTCTTTCTCCTTCTTCTCCTTCTCCTTCCCCTTCCCCTTCTTCTTCTTCTCCTTCTCCTTCTTCTTCTTCTTCTATCCTGCAAGCAATTTCCTGTCTTTCTTAGCAACACTAAATCCAGATCCGATAAGAGGAACATCATCAGAGACAGAGGAATCACATCTTATCAGTCTATATTTCCATTAGAGGGAATCATGATGAGAGTGCATAAAATAAACTTTTAGTCCATCATTGCTCACAAACGATCAATACAAGTGTTTAAAACAGAGTCTGTTTTTCTGTATTAATGCATCCATGCAGGTAGCTTAACTGGTGAAGTCGGTGTTATTGCCCTGGGTGTATTACCGTTAGTGCACTTTACTTTCTCTCTCACACACAAGCAGCGATGCCTGCAGCCGTGATGTTATCGCATCCCAAACTGTTGGGAGAGGTATAAAAAACAAGCAGGCTGCTGGGCTAATGCCCGTTTTCCGTTACATTTGCATAAATTGGTTGACATTCAACGAGAGGGAAAACAAGCTGTGTCCTGTTTGCTCAAATTTTGCACTCAATATTAGAGAAGTACTTTTTAAAAAACTGCTGATTTTTTTAATAGTAGCAAAAGCAGCGCCAACTCAACTCCCAAAGTGATGACAACACATATCATAGTATTAAAACATCACACTTTTTAAACAGCTCAAATCTGTCTTTAAGTGTGTGTAACACAGAAGCACAGTAGAAGAGTAAAACAGATATCAATAGTTTTTTTTTTATTTTTTATTGTGCTAAGGCTACAGCCATTCATTAGAAGCAGCTAGCTTTAATAAAGAGCCAATGTTAAGGTGGTTGTGCCACACTGGGGCCAGAGCTGTGTGGTGACAGTTATGGGGGGCTCTGGGGGCTGGTAGCAGGCCAGTAGAGAGGTAAGAGGTGTAATTTAAGGCTAATAGGTGCTGTACGTCAGCTCTTATATCTCCCTGATGAGGGATTAAGGTAAGTTAAACGAGAGTGACCACGTACAAGGAGGTCTGTGTTGTGCACAGATGCTTGTGCGGCAAAGACGTGTGTCAGTGCTTTTGAAAGCACGTACACACACACGCACACACAGGTCAAGAGTGTGTTGGTAGAACACAGCTACTTGTTTGTTCCAGTGCTCGTCTCTCTGGCTCCACAGACTAATCACTTTAATATATGGCTGATGTAAACATATAATCTCACTCTTTTTCGGCTTAGTTTCTCTAAGACACACACAAACTCATTTACTCACACAGACCCACACACACAGCATGCTGTTTGTGCGGGGTTGTCTGACTGACCTGAGCAATCTGGCCTGACATCAGAGAAGCTGGCAGTTTCAAAGTGTGATGAGTGCCAGTGCTCAGTATTAGCCTACACATTCATAGCAGAGGAGACTCACACATTCGTACGTCACAGGTGTGTGTCTGTGTGTTTGTGTGTGTGTGTGTTTGAGTATGACTGACCACAGAGGCCAGAGCTGAAATTTTCCTTAATCACAGAAAAACTGTTCAACAGACGCATAAAGACACTTTTTAAGCAAAGCTAACAGAGACAGTAAAACAGACACACAGTTTTTGACATTTTTACTTTCTTGCGTTAAGCTGCCTCTTCTATTTTACTACAACCTTTTTTTCAAGTGATACAACCAGTAGGTTGTGAATCTTAGTGAAAACAGTTAAAAGAAGGATTAGAAAGTATAGATGTTAAATGTAAAGCACAAATTTGTACCTTGATTTGGATTCTTAATAAATCTTAGAGAAAGTGTCACACAAACTCTTGAAAGACTGTTACAACTAGCTAGCTTCTTCTTCACTGCATGTTATAAACTCAGAACCATCCTCTCTTATGAACCAACTACTTATACATCATAACCATACACTTATTCATCTTGCAGATATCAATAATGCATTTATTCTGAAGGCACCAGTACATTGCGACAGCACAAGTTATTAGCATAACTTTCATGCTGCTTCTAAGGACGGCTTTTCAACAAAGGGGCTGAGCTGACCAGGATGGCTTTACCTCACACACCCCCACTTAACAAACAAAAAGCCCTGAGCCCTTCCCTTTTAACTTCGACAAAGCAGATGGTATGCCTCTCACATCCACCCACTCCCTGTTTGTTCTCCTTGTTTTGCCTTTACATGTGTGACTTAAAAATAAAGTTATTCTGAGGCAAGCATGAACAGTGAGAGAAGAAAACTAGGATGATTGTGGTTGATAGGAGAAGATGATGTAAAGCAGAAGGCTTGTGATGCTGCAAGTAAGGAGAAAGTGTTTCAGTAGGTCTGCAAAGTGATGCAGTGAACAAGACGATGAAGAAAGTGAGGAGAGGAACAGGGACGGATATCTGAATAGGTGCCAGAGGAGCAGAGGAAGCCTGTAAGACAGAGAGGGGATATCCTGCCTCACTGCCTTGCCACTCCTATGTTCACTTATGTCCGCTAATGCATGAAGCGTTGGGTCCACAGGACACTGGGATGAATACCAGACTGTGACACACACACATAAGGGAACGCACACTGCGCTAGCACAATAACCGGGTTATTGATGTCCTGTTTACACGCACAGCAATTCAATACATACAGTGTGTGGCCTCCGAGTGTGAGTCAAAAATGTATGTGTGAATGACAGAGGATGTTATCCCAAAGTGACACCTCTTTGGTTGTCCAACTCACAGCTGATGATGCAAGGATGAGTCACTGGTATGAGCATTTGGGAAATTCAGACACTTTAAGGCTATCCGTTGCAATAGCATGAGTGTCACTCACACTAATTCCTGAATCCGGAGGCACAAATGCTAATCCAACAAAAACACTATTCTCTCATGGGGCCACCGTCGGACACTCATCGTGAATCACACACAGCTGAGAGCTGAAAAACACCAACGGCCATCTGGGAAATATCAAAAGTCAATCAAAGGGATGATTTTTTTTTTGTGTTTTTTAAGGATATTGTTCATTATACATGCTTCCTTATAGACAAGTCGCTGTTGACATTCTCTACACACTTCCCAGGGGTATCCCACAATGCTGTGCTGCCTTGGCTGGTTGCCTGGTTACAGCGTGGTGTGTACACAGCAGCAGTAACATCAGTGTGAGTGTGTTTCTTTGTGTAACTCTTGTTTGATGAAAAAGAAGAGTAAAGTATAAAATCTTAAATCAGATCCTGTTTACATGTAATCTCTTAGCTAAAACGTTGACTTTAATAAAAGTCAATTTGTTAATTCTTTCTCAAACTTTAACAGAAGTCAACATTAGTGTTAAGGTTCAAACCTAGAATGGTTGTATGCTCTTCCTCAAGTTCTCTACGATCCATTCAAAAAGCAACATAGGTAATTATCATGTAATGAACATGTGTCCAGCTCTGGTTATTGATCCTCTTTAGTTAGGCGTGACGAATAATTGCCTTAGTGACTTCATTTCTGTCTGCATGGGTGTGTGTCTCTTTCCACTGAGACATGGGGAGGGTACTCACTGGACTGACTCATGATCTTGACTCCCTTCGTTGGGAGTCACCCCCAGAGGTCAAAGAAGATCCTGAGTATGTTCACTCGTTCACTCATTTTCACTCCTGCCCTGTCAGCCTCCTACTCATGTCCCTAGAGATCTTCTTTCTCCCTCCCTGTGGTGAAGGGAGAAGGAGGAAACCGGGGAGTTGGCCACTCTTTGAGCTTTAATGTGGGTTTGTGTGTTTTTACTCCTTAATTTACATATATTTACGGACAGTATGTGTGCACGTTTCGAACATTAACTTTCCCACATTGAAGATGGACCATATCATCCGAGCATGAGAAATAGGCCATCTTCTCAGCTGTCCCTACTCTGGTCTACAGAAGTCTTGACATACCAAAGTTGGGGTCAAACATAGTGTAGTGTAGTAGGACGACATTAAACCCTAAATAGTGATTACTGCCCAACTCTGCCGGTGATGAGCGAGCACATAATCTAGAGCACGCTTATGTCTGATCATCTTTCCAAAGCTACTAAACCACTCATCACTGTCCAAGCGCCAACTCGGCATATGTGTCTCTGATTAGATTGGCCAAAGAGGATTATGCACTCTCTAAGAGTTGATGCAGCGGGGGGTTATCGAAATGCTATTCACCACACAGTGCAGGGGCATTAGCGGGATGGTGCTTTTATACTTTCCTTACAAAAGACTTGCTGACTCGACCTATTCTAAAAGTGAATGGTAAAAGGGGGTTTTAGACTGTACTGCTTTACATGGGGTACATAAAACACTGTGAACGTTTCTCATGAAAAAACTCAACTGATACATCCCCATTGTATGTGGCTTCAATTTAATGCAGTATTTTATATTACACAGGGGGGCGGTATGGCTGTTTGGCTATGAATAATTTACTTAAGTCAAAAAAGTTTAGTTTGTTTTAAAAGTATTTAAAAATTCTTTGTGTATGTAACTTTAACTTGTTCATATCAATTTAAATGTTAAAATTCAGTTGAATTTATTATTATTTATCTATTTATTTATAATGCTTAGAATTTATAATAAGAATGCTTAATGTCTTATTATCTTGGCTAAAAAGTGTCATTCAGTCACCATGATAACTTTCTAGATTCAAAGTTTGCCTGAAACAGGTCAGTTTTCACAAAAACACAGCAAAACTAATGGGTTACAAGACACAAATAATCCCAAATTTGTTTGTCGTTATCACCTTATTCTTTTGGTAAGAGCTAATAATTAAAATTAAGGGAAATTATAAATCATCAGTATGTACACGCTGCAATAGTAGGACTTCTAACAAACATTGCATTGACTTATTAACACTTTCTAGTTGAGCTGAGCAAATGGATTATATCAGCTAGCAACGCACAATTCCCACCTCTGGTTTGTCACACACACACAAAAAAAAACAACAGCAAAGGACACACAAGATAACTTTAAAAAGTATTTACAAGTTTACTACATGAAACAAAAGCAAATAAACAATACTGACTGATAACTGATTTATAATGAATGAACATAAGATACTGTATCTCATGAATGGCTAATCAGTTTGCATCAAGTTAAGCATTGTGCACTGTAATATACAGAGAAATATGCGCATATATTGAGAATAAATGAAGGGAGCTGGAGTCATTACAATCTCACTGCAACAAAGAGAAACTTAGCTAATGTCCACTGAACAACATACGCAGTATAGATCACTTTGAGACTTCTTTTAATGTACGTTCAAAACAACAACAACAACAAAAAAAAAAACCCACAGCTGGAGAGTTTGTTTCCTTTTGTCTTTGTTGTGTTTTTGTACTCCTCAAAAGAGATGTAAGTCATTAACTCTTTTATCCTGTGAGTCTTTTGTACAGTATATCCATATGTGAGTGTATATGAGAGAGACAAAGTCTATGGGGAACATCAGGCCATACCCTCACTGGGAGATGAAAAATGCTACAGAGCCCGAGCATCACATTTATCCTACCAACACCATCTGTGTACTGTCACACATGCACACAAGCACTCACATACACACACATGCTCAGACCTGAACACAAGCTCAAATACACCTCTCCAGAGAGAACCAAGGTCAGGGGGTATGTGGTCTAATTGAAAGACCACATGGTGCTACAGTCACATTAAATGTTCATGTCTTCATTAGAGTCCCATCTCGAAGACGTAAGAGATGATTATGTTACAGCAGATGCAACTTAATGTATCTAAGTAGAAGGAGAATATTCAGTTTGAGGAATCAGACTCTATATGAAAGATTTATCAAAATGTCAATCTGTCTTTTATCACTGCGCACACATTTGCCCTTTGTTCTCTTTCCTCTCAACAAAAACAAAATCCATCAACCCGCTGACCTTATCAGTTCCCGTCTTTTCATGTCTCGCCCCTCTCGCTCGTTCTCTTCCTTCCCTCCCTCCCTATTTCCCTCCCTTCCTCGGCTCCCTAAATTACAGTTATTACAGTGTCAGCCCACCCTCCATGTAAATGCAGCTTCTGAGGAGTCTGAGACACATCAGTTCTGTTTCTAACGCCTTTTAGGGACCAATTACAAGGCCACAACCACAGTCTTGAGACAGCCTGAGGCCTCTAAAGACCAGGGTTGGTCTACCATGCTCTCTCATCCCCCCCTTTCCACAAGCAGCTGGCTGAAACCTCCAAAAAGCTTTTAAAAGGTTTTATTTGCAAACAGCTCCAGAGTGGTGGCCACAGTTTTCATCATGCTGGATCAGCAGTACAGACAACTCGAATTTCAACTCAGCTGTTACTGATAGAGTCTTGGAGGTTATGGATAGCTACTGTAAAATCTTTCTTTATTTCAAATCAGTGGATCCCATCTTAAATCAAACACCCTTTTATCTGTCTGAATATTGGTTTTCTCCATGATCTTCACTTTCCGCTGCAGGTTTTCCATCTTTCCCTCCAAGCTATCAGCCTCACATTAAAGGTCAAACACAGAAAATATAAATTTGGGGGGTGCTTTTATAGTGGCCAATAATGTACAATTAAAAAGTAATCAGTTTCATTGATTCATCTTACATAAAATAAAAGTTAAATGAGGTCACTATGAGCTCACTCTTTTTTTCTAATCTTTGTTTCTATCTTATTTTATTTTGCCCTATATGATTTATATACATAGGCTACTTAAAAACTCCCGACATCCCCCTCTGTCCCATGCCTATACATGCTACTTGACTGAATTATTATTTATGTATGTTATTGACTGACTGTACAAATGAATGAATATACACTGGAAAGCCACAAAGGAATTGCCCCCTGTGGGATAAATTAAGTTGTCTGAACTGAACTGAACTGAACTATAATGATACATGCATTAGTATCACTACATTGAGCCCTTGAAATACATCTAAAAAGTGGTATTGTCTGACCTTTGATGCTTAGGAATTAAATGCAGTGTTTGTTCACACACTTCTCTGCAAAGCTAGAGTGTATTTATTTGACAAAACCCTGCAAATACTGGCCACTATGGTGCCAGAGATATAGAAGGACACCATAATCATGTAAGGCAAAGTGGTTCAAAAGTAGGTCAAGTTATTCATCAACCGAGGTAGAGTATTGATGCTGATTTAAAGGAAACGGTTATCAGTGCAGCAGAGATATTAAACACCTGTCAAGAGTGTGAAGTCCAACGATGGTGAGCCAGTAAAAAAAAACATCTTAACATCATATAAAGGGTTTGTGTCCCTTTTTTTGCACTTTGAAAATGTTTTTTGTACAATTTTGAACATTTTTGCAAATCTCTTGACCTTGTTTTTGTGTTTAAGATCCCTGCCCTGCTACTTTGTCTTTCAAAATTGAGAGGCGTGATGATAATAACAATAACCATCTGAGAAAAACCTGCGAATAGCTTTCAAACTGGAAATAAGCAAAGACGTAAACCCAGTGTCAAGTTTCATTTCAAACCAAATGGGCAGGAAAACTGCCAGACAGATAAAAAGCAATTACAGTCCAAATGTTATGACTTCACCATCATAGATAAATGAGCTAGCAGGTATTTTGTCCATTAACTTTGAGTAAACACCAACTTTGACTGCACATATTTTAGCCGGATGCTTAATCTCCTTCCGTCCCAATGACACCGCATCAAAAAGAATGATTCACTAACCGCCTGATAAGTCATATCTCTGAGCCTGTCCACATCCCTCCACTCACACTGACCACCACAATGCCTAACTAGAGCTGTGGGTGCAGCGTAAACCATTACTCAAAAGGACAGGGAGGGAGGAGGGTCACAGTGGGATTGTGGCTTTTTTAGGTCAATGAAAATGCAAGGGAGTAATGAAGGGGGAGGTAAAGAAGAGATGGAGGAGAGGAGAGAAAGTTCAAACTTCTTGACAGCTCACGGGTAAAGCTGAATTCAATGTGCATGTAATACACACTGTCAGCATGTAGAGGAGGACCCCATTCCAGCCCATTACTGACCCACATCACGCCCTGTCATCTTCTTTCATGAGCACATCTCTTTTCCATCTCTTCTTATAGGAACTACTGCAGTCAGCAAAGCCTCAGGCTGACACACAAACACACACACACACACACACACACACACTCACACACAACCGCACCACTTTCAGCCATGGCTTTTCTACTCATGAGGAGAAGAGCGTGACAGACAAACATTAAGAAAGAATGGCTGACCCCTACTCCTCAGTGACTCTATTTAGGTCAGACAACGGGACCCAAAGGTGGGCTGCTAGCTTCATTTTCCATTTAACACCATTTAAAACTCAGCTGACTGATTAAATAAGAAAGATTTTACACAGTCACCACCACCAGTATCAGCATTGATAAATCAGAGCTGATAAATTCTTAGTAGTGAGTGTTTTTCCCGTCAACACAACAAGCAGCTTCAGTGAAGGAGAAAGCTGACATGCTGAGCAACACCTAGACTGTCAGCTTGGAGTGCAAGGGGAGCAATCTCTGTCATCGCTCTGCCACTAGGAGATGTACAGGGGTTAAAGGAGTGAAACAGCTGATGACCCAACTAGATCCACTCGAGTGTTGTGTGAGGCTTCTCAGGCAGAAGCAGCCCAGCAAGTAGACCACCAACCCTTTTCTTTTTCAGCTGAATGTTTTTGATTTCCACAGTATCAAATATTTCTTGTTAAGCACCTGGTAAAACTAATGCCATTGTTACTGTTTGTGTGTGTCTGTGTATGTGAGTATGTCTAACCTGGTGTTAGGTCATCACAGCACACTTCAATGGATCCAGATGAGCAGTCACTCAGGTCATCAATGAAATAATCACTCTCCAGCACTTGTACCCTGCATGGGAAAAAACATCACAGAGCCAATTGTCACATATCTGGTTACACGAAACTCAAATTTATGACACATCATGAATTTAAACTTTTAGATATGTGTGACAGTGGAAGAAATGTAATGACTTCTTGCTGACTTGTTATATTGACTTCCATAAGTGCAGATAAAACAAACAAAATGAATGAATAACACAATGTAAACAATTAAAACACTTTGAGCGAGAGAGAAACTCAAAAAATAACCCTCCTCCTTTGTCAGGGTCTGCACTGACAAGTTTTTATTTTTAAATGCTTAAAAGAACCACCTAAATTAGCTTTTTCATATCAACACTTGTTGACTTTGTCAAGAACCCTGATTTCAACATTAAAAACAAAAAAATTACATTGACTAAATTATAAAATGCTCTTATTAAAATTATAGCACTTGTCGTGATAGGGTCACTGTTGACCCGGTATGATCAATATCTAATAATCAGAGCAAAAACTAAAAAAACAAGTGCACTGTCAGGCACCACACTAACGGTCAGATCCTCTTTCAATCATGTGAGATATGGGGCATTCTCATTTTGCCATGTTTTTTCCTGCACAAAAAACAATGTTGGGCATGTCCAGACATGTGAGATCAATTCAGTATAGATGTCTGTATGAGGGGTACACTGACAAAGAAAGGCCCAGAGACCCCCCCCCCCAAAAAAAAAAAAAAAAAAAAAAAAAAAACATCATAAGCAAAATGCTGCTGATTTAAGACACGGGTCGAAAATGACCCGTTAACATAGTAGGTGCGTAGTAAAAGCTTACACAGGAGGAAGGTTATAGCACTTAACTTGAATTTCCAACATGCTCACTCTTCAAATACTTTGATTTATTCCTCTTGGATTGATTTATTCTACTACAACACCATACACCACTGAGCAGCACACATCAAACACCATATATTTTTTTAACTTACTATATTAAATTCACTTTTTCTTCTTTCATCCCACACAGTCATGAGCAACTATATATATGTGTGTGTGAGTGAGGGAGAGAACAATATATTGAGTCAGCCCAGGGGCGGTCAAAAGGACACTTGAACAATCAACTCTGCTCCAGAAAACACCAAGCAAGTGTGTATGTGTGTGTATCCTTGCGCACACATGTATTGCTGGATAAGATCGAGGGGAATTAGGCTGATATGGTCACCACAGCCCTCTGGGGTCTAGCACTCAGAATGGAGCTCAAAATGTGTGTCAGTGTGTGTGTGTGTGTAAAGTTAAAGTGGTTAAATTTAACAATAAAATAACAGGAAAATGGTTTTAATGTGGGCATCAACAATCGAGAGATCATGAAGGAGGTTTGGGGAAAAATGCTGTTTGTGTGTGTTACCTGTAGCTGAAAGGAGCCACAGTCGCCATGTTGACCCTCGGTGTGAGCGTCTCTGTGGACATGGTCTCCTCATCGAGGCTTTGATCCTGCATATCAACAGCCACACTGGATTTGGCTGGCATGGTGAAATTGATTGGTGGCAGCGGCAGGGGGACAGGAGAGGAGGCGGGACTGCTGTCCTCGGGGGTACCCATCTCCTCATCTGATTGGCTGGTGGAATCACAGGGACCTCTGTTTGCATGCTCAAAGTTTGTCTTCGCAATATTGGGGCGGAAATTACCATTGTTCAACCTGATAGACTTGGGTGGTTTATCCTCTGGGAGCTCTTCCTCTCTCTGAGGAAAGGCCTCACTTGCTAACATGGATGCATTGGTGTTGTTGCCTCTTCTGAACTGAAGCGGCTGACGCAGGTTGCTGTTGCTGTGGCAGGCTGCCCACGTTTGGTTCTTGTTGGTGAAAGTGTCTTTGTTGCGATTTCCATCGTGTGAAAACTTTGAGGAGACATGAGGTGAAGTTTTTGCGAGATCCAGTGTGTCTTTAGAGTAAGCTGGCAGCACCCTGCGCTGGTTTGATGGGCTGCTGTAGGCAGAGCGTGACACCTGGGGAGCAGGGAAAGCTCCGGTCCGCTTGAAGAGCTGGCTTTTCAGGCCGGGGTCCCTGGAGAGGGGCGCAGGGATGCTGGAGCTCCTTGGGCAAAGTGAGGGAGACTGTAAGGGTGTGTGTGTGGGAGTGTGTGTGGGTGTATGCTTGGGGGTCTGAGTTAAGGGCCTGGGCAGGCCAGTAGTCCGACAGCGGGTGTCTGCTTTCGGAGAAGAGGGCAGCAGGCTGTGTGGTAGGGGGATCCCTGATGAGGTAGGAGCCCGAGGGGCTGACTTCACGTTGACTCCCCCACTCATACTGGCTGGAGAAACACAAGAAGAAAGATGCCTATAATGAGTTTAAAAGTCTGATTCCAGTGTTTTTATTCCCAAATTATTGCTAATAAGCCGGCATCCGAAGAAGAAATGAGTTTATCCTGATTGAGGTTAAGTACACGGTTTTACCCTCTCATTCATAATGTAATCTAATTTCATGTAAAAGTAGTGCTCGCTGTTCCAAACACAGAAGTACTTCAACATCCATGCTGTGCAACCATGTGAATCAAGCACATATGACAAACTGAGTCATGGTAAACCACGAGTTGAGCTTATTTTCAGTAAGGCATGCAGCGCCCGCGCAATCCAATTTGCCTGCTGGGAGTTCAAAACACAAAAACAGCTTCACACACACGGACAAATGCTTACAGCAAACATCGACCAGCTGCTTCAGAGCGTTATAATCTCAAATAACTGGTTTTCCTCACATAATAGATTAAAATACGCACTCCAGAAGGCTCGAATGGACACACACCACCACTGAAATACAAAGGCGGGGGGATGTTGGATCGTCCTCACCTGAGTTGCTCTCAATCCACACATTCACAGTTTTTCGTTACCCTCTCGCTGCAAAGAGAGTCGGCTGGATGTTCCTTTTGCCCGTCTGTTGTATTTAGACCACAGCGAATGTTGCTCAAGTGAAACATTTCATGTAATGTCATATAATTTAAGTATCCTGCTCTGAAAGGAATGAAAGCAGGAGGTTCTGAGGTTGGAGGGAAGACGGGAAGGGAGGGGAAAGGGAGGAACAAGCACGTGTGGAGGGAAAGAGATTGTGGCGACTGAGGGACACTATTGAAGCTGATGAACTTTGAAGACTTCCTGCTGTCCTAATTTTGCCGTTTTGGTTCGATTAAATACAAGAAAAGAGCCAATTCAGAGGAGGAAGAAGAGTGATTTCAAGCAGATTCACTTAGTTTGAACTTTTTTTTTCTTAAGTCCATTTTTTTCTCTCAAGAACAAATTTTTTGTACGATCGGTTGTTTTAAGGTTTGCTTTTAAGGTTAGAAATTAAACATCTGTGTTTACTACAGAAGCATACAGAAATAAAGGTGTATAATATTAGGAGTTTAAAGTGCAGAACTACAACGGAGTATAAGGGCCATATCGAGATTATATGAACAAAGTCATTACTAATGAGAAAAAAGTCGTTAAATCATTACTTGAGAAAATAAATGCATAATAAAATAATTTCTTACGAGAATAAAGTTGCAATAACACATTTTGATACTTATGATAATGTGGTGCTGATGTGCCAAAAGACTGAGTATCTCATTGTTTGAGAAACCTATATTGAAGTATATTTTCATGAAATACTCCATAGCTCTCATGTCAACAACTGTCATCTTAAGCAACAGGTCAGAATGTAATGACTTTATTACGACTTTTTTCTCGTAAGTAATTACTTTATTCTTATAAATTAATCTTGAAGTCTTAAATTTTTTTTCTTAATGTGGCCCTTATACTCTGTCGTACAAAATAGTGTTCAAGTCTGCAAAAATGCCTTTATTAACAACTATTTTCTTTTATTTTTCCCACAAGGCTGAAAATTGAAGTGAGAAATATGCTTCAGCTGGATAGATGACCTGCTCCTTTAAGACGGTAAACAAATCATGCAGCTGTTGCTGTCCAGATGTGGAGGAGCAGGTTAACAGCTGCTGTTTCATTCAGCATGGATAGGAACATGTACACAGCCATGAGTTGTATATACTGTATATATAATCTGTTTGACTTTCTACGTCCTGTGCCGCTCTTTCATTGTGGAACAATTCAGTAAAAGAAAAGTGTTTTTATAATTAAGAATTTACTCGTAAACATATGATTTAACGCTGATCCCTACTTGCCCTTTTTTTTAAAAAAGCAGACATTTCACTGCCAGAAGACTTCTTGGGAAGCTGTCTTTAGCAAAGCAGAGATGTATCAAATTAAACCGTCAAAGTCACGAGGATAAAATGTGGGATTATTTGACAGCAAATCCAATCGCAATGTTGCATACAGTGTAAAGTGGATCACACAAACACACACATCTTCCCGCAGTCTCAGCAGACACTCTGTCTTTTCAGAATCACTTCACAGGAAAGAGTTTGACTGCTACGGCTCAAAAACTCAACACAGATCCCCCAAAAGCCCTCAAAGTGTCAAATAAAGGAAAAACCATCTCCCATGTAGGAATTCTTTCCTTCATCCACAGACTAAAGAGAATTGGGTATTTTTCCTAGAGCTGGTGCTTTATTATAGATGACTCATGCTGATGAAGATCTGCACAGCAGCACATGGCAGCAGTGATGCAGCAGAAAGTAAACAGAGACAGATGCCATCATCCATCCTCATTTCTCTCTCCCTGAATTCCTCCTCACGCTCCTCATCTCACTCTTCTTCTTTCTTTCCATTTCTCTAGAGGCCAAGTCGCTAATAAGCATCAGAATTTTTCTCTGTCTGATACAATTCCTGCTAGGATTTCCTAGAGCACAGGTGCAGTCTGGTTCTGTGTCTATCTGTATGGAAATTGGCTGTTCCCTGGGGGCACACGGGGGTCATACCAGAACTCCTGCAGCCCACATAACCACAGAGCGAGGCTCAGCTGGTGGGGGGGGTGTCAGTGGGTTTATATCAGCAGAAAGAGAATGAAATCGGAGGAGAACAAGAAACAATAAAACATCCGTGCTGAGTGAGACCAGCAGCTGTATGCGAGTGATAAAACTGGAAAATCAATTTTTCCTTTGCACATAAGAAGACTTTCTCTGCATCATGTGATCAAACACCATAAAGAGAAGATCAATCTGTTATATAAGCACATTTACAATGTCAAGACTGTTGATTTAGTCTGCAGTCTCATGATAAGTCAAACTGCTGATGACTTTTCAAGAAATAAGTAGAGGAAACAAATGTAAAAAAATGCAATTACTGGCTTAGTTTCTGCCAATGGGGGTGAATGGATAAGTCTGGTGCTAAGAAATGTTTGTAAAATTAAGTGAGTAGTTGAGTTTGCATGTAGGATCAATATTGATTTGTCCATCTGTCATTGCTCTCATAGTATGACTAAATAGATCTTACATAAAAAATCAGGACATAGTAAAAAGATCACTCAGTTTACAGGCCAGGAGGTCTTCAAGTCAACCCTCAGGATTAAATTCGATTTCAATGGGAGATATAGAGTAAATGCTGTTGCTATCAGCCACATGATTCGAATTGCTTTGCTGTTTGTGCAATATTAAAGTTAAAAAAATGATTAAAAATACAGTAAAGTTTTAGTGAACATAAAGACTTTGTGAGATGGTATAGTGACCATATTCTGAGTATTCTGGGGTGGAGTCACGGAGTCACGCAAAGTTAATTTTGAGAGTTTTTCTGGTCGGGTCGAGTGTTTTTTTACGCACTTCTATCTCAGTAAGTCCACGCGACACAAACTCGAAATTTCCATACAAAACCCTGGACATTTGAAGGATTTTATAAAGTCCCCCGAACAAAGCTGGACAAAGCCGGACAGCCCCCCAAAAAGAGGACATGTCCAGCTAAAAGGGGACCTATGGTCACCCAAGTGAGGGAAAAACGTGGATCAAACTGAACACAGTTGCACTGTAAACAACTAAATTATCATGAAGAGATTTAATTCTTTCCATCAGCTACTTCAGACAGTGATTTATGGTAAAAGAATGAAATACCATATGAATTTACATTTCAGATGCTGGGTATTTCTGTGTCTTAAATTATTTGATAAAAACTATATTTTTGATTTTCATGGGCTTTATGTTATAATCTTTAAAATGTAAAGCTAAATATGTCTTTTTACATGGAAGGAATATACAATCAAAGATTACTTTTCAATGTGAATTTTGAGCTTTCCTCTTTATGGCAGGAGACCTCTTTGTTGTTTAACAAGGATGTGCTGACACCTGCTGGATACTGTGTGTAACAGCGGCATCAGCAGATAGGATTATTTTCCTCAACTCTGATTCAGCCCTATTTTTTGTCTTTCTCTGTTCACTGCCAAGAAAGTGAAGATAATGTGAGATCATTTTAGACACTTCAGCCATTAAAAAATACTTTATACTTTTTATAGGAAGAGGAAAATAGGAAATAGCGTGGCAGCTTACATTACATGCCTCTCATAATTACATTTAACCTTTTTAACTTCTCTATCCCATGACATTCAGTCCGAATTGAGTTTCTGTACCCCTAATCAAAGAAACATACCTTCCCTCTCTCTCAGAGACAAACAGAAACACACAACCTCTCCCTTGTGATGAGAACCCTCTGACTCATCACAAAATCAATAAATGAGGTGGTAACACAGGCCTCTCTGTCTGTGAGCTGAAGGACATTAGAAGCCGCCTGTGTGTGTTTCTGCGTGTCACCCCGTCACGAAACTGTATGATGAATGAATCTAATTACCTTACTAATGACTACAACCAAAAAGACAGCGGCAACTTGCTGCCGTTAATCATCTGACACTGAATAGTGAGACACAGTGGAGCAAAAAGAGTCAAAATTACAGAACAGACTCTAAGAAAGGCAGAATTTCTTAAAAGAGAAGATCAAAAAAGAACATCTGGAAAGTGAGATCTGCTTGTTTTGAGATGTCATGTCCCAGATCAGCTCTCTTACCTGTCAATGGGGTCCTTCAGTGAGCCGCTCAATGAGTCGACAGAGCCACTAGGAGCGAGGTCACACTTCCACAGACGGCCCAGGAACAATGGGGTGTTTTTTCCTGGATCACTGTTGCATCCTCACCGCTGCCCTCTCATTGGTCCACAGTGCCTCGCCATTCATCGAGACAGGAAGCTGTGACAAACAGGAACGTCGTTTTCAGCCAATCACAGCACCTCGTTACCAAAGTGAGTCATTTTCAAAGTGACTTTGTTTGATAAAATCAGTGTTCTCATCTTTTGGCTGAAAGAATCGCAACTTCAGGCACACAACAAATGTCTGCACAATGAAATAAAGACTGTTTATGTTACAATGAGTCAGTGACCCAAATGGAAATGTACTTGGCCCACAGTGACCTGCAGTGACACGCATTCTGTCATACTCAGAGATGCCACATCATAAAGTTAAAGACTTTCTGTTTCTTCTGCACAAGAACACAGTAAAACTGCTTTACTGTTTTGGTTTCAGCTTTGTCCGGATATATTTTTGAGGGGAAACATTAAATGGACTGAGTTTGTTTTATGAGGTTTTAAATTTAGCGCAGTAAAGTTTCATCCGTTAAGAAGTTCAACAAGATTTCAGTGGAGTGGTTCTGAATCACACACAACTTTGGGAAGTCATTTCTGTCTGACACACCAGGTCCACTCTCCACCTTCTCATTATTGCAGCAATGAGAGACAAACACAAGAAACCGCACATAAACAAGGAGAAACATAATCAAACTACCAACCACATAAACACTAACATGTGTGTACAAACTTTCTTCATCAATCCGGTTCACTACTACAAATCTTACACACATCACCTGGCTGGCGGCACTGTGGAAACACTAAGCGATGTATCTATTACATGCTGCACCAAGTCATACAGACTTACAATGCTGAGTCAGGCTGATCGCATCATGTCATCCCTGGTTACCGTACATACCCCCACCTCTATCACCCCCTCTACCCCTCTTTTCATCCCACTTAAGCTCTGCCTTTCTTTGCTTTAACCTCTCTCTGTCACTGTACAGCAATGCCTACATCGCACTGCTGACTGTGTCATCCCTGAGAATTTGATCTTTCTTTGAAAACACAATGTTCTTATTTGTCTGATTTTAGTCTCTAGTACACAATAACAAACAAGGGGAGAACTGCAGTGACAGTCACATGAAAATAGCGATATAAAATAAATTAAAAAAGACCACAAGGCAACACTCACCCTCTGCCAGCATCAGGATACAAAGCAGCAAGTGAGTTTGTCTCTGATTTGTATGCTGCCGAGTGCGTCTCTCTCAGTCCTTCGCCTTTGCCTCCTTCTACTTTTGCCTGGCAGGTCTCTGAGCTGCCAGCGTGCGTGTGTGTGTGTGTCTCTGTCATTTCACTCCTTTATCACGTCATGCCGCTGGGCTGCTGCCGCAGTACGCCTGCAACCGTATCCCCGCCCCTCTTTCTGTTATTTTCCTCCCCCTCCTCACAATCTGTATCTCCCTCTCTCTCACTCTCTCTCTCTTCCTTTGGTAATGGACCTGTTGGCTGTGCTCCCTCCCTCACTGAGGTGAAATATAAGCCAAGCAAAGGCAGAGACAGGCTGGTCCATTAGCTGGATGAGGGTGGTTTGCGTGTGTCTTTGTGTGTGTGTAAGTGGGTACTTACACATGGCCGTGTGAGTAATATGCGGTACTTAAGCACATGGAGCCAGGGTTGTGAAAACCCTAACCCACGCTCTGGTTTTCAAAGTCTACTTGATGGTCAGAGAAAGCAGGGTGAAAGAGAGACCAAAAACAAACAAAGTACGCTAAAGATAGAACCAAGACCACAAATGAAAATGTGCATCAACACACAATCATACACACACATCTTATGTCTATATCTGTGTCTGTAGCCAGTGCGCATGCCTGCCTGCGTGAAGAAGCATCCTGAAGGCGGGACAGGCCATCCATCTCTCCTCTAATTTGTCCCCCATCTTTAATGAAAAAAGGAAAAGGCAGAGAGAAAACAGGGGCTCAAACGATGGACAAATCCACATGGACTGAGAAAACCATCTCCTCTCAGGCTCGTGAAAAAACATCCCACACCTGACCTTGAACTTCTCCTCCTGTCTTCATCTGTCCATCCACATAAACTGCAGTCTGAAAACCTCATCACATGTAGCCAGTCCAGACTCAGCTTACAAAGAAAATAAAATGTTGATTTAGAGTAATAGCAGTGAAACAAATAAAGTCTTTCTGTGTGTAATCCAAGTGTGTCACAGATGGAGGTGTGAAAAGATTCCACTCGCATAGTAACCACTTGAAAGCCTCTAAAGATGCTATTTTGACAACTGGACGACTAATTTTTCTGTATTTGATCAAAATTTGTTTATCTTTCTGGCTAAAATGAAAAGAATCTGGCCACTCTGTGATTTGTTTTGTTCTTGTTTGTTTTCTGATCTCTGTTCCCTCTGTGTGTGTGTGGGCCCCCCTTCCCCTTTTTCTGTCAATTTTTCATCTCATGTTTCTGCTGCGCTGGCTTACAGTATGACACACTGACTAACAGTGCTGACTATGTTATGGAGATCCAACAACACACACACACACAAAAAAATGTCACTTTTAATGCTCACTGGTGTCCTGATCATTTTTGTTATTCCTGTACGGTGTCTGTTTGGGATCGCCCATTAGACTGATGGCTCTGTAAGGCTCCCCTCTGCCTTGATCTTGACATGAAGTGCAGCCAAGAAGCTCTCTGCCTGATCATGTATTGATCAGTCATTGACTTGCACCACTAACACTGGACTTGGTCTGCAGGTCTCTGCTGCATAAATAATAGAAAATGCATCTTCTCAAACTGCACAATGAGAATACTGTACACACATCAACTAATCAACCGAGTTGATTAATGCTATTAGGGCACGGCACATGGCCCTCACCAGAGAAGCCCCTCCCCCCACAGAGACAGCACACACGCATACTGTACACTGTACAGATAACCCCCCTCCTTATTTTTGCCACACACATGCTTTAACAGTACAGTGTACCCTCCATGCTCTGTACAACAATCCCCCAAAAGCTCACCTCCAAATACTCACACGACTGTCCAGGCCGTAGTATCTCTCTCCTCTCAACAGGGACAGAAATATGTCAAAAACACACTCACATGATCTGTTGCTTTGTCTCATGAAACGGGAAGTGACTCGTAACAAACAGGAGGATTATGGGTAGGAGTGTGTAAGCGTCAGTGAACAGTGATCGTCTATGTGTGTTATGGGGCGGGGGGTTAATGTTATGGCTAATCTTCTGACGTCCCCAAAGGCACATGTCCCCTCCCTGTGGAGCAGACCCTGACAGACGCTGTTGTGACAAAGGGACACTTGTGTCACTGTCACCCCGAGGGTAATCAGGAGGAGTGGGAGTGGGGGGAGCCGTCTGCACCACGAGGCCTCAGATGTGTGGTCTCTCTACGATGAGTAAATAGAGTAATTACACAAGCCAAAAAGGTAGCTGAAGTACTGATCTAATACATTACCCAGAAGAATTGACGTTTTAGACCCCTGTGGATGTGTCAATCAAACCTCACCACTCAGTCCAGAGTGCACTTTGATTGGGTTTTGGGGGGACACTGTAACCACTAGATGGCACCGGAGAGCCTCTTTCAGATTCAACAGGGTGTCCGGTGTCAGCTGAGACAGGTTTACTGCAAGATTAAACAGACTTCACATTAAAAAAAAAGTTGCATATCATGAGGCCAGAGAGGATGTTAGTGGAATTGAGAGGAAGCAGACCAGGTAATGTTGATTCCTAGTTTCCAGTCTGAGGGAAGTTAAATATGAGTGTTGGCTGTATTGTCTTTAAACATTTGATCATCGAGGTGAGCAGTGATCTGAAAAGAGAATCTGAATAATCTTTACAAGAAACAACACATGCTTGCTCTACATTACAACTGTAAGTATGTGTTTTTGTTTGTTTGTTTGTTTTAAGTCTATTTAGTTTATTTACAATTGTCATGCAGCCTCTCTTTCTTTTGTCTTTACTTTTATTTCTATCTATTTTTATTCCTTTTTGTTTCTTTGCTCTGGTATGTGTTGTACATTTTGTAAAGTTAAAAATTGTAAATAAAGATGAAAAAAAAGATGCTTTACATGCATGATAACATAATTGAAAATAATGGAAACTGTAGATACCTTAGTTTGAAACATAATAAACCACTCTGGTGAAAATCAAACCAGTGTTTTAGCTTTTTTTTTCCACATTCAACTCAGGGGATTTCTTTACCAATCAAAGCTCTGATTATTGACTTTGAAACAACTTAACAAACTGGTTAAAATCAAAGATATCCTTGTGGCATCAGCTGGCCCATATGTAGAGGCTATATTCCTTATCACAGCTGTCTCTGGTTCAACCCTTGACCTTTTTATATTTTGGTTTTCTTTAACTGTTTCTTTTCTGACTGACTCGGCTTACACAATCTGACAGGCAATCATACCAGACATGTTCTCTTTTTTCACAGCATCTGAAGAAAACATGACAGTTGAGAGACAACACTGACATGTTGTAATTCAAATGACAGCCAGTCACTAACAACTGTGCCTTTAAACAAGGTGACACACCTATTCACCTGGCCTGCATTTCTTGGGGTCAAAAGACAGAAGAGAAAGGAAAAGATACAGAATGGGAGATTTTTCCAGGTAGGTAGGCTACTTTTCTTGATGTACTTATCCACACAAAAAAAATATCCACAAGGACAGATTCATCCATTTGGATAACAGCCACAGGACACCAAGAAGTGCTTCAGAATCCTGATGCGGATGCTTGAATCTTAAAGTCTTGGGTGTAGCTCAGAATTATGATTACTGTTGACCCGCTGCCAAATTTGAGACCTCACTTTTCCTGCTGCTCTGCTGGTATTTACAATCTTCGATTCAGCCGCTCATTCAATAAAGTGAGTCATGGTGCAATAAAAGCAGCCTGTTGATTTAGAACTTAAGTCATAACCCAGTGTGATTGTAATGATCATTTCAACCGTTTTGACCTTTTGGCACTTTGCAATCAGGTTAAGCTGAGTTTCAAAAATTTCAAAACTTTAAAAAACGTAAAAAGACATATCTGCCTTGGGCGATGTTGTCCCCCTCTCTTTTTAAAATACCTGTACTGACAAGTCCAACCAGCTCAAACTGCTGGGAGTTTAAACTCACACCCACTGCCAATAACAGACAGCAAACACCAGACCCAGAGGAGAAGCTGTCAGCAACCTACACAGGTAAGCACACAGCTACAACCTCTCTCTGAATGTTGCCTGTTTTTTCGTGTTATTGTCCAGGTCCTGCAGGAATCGCTTTGATTACTTGGCTGGTTTCTTGTCTTTACTTAAAAATACGGCAGAACAGGAAGTTTGGTGATTTCATGTTTGAGACTCTGCAACTTAAGCGTGTCATGTCTCTGATCTGTAACCACTTGAACAACTCTTTACTAAGAAATTAGGGCAGTGAGCATGACTTACTTTTTCATCCAGCCATTAAGGTCAATAAGAAGAAACACTGGATACTTTTAGCACAGCAGCTTTGCTAGTTGATTTTATCAAACACAGGGTTTTTGTGTACAAACAGTGGCTCTCTTCATTTGAGGTTTAACTCATGTGTTACCTTGAATCTTTCCCTCCCAGATTGTTGGAACAGACTGTCCATCATGATTGAATCAACACCTACAGGAAGAGGAGAAACAGAAGGTATCATATCACACAGGAGCATATCAGGCACTTGATTACATTTGATCTAATGTGTTTTTTTTTTTCCTAAATAAGTCCTTTATGTCCCTCTATTTCTTTATTTTTTCTCAGAGTGGGGAGTAGTATCAGATCCAAAGGAAGCTTGTTGGCTTTTCTCACAAAACCTTCTCCACAGTGGTCGACATTCAGACAATCTGTTTCTCAGTGTGGATATCAGACGGGACAGAGAGGAGCAGGACAGAGCTTTGATCACATTTTACAAGAGAGACAATGTACAGTGGACAGCGCCGCTGCAATGCACGCTTCGTGGTTAGTGTGAGGTTTATCAGGCAGAATTACAACACTGCTTAGCTAATAATAATAAAAAAATACTCAAGTCATCTGTGTCCTTTGCAGGTGATGTTGCAACAGGAAGTGGGGTCGACCGCCATGTGATGTCAACGGTCATTTTCAGGCTAATAAGTGGATTCCATTTAAACTTAGGTTGGTGACCATATAAATCAAATTATTCATCAGGATGATTTAGTATTTCGTTACTATGGAAACAATTGCTGACACAGCCCTTCAGATATTGATTATGTGAGTTATGAATCTAATTTATGATCCGTCTGTGCACTCAAATCAATTTTCTTCCTCAGTTCTCCTCCTGAGTTAACCTTGTGTTCAAATGTTTATTCAACCCTCTTTCTATATTTCACAGGGAATGTTGCTATTACCAAAATCTTCGAAGGCGAGCCCGATCACCTCATCCCCTCAGTTTCAGATGAGCTAATGGACAATAACATGTTTGCTGTCGCAGGCCGAATGATTGGTCATTCCTTTTTGCATTGTGGCCCGAGTTTCCCAGGACTAAGCCCTGCCATTATTCACGTTCTCTTTGGAGGCTCATTGGAAACTGCTCCTGTGACGATACAAGACTGCCCAGATCTGGACGTACGAGAAACTATACTAAAGGTGAACATTTCAAGACCTTTATTTTCTATTAACGGGCGTCATCTCTCACATAAAGCACTAAAACACCAGCCGAGGTCATTTATTCTGCACACGGATGAGAAATGTGTTCATTATGTTTTATTCCAGCTAGAAAGAGACACAGATTTAGAAGAGCTTGACCCCATCCATCAGCTCTGCCTGTCACTGGACCTGCCAGCACCAAATGCCACAAACAGGAAATGGCTGTCTGAAAAGATCCTCCTTCATGCTGTAATGTCTGAGGTTTTAATTTTCTCCACAGTGACTGATACTAACACTTGTTTTCTTGGCAACATTTGTGCAAAATTTAAAAGAAGAACCACCACTGTGACAACAGTTATTTACTCTTATTTCAAAGCAAAAAAAAAAAAGGAAAACGTGATAAATTTCATCATGTATTTTCGCCCATATTGCAGGTTATTCAGCAAACAAGGCGTCAAATCAACCAGTTCCGACAAGGCTTACAGGATACAGGGCTGTGGCCACTTCTAATTCACAGAAGAGATGTAATCCCAATCCTGTTTCCCAGAGATTCAGAAACTGCAGTCACACCTCAGGTACAACAGCACAGATATTACCATTACTGTGAACAACTGTCTGTTGTTTAAAAAGGTTTGAAGTTTAGGGTGTTGAACTTATTCAAAGCAAAAAAGAGACAGGACAAAAGGAGAGTAGGATATTGTTAACTTCTGCATTAAGTATTATGACATGTACCAAATGATTTTTGCATATTTAGGCCATAAATGATCATTTTTAAATTCAGATTTATTCCATAAAACAAACCAGCAACAACTTCTCAGGTTATCGTCATTTAATTTTTAAGTGTATGTGATTTCAGATTGTCTTGGATTGCATTATTTGGCCGTCTTCTGTGACCGTCTTCTTTGAGAGCTATAAGGACAAAGAGGAAGATGAGTCCGATGCCATTGATGTGCATCGGGTGTCTGGCTACTTGAAAACATTTATTGAAAATGGTTTGTATAAGTAGAGTTTCTGTGTCATTTTAAGATCTGGTTGAATGTAGCGAATAGTAAGCCATGTTTCATCCGCTGTTGTTTTCTTACAGCATCTCCTGCAGAGCTAAAGAGCCTCATAAAGTTCTGGATTGGGTGGGAGGTACCTGCCACACAGATGAAAGTGGAAATAGTGGAGGCCACATACCCGACTGCTGCGACATGTTTTGAGAAGCTGAGGTTGCCGAGGCATTACAGGACATATAAGACATTTTATCAAGATCTGTGTGCATGCATATCTACGACTTACAGTGGTTTTGGATGTGCCTGAATAAGACAATGTGCAACTTTAATGCATGTAAAAATTGATCTAACTTTTTCAGCCTACCGAAATGATTTTATGTGAAACTGTTGTAAAAAAATATGTAAAATAAAATTACTATTGATAGAAGAATTTCTCCACAGTGTTTCATAATTATACTACTGGAGCTGTCAGCATTAATGTGTTAACCAATAAGAGACATAAGTCCAAAATAAATGGGTTATAAACAGCACACAGGCTGTAGAGGTTTCACTTCTGTGGAAATAATAACAACACTGCAGCTTTAAAGGGTCATTTCACTTCTTAAACATCCAAATGAATCAGATGATAATCAATATGACGTTATTGGAGGTTTTTTAATACATAAGGATTGTACATTATGCAAAAAATGCAAAAAGTCTCTTTCTTTTTGTTCTAGGTGCCTACATGTCCTACGATGAAACCAACCTCTGACATTGAAGGCTGTTTTTAGTGTGTGTTGTGCTAGTTGTGTTTGCTTTTTTGTGTTTTTCTTTGGTCTGTATAAAGCTGTAGTTTTCCTTTTTTTTCTACTGACCAAAAGTCTGCACCAAAACAGGCAACTAAAAGTTTTTTTTTTTTTAAAGTAGACCATATTGAGGCACATATATGTCAGCAATAAGGGTCATTGTTTAACCAATAAACATCCAGCTTTTGTGCTAGTATTCAGTATGTACAATAACCACATGATGGCAGCGGAGATCAATTGTTTAGACACCAGAAAACTACTGTCCACTCGGTTGGCTTTAGCAAGCTCATTTTATATTTACGCTTTACCACCCATTAAGCATATCTGAGTGACCTTTACAAGCAAGTTCCTGGTAGTAAATTAATGCTGTGGCGATAAACAACATAGGCTGGTACGACTCTAAGGTTGTGTACTTCTCTCTTTGTGGAAAAACAGCTGATATACTCACACTGGTTATCTGGTTAATCCAAAGAAAGGCTCTAAAATAAGCAACAGACTTAAAAAGGGAAAGAAAAACCTTCAATCAAACCCAAACATCAACATATTCTAAATCATTTCAGGTACAACTCAATGCAGCTAAGGGTTTTTATTTTGATAAAGTGCATGTGTTTCATTCCTTACTTGACAACTGAAGGGAAGAGGAGGTGCTTTAAGACACAAACACTGTAAATCACCTAAAACTGCACCAACAACAATCACAAATTACCCAGTTTGTAAAAACCTGAAAAAAATGCACAGATCAGGACTTTTATGTTGTCACAACTTATGACAAATGACAACTTTTTCAAGAATTACCTGAAAATACCTGAAAAAATAACCTGCAGTGTGAAACAAAGGAAGAGGAAAGTTCAGGAAGTGAATTGCACTGGTACAATAACTTTGACTTTTCTTCTTAAATGTTCTTCTATTTCAGAGAGTACTTTTTGCTAGTGGAAATGCACAGCTTTTCAATCCAAGTTCCCTCCCAAATTACCTCTCTCACTCTCTCTTACTCACTCGTCCAGGCGGTCTAAAACTCCCCTGTTACCCGACACGCAACACATTCAGCAGACTGTAGCAGCGACAGAAGCTCCTCCTTTTCATCACATCTGGAGCAGTGAAAGAAAAGGGAGGAACACACTGACAACTCTAGTTCTTTGTATCATTGGATATACAGTCTCAGACTTCAGTGAGTAAGAGCAAGCTTTTTTTTTTTAAAGCTAAAACTCCTTCACGTAACTCTGGACTGCTGGTTTCCTGAACACACCCAGGACTGCACTGACGCTTCCCTGCTCAGAGTCAAACTTCAACTATCCATCACCACTGAAAGACCGCACCTTTAAACTGCAGGTAAGTTTTGTTTACCTTCCTGCTCTGTTTGCTTGTAACTGTACCAAATGCTCTACTTTTTCAACTAATGTAGGATCAGGAAAAAAAAAACTCAGACACGTGTTTTTTCCCCACAAAGCTCTGCTACAGGTCAGGCCTGAGAGGGCGTATATTTGGAGAGAGTTTGTCTTTGTTTAATACCAAAACAAGTAACTCTGTTTGTTTTTAACTGACACACGCTCATACTCGTGACATGCAGCCACATCTACCTTATGGGCACACTTCCTTATTAAGTCAATGCCTTTTACTTCCCATCCCTGAATAACTGTAAGCATCCCCACATGTCTAAACTTGCAGATCCAATCGTTATCAACACGCACCAGAATTCCTCCTCCTGAATCATGTGCAAATGAGTTGAAAGCACAGCAGGAGGCGTTGTTAACATAAGTCTATAGAAAGGGAATATTTTCCCATGTGACATGACTGACGGCTGTCAGCTCAACTTTTTTTACAAGGTGTCAGTCTTGTTACATAACGTCTCATACAAGTCAGAGCAGCTTTTCACTTCACTAATGAAAGAGCTATCCCCAGACATTTGATTGTGTTTCATACCTGTTTTCCTCATCTCCTGTTTGACGTAGTTCCTCTTAGAGCTGTCATCACATCTTGAAATTCAATCCACATCTGAGCATCTGTGATCTTCTCTGCTCCCCATCTTTCCTGTCATTAATTTAAAAAAAACAACACACAACTTAAAAGTTATTTGAGACCCCTACTTTGCCACTTTAAGTCAAGTTTCCTAAGTTTGCTAACTGGAAAGTCAGTAATTGGTGTGTTTCTACGCCATGTATAAAAATGTTCCAGATTCCACATTAGATCATGCAGGCTGCAAACAGCCTTTAAGGAGAAAAATGCTGGTTTGTGTCAGTGTGGCTGTTAATGAATGCTTTTCACTTTCCAGTGTTTCACATCCTAAATTTCTTCTGCTTCAGCACCAGTTCACTGAACCTCTCTCAGTTCACACTTCTGTGTCTGGGCTGCTTTGTAGCTTATCTACATAAAATGATAAACTCCTGCATGCCGGGAAAGAACAACTTTTAAATAGTGCAAAATAACATGAGAGCCCTGATGAATTGAGTCAATAAGCAGAGGTAAAGCCAGATTTGGTTGTAATATTATAGATTTTGTTCAGACATTTATCAGGTGTCAGGTGTAAGGAAGTCTTGTTAAAAGCTTGGCCTCCGCAGTATGGTCTATTTTGACTCTCTTCAAAAGAACAGGAAAGTGTGTTCAAAGATAAGAGAAACAACACAACAGTTTTGACAACTATCTGACCCTGATGGAGCTGAAACTATCTCTACGACACATTACTTTCCCTGTAAAACAATTCAGACTAAAAAGGACAGCCCACAGACGTGATCAAGAATGAGGCAGACAGGCAGGGAGTACATGGTGTGAGTAAGGGGCAGGAAGGTAGGAGGATTTGGTTGGTCAGGAATGTGGATGTTGATCCTGGAGAATGGACTGGGAGGGTCAAACTGGAAACAAACAGGGAAAAAATGGATGGATGCCAAATTCTTCAACACCCCAACATTAAAAAGACTCATCTATATAGTCATGCTTTCAAATTGATTCTCCGTTGGCTGCACTGAGTACAAGGAAGAGTGATTTTTAGCCCTTATTAACAAAAAAAATCCCTTTTTCCTCCCTTTCTCTTTTTTTCTTGCTGTGTTGGCTACACACTCCTTTGCAAAAACCACAGAGAACTGGCAGTAGCAGAATAACAGTCTCTGGGCTGGGTTGACAAGGCCAAAATTAAAGGCACCCGGACTTAGCTTTCTGGTCAATGTACAAGAAAGATAACTGGCTAGAGGATTTTATTGGATGCTTAATCACTGTATCCCTAATTCAATTGCATTTTGGTCTAGTTTAACACATTAATCAACCAGGTCAAAAGAATAACATTAAAGTTTATGCCTTCAATAATATGGCTGAAATACGCCTTCTGCCAAGGTTTCTGTCCTGTAGCAAAAAGAACAACATATTGTATCCGTAGTGATGAACCCTGATAAAAATGAAAATTCTGTATTGTTTCTTTGTTTTCTTTTTGATAAAGGATGCCACTAGGAGGAGGGAACAAATGCGGCTGCTGTCAGAAGACAGTTTACTTTGCAGAGGAAGTACTCTGCGATGGGCGGAGCTTCCACAAGTCCTGCTTCCTGTGCAGTGAGTCAAGTTTTTGCTGCTTCCTGTCATTGAGAAAAGTGTCAAACTTTGACACGTCACTTGTATTTATGACAATGCGAGTGCAGCCTTGACTGCTAATGTGAGCTGATTAAGATTTTGTTAAGGTAGATAACAGCACCTATTATGAACTTTTGATTGCTTGATTCAAAAAAGAATGATGTTTTTTTTCCATACTGTTATTATCCCTCTATATTTTATCTCTAATTTAAAGAAGTGCAGTAGTTTTAATTCTTATAATGTGCAACATCACATCTCTGATGTTTTGGCATTATCCCTTTAGAATACTAAAATCACAGCAGCAGTACAAAAAGCTCTACATGTACCAACAGTAAAAATGTACACAATAACACACATCTCTCTGCCTTAACTTGAAAACTATGTAGGTTGATGAGATCTGAGTTATTTGAGTTCCTGTGCTGTAATGAAACATTCCTGTGAAGGAATTCAGATGAGAACATTTTTCTTCAATAGAACTGTTCCATAAAAGGAAAGTTAAGAGCCTATCCAAACACATGAACATGTGCACAAATATGCAAAACAATAATACGCCTTCATGTGTCTGTGGGTGTGTGTTTGTGTGTGTGTGTGTGTGTGTTTGTGAATGTGCTTATTAAGTGGTTTGTAGGAAGAGCTTGGACAGCACAACTGTTGCTGTTCATGGAGATGAGGTGTACTGCAAGTCATGCTATGGCAAGAAGTATGGGCCAAAAGGCTATGGTTACGGCCAGGGAGCGGGAACCCTTAGCATGGACAAGGGAGAGGCTCTGGGTATCAAGACTGAAGAGTGAGTACCATCTCGACACACACTTTTCTGAGTTTTATTTTCAGCCTTTTATCAATCTTTTGTTTTGTCTTTCTGTCAGAGCTGCCCCTCATCGCCCTACCACAAACCCAAACCCATCCAAGGTGGCTCAGAAGTTCGGAGGGGCAGACAAGTGCCATCGCTGTGGCAAGTCTGTCTACGCTGCAGAGAAAGTGATTGGAGCTGGGAGTGTAAGAAAAAGTAAAAAAGATATGAGAGTTAGAGTCAATTTGAAAACACTACTTTTTAAAAACTGATGTTTTTTACTTGCAGTCGTGGCATAAGATTGGATGTTTCACATGTGCAACATGTGGGAAAAGCCTTGAGTCAACCACGCTAGCTGACAAGGATGGAGAGATTTATTGCAAAGGTAATTGACTTAATATCTTCACTTATGAGTTCAAGTAAAAACATATTTCCATATATATCCATATATTATATTTCCATATAATTACAAAAACACAACACTTGGGACTGCACAAGCATTGTCCATAGACTTTTTTATCTATGTTTAGATGTCAGAAGCCTCATAAAATCTGTCTGCAGTTAAAAAATGTCTCGAAAAGTTGATAAATTGTGCAACAAGTTCAACACTTTGGGTGACAATGTTTTGCAATATAAACCAGGCAGATTGACTCATACTTTTCCTTTTAAGCTGCATTTTTTTGAAAACACAACCTAGGTCACAAATTTTATCAAACGGACGGAATACAAAAACAGAGTGGCCTTTGTTTGAAGACTGATTGCTCAACCTTGGTAGATAGTTTAGTTGAGACATGCCTTTAACTGTAAGAGTTATAATAACCATAAGATTACAGCAGAGGGCGCTCTCACACAGAATATACAGTATACTCTAATACTCAACACTGAGGCTTTTTCTGATTGGTTAACAACATAAATTATAGAATTTATTCAAGTGCTCCAGTTCAAGCACTTTAAAATTAGGCATACTCACTCCCTTGGACACCATGGCCCATGTGTACACTTGATGTTGCCCTTTTTGATGTTTTTATTTATACCTGCGAGGGCTAAATCGCCAATGATGTCAGTTTAAGATACCTATGAAAACAGTTAGCAATATAAAACTAATTAAGCACTTACAGGAAGTAAATAAAATAAACTAGCAAAGTACACAGCAGCAGAATAAGAAGGTGCAGTCATTAGCAGTGCTAGGTGTTAGGTGTGTGGCGGCTAAAGGTGAAGTGTGAACAAAAGAGCACCTTAGACTGCTTTGTGCTTCTCCAGTCAGATCATCGCACTTAACTTTGCATGTCAAAGCATGTCAAAACTTAAACCCACAGGTGTAATTACTAGTATTAGTAATAATGACTGTACTCCAGTTTGGTGATCCTGATCAAAGCTGCAGTCAGCTGAGCTTCATACTGTAAGTTGCTGTTTCACTGAGGTTGCTTCCACCAGCAAACAACAGTCATCCTGAATGAAGGCTTAACATTTATGCTATTTCTAAGTCAGTATGTTTGCTGAAACTATTATATGAACTTCTATAGGCTCTCCTTTTACATGAAGACAATACCTACCATCAGTAACATTACACACGCCTTGACTTTCTAATGCAACCTACCTGTTCCGATTGATTCACTGATAATAATAATGTTAACAGCTGGTCAGTGTTTGGTTTTCACATGGCTCACTATTAGTAAGCAAATGTTAATTGGCCAACAAACCAGCCCTGAGCCACTGGTGACACTTGTTTTAATCTGAATTTAGTTCATGTCCTTGGCTCAAATGACAGGCAGGGGAAAACTTATATGAATGACATGTTTACTTTAAGTTTGTGACTTTACCTTTCTTTCCAACAGCCTGCTACGGCAAAAGCTTTGGTCCCAAAGGATTTGGATATGGACTGGGGGCCGGGGCATTGTCGCACACTAAGTGAAGACTGCTGAGATCTCCAGTCCAGTAACAGTGTTTCAAGGATACTGCACTTCAATCTTTTACCTGCAGAGGGCAGAGTGTTTAAATTACAAATGCACTTTATGAATAAAAAGACACATTTTTAATCTTACAAAGGAAATTTACAACCATGTTATTCACAAACAGGGCGAAACAGTGGTTATTTCAAGTACAGGATTAGTTGCTGTTTCTAACACATTTAACATAAATTTTCCAAAATTCTGTTTCAATTTAGTTTGTGGTTTTCTTTGTTTTCATTGTAAGGCTGTTCATTTTCTCTACAAAAATAATTTGTTTTGATATAATGTGCATGTGTGTTAAATTATAACGTGGCAAAAAATCAAATTCTTATTTCTGGCTTCTCATTGGTACAGCAAGGAATTACAATAACATGGGACAACCTCTGTATGTGTTTCTACACTTTTAAGTAGTGTGCTGGGGGTGGGGTGAGGGGATGCCTAAAAGATGTGCCCTCTTGGATGTCCCTGATGTAAATAAAACATTATGAAACCCCTTCTTTGGTGACCTCTCCATTGAAAATGTGTAGCAAAGAGCCTTGGGTGCCCCTTTGATAGGATATCAAATGTTTAAAAAAAGCTTCCTCTGGATGGCCCTATTGGAGGATCTATAAATTGTCCTTCTTGCTACTGGAGCCTTGATATGTTTTTATACATAACCTGTTCTGTGGATACTCAACGGATACTAGAGGTTTGAACATCTGTTCCTGTTGTATAACCACCAGGCAACCTTCAGTCCAGGGATACACAAAACATTATCTCTGCTAGCACACCATTTTTGCTCCACCCCTCGAACCCTCTGAGTATGCCACTGTGTGTAAAAGAAAGTGGAACAGTTTTGATGGTGTTGTGTTTTTAAGTTTCAAGAAATGACATAATGCTCATAGTAATCATTCCTCTCATAACATTGGACTGACACATCAAACTGCTAAGTTGTTAGGTACTGTATCTTGTGAAGTTAGGGGAATTACAGCTACACTCCACCAGTGAAGTTCATCTGTCAAATCAGAGCCTCCTTGTTGTTAAAGATATGACAAATGACCAAAGATGTTTTAAAAGCTTAACCCTGTGAGAGGCTGTGAGGTGAAGGGACAAGGCTGGCATGGTTTTGCTGTTTGTTGTGAAAATTTAGCATGTTTCGTCTCTTGGTTGAATCTTCAAGTTACTATTATTGGTTTCATTTTTTTTAATTGGTTATGTAAATGTTTTTGTCTGTTTGTGGTATCAGACCTGTAAAAGTTATATTCTTGAAAAGACCAGTTTCATTCCCAAAAGTATGATGACTTTTTACCTGATTCAATTCTGTATTTGCCTCACACACTCATATTAAAGTTCTCACAGATTAACAAGAAAATTTTCAACAGCTTAACAGCTTGCCATACTCACCTTTTGAAACTTGTCAGGGCAACTGTAGCTGCTATAGGCTAAACATGATCTAACACACCTTTATCAGTTCATTTTTCCTCCGTTTATTTATTCAGACCGGTGCGTAACAGATATTTCTTCAGCAAGTGAGCTGTAAGTAGGAGGTATGAACAGTACTGTTCATACGCAAACATTAAACAGGGTGTCATGAAGTCCAATTAGCACACTAGCATTCATTGATGCACACGTGGACACATACGCAGTCCCACAACAGGCCGGTGGCTCTTCTCCTCCCGTCACCAGGAGGGGGCGGGGTGGTAGTGTGAGCAGCAGAAGGTCCACAGAGGAGCCGGGCATGTTCAAACATATCCAGGCGGACCAGCCTACCACACTCCACGCCGTGTTGTCATTACGCACGGGTTGCGACTTAGAGCTGGTCTATGGAGCGACAGTATAGTCTTTGAATCAGCTGTCATTGACCGAGATCAAGCTGTTTTTGTGAGGGTCAAATTCCACCTTTGCATTTTAGAGATGCGTAATGAATGGGTAAAGATTTTCTGAGGACTTGTAAGTTTCGACTCTGTCTGAAGACTGATTGCTCAGCGTGGCCATGTCTCTCCCGGTGAAAGTGATGAGGGACGGGCTGCTTGAGAAGCGCAGCAGCGGGCTTCTCCAGCTGTGGAAGAAGAAGCGTTGCGTACTCACAGAAGAAGGACTTCGCCTGTACAACTGCAAAAGCTCCGGCGTTGGAGATGCTCCGGGTTCAGCGTGGAGCTCCAAAGCTAAGGAGCTCCGATTTGAGCGCATGGCCACGGTGGACTGTGTGGAGTACAAGCGAGGGCTGGTGTACTTCACTGTAGTCATGGTTACCGGGAAGGAGATTGACTTTCGGTGTCCTCAAGAGGGGACAGCTTGGAACGCGGAGATCGCTTTGGCACTGGTGCGTTACAAGAACATGCAGGCCGTGCAGACAGGGAGGAACAGGCACCTGTCCTCGGCACACCTGGGGAGCACTGGGGAGGATGAGGAGCTGTGATATGGTAAGTCTGTCTACGGGGTGGGAAAACTGCAGAAACAAAATAATAATAACAATGATAATAAATGAAATGTAGCAAATATATTCGGATTGTTTTGATTACCTGGTTAATGGTATATAACTTTGCATCATACAACCCTATCTCAGTTTCATGTCTAGCATAAATCAGTGTCACTGACAGGGAAACACAAGTCATAGCATCACATGAGCATCTCAGGGGTCAAGGTGGAAAAAAATATCACAAATGCAGTGCCTCTTCATAAGCTGTCATCCAAAGCCCAAAAGTCTCCTATGGGTGCACCTGCCAACTTCAGTGATAATCTCCTCCTCCTTTGGGTTGATGGGGTGTTAAAGGTAATAAGCTGGCGCACTGATTGGATGGAATGAAAACATCCAGACTCTTGGGGCCAAGGAGGTAGACCCTACTTGGCTGAGGGGAACTTGACTCTTTAAATGAAGCGTGTGTTGAAGTCATAGGCTATTTAAAAGACCCTCCTCAGTGCCACTACTGAGTTTTAAGTCATGTCAGCTTTTCTTACTATGATCATCATTACACTGTAACATAGTTTTTTTAGGACACATATGCACTTTTACTCCAGGACATAATTACAAAGCAATTTGAGCCTCCAAAATAACATCTGCCCGCCTCTCCCTCACTAGGCAGCCAAGTATTTTTAAACACACACACACTCACTTACAAACACAGCCCACTATTATAAGTTTAACTAACAAGGGGAAAAGTGCTCATTTAGGGTGACCACAGTGGACACGCTGTCCATTCACTAGCTACTCTCCACAATCAGTGGCAGCACATGACACCAGTGTTGTTTACTGAGAGTGGTCACTGAAATCTCAAATGATCATGAACTGAGTGTGTAAGTCTGAACTATGAGCTCACACTCCAGGAATCCACAGCCAAGCTTCCTTAAGAGAGCTACAGAAGTCAAGCGCCCAAATTAACTTAGTCACCGTGGTAACTGTAATATATCTCACTACAAGTGCGCTTAACAGTATCCTGTCAGCTGCCTCAGTGTCAAATATATGAAGTACCGTTTTAATATTTAAAATCTTTTTTGCTTTCTGCAGCCTTCCCTTTTTTGGGACTGATCCAATCAGAGCAGAAGAGGGGAGAGGACACCAGATCTATCTGCAAAGCATGATGGGACCAAACAGCCCTCAGTGAATATGGATTACAGGAGAGAGAGCAATAGTAGCAGACACACCTCTCTTCCTTCCTACATGAACTTGTTCATGCTGCCATATTAAGCATAGGAATGTGATAAACTGTCAGCACTGATGGCATGTTTTTTTGCCGTCAGGATGACCTTGTTGCTCGAGGTCAACATGGTGATGCCCTCGTGAGGTAATGACGGTGATAATGGGACAAAAATTAAGGACACTGTTTACCCATTGTGCCTTTGTGTTTTAAAGTAGATTCTACTTTGGATATTATTCCCAAACATCTCCAAACGCTGGTGAAACAGGAGTCACTTTTTCAGCTTCTTGCTTTTTATGAAACTCATTTGACTGGCTTTAAGAAACTTTTGTTATAGACATAACAGATCTGCATGTTTTTACCAAAGCTTAACATGAAGTATTTTCATCATATCAATTGCACATTGTGTTACATATGTTTGCTGAAACCATGTACAGTATTATAACCTTTAAAACATTAAATGCATTTTGTCTTTTATCCTGAAGTTGTGTGGTTTAACTCAAGTTTGTTTTTTTTTTTTTTTTTACATATCCTTGAACATACATATTCTCGAAGAACAAAATAGTCAGCTGTGATTCATTTTAGGTGCAGAGCATTAATTGCTGAGCTCATCTGTTTCCAGTTGTGGCGTAACCTTGCTGTTACAGCCTCTGGAAAACACAAACACGCACCATGGCATTGCTCTCCTGCTCTTGCGTGAAAACTGAAGTCAGGACGCCTTTTGTTTCAGAGGACTAATGAGAAGCACAGTGAGCCTGGGGCATGTGCACACAAACATCCACCCACACGCAGTCACCTACAGTGGTTTACACGTACTCGCAAACCAGCAACAAAATTCAGCTAGGCCTCAGCATCAGGAGACTCTTGTTAGCAAGGGCAAGCTTATATTGTTCATTCAAGCATCTCTCAAGTGTGTGTGTGTGTGTGTGTGTGACTGTGTCAAGAATATGGCGGCCTGTGTGTATGTGGATCCCAGCTCAGGTCAAGAATAAAGGCTTGATTGTGTAGCAACTTCTCCCATTACTGTGGAAAACCCCAAAGCTAGCCACACCGCATGAGTCAGCAAAGGGCCAAGAGGACTGCAAAGAGTGGAGACACCCAGTGATGGATGTTTGCTGGTCAAAAAACAGCATGTGTGGGCAGGTGTAAATACATAAAATACTCTATGTGAAGGGGATGTGTTAGTTTGTACTTTCAGTGGTGGTTATGCGCAATATGCTCAAAATGTCTGTGTTTGGAGTGTGTGTGCTGACACCACTCAGAGGAATGCCTTCTTTAAACATCACAACCTCTGTCCTAGGTATCTGGTTTTCCAAGAAGATAAACACACAGTTATCTGCAATTTTATAAACCAGTTCCTAGGCCTTAGGATAATGTCTGCCTTATGGTGAGGTAATGTTATGACAAATGGGCCTGTCACAACGCAGGTTTTTCAGTGCCTTTTCACGAAGAAAGCATATGTATACATATATTTCTGGTAAATACAGGTCAAATTGTTTTACATGCCTTTTTTTTCCTGATGTTACACTGAATGGAGCTAATGAGTGCTGTGTGCATGACTGACCACAAGAGGTCTGTCTTCCATCAGTGCAGTGGAAAACACTTGTTTTCCTTGACTCTATGTGAGTGTGTGTGTTTGGAAGGATTCATGTTGTGCAGTAAGTTGTTCGATTGAAATCATTCTCTAGTGCATCCTATATATTTTAGTTTTGTGAATACGAAGACATGTATTCTACAGATCATACATGAAATTAAATAAATACAAAACACCACTTCTTGAAATTGTGAGATACTGATTTGTGAGAATTTCAGTTTTGAATATGAAATATTCTCAACTCTGCGGTGAAGGGACTGTAGCTGAAAAAGCCAAAGAAGAAGAAAAACAGCAATTAGAGTGACCCAACAGCAATTCTGAGAGAGCTCTTGAGAGGAAACCAAGAATGGGTGAAAACAGTTCAGACAACTTAGCGATAACATAACTTAACCGAAGCTGTAAATTATATTAGCGCCTCGCAACAACCTCCTGTCATCAAAAAAAATACAGTTCCTCTCAAGGCCTCTAGAGCCTGGCTCCAAAAGTCCTAAAAACCACATGTACACCCACTCTAAAAAGTCCATCTTTACAGCTAAAATACTAGCATGCTGTACAAGGGGGTCACTGAGCCGGAGTCTTCAAAACTAGGGACATAGCTGTTTTGACTGGCAGGTGGCTATGCTATAACTTTATCATGAGAGGGTGTATTTGTAAACCAAAACTTGCCTGATACTCAACCCACTAGCTGGGAATAACTGATTGGATCATGACCATGACTCTCGTGACACCCTGAACACTGCACAACCAATTACACTCAATCAAGTAATTTGGCTCCACCTCCTAAACTGAAAAATTGAGACAGTGTATAAAGCCAAGCTTTGGACAAGGGCTGTAGCTGTAGGCATGCCTTTTGCTTGGTCATCCTACAGTTCCATTATTGCAACTGGACCTTAAGACTGTTGGGTGGTATTTTAATCCATGATCAGTATGCATGATGGATTACTTATGGCAATGTCAAAAATACAAAGCAATGTCACCATGCAATACTGATTTCTATGACCACGATTGTGCAGACAAAGGTAAACACATTATGAGTGCCAGTAACACACTTTCATAATAGGACCAAATCTGTCTTTGAAGTTCTGGTGATAGGCTTATGCAACCATTTTTACTTGGTTACAAATGATGCCAAGAAGTTTATTCTTTTTGTGCTAAAAAAGTCTGTCATTGTTGCTTTGGAAAATACTGTCAGTGGTTTACTGGGGGAAATCAAATTCAAGAATTTACAGCCATGCTAGGCACTCTGTTTGTTTGTTTAAAGACATCTCTTGAGCGAAAGACTAAGGTTTGCTTGCTAACATGCTGACATGCCAACATGAACAAATTTAAATCCGGGTTGTAGGGGTCACTTATGTATGCTATGTTGGCCATCTTAGTTGAACATGAGTGGCTAATTGACACTTGACAAAGCCAACAGCTTGTGGGAGACAGCATGAAAATGTCCTTGTGTCAGGATTAATCATATGGACACAATAAAGAGGCAGAAAAAAGCCCTGCGAAAACCTTTAGCTTTCATTTTCTAACTTCTACGAGACATTCCAGTTCTTTACAATTCTACCTTATCAGCAATGGTCCCTAATATAGAGTATATCAGTCTGGATTAAGGTGCTCAACCTACAAACTTAAGTAACCCTTCTCAAGCCATGCCTCTAGTGTGGCTAAAACTTCTGCACATCAGCAAGAGACACAGGTGTTTTTTTACTCTCACATACTTCCAGCCTTTAAACTACATTTCCCAGATGCCTTCCCCCTATCTTTTATTTCATAACACTTCCCTCCCTGGTCTATCTTTAACCAGTATCAACATAAAACTTTCGGACTATACTTTATCATCTAAGTTGCGTTCGTCTTTCTGCCATGCGGGGCCAAAGCCCCCGGCTCTAACTGCTGTTTTTAATGAATCATCTGAGAGACAAATGGACAGAGCGAGATTAGGTAGTAAGAGAGATGGGGTTTACTAATAATAGCCTCCACTAACAAAAGAGACGGAGGGAGCCAGACAATGATGGGGGCGCAGTGGTTAAATAGGGGGGGACACCAGATTGTCTGGCTCATCTCTGATCTGTCCATCCAGCCTCTGCCGCTGTCTCATCTCTCCGTCTCTCCTGCTTCTGACACTGGTAAGGTCCTTTTGTGGTATTGTCTATAGAGCTTTAAAGGTGTGATGTTCGGCTTATTGCTTCCTTTTGTTAATAATCAGCAAACGCAATGAATGGATGAAAATTTGAATGGATCTCGTACATCTATTTTTGTTGAAAATTAGGCTGATGGACTCTGGATTTAAGACTTTATTTCAGAGAGTTGTAAGAGAACTGCAGATCAATGTTTCCTCTCGAGTAAAGGTAGACATTAAAAAAATGTTTTGAACTGCAAAGTGAACCTCTAAAAGTTTGACAATTTTGTTTGTAGTGAGGGCTGTGTGCCTAAACCTCAACAAAGCCAACATAAAATAATACATACTGCTGGGTTTAAGCCTGTAGCCACTGCAGCTCTTTTCAAATTAGAAGCTGACACAAACTTTCCGAAACACCTTTGACTTTCTCTCTTTTCTCTGACTGCCAAGTTGGCTACACCACAGAGGCTCATAAGCATCGTGAGTTACTGGCGGCACATCCCTGATCCTGCCTGGGCACCCCAGAGCACAATCACCCGCCACAGCTGTCTATCAGATGTCCCTTGGTCTATTTGGGGAGACAGGCCACTCTAAATTCCTCTCTCTGAGATAATCCTGGGGAGAAAGATGGGGACCAGAGGCGGCAGAGATGGATGAGGGATGGCTATCAGGCAGGAATTTTTTAAATCCACTGGATGAACTTGTAACCCCACCATACTAGGAGGTCTTAAGTGGTGTCATTGTTAACTGGAAGCAGCTAGTAAAATAAGAGAGGGACATAAAGAGAGAGAAGGGTGATATAAGGTGAGAGAGAATGAATAAATGCTGTAAATTGTTGGGCGAGATGTTAAAGGGTAAAAGGGCAAGAGGCTGAGTGACAAGACGAGTGAACTAATGTGTTGACATATGTGGAAACAACACTATAACAGAGTTAGCAGAACAACCTGGGTGCAAAACACACAGTCTAACGTGATGCTACTCAGTGTGCATAATTTAAGACACTTTACATTTGATCAACAAAACTATCAACAGATGATGAAAACTCTCATTAAAATTGGGAGAAAGCCCTAAATATGTACCTCTATTTGCCTCCATTGTAGTGGCAAGAAACAATCCTCAGCATTGGTATCAAAACCTGAAGAATCACCACAATAGACTCAAAGATGGTTTAAAGGCTGTCTGCATGATTAGAAGGAGAAAATTACCAAATATGTCATCTTTTGCTCTTACCTAACTGTTAATCTAATGACTTAAATCCCTTATCCATGATGTTGAAGCTCCTGTACAGAGATTTTCACTGGAATTATCAACATGTTTACATGCACAGTTAAGTCAAGCTTCACGAATAGCTCGATTAGGCAATTTAAGAGGACATGAACCCAGCAAGAATGAAATCATTAACAGAGCATGTCAAACATAAGGTTGCAACATGCCCATCTTCCACTTGTTACTACTTGGTTGTCTCCTGACTACGTCATGTCTCAAACCATCGCGGTTTCTTTTATACCTGGCTTCCAATCAACACATTTATATCATTCAACTTCTGGGTTAAAGCCTTGCATGCAAACTCTGGAGCATGTGCAGAACACTACAGGCATATAAGTCCATTTGAGAAGTTTGAATTCAGTCAGATCGATGCAACAAATCCATTTTGTTTTATTTTTTACACTTTTTAAACTAAACATACTGTATGATAGTGACTGCAATTGATACTAATTTTCCATTCCTCCTCAGTGATTACTCTCGACTAGTGATATATATGACTGTTAAAAGGGGCAGAATGACTAATTACATACAGTAAATACAGGACAAAATCAGCAAAGAGATAAGGTGTACTGCTTTATCTTCAATAGGTGCCAAAATCCACTCTACTGTAAAGTTTCTCACGGGAAGGAGCTTTACAGTAACCTCTTGAGCATTTCCCCCGTTTGTGCATTTCTACTACTGCTAAAATTTTCTTTGATTTCTTTTCTTCATGATACCTCACACTTTTAACCTCAATATTTATACTGCTTTTCTATCATCTTTAGAGGTCTATTTCAACAGACCAGATCTATTTTTCAATTGAATAAATCAAACACATGCCTTTTACATACAGTAACCATGGTAATTAAAAAAAAATGTATTAGTAGCTATTTTACCAAGATGTGCCTCCAGTTAAATAAGTCTCTCCACCGTACTTTCACTTTGCAGCAGCTCTAGACCTGAAACTTGAAGCTCTAAAAGATAAATAAAGTTAGTTTCTGCATTTTGTTTGATTATTAGCAGACAGAGTTTTCATCTATTCTGAGGCAAAGGTTATGTTTCTCTATTCAGACATGTGCAACAGCTATAAATTTGCAAACTATAACAAGAAGAGGCCATGCCTCTATTAGGCATGACAATTTGATGTCAAGGAAGTGTTGACAAGCAGGAGGATAACTCCGTGTGTGAAGTTATGTTCAATTTGCCTGCTGACAGCATTAATACATTGACATGGACTCTAAATATGGAAAGAGTGCTAATGAAAAAACCTGGCAAGATCCAGCCCACCTAGAGTTGACAAACAAATATCAACAACTGTTCAGTGAGTGTTTCTAATCTCATCTGTCTCTCCTGCAGTGAGATCTGATCAGCAGGATGCCTGAACATATGTGAGTGTTATCAGAGACTATATAATCATTCAGTAACACACACAAAGACTAAACTGATATTTCTGAGCTTTGTGCAGGAATAATCTTTGGTCTTTCGTTTACCTTTTAATTAAAAAATCATGTCAATTTCTCTTTTACAGACAAGAGGTAAGGACATTTTTTCTAATCCTGGTTAATCAAAGCATTCCTCAACACTGCAATTCTTCTAAGAAGAAAACACAATTTTACCACATTTTGATTTTTGTTCTCCTTGCAGAGGAAACCAAAGATCTCAGCTTCAAGGAAGCTGATGCTCAAGGTAAGAGATGCGGCCAACTTTATTTTGATATTGTAATTCAAATGTTTGACCACAGGAGGGCAGCAGAGGTCGTTTTCCTAAAAACTGAACTTAGAAATAAAATACGAATACAAACTCTGTGTTGTGACACCTAAAAGTCTTACTATCCATGTAACCATGAAAACCAAATGTGTTGCATAGATTCATGACAACAATGTGAGAGCATCCTGTTAAATGCCATGACATACACCTGGCATCTTTGCAGAGTTTGATGGTGGCAAAAGCCAAAGAGGAATTGGAACAGGAGATCCTGGTGAAAGAGGAGGAGAAAGACAAGTATCTGGCAGAAAGAGCTCCTCCTCTACAAACCAGCGGACTCAGTCTTGCACAGCTGCAGGTAACTCACTCACAAAATTCCATGAATCTCCCTCATTCTTCCATTTACAGCTTCATGAAAAAGCAAATCGCCTCAAAGTGTTAAAGAAATTCAAGCTCCTTTTTATACACTTATCCTACATAATGCACAAAATACGTTTTATGTGTGATTCTGTACAGGATCTCTGCAGAGAGCTCCATGCCAAGATAGATGTAGTGGATGAGGAGCGATATGATATCGAAGCCAAAGTCATGCTAAACACACGTGAGGTAGAAACAATCCCAGTTCAACTTCTTGTGCTTGAAATTTAAAACATCCTTATTTATATAAACTATGCTCCAGAACCCATTTACAGTCCCTGTCCCTGTTTCAGATAAAAGACCTGAATATCAAGGTGCTGGACCTCAGGGGGAAATTCAAGAGGCCTAATCTTCGACGCGTTCGTGTGTCTGCTGATGCCATCCTCCGATCCCTGCTCGGCTCCAAGCACAAAGTCTCTATGGATCTCCGGGCCAACCTCAAATCTGTCAAGAAAGAGGACACTGAGAAGGTGCGCCAATAAGGGGAAAAAAAAAAAAAAACTCTAACTTAGCAAACATTCACACACACATAAAATAACACAATCAACCAACCTCAATTAGCTGTGTACCTTTAGTAGGGCAGGTGTGCATAGTAGTTTGCATAAAGTTTCAGCCACAGAATGATGTAAGGGTTTACAGTGCCATGGGACACCTGAGGAGTGTGTTCATGTGTGTGTGTGAAGGGTGTGTTTGACACACTGAGCAGTTGGCCGGTACAGGGCAGCGACAGAGTGTGTGTGTATAAGAGGAGGTACGGCACATGAGACAATGATCCCATTGTACACAGAAGAGAAGCTTTTGTAGCCGGTTCTGCTCACTGGTCAGTGTGTGTGAGTGTGTTTGTGTCTGAGCAGATTAGCAGGTGCTGGTAAGTATATGTATTTGTGCTCGCAAGGATCCTTGCATCTGGTGCTTGAAACCAGTTATGCAAGTGCAGTTACACAGTATTGTCACAGGGGATTCCCAGGTGAAAACACAGGCCTTAAAGGCTCAGACAATAATGATAATAGGATGTTTTTTCTAAGCTGCTCACAGTTCACAGTGGCTTTAAGAAAATAACAAAGGATGTCCTCACTTATTCATACCACGTCTTTTACTATCTACTGTTTCCGTGCAGAAGAGGCCAGTGGAGGACAGTGATTGGAGGAAGAACGTGGAGGCCATGTCAGGAATGGAGGGGAGGAAGAAGATGTTCGATGCTGCCAAAGGTCCCGCCCAGTGAACCCAGAAGGTGTTATGTGAGCTACACTGCTCCTTCTGTATCTGAATCAGTTTTCGTTTTCTACGGAGCATTGCAGTTTTTTTAATTTCAGTCCAATGCCTGCACTCTTTTGTATGCTCCTGCCACGGAGGTGAAATGTTACCATAAGCCTGAAAAATGTTCTTTGGCTTTTCTGAGAACTGAACACGCTTTTTAAAGACATGGTGTAAAGAACAATTAAATCAATGTATCATGTACAATTTGTATTGTTATAACTAGTTTACAACCCACTAAGGCTTTCAGCAACACCCAATCATTGAGCCGAGTTTGTCCAACAACTAATGTGGATAGCATTGTAACTCTTAATGAGGCTTTTGTGTTTTTGCTTGATGAAAAACTGTCAACACTGCTTGTGGTTTTGTAATCTGGATGGATTTACATTTATAAAATGTAACAGCAATAAAAACACATTGTGGATCATACTTAAGCAAGTTTGGGCTCATTCAGCTAAGGCTGTATTTAAAACGGGACAAAGACAGTATGCAAATCTTGAACTTGCCTCGGTCACACAGTTGACGTCAGCTTGCAGGAGTGAAAGCTTCGTATGTTAGAGATAGAAATGTAATTTCTCATCTTTAAACATCATTCAAGTTGTGCAAATTCAAAACTGCGGTCGAATGTAATTTTTTTGGTTATGTAAAACATCTAAATTAACTTACAGCTTCACAGTACCTTGGGTTACACCAGTAGTCTGTTGGCTCACCACTTACGTATTGACAGAAATATCTCAACAACTGTTGAATGGATTACTGTGGAAATTTGAACAAACACTTCCATCCAACTGAGGATTAACTGTAATCACTTTGGCGAACCCCTGACCTTTTATCATCAGGCCAAAATGTCAATCTGTCTAATACCTTGAATTATGTCCAAATAAAATGTTTGGCTACAGCTAATAACATTCCCATCAGCCTCAGCTGAACTACTTTGTGCTTCCTGCTAATTAGAAAATGTTAGTATGTGTTAAAACGCAGTTCATCCAGCTGAAAGCATGGCGGCGGAGTATTAGTTCTGTTATATCAAAGATGATGTAAGTGAGACACAATGGCTAGTTTAACCTCAAATGAACGCACCTCTTACACAGAAGCTATTCAGAAAGAGATCAAACCTCTGCTCATATGTCCATGTCAGCAAGCCTGGTTGTAAATCAGCTCTACAAAGCAAGACACAATGGCTAATTTACTTTAAATGAACGCACCTCTTACACAGAAACAATTCTTAAGAGATCAAACCTCCGCTGATATGTCCATGTCTGCAAGCCTGGTTGTAAATCAGCCTATAGCTGCTGTTTTGCATATCTATAAAGCCGCTCTGAGAAGTTATTAAGTTATGGCACTTCATTTATTATGATCTTATAAAGGTTTATGTAAAGAACTTTCATTAGTCACGTGTCTAATAGAGTGTCCTTATTGCATAATGACATAAATGAATGTGAACACTACAGAGGCAGAGACATAATGGCTACCTGGCTTATGCATGCTTGCTTTTTGGAGCAGGGAGAGTCATGCAAACTAATCCTCAAAGATAGCATCTTAATGGTTCAACATTCAGCCTGCATGTTGGTTTCTTTTGGGAACCTGGTCCATGGTCCTTGTCCACAGAGCATCAAATGCTTCATTTTATCATGCATCCTAAAAGAAGCTCACCCTTTGTAATGTGACCCTGTGGCCTGCACAGAATAGAGCAGGAACAGGTGTAGTATAAAGCCAGATGAGGTGGAGGGTGTGTTGGGCTGAGTCTGGGTCAGAGTCCGGCTGGGCTCCAGGGGAAGGTGTGTCCTTACACAGCAAACAATAATCTGACTCATAAGCTGCTGCTGTTGGAAAAAAAAGTAAAAGAATAAACATAATGAAACCCCAAAATGTTACTAATAAACTTTGACTCATACATTTGGATTTTAAGGGGCCCAATATCTTTCTACTTCTTTGCCAAATATTTAATTTTCAGTCGGTTTCTCTTCCTTGTCGTGTCTGCTCATCCTACTTGTTTTGCATTCAAATAGTCTAAATTAATTCTTAATCAATCTTAATTGCGCAGGCTACATTTATTAGCTTGTTGTTAGCTCATTTGAGTTAGCTGAGCTTAGTGGAAGACAAGGGCCACAACACAGCCTGACGTAATGTCATACCTCAGCTACAGTAATGGGACTTCATGTAAACTACCATACACGGAGAAGCGCGCTCGCTCTCTCGCTCCCTCTCCCTCTCTCTCTCTCGTGTTGTGTCTCAGGTGGGTAGCTTACCTTTGCAGTCACGTGACGGTGAGCTGCACCGGGGTAAAGGTGGACTGCTTTGTGCCGCCCCGACTGTAATTTGACTGCCACCCTCAGAGTCCCAGTCAGTCGACTCTGTGTTTGGACGAAGTGCACCTGGAAACTGTATTTTAACATTTAGTCCAACATGTCCATCAGTCGGAAGAACTGGTCGGCTCTTTCCAGGTAAGACTAGAGGGTTGTTAGCCTACTTCTTTTTTTCCGAGAAACAAAACACCTCTGTGTTGCTGCTTTTCGACAAAATTATTGTCTTAATTTGCTGCCCAGCTAAATGGCTTCACATGACAGCCAAACATCATAATTTGTGTGTTTAATAAAGTTAATAATTTGGTGACTTCTTACATCTTTAGTCTGCAGACCTCTGAGCTGACACTATGGCCAATAAAAAAAGTATTTTTTCTGCTTCCTTCACGTCTACCTGGGGTGTGATAGATTATTTTGATTAAACCCTATGTGTATTAAGTCACTTTTACTCTATGCTTTTAGGTTTGAGTCAAGTCATGACTAGAAAAATAAAGACTGAGTGGTTTATTTAAAGTTTCCCAGATAAGCAAACAACAGTGCCTCTATAGTTATAGCAGTTGATGAACAAGTAAAGCAGGTTCTGTGTAACCGTTAGCCTATAATAATCCTTTCCATCAACCAAAACAGGCAGTTAACTGGATTAATATCTGTAAACTCCATGAGAGATTCATAACTTCATAAAAGCTGAGATTGTATTGCGCATTTCCATTCTTGCTTCGGTTTCATTTTTAAGCCACGTGCATGTTATGATTCTGCCCTCAGCCTGGCGCGCCAGTGGACTATGGAGGATGAGGAAGAGGCGGAGAGGGAGAGGAGAAGGAAGGTGAAGAGCAGTACCACAGATCCGGATACCGAAGATAGCCAAACACCAGGAGACTCACCCACGAGTGACAGCACCCCTGGGACAGGCTCAGCAAGTGAGACGTCCCAGGGCCTCAACAGGTTATTACCAAAGCAGATTTTATTGATTAAAACTTACCTAAAAAAAAAAAAAAACTATTATTCATGGCTATCAGCTCTTCTCCTTTGTTGTGTCTTATTTGTAAGAGGGCCGAAGGGAAGCTTTCTGTGTGAATCACTCTCCTCCTCAGGTCTTATACGTTCTAGGGGATAGATTTCAGAAGAAGAAGGAGAAGATCTCCACTTTTGCCCTTTGGGAGAGAGTCATCTGTATACTTTACAAACACCAAAAAAACCCGATACTATGCACAGAAAGTTTAAAAAGGTTTTCAAAAACACCATCAGCTGATTACCTGGAGCAGGAGCCATTTTCAAAGAGAGAGAGGGACTGTAGAGCCTTTCTTTATGGAAACTTGATCAGATAAATGAGTGACAGGTTACTCGGGCTCCTTGTCTAAAACTATCCATCATCAATATATTCTGCTAACAGTGTGTATGCTCTATTCATTTTCAGTCTGGATCAGGTGCAGCTGGATTTTGTAGAGATGCTGCGCGTCCGTGATGAAAAGCGCCGGAAGAGGCATGTGGAGACGCTAACACGACAGAGGGAAGTTGAGGAGGATGGAGCGGAGGCCAGCAGGGAAGGAGCAGAAAGTGGGGCCAGGGTGGAGTTGTTGGGGGACATGGATGAGGGTGAGATTAGTGTGTTTCCCCCTGCGCCGCTCGCTAAGCCACAATCACCTGTAAAAACCACGTCGTACAGTCCTGCAAACAGCAGAAGCAGCAGTACGAGCACCACCATCACAAACAGACAAGTAAGACTGGAGTCACTTTTTACCTTTCTGAACAGTTAAAGAGATTCTGTCAAAATTGCTTTGGAGACATACCTAAGTTCTCATGTGACAAGATGACAGCTATGCTCGCAGATTTCTCTATTACTACGGACTCTGTTCTAACTTAACACAGTTTGATATTCAGGGGTAATGTTGACAGTCTGAGCGTAGCAGATTAGCATGATAGCACCTGCTGATTAACATCATCTGGGATCCATGGATGCTCTTACGGAACATTGTGCTAACAAAAGCATCCTTTTCAGTGAGAGGGGAAACTTTTACCTGCTTACAGTACTCGCGTCCAAGTTTAGGGACTTGGACTAAGAACGTCAGTCATCCAATAGTTGTAATCAGAGTTGAGATCAAAGTGGTGGAAACGCTGTCCACCAGGCTGACATTTCTATCCTCGGAAAATAAACCACAAGCATGGCTAAAAAAAGAACAAAGTGCATCTACTAATAGAGAGATCTGTTGATGGAACAAACTGGCAAACCAGTCATGTTTCACTTAGTCATGATACAGTGGCAGGTCATGGTGCCAACCTGCTGTGTGGTTTATCACAGTTAACTGTTACCCCACACAGAGGGAGAGATGTTAATCATTTCCTAGATTTTACAACAACAACTTGTGTCTCTCTCCAATCAGGTGAAAATATAAATAGATCTAGTCTGTTTTTTTTTTCTATAAACATCAGAATATATAGAGTTATTAAATTAAGGAAAATGGAGTGAATGCTGTATTGTTTCCTGTCTTATAACCGTTCTCTTCCTGTTCATCAAGTGCCCATGCAAATCATCCATAAAACTTTGATAAGGTGTACTTAAGGTCATAATTTGAGCTTTATCTTTTATGATGCTCACAGCCAGCTTTTATTCAGCGGATCTGCAAATGAGTCCATAGCTGTTCAGTGTTATGTAACCCAAGGTGTGCCTCTGATGTTGTGTGAAAGCCTCTGTGCTGTGTACTCATGTTTATTTTTTCTCCTGTTTGTTTCTTTGTTAGAACGAAAATAGAGAGTCATCAGGCAAAGCCCCTGATCCCAAACCACCGTCCAACCCGACACGCAAGTTTGTCAGGTTAATAAACACAATTTTATTTCTTGTTCGTATTGCATGTTTGTCTATGGGGCGGATCATAACAGATCAAACAGTTTTTTTTAAGAGATGAGGGGTATTAATTCTTCACAGGGAAGTCAAAGTGAGGCAGTGCAGAAGAGCGATGGGAGAATTAACCTTCAGAAAGATATTCTCTATTATCTGCTATTGACTAGATTTGGTTTATCGCTGGAATAATGACCGTATAAAGCTGGCTTTAAAGTAAGAAAACAAAGACTAGAAAGTAGATAGAGCATTTAAAACGACCTTCTTCCGAAGAGACCAATGATGGAGTCAGAAGAGAATAAACTGCCAGTGGAGTCGACAAGGTAAAGAAGTGTTAAGCCTACCAGCTCTTGAGTTTGTTTGGATTTTGTTTGGATCATTTTAAACATTGTGTGGTAATTTTTAAGAGTATGACATGGTGGAGAAACTGTTAGTCTTGACGTAAGTGACTTTAACACCCTTTGAGAGGTAGAAACAGATGTGTGAGGGTCGTGAGGGTGCTGTGATGGTTTCAATACCCTGTGGCTCTGCTGGGACTTGTTTCTGGATCACTGCTTGCTTCTTTATGCAAATCTTGCCCTGACCTTTCCCTTAACTTGCATCTCTGATGTCGCAGCTCGGTCTCCATCTCCCTTGACCGAAGTCCCTCAACCAGTGGGTGCACATCTCCCATGAGCCCCGGGTCTCCGACAACCCCTTCGTCACCTCAGGAGCACTGGCCGTCTCCCTGTCAGAGCCCCTCTCCTCGGGGAGCTCAGAGTCCTGTTCAGAATGGACACGCACAGGAGGTAATTGATCAAACACAGTGTAAGGTGACAACACCTTGTCTGCTTTTAATGCCAATGTTTGTTACGCTCTGGCGCCACTGCTCTCTGAATTTAAAAAGCAGCATCACCCTCTAGTGGTGAGATTAATCACTACAGCATTGGATATCTTCTGAAATCTGCAACTGCTTATTTGCCACTGCTGCCTTTAAACATTAAACTTCTCAAAGCTCGGTAAAAACCTGGTTGAGCTGTCTCACTGCCTGAATTTAACATCATTTCACTTTACCTTAGACTGGTGTGAATGGCTCTCCCTCCAGCGGCAACTTTGCACAGACTTCCAAACCTGCGTTCACCAGACAGAGCTCCAGGACTATATCTTTCAGGGTAAACACAAAGCAGACATTAATTTTCTGCCTATTTGACTGTTAAAACTTGCTTAATCTCACATCAGCTATTAGACTATCAGCTCAGGGTCATTTGCTTGTGCCTCTCAAAATTCGGGCCCATGCTAATGCTGTAGCTGCAGCAATATTGACCAGCTTTGACTGCTGACTGGATGCTTTGTTGAAGATGGAGTGACAGTGCTGGTCATTAGCCGCTTATATAGATGACTGTATAACCTCAGCTTTAATGTTTGGGTTTCCTTACAGATGATGAGGAAGAAAGAAGAGGAGATTTCACCTCTGCAGAGAAGGTAAAGAAACACCTTTGGTTTTAACTCTAGTCTGTTTTTGTATCTACCTCACTCCAAGTGCTGAGTACTTTTTTTTAATGTTGTTGTTGTAGTTCGAGTGTGAGGATGGCCTCAAAGAAGTTTGAACCCAACACTGTAAGATGATCATTTTCTTTCACCTGAATTAAAACAATAATACTAAGGTTGTGAGGTTGTTCTGACAAAATTAAGTAAATAGTTATAAGTGATCAATTTATAGCTTGTATGTTTGTTGCATGCATTACTTGTACTGGGAGATATTTCATCTGTTAAGATATTGACTCAGACGCTAGTGCATCAAAATGTTAGTTAAGTTGCAATGTATATATGATTTGAGTTGCATGTAGTCGAATCATAGTGTGTACAATATTAACTATCTTTTTGTTTGGTGAATTGGACCAGGACCAAAATGAGGATGAGGATAAATCATCATCTTTCCAGAGAAAGTGAGTTTGTAGAGTTAATTTATTTTATCTAAAGTTTAGTGATCTTAATTTTAGTCAAAGTGTGTGTCCACAGCTGCATCTGTTAATATACTGAGTGTGTATTCTGATTTCCATCCAGCTCCAGGCAGAGGATTTCATCCAGGTCCATTCAGGAGAAAATGGAGAGGCTGGCTCAGGCCGCACAGGTTAGACTCTCGGGCAAATAAAGCATACTATTCAAGTGGAGAAGTGCTATTGTGTTTTCTAACTTTGAGTTCTTGTTTGTGTGTAGAAATCTGAAGTTGTGAAATCTCCAGATGTGACCCAGAGGACCCTGCACCTGTTGGACGAGGTGTCCAGGAAGAGAGGTCTCTTTGAGAAGGAGCAGCAGGCGTCATCCCTGACTAGCCCTGGAGTTTCCAGACAGGTATGTTTCCTCGACATTTTCTTTCTCTTTCAGATTCACATGCTTTTACAAAGAAGCACAGTTATACTGATTATTTGGAGCCTCTGTTTATGTTTATCTTTGTGTATCAGGATTTTAGAAACTTTGCATCAGGAATGTCAGACCGGATCAACCGCTGGCTCAACAAGACCAACCAACCCATGTCATCACACAGTCCAACTGTAAGGCTTTTTCTGCATCTGCTTCCTGTAACAAGGTGTACAAGTGTGACTCCGGCTGCTAGAGGGCAGTAGTGCTCTTTCACTAAGACTGAGCGTGACTCACTGTCCAGAGCAGGTTTTACTGCTCACTTTCTCCTGCTTATTTCTAGTTAATCTGGAGTTGTAGGTTCACTGTGTTAAGAGCAGAAAAAATTAAAAGGTTATTTTTCCCTAAATGAATAAAAAAAAGTCCTGAAGAAAAAAAGTTGTTTAGATTATACAGAGAAATTTATCCAACCTTTTTCAGTGTTTATGATATCTAAATTTCCTTTACTCTGACTGTTGTACTGAGGGTTTTGAAGAAGTATATGACCATTTTCCCAATTGTAGGATTTAAGACATGTGGACATCACCAGCAAGAGGAGCCTGTTCGAGAACCGAGAAGAGGACAGCATTCCCAAAACCACTCCTGTAAAAATCAACAAGTGAAGGATGACCATTTATAGCAGCTGATAGGTATGATTACACAGAGATTAAAGTAAAACACTAAATACTTAAATAGCTCTGTCTCTGCTGGGGACTGTAGATTTGACTTCTACATGACTTTATATTGAAATGTATGAAGTCATTATGTTAATTTGCTGTATTTCTGTGTTTTATTTTGCAGGATCTAGAAGATGATGAAACACTAGGACACATGGAAGATAATTGGATGACTCTGACTGATTATTTTCTTTCAAGCTTTTTATTTTGTGGATTTTTTTTGTCACTGCCAACACACACTAGAGGAACAGATACGACAGATAAGGAGCTACCTAGAGCTAAATAAGTTATTTTACAGAGGAGGCTGAAATTTAGGAGACTTCATCACACACCTCTAAACTTCTTCTTGTCTTATTTGAAAACACAGTTTTATATGTGTGAGTAAAAATCAAATGGAAAGGAAAAGAGTGATTAAAAAAGACAGGGCAGATAATTTTGGGTTCAACCAGCTTTTTTTCACTTTACTTTGAGTAATTTCAACAGCACTTTAAGCAGGTGAAGGTCTTACAGCTAATGATGCCTTTTTTTATTTCACCATGGGAGTTTATGAGTTGTAATTGTATGTTTTATTTTCTAATCTGCCAAACTAGACATTTGATTCTATGTAATCATGGGCAGGATGCCGTCTGTCTAAGGAATAAAGTATTTTATTGACCACATATGTATCGTAAATTTCTCTTTAATTGCTCTTACAACACATCAACTGTGTTTAGACTGTCACCCACGTTCACTCTCTAACATTACTTATCATGGTGCAGGGAGGATGTAGATAACACTGGACGTCTGTGTTCTTTCAGAGTCAGGCTGCCATGCAAAGGTGAACAAAAACGTGTGTGGATCATTTGTGAGTCTTTATCTTTCTAACACTGTCACCCAGCAGCTTATTTTAGGAATGATGATAACTGTGAGGACATGTTATCTAAAAAAGGTATTAATAACGCTACAAGGGGTCCTGAAATCCCCCCCTCACTGAGAGTGCTTGTCCCGTTACCCTCTGAGACATCACGTTTGAGTTAGTGAACACAGGGACCTCACCTCTGCTGCACACTCAGTCTCTGCATCTGCTCTGTCTTCATCTTCACCTCAGGTAATATTACTGATTCTACATCTTAATGTGTGTGTGCAACCAGAATTCATTTTTCAGCTTTTACAAAATTATATCTACTGTTTAGATTCACTGGTGGAGACCTGAACACTCCCTGCCATGTCTGACACTGAGGAAGTGGTTGAGGAGTACGAGGAGTAGGTTTATGCTTTTTTCCCCCTTTTCATAGGATTGTATCTTGTTATCTCAGTTGAAAAAATGCACAAAAGGGATCTTAAGTGTAGGAAAAATACACAATGCATACCTACTGTCTTCAAGAAGAGACATTTCTTCACATGTGTTGTCATGAATCTGACAAATGGAAGTCTTTCCCATATCAGAAGAATAACATATGAACATGTTTGCATTTTACAGGGTGGTGGAAGGTAAGGACTCTCCCCTTATGACTCACTGTATACTGACAGATACGGTCTACTGTATAAACTCACTGAATGCATGCTTTGACAGATGTATTCTCTGACTTATCCAGTGGGTCTAACATACTAACCAGTGCTTTAAAGAGGCTACTCCACACAGTAGCCTTCAAATGTAAGTATTTTCTTTAGGTCATGTCAGATTGATCTATTAATCTAATGTTAAAGCTTAACCTTGACTAAACTCACTATACAGCACTCATTATTGACAGTCTTATGTACAAATGAAGATTTCTTTAGCTGGTTGTGACTAATTTCTTCTGTAAAAGTTATGACAAGTGATTTATTTGACTATTAAGAGAAGGCAGATTGGATTATCATGTTAAAAATCTATTTTTAAAAGGGTTATATATGTGCGAGGATGAATTAACAAAGATTTGAAGTACCACTTTGTCCACAAGGTGTCACTGAATTCAATACTGACCAAAAGATCTAAAATGTGCTTTTATAACTACTTTAAAAAGTTTCCAAAGTCTTTCCTTTTCAGTCAAATGTAAGTAAATTCCACAGGATGTGAAGTATAATAACTCCAGATTTTGATGGGGACTTCCTCTTCCTTGTAGTTACTTGATGTTTCTCACGATGTGTTTCCTTCTTTTGTGTATTTTCCTGCCTGTGTGATTCAGAAGAGGAGGCTGCTGAAGGTAAGTCAACCTAACAGGACAGCTGTGGTCTTAACATCTCTTCATGAAAGCCTTAATGACTGAGAAATGACTGAGCTTTGGTCAGGTGTCAGTATGACACATGAAATACATTTAACCAAAGCAACAGGTGGAGTCACAACTTGGACAACGTGCATGTGGTTACAAAAGGAGGCTATGGCTGATATTCATGTATCATGGATCAGTCATGCTATGAAACATTTCTTTCTTTCTTTCTTTCTTTCTTTCTTTCTTTCTTTCTTTCTTTCTTTCTTTCTTTCTTTCTTTCTTTCTTTCTTTCTTTCTTTCTTTCACGTCTCTGTCTCTTTCTTGCATGAATAATGCTGGCTGGCTTTGGCTGACCCACTCCATGCTTCTGCTCAGCAGGGGAGCAGGGGGTTGAGGAGGAGGTAGAGGAGGAGGTAGAGGAGGCGCAGCAGGAGGAGACAGAGGAGGGGGCTGTGGAAGGTACTGCTTGTGCTCTGAGCTGGAAGCTTTTTTTTTTTTTTTTTCTTTTTCAAAATATTCCACTGACATTAAATTAGGCTGCTTTTGTGGACACAGTTCCAGATAGGAGTTTTTCCCTGTAACAACCTGACATGAACTTCACTGTTCATGCACTGTGACTGACTGGGCATAATATGATAACACAAAATCTTACTCAAACAATCAAAGTGAATGTTTTTATTGGCCGTTTAATAACTTATAGTCACTCTGAATGGTCTCAAGCCTCTTCATAACAAACATGGTGAAGTGAGAAGAAAAATAAAATGTGTTTCTAATTTAATGAACTGTTCAAAAAAAGCATACACTCTTTACTCATCATTTTAGTTGATATACTTTTCAACATTAACGGGTTTATGCATTACTTTTTAGACTAGACTAGAAGAAATCATAGTGCTCATATTTCAGTGGCTTACACAGTGTCTCTAAAAATGTCAACAATTAAGTCTTACTCTATAAAAGATAAAACGTGTGCATGTACATTGACTTAACTGGCCAATAAATTTGACTTTTTTGAGACAATATATTCATAATTTATTCACCTTTTTCTTCTCCACTTAAGTCCACTATCAAGAATGAATGTCTCTACTTAAAAAGCAGCTGTGTCCACAAAGTCAGTTTGAACTTTCTGTCAGAAATGGAGATATTTAAGAGAGTGATTACTTGTGTGGGGATAATCTTCCCCATTTACCAAATCATGACTGAGCTACTCATTAACTTGTGGATGTTGTTTTAACTTCAAGTGAATGTTTTATCTCGTGTTTTAGTGTCAAAGTTGGGAACTTGTGCTCTTATCGCTTCTGTCTGACTCTACACACACACACACACACACACACACACACACACACACAAATAAACACACACCACTTTACAAGCTCTTGAGTGCTGTCTGCCTAAAATACCAGAGTTGGGTAGCTCACTCTGAACAGATCTCTTGTTATCTCTCTGCACTGTTGTCTATTCTCTGGAACAGAGGGTTAGTCCACTCTCAACTCACACAGAGCAGAGTCATGTCCGAGAAGTTGGGACAAACTCCAGGCTTAGCAAGAAAAAGGGCGTAAGCATATTTCACTGGAATAAACAGCTGTTCACATATCTTGTTCCTCTCATCATGAACTTTTGAAAAGTGACAGGGAGCTGACAAAGAACACTGATCCTTTATCACATTTACACCCAGTGAGTGTACAGATTTGTCACTGATAAATCACTTTTCTCTGTATGTCTTCCTCTGCTAGAGGAAACACATGAAGAGGGAGAACCACCTGCAGAGGAGGAGGAGGCCAATGAAGAACAAGGTGAGGGCTCAGGAGTGAAAATCATTGTTGTTATGTTCTTCTGGATATTTTGTTGCTGTGTTAACCGTTACCAAGCAAGACATCATCAAGGTGTCTGACTGTCTAAAAATTAATCACCATATGACAGTGACGGAAAATGATCTGCTATCTCAGAAACATGTCACTTTGGTATGTGACAGTCTGGAGCTGCTTGATAAGTTTTGTTCCGCTCTGTAGCTGTCTTAGTCACAGTAGACACAGACACTGACACTGAGAATAATCCTCAGGCCTTCCCGTCACTCCCAGCCCTCAGGTTTCAGCTGATTAGTCACAATTAGTGATTAGCTGTTAAGCTTCATTTACAATATTGAGGTGTTTCTTTACCAAAGCTATGAGCCAATCAGAGCAGGAGGAATATTAGTCAGATTCAGACACATCTTTATGTCTTGTTTTTGCCCAGTCAACGCCCATTTAGACTCCTGTGATCTGTCACCTGGTGTGTCATAGACAATGGACAGGTTCATTTTCTCACTGCAGAACTGGTCTGTGAATGCAGCACCCTCTGTAGAGTTTTAAAATCAAACACCACTTTAGCTTAGCTTAAAATACCTCTATAACTGTTTGATGGTTTGCCATAAATCGCCTTTTCCAGACATGCATGTTCCCAAAAGGATGAACCCTAATGAAATCAGTGCCACTGCTCTGCTTATAGAATGAAAATCTCTACATTTAGCAGATAGACTAAAACAACATTTTGAATCCTCAGAGGATGTCCCCAACTTACTTTGATTATTTGTAATTAGCTACACCATCAGGTTAAAAAAAAAAAAAAAGCGTTGTATTAGGGCTGGGCGATAAACCAAAAATTTACAGATACCGAAATTTCAACAATAACCAACGTCATTTTGCCCATATCCGTGTATTTGGTGTCAAAAAAAGTAAATGAATAAAAGTTGGTTTTGGATGTGTGTAGGTAGGCGATGGTCTGCTGTCCCTTTAACCCTAAAAACACAATAGCTAAAACTAGTAACAACATCAACATCACTGTCGCCGGGTGATTTTAACCCTAAAAAATACAACCAAGAAAAAGAACTTGTCATCAAAATATATCAAAATAGCACATTACATGACAAATTAAAGTAGTTTTCTTTTTTAACTGTGCAGTGTCCAAAGGGAGGGGAAAAGTGTCATGAGGGGACCATGTAAAAATGCAACAAAATAACTGAAATTAGGCATTCATGAACAAAAAATTCCCAAAGAAAAAAAAATATAGAAACTGTAAACTAAGTTTCTCTTCCACCCATTCTTGGGGCATGTGAGTCTTCCCTGGTGAAGACTCAGGATCCTTGGCACAATAACAGCTGCAGGAGAGAGAACCAAAATATGGCATATTTGGAGTGAGTAAAAATGACCGGCTGACTCAAATATTTCTTATCACAATATGAATTCCCTTGAAAATCACCACTTTGTGATAGTAATACATAACCACTGCGCTAAATAAAGACAGCATGCAAATTCCAGGACCACTCTTAATGACCTTATTCACCTACATGCAGCTATCAAATCCACCCAAACCTACTTACCCTCTATTACTATTGCCGGGTGAGAATCACCTGAACACGTGCCTGTAGGAAAAAGCAGGTTTTGGATCAGGGAAACAAATATGCCTTCAAAGATGTCAAAGGCAATACTGAAGCTACCCAAAGACCCATGATACTCAGACAAACGCAACATAATGAAAATTACTTAAACACGTTTTAGTCGGGCGAAAATCCCCCGGTGATAGTGTTGTTGGGCTAAGACGCTGTCCTATGTCAGAAACGTGACTCCACCCCATCCAATCCATAACAAAGTAGGAAAGTTAGGTGAGGAGATGGAGGACGGCTCAAAAATTGGAGCGGCGGCTGAAGTTGGCAAAGTTAATGTGGGAAGGGGTGAGCAGCTGGTGGAGTAGTTATCGTCCATTTATCATTGTCGAGGTGAACTGCTAGATATATTGTGATATTTTTTGAGGCCATATCGCCCAGCCCTACTTCCTATTACAGTCCATGCTGTTGAACATTCTACAAGCTACCACACTAACACTATGTCATTATAAGCACATATGTATAAGCTGACATTAGCATGAAGCTCAAAGTATGATACACCTAATTATAGCTTCACCCTGCAGCAAGCCAAGAGGGGCTGCAGTCTATAGTCTCAGTTACATAAAGAAAATAACACCTGTAGGATCCTGCCCTCCCCTGTTACTGAAACACTAAAGTTAAAGCTTTAGCTGCCTTTGTCAGTTTTTGTGTGAGTGTCACATGGAGGTCACACATGCCTTACCTTCTTCGGTGAGAAACTGCTTATTATCAAGTCTGTTCTCTCCAGCCAGCTGCCTCCACCCCTCCAGGATGCTATTTTAGAGACATGACACATGCAACACTTTCAACACAGATAAGCCAACATGTCTTTCACAATCTTCAGTTTTGGTCTTTGTCTACTTTAAAAAGACTGGTATATCATTCAGTCTATCTTCACCCCTGAAACACTGCTATTCAACTCCCTATAAATGCATATTTATTTAACCCACTTGCATAATCAAACATCTCAAGTCTCTGGTTTTGGTTTCAGATGGAGAAGAAGAAGAAGGGGACGCAGAGGAGGGAGAAGGTAACCCTGTTTATCTCAACTGCTTCAAAGTCGCTGCTGGCACACCTCAGATCTGTGTTTGTTTTGGATGGCTCATCTTTAGCTTTAATCACACCAGAATTAGCCTTGGATGAACTTTCTGCTGAGTTGAACTGGATTTCCTGTTGTTCTGGGCACACACACACTTGCACACACACATAGACTCTATTGTAATAATCCGCTGGTGTTTTCTGGTGGGATTGTGAAACTTAATTGCTATTTTTGGTGAGACAGTGTGAGGTCTGAAGAGCTAACCGATGTCTCCTCTTTTTAATGTGTATTTTCTTTGTCAACAGAAGAGGAGGCCAAACCTAAAACCAAGTGAGTGACATAAGAGTAACCTGCACACATACACACACCTTTACACAATAGGCATATTCTTCTACACCACTGTTGTGGAAACCAAATATGTATTGTTTGGCTGATTCTACTCCAGAAATGGAAAGCCTTTGGATTAAATAATATGTGATGTGTTATATCAGGGATTAGCTAGCTGCTTAGCTTGGCATAAAAGTTTTGAAGCAGTAAGAAAGAGATAAGGAAGCTCTGTGTGAGGAACACAAAACCTTCTCATACCAGCCGAGACAATCTTGTTTATTCTATCTGTACAAAGTGGAGGAACATGACTCATTGTTTATAGTTTTTCTAGTTCTGGTCAGTGACTTTTGTTTCATTTGGACAGAGATTACTGCGGTTTGAGATTATTCAGGCACTTCTAGGCAAAAGGTGTCAAAATGGCACCCTTCAACAGAGTCAAAATTTAAAATAATCTCAAAGTAACATGAGCATATTAGTAGGGTTACATCCAAAATACCTCTATGCAAAAAAAGGAGAAAAATCTTTGATATCCCAGGACTTATTTGACTTTCTGAACTTGTCTTTGGCTTTTTTTAAGTAATATTAAAAAAGCAGTTTGTGTTTACATATGTTACATAGTGAGTGGTATGTTTAAGGTTGAAGGACAGCAGAAGAGGTTTTTAGTGTGACAGTATTACTTACATGTGCAGGTCAGGTCAAGATCAGCATTGAGGAAAAGCACACCGTTGTGTTCACAGGGGGCGCCAAAGTCACAGATATAAGTTCTTTGGAGTGTTTTTCAACTTCCTTTTGATTTATTTATTTTTTTTAATTTCAAAGCTGGTTAAAAAAAACAAAAACAAAACACACACACACAACATATAAGTATAAATGTGTAAAGGAGCTACTTTCAAGCATTTGTGACAGGCACAGACATGAAAACACTGGAAGGGCCTTTAGTCCACAAGACAAACCTGCTGACTGGGTTTCATCCTCAATTGACATCAAAAGTAATTCATGTTTATTTTTTAACCCCCATTTCTACCTTGCTTTTAAAAAAAATCTTTTTCCAATGTTCAGGCCGTTTATCATGCCCAACCTCATCCCTCCAAAGATCCCAGATGGAGAGAAAGTGGATTTTGACGTGAGTACAGACTGGGAATCATTAAAATGCACACTGTGCTTTTGCCTCCAGCTCGGGGCCCTCGTTCTTTTGATCTTGTGTTAACAACTTTCTCTAGACAAGATGTCCCTTTTAGTCATGAAAGACATTAAATTCTCCTTGGAACTGTATGTATCTGCATTATGGAATGGAAATGAAGTAAGATTGGCTCATACCCTTGTTTTGTTAGGATATACATCGTAAGAGGATGGAGAAGGACCTGATGGAGCTCCAGACATTGATCGAGGCTCACTTTGAGAGCAGGAAGAAGGAAGAAGATGAGCTTGTTAATCTCAAAGAGAGGATTGTGAGACTTTAGCAATACAGCCTCTAAAAAATTAATGTATTTGCGCTGACATATCAGTAAGATCTGCAAAAATGTATTTGTTGAACAGGAGAAACGTCGGTCTGAGCGAGCAGAGCAGCAAAGAATCCGCAGCGAAAGGGATAAGGAGCGACAAAAGCGTCTTGAGGTAGTGTCATACTCATGCTGTGGTGGATGGAGTTTGCGTTGCTTGTACACTGAGCCTCTATTGGATCTGTTTCCTCAGGATGAGAGAGCACGTAAAGAAGAGGAGGAGGCCAAGAAGAGAGCTGAGGATGATGCTAAGAAGAAGAAAACTCTCACAAGTCTCCACTTTGGAGGCTACATGCAGAAGTTGGTGAGCAAGTGAAGAGTTATTGGTTGGAGGTTTGTCAAGAGGTTAAAATAAGAAGGATATAGACCAATAAATGTTATATTCTTCTGCCCTTAGACTGAAAAACGCAGCGGTAAGAGGCAGACTGAGAGGGAGAAGAAGAAGAAGATCCTCAGTGACAGACGCAAATCTCTGGATATTGAAAACTTGAGCCAGGATAAACTCAAGTAAGTGGAGTTTTATTGACTCACAAGGAACAGATGATTATTCTGTTAAAAAACATGAAAATAATACCTCAACATCAGAGTCTTATTTTTCTGATGCTGTGTCTCACAGGGAGAAAGCTACAGAGCTGTGGGAGTGGATGTATCAGCTGGAGGCAGAAAAGTTTGAACTGCAGTACCAGTTTGGCAGACAGAGATATGAGGTGTGTGCGTGGCTCAAAACAACAGTTTACAAGCAGATCTTTTAAAGCTGATAGAGGCTGATAAAGCTGATTTAATCTGTACTTTGTTCCAGATAAATGTGCTGAGGAACCGTGTCAGTGACCATCAGAAAACGTAAGAAATGAGATCTGAATCTTTTTTTCCTTTTCCTGATGCTACTCATCCTTTCCTTACAGATTAAATACCCCACTAGAGGTCTGTTGAAATTTCATCACCACATCAGTATTTCTACATAATAAACTAAATACAAAATAATTAAAGTAATATATAACAAGAAAAGCACAGGAAATAGCAAAAGGTTGTTTCATGTCAAGATAAATAGGGTCATTAAATAGGGTTTGACCTTAGAAACAATCCTAAGATTGTACAAAAATAGACTAAATTGATTGACTTTATTAATAATTACTCAGATTGAAATCTACTTAACTTATCAAACCAAGAATTTTTAAAGTTTCTTACCTAGTATCCAAAGCTTTTTCAGGACCACAACAAGCGTCCATGGGCCGTGTTTTTATGAATTTGGTTTCAGAAACCAAAGGCTCCCTTTGACGTGCTTGAGACATTCAGTGGTGTTGTAAAAAGTTAGTGTCCATGTCTTCTATAGGTAAAGCTAGACAGGATGCAACATTTCCTAAAAAAGGACCTTAAGGGGCAAATTTAAATATAAATATAAATATTAAAGGGCCAGGAAAAGAACCCTGAGGGACTCCTCAAGAAAGTCATCCAAGCTAACAAAAAAAAAACATATTTTAGACCTTGAACAATCAGAAAATAATTAGTTAAGGTCATCAAAACGCTCATATATTAAAAATATGCAATAATAATATAAGATTTTTTTTTTCAAAGCTTGCTTTACAAAAACTGATTATAGTTTAGAAATTGATCGCTGTCACATGTTTGAAAATCGAACAGGTTGAGAAAGCTCCAAATCCAGGAATCATTTCACTGCTGCTCTTTTCTTCAACTGCAAGCAAGCCACATTTTCTCAGCCATTGTGCTAAAAAGTTGTTCAGATTCTTTGTCTCTGGTTGTCAAAGGTTAGAATGCCTTTCAGTTTCTATGCACTGACCTTTTACTTCACCTTAACAAAGAGTTGCATAACTAGAGTGATATGTCAAAGCCCATTTTAAGGTCAAAACAGCCCAGCATCCTTCACAAACAGCCCAGCTTTTACTTTAGTCATCTTTAAAAGCTCTTGAGCCCCCTGGAGGCTAGCTTTGAGAGCTGGCGGTGTGACTGGGTGTGTCAGGTAGTCAGGTCAGTTGTCAAACGATTTACAGACACCCTGAATGACTGCTTAAAAGTCTGTGTGACGATTGCCTTTGCTTTTTTTGGACGACGGAGGAATCTGCAGCCTCATAATGTCTGCTAGTTTGTCAGTCTCAGACAAGTAGTGCCAGAGTTTTTTTTGCCTCATGTGACCTTCGTTTTCTTTTAACAGATCCAAGAGGACCAAGAGGGGTCTCAGAAAATAGATGGTGCCATGCTGAAGAGAAATGCAACCATTAGCCTGGTTCTTCAGCTACCACCTTAAACCAAGCCTTGGCAAATCCCAAATCCCCACCCAATCAAACCCCTTTGTCCCATCCTGTGTCGATCCTTCAAAGTTCCCTCTGTGTGAACGGGTGTAAATAAAACAATCTTTGTTCTCTCTGACTTATTTTTCAATGGCAGGCCTCTGAGTGTGCGGATGAGTGTATTTACTGGCATTCAACACTTCACAGAGCGAATAAAGTGACTCTGCTGCACATTTACAACATGAATGTTGAAAGCCTGAGGCAGAGACAGAGAGAGACTTCTTCCTACTCATAGGCAAGCTCCTACATGACTGAGACCAACATGATGTTAGCGGGGCCGACGCCCAGACCTCCACCTAATACGCACACACACACACACACTCATATGAGAACACACAAAACTAATGACAATTAATCATTTGGATTCCTTGCAATTCAGGTTGGAAAATCCTCTTTAGAGTTGGTTTTCTACCTCCTTCAGTGTCAACAGATCGTCATGAAAAAAATGCATGATAGCTCTCGTGGTTTTGATCAGACATGCAGACACAAAACAAGATTATTAAGTCATGGTAGTGGATCAGATGAGGCCGGTCTACTGGGAAAAGTACAGCTGGTTATGAAACCGGCATTCCTTACAGCCATAGTGTGATTTATACATTTGCTTCCAGATTTGAAGAACTTAGCAAACACATACAATCTCAGACTCACTTTTTGCGGTCAAAGGGTGGAGTCTCTGCATTATTAATTTAGCACTCGGGCCAAGGAAGAGATGCTAATCTTCTAAGAATATCATAAAGCAAGCTTAATCAAACTGCAAACAGAATATCTGCTTTGAAATGAATTATAGACATGCGAGTACAGATCTGTTTGCTATTTAAAAACGGGATAAAAACTCTGGGAGTTTTGGTGCTTTTAGTGTATTTTAGTGTATTTAGGAGGAAGAGTCCCTTCTGCTCTGTTTTGAATTGTGTATTAAGAACAAGCCATGGGCAGAGTCCATCAAAACAGATATGACATGACTGGGAATTGATCGCATTACATTTAAAGGTACAGTTCATATGGCTGGGGGATTAAAGTGCCTCTCTTAAAGTTAATTAAAAAAAGACATGCAAGCTTTGGCAAAAATGAAAGAGGAAGATCTGCTCTAGTCAGACCACCATCATATCATTTTTCTCATTTTGGTTTTATAGTTGTCACTTCGTCAGAGAACGGCATGCACACACCACAGAAATCTGCTGGAATCTGAACTGAGCTGGAGTTCACATGATGAACTAAGTGACAGTTTCTTTCACTTTTGCGCGTTTCCTGCAAACATGAAATCACAAAGTGCAAATCTTTTACTGGGGTATTAAACTTTCTTTAAAGTTGGTTGTAGGAGAAAAAACCACCACTTACAATTTTGTCTTCATATCTGTTATTTATTCTATAAACACACTGAGTGACAGAAAAAAAAGCTCCTAATTATACGCCACACACTCAATTCTCCGAAAACACATTCTAAGGAATACTGTCATCAATCCTCCATGAGGCAAATGAACCTCAGAGCGAACCATGAGTCTCAGCATGAAACCAGTCCATGTGGTGTAGAGCTGGAGCTGTGGGATCGTCTCTTAACAAGGCTGCTTAGATGATGAGTCATTAAAAGATTTCAAACTTGTTTACAGTGTGTATGATTATGAGAGTAGATACCCTTTAATAAGCTCTTAAACTCTGCGAATAGAAAAAAAAGCCATGGGAGTTTCAGATGAAAAACCAAAAGTCTGTTTTTAAATTTTAAAAACATTTATACATACTTGACTGTGCGACTCCAACTATCTTGGAGGGCACGGTCCCTAAAATCTGTTCTATGAATCTAATCACAATACAGGGACAAACGTACTTATCTATACAGCTCCGGGTTTCTATCTATACAGGGGTTATCAAAGAGAACGGGTCCTGGCTTTGCATGTTGTGAGCTATATATATAATCAATACTTCTGTCTCTAGTTCTAGTTCCTCAGTTTATGCAAGAAAACAAACAACAGTGAGAACATATCAACAAAATATAAAAATTCAAAAGCAAAGAACAGAGCTGCTGACACTGCACTTTCAGGTAATAGTTTGATATTTTGAAAAATGTTTTAAAAAAATTCAACACAGAGGTTTCATGTATGTCTGGTAAATATGAGACAGCTGTCAGGCTTTGTTGGCACAGCTAAATATAATGACTGATAACAGAAGGAAACAGCTATCTGGCTCTGACCAAAGGTAACATCCGTTTAAAATGTCAATACACAAAATGTGAAAATGACCCTTTATAAAACCTGTAAACCACAGGGTGTAAATGTAACACTTCAGCATCTACATGGGTTAAAGAAATAGATCAAATTTGCTCCGTTCTGTTTCCTGTATTTCTAGTCTGAGTGCTAAGCTAAGCTGATCAGTTGCTGGTTAAAACTTTTATCTGATATACAAACATGAGTGTAGTATCAACAGTCTAATTAACCTTTGCCAAAAACTTTCCAAAGCATCAAACTATCCCTTTAAGAATCAAGGCACTTTAGTTAAAAGCTATTTCTATCAATTCTTTATAAACAACATCGCGTCAAACAAATATCAGAACAAAGTAACAAAAAATTTCACGTTGTATTAAAATTGCAAATGCAGCAATAATTGAGCGAATACCTCATGAAGCTAGTTTCTTTTTTGGACTGAGAGTTTGCTCAGTTTTTTAGTCTTTTATATGCTATGTGTGTATTTGGAAAAAAAATCGGCAACACTTTACTTGATACTCTGTAACCCATTATAAATATATTTATGCGTTATAATCGCGTTATAGCACTGTATAACTATGGTTATAAACACTCATAAATGATCATAATGTCAAGTATTATAACACATTATAATACCTGACCTTGTAAGTCATGATAAACTGCTTTATTATGTGTTATGATTATTGCTATAAAGCATTATGATCATTTATGAGTGTTTATAACTATACTTATACAGTGCTATAATGTGATTATAACATATATTTATATTGCGTTAGAGAGATTGGCGTCAAGTAAAGTGTTACCAAAAAATCTATTTGATACAAGAAAGCAAGCAAACTGAAAAAATATGTATTTAAAAAAAATGTGACTGTGCTGCGGTCATGATCTGAACTTATGGAGCAGAGTTTCAAAACTAGACGGTGTGTTTTCATTTTATCTGCTCAGCTCCCCAAAGGCACAACAGATACTATATCTTTTGACCACCTTATATAGACTCGCCTGAAAATACTGCTGCTCCTTAATCAAGCAATCATTGCATGCTTAAAGTAACTTTCACTGCAGATAGCACTGTTCCATATCATGAGTTGTTTTGTGACTCTCATGCCATACTAACTGGTCTAAGCTCACACACACTTTACCTCAAACACTCACCCCTTTATATACACAGACATAAAATATTCAAATTAAATACATAGGGCGCAGCAGAGTTAATGGTGACATTAGAAGCTCCCTTTTTCTCTAGTACGTACTACACATGACTGTCTTCTAATTGATGAGCTCTTTCAACAAGGTCATTATTTGAAGAATGTAATTTTCGCTCCTCGTTGCGAGGGTGTGGCCACAGCAGTGTCTAAACATGCTGGTTTCCATCTGTGAGCGCACACACAAGCAGTGGGGGAAAAAAGGAGAGAGAGAAATAGAGAGATGTCATTCCTGTGTTACAAATTGACTTATTTTGGCCCAAATGAGCTTTTAAATCTGAACACATGCTGAGAGAATCATTCAGGAGCAGATCTTACCTTTCAGTGGCTGTGGCGCCTTTCAAATTGTTCATCACGATCACTCAATAACTTGTGCCAACCTGTGCACTGCTGTGGTGTTGTCATTAACAAAAAGAGACTTGCCCAGTCCCAGCTGTGAATTCACAAAGTTTTGAAGAAACCAGTTAAGGGTGTCGCACTATTTCAAATACACACAAAGTCATACAACACACCCTTTCTTCAATTATAAAAGGAAATGCGCCGTGTCAGCTATTATGAGGAGCTTCAGGGTGAATAATGGCAGTTTGAAAACTAAGGAGCTCCCTCTCTTCTGCCAGGTCTCTGTCACTTTGTTCAAGCTTAACAGTGTGAATTTACATCACTGCTGCTCATATCACAGGTCACAGGCATGTCTGATATTCTTAAACACACAAAAAACCTTTGTTCAGATTATCAATCTCCTCTGACTACTTTATCTGAGCCTCTTCTTCCTCTACCTATCTACCTTTGCATATTATTACTCCTCTCATCATAGACAGTGAGCACTGATAACCAGTCTGCCTGGATTCCTCTGTGACTGTTTCTGTATTCATTGAACCTCTGGGTGGGGCAGGAGGGAAGGGAAAGTGAGCATGTGAGCTGAAGGAGTAATAATAAACCACTTCCAGCTGGGCCCTCCCACTGTTTCAGCACAGTGCTGTGAGCATGTGCTCAGCTCTGACATGACACTCGATCACAAACAGCTTTGTGTTGTGTCTGCCTGGAGAAATTAACACACAGTTTTTACACTTACCTTTTTCACTGCTCCTTGCAAACCCTTCTCATTCCACAAACTGTAGAGCAGCAGGGAGGCTGCTTTGCTGCCTTTAGGGAAAGACCTGTGACATAGGAGCAAACGGGGGGCGCATGAATAAGCATAAACAATTTTTTTTATCTTTTATGTAGCTCACAACACTACATAGTAGATTTATTTCAGTGCAGATCCAGTGCATTGCATTGTAAAAACACAGCTTTTAGGCAGCTACAAGTGCTGTAAACTAGGGTGACCAGGTAAGTTTATAAAATCCTTCAAATGTCTGCAGTTTTGTACCTAAGTTTAGAGTTTGTGTCACCTGGACTTACTGAGTTAGAAGTGTGTAAAAGACCCTCAATCTGACCCGAAAAACTCTCAAAATTAACTTTGTGCGACTCCGTGACTCCGCCCCCACGCAGTAGCGTCCTCTTATTGGGAAGTATGAATATGGTCACCCTATGTAAACTCATTCAGGTTTTGCACGGCTGAATACAGAGATGATCAATACATAAAGCTTACCCATTCTCACTGAGGTCAGCCAGTGATCTCACCAGATCACCGGAAATGGCCTTCTTGGTGACCTCAGGGTCAGCCATCATCAGACTCCGTACTGTACTGCAAGTTGTTGCTATGGTTTCATCAGAATTTCCCATATCTCGAGGAGAGGAAGACAGGAGGCTGGTGAGCCCAGGCAGAATCTGCTTTGCTAGAGTGAAGACACAGGAAGCAGTAAATCAGTTTTATGTGGACAAACTAGACATTTATGAAGCTGCAGCACTAAAAGATCTAACTGCATGCTTTTCTTTACCCATTGTGTTCTGCAAACTGCTGGTCCGGGACATGTTCCCCAGCAGAGACAGTGCAGTCTTCTGTAGACTCCGATTTGGAGATGATAGAAGAGGGGACATGTGCATCAGAGCTCCCAACTTCTGAACCAGAATCTGACTCATGACACTGGAGCCCTGCAAGAAGAGCAAACACGAAGAAGAGAGAGAAGCGTCTTTTAGCTTTTGCTCGACAGCCCATAATACCATTTTCATTGTGCCACCAAATCCACCTAGCTTTGTAATACTTTTGACATTTACAATCCATGCCTTTCACTTTCTTTTGTTTTAATTTATTCTGCCTTCTCTAATTACCTCTGAATCCCTGAGGACACGACCCCACCCTCTCTTACAAAACAAGCCAGTTCTTCTCGTGATTTCTGAATATGACTCATAATTGCTGTTAACAGTGTGTCTCTGCTGCTGTTCCTGAAAATTAATCCGATCCATACACCAACGGTTAGCCTTACAATTATCTTTTTGTACTTACCACCCCCTTGCTGGCAGTGAGGTTCTGCAAGGCACCACAACATGCCTCCAGTGTGGCATCTTTCTGAGAAGAGCCCAGCAGAGACAGGTAGGTCTGCATAGCTTTTGGGTGGCACAACCACTTCACACCTGTTGGGTTGGGGTCCTCTGGTAATCCCCGAGCCACATCAAAAGCAAACTAAGTGACAAGGGTGAGAGTGTGAGAAGAAAAGGCCCAACATGATTCAGCAAAAATCCAGAAACAGAGCTGTGTTAGTAGATGCCCACCTCTTTTTGAGCCTTGCTGCTCTTTGGGCTGAAACACCCAACTGTGGAGTTTTTCTTACTCTCAGCGTAGCTCTCTGACAGAGACTGGAACTTGCTGAAGCACTGAGGGGACTCTGTCTCCAGTTGGTAGGTCAAATTGTGGAGGATGCAAGCACAGTTTTCTACAGACTACGAGAGAAGAGAGATGAGGAGATTTGAAATATTGTCAACGGTTTCATATATCCTTAATTAAAGTTGTGTTGGTTTCAGTATCTTTACAAAAAAATGAAGGAAAAAGAAAGATACTCAAAATTGATTGATTTGAAAAGATTGATATCCAGTAAAACAAGGATATTTCAACATACTCTCTGACTGCGTCAAAAGGAGCCTTTGTAAACATCATACTGTCACAAACGGGGCAATTAAGTGCACACCCCGATGCGTAACTTCCACAAATGAATGTAAACTGAATACACACAAAAGCTGACTCAGCCTACCTTATTTACCCTCTTATACATACCCATGATCGTGGGTGTGTTTGCATGCAAGTGTGCATGTGTGCATTCATGAGGGTGTGTTCATGTTTGCCACGTGTGATCATCTGCCCAGAGATACTACTGGTATCAAAAATAAAAACAAACACTGTTCCCTCCCTCCTTTACCGTCATGATAGAGTGATGGAGTGGTAATGTGGAATAAAATGTTGTGACAAGCTAATAAAATAGTACAAATCGATATTAGTATTTCCTTGCCCCCTCTCTTCTCAGCATGGCTGCAGCCAAAGAATACTTCCTGAATTTCTTTCTCAACTTCAGTTCAGTTCAGATGACTGTATTTATCCCACAGGGGGCAATTCATTTGTGGCTTTTCAGTGCATATTCATTCATTTATTCATACAGTAAGTCAATGGCATACATAAATAATAAATCAGTCAGTCAAGTAAACATGTTTAAGCATGGGGCAGAGGGAGATGTCAGGACTTTATAGGTAGCCTACGTATACAAAACGTAGGGCAAGATAAAACAAGATAGGATAGAAGATTAAAAAACAAGTGAGGCACAAACAAGGCAGCTATAAAACAGTTATAAAAATAGGAATACTAGATAAATAAATAAGAGGAAATAAGTAATGTCCTCTATATTGAAGTTATTTATCTATTAACTGTACTTTTAATAGATAAAAGACCTTTAAATTTTTAAAAAATGTCTTGTATTGTCTGAATGATAGCCCAAAACTGAGACGCAATCATTTTCCAATCTTGCAAAAGAGAGAAAAGTAGACTCTCTTAGTAGATCTCTGTTAAAGTTTTTGGGGTAAACAGTACTGTTGGTCAGAGTGGGAAAGAGAAACTATTTACCTTGTCATCAGGGTTTTCCTCTGCCACGCAGGACTGGACATAACTCATGATGGAGTCGATGAGTCCGGGGCACTCTCTCATTGCCTGCCTCTCTTTTTGTTGGGCACAGCTCAGGTTCCTACACACAATCCAATCATTTATTTAAATCCATATGAGAGCACCTACGTGTCAAGTTTATAATATCTCATTTAGGACTGTTAGTGCATTAACATGTAACTTGCTCCATCACACTTTGTCAGATGGGAAACAGGTGTAATAGAGCAGTAGTGAGCACCTAAAATGACAACACTTATTCAGTGAACCTTTACATTATGTGGACTAAGGACTAACATGAATTCGATCCTTCTGTTAATGCTATACGATAGCACTTACGAGTGACGTGCACAGATCTTTTGCCTCGCTTCTATCATCAAGTCATACAGGCCTCAATATGTTAAAGTAGAAAGATGCCTGAGTTCCTACCTCAGGCATCCTGTGGCGCTGTGAAAGACATCAGGGTGTATGTTGTTGTTGGTGCTGCTGTCCGACCAGCTGGTGAACGGCACCACCACATTCTCAGTGAGGGCAGGGAGCGCTGTCGCTATGAGTTCTCCCTTCAGCTCATCGGCAGAGGAAAGGTTCCATAACAGGCCTGAATATTTCAAGGAAGAGAGAAAATTTGAAAGATTACAAGCTGAAAAAAAAGTACAAGTCAGCTGTCTTGGTTCAAGGTTGTTGCTCTCTGAGAAAATAAAGTGTCTGAATTCATGATGCAGGCTTCATAGATTGCTAGTTACCAAAAAATAAACTTAATATTCCTTATAAAGGATACTTTGGTGAAAAAATATAGACATGAAACTGTTAGGAAGACCAACATTTGGAGTTTTAAGTGAATGTTCTGTTTTCATGTCAAAAAAAGTAACACTATATTTAAAAATAACTAGTTGAAGTGTTGTTTTTACTCATGCACTATGTTCAAATAAGTGTAAGAGACATTTATATTTGGGGTATTTTGTGAAGGCCAATCTCTTGAACATTATTTAAGGTCTAGTCTCAATAAAAAATTGCCCTACCAGTGATTTGTTTCTGGGTCTCGGTAGATTCTGTCTCCTTTAGCAGCTGCAGGGCCTTTCCTATTCCACTACAGTGCTGAACTTCCAGCTTGTTGTTGTGATCTCTGAACACCAAGTTCCTCAGAGCCCCAGCAGCAGCCTGGCTCACCCCAGGGTGAGGACTCCGCAGCAGGGTTACTAGATGGGGAATACCTCCAAGTTGGTAAACCTGGGACACAGAAAAAAGGAAATAGGTGTTAAATTGTAGGAGTGACAGGCGTGGCGACTAACTGACTTTATAGAAGCAGCAGCCAAATGGGATGATGAATGCTGTCTCCTCCCTTTCCCTCCAGGCAGGTTACACAAAGGTCTTCACAGAGCCAATTGTACTGCCTCAACAGGTGATCCTCATACATATACATGAGTGTGATGTTGCACAGATTTGTAAGGTCTTTCTACAGTAGAACAGAGCAGTATATTGAAGTATATTAACGTTCAAGTGGTCTGACCTCCTGTTTGGCCGACTCCTCCTTGAAGGTGGTGTGTTGGATGAAGGTCGCTCCACACTGCTGGTAATTTTCATCGAGGTGAGTCAGGAACTCCACAGCCTCCTTTAGGGTCAGGTCTGACATGGCTGTTGAGCTGTTCACACTGTAGTAACAGGCAGAGAAACAAAAGACGAGATTGGAAATGAGACACTGAATAAGTCTTCAATGAGAAGTCCAGGAAACAACCTAGAATTAATTATGCAAGACGAGCAAAATAACAACTCAGAGTGAGCACCTCTTGAAAACAGTCCAGGCTGAGGAAGACGGGGAACTCACCCTGACATGTTTTCTAGTTTGGTAACTTTGAGGGTACCCATCTTGCCCTCGGTTTGAGATAAAGCAGAGGCTGGTCGGACGATGCGTGTCTGGCTGGTGGTCATGGCGTTGCCGTTGGTCATGGAATAGGAGCTGTGTCTATTCACACGAGTCTGGAGGGTTTGCTGGCTTGCAACTGTTTGTCCTTTGGCTCTCTAACATAGAGGATAATGCAATCATGGTGTTGTGAAGTAGATTTGTTTCAACAAGTAATATACAAAAAAATGGCAGGATGGCACTGTATATAAATGGCACTATAAATTTACATGAAAATAATTACCATTATTGGTGCAGGAGCGGCAGTAAAAGGAGGTGCCAAAGCAGGGTCACTGCGACTGGGTTTCAGCCCGTTGGGACCCTTTGGCCAGGCTGAAGTGTTGACTTGCTGTTCCCATACACCTGAAGTGCTGACATGTCTTGACCCCATGGCTTTACTGTTCATAGTGCGACCTCTCTGGGTATTGAACTAAAGAGAAAGAAGAAAATTTAAACCTAAGCAGAGCTCACAGCATCCTAACAACATTTAAATCAGAGTTTACTAAACGTGGAGTTAAATACAGATTTAACGGTGTGTGATTTGAGGGAGAAAACTCACTGAATACTGTTTCGGCTGCAAAATTTGCTTCATAGGGGTAAAACTAGACAATCACACTTTTTCTGAACTACTCAAAACATTCGTTTATGCATTTAATGTTTTGTAAAAAATGCTTTTTTTATGGTGCTATTTAACAGAAAACATATCTATCAGCCAGATAATACAGACAACCAAATCAGGCTTTTCTCCTTCACCTTGAGGCTTATCTTTTGTAACACTTCTGGTCAGAAAAAAAAAAAACTGGGTAACCTACTTTACACAAGAACAGTTTCAAAAGTAATCTCCGACCAAGTCAGAGGAATTTGACCTTACACAAAGCCTGCATGCCTCTTCCTCTCCTTAGTTTTTGTCGAAGGCAACAGAAAGTACCAAACAACCACACAAACCACAGTAACATTATATCTGTCATAGGACACCATCTCCGGCAGAGCAGTTTCGCACAGAGGATCTTTGTGTGTGCAAGTCACACACAACACCTGATAAACCAGTCCTCAAAATCCTGATTTCTTGACACTTAATCTCTTGTAATTATGTTGTTTTTTTATGTTTCTCACTTTTTTTTTAAAGAAGTAACTGTCTTAGTTTTATGTGTATGTGCATGTGTTTGGGAGTGTACAAAACACAAAATGCTAGTGCTACTGCAGACTTACAAAGAAACAAAACTTGTCACAACCTGAGTTAAGTCAGAGAACATGCACTATGCATGCTTTAACTATTAGTCATTCTTCCAATTAAACTCTTGTTCCATTGGCTTATAAAAAAAACAACAGTAAGAATCACATATCTGGCAGAAGGAACATCCCCGTCTGTCTTTGAACTCATTAGTAGTAGAAAGGAGGGAAGTCTGCCCCCACGTACACACAAAGAAAGGAAAAAACTTTCCCTTTTAAGACACACCAAAATAATATACACTTCAGCGAAATCACATTATTCCATCATAACCAATCTTGGAACTGAGATGTTGATGTTTTGATTTGCAGATTTATTCACTGGCTAAAAGGGAAGTAGGCCACAAACACACACACATGCATGCATGCACACAAACACACCCACTTACAAACTCGGCTCTGTGAATCCACTCCCTCCCAAACTGGACTGGTTGCTCAGTTACCAGCCGCAAGTCTGCCCTGTTATTTACCATGATGGAGCAGAAATCTGTCAACGACACCTTTGTTAAGAGCTGACAGTGTGTGTTTGCTCTCTGAGTGCTGCTTGATGGAGCCATCTGGGCCCCCCCTTACATCACAGACTCGACAGGTGACACGGATGTAAATTCAGCAGGGTAAATACAAACAACACAGGGATTGGTTGAACACTGGAACCGGCAGATATTTGCCCTGTTGATAGACATCAGCTCATCTACAAATAATGTGTCAATTGTGTGTCAATTGAATACTGGCCAGAAAGTATACCTACGTGTTAATTCAGAGACAAGAAGTTTATTGGACAGAAGAAGTCAACTGTCGGACAATCACTGATTTGTTATCTTGTCCAAACTTAGAATAATGTTGGCAAAGCGGCAGTTTAACACCGCCTCTGAGACATATTAGTGACACGCAGTTTGTTAGACATGATCCAATGGCGTTAAAAGAGGAGGGACCACCATAGTAACAATTTCAAAACATCAAATCCCATTGCATATTTGAAAAACGGACACAAAGACTTACAAAGAAGAAGCACAAAAAATATTGGTACAGAAATAAGCTATTGGCTGAATCACTGTAGATATCAGCCTTCATTTTTGACCTTAAGTGTCAAAATTATGTAATAATGGTTTTAGATAGCTAGAAGGGACTTTTTTTAACCATCATATTGTATGGACTGTTTATAACATGATAGATATGACTTTCAGATTTCTGTTTCGCTCAGTGCTGCATATCAATGTGCAAGACACGGTTTTGTTATGTTTATGATTGAGAGGTGGCTCATTTTATTTCCATCAAGACATTCCCATTTTTCACTCCTTAAATTCATCGTAAATCAGCTGAGTCATACTTCAAATATTAAAGCATTAAGACAAATCTGTTGCGGCTTATAATGGAAACTCTATGGATGGAATGGAAACTCTATGAAGCAAAAAGTCAAGAAATAGAGAAGCTCTTGCTGTGATTCTGTGTAACACTTTTTTACCCCCCAGCTTTAGCTCTGTCAAGTGTTTTTGTGCTCATTCTTTGCGGTGCTGCTCCTTGTTTTGTTTTAATAAATTTATTTTTCTGTCACTCAGATCAAGTATTTGTAAAATTATTTTTCCACGCAACACAGGATCATACAAATTCATATTTTACTTTGTGAATAACGATTCAGAGCTCAGTGTATGACCAAACAAGGGAACTCTTCAAGATATATTCTGCCAAGTAGTTTAAATATTCAGTTTACTTTTGGGATATAGATGAGGTGACGCCTAGTTCATCCACAGAGTGTCACCAGCAATCAAACAAAAAAAAAAAAAAAACAAGACATGACTGACAGGGATATACGTATTTCATGACGTTATGATGATGATGTTTCTTCATCAACAAGAACACTTATCCATTACCACACTCCTCTGACATGCCTCAGTTCACTGTTAGTAGGTCAGGTTAGGCCAACCCATAGCAAATTCATAACAGCATACATGCACACACCCTTCCATTTAAAACCACAGTGATGAAGTCAACATTACTCCTTGGAGGGAATTTAAATTAGTCAAGCATTGCAAATGAGTTGAACTTAATCTGACTCTAAAGAGGCTGGAGCTACTAACACCAACGCTGGAACTGATATGACTATTGAAAACCATTATGAATTTCCCAAGTTAGGAAATCTCACATGGCTCTGAGGTGAACCATAATATAATCATCTGTTAACTGCTAATGATAACTGAAAAATACGTATGAAAATACAAATATTCATGGTAACCAGTTTGAAACTTGACAAAAACAATTACAACCATCAAACTATCTGTAACAAGCACCAGATCAGTAAATGTGGCCAAGAAGTGCCAGACAAGCAAAGCCATAGTAATATATTAGACGTCACGATCATCTCTACGCGTCTGTTTTTGCTCATGATTACATCATCAGAAACCAAACATCTCACAGATGGGTTGCCAAACATGAACAGAGAGCCGGGAGGGGATTTTGTAATAATGGGAGTTACCAAGCATCTCTGGGAATTTGAATCTTATCACCATTTTTGTATGCCATGTCCATAAACAATCACATATTTTTGCAGTCAATATCTTATTCTAGCCACCACTAGAGTTTGACATTTCATTTCAGAGATACCTCAACCTTTGTCAAGAGTTGGGTTTCGTTCACAGGGTGTACAAATGGAAATATGAGTGACATCTGATGATCAGATTCTAGATGAAATGCTCCCTTGCTCACCCCACCCGTATGTGAAGCAACAGTGGCCTTGGAGAACAAGAAGCTTCTGTAATACTTGATAGGACTAATCCCCCGCTTATCAAGAAACAGCTACCCGTACATAGGCACAAAAACAACTACTCTCCTCTTTGACTCTCTAAATACAAAAATGTGTAGGCAACTAGTTTGCTGATTTGGTGCTACTGTAGAAAGTAACATGGCGGGTCAGCCAAGAAGTAGGCCAGCACAAAACTTCTAAGCCATATGGCTGGGTCCTCATTTAGTTTGATTGTCAATAAGTTTTGGAGGAGCTGGAGGGTGAATTTGGTTGCAACTGGTCAATGCAAGGCTAGTCTTAAGGTTTAGCTGAAAACAAATCAGCAGCTATTGTCCAAGCAATTAATATTATTCATTGATTTATTGTTTTAACCTGGTGATGCAGTTTTTTGTTTTACTTATTGAGCTTAATCGTTGCTGCACATAACAAAAACAGTGTCATGGGCAAAAATGAAAACAGCTGTTAAAGAGTTAAGCTGTTTAAGTACAATTTCATGATGTAGAAAAAAATCTGATAAAGTAGTGATGTGTGAAAGGGTTTGAACAGTGATAATCTGTGCAACAAGGAAGGGTTTGTTAAGAGCAATTACCGATTTGGCGAAGCCTGTTGACAGGGTGGAGTTGGTGCGGCTGAAGTGGCCATTCGCTGCCTTGCTCGGAGTGAATTTGAATGCTGAAAACTCGTACATCGTGGAGGACTGAGGACTCGTCATGACTGTTGAAAGAAGAGATGGGTGAGGAATGAAATGTCAGACAGGAGAACAAGGATGTAAAATAGGCTGTCAGACAGAAGTCATCCGACAATGACTTTGTCACCCTTGGCATTTTACTGAAAAGAAACAAATCTGCAACACATCTACACATGAATGTTCTTGTAAGACAGAGATAAGCCATCCGATGAACATCAAACACATGACACCATAAAGGCGTTTTGAAAACTGTCATTTTCTAGGCTTTAAATTTTCACTGATAATTATCCAGTTTCATAGAATAAGTGTCCCTAAATCAATACAATGGTGAGTTTCAACTGAAAATTAAAGAAGGATCTATCATTCATCACCTGAGTCAAATATCACTCATGTGACTGATCGTCATAATCACCTGCAAAACTTAGAGTCACACAGAAAGACAGACATGACATCATGCCAGTCACAGGCAGTTGGATGAAACCAACCTTATCAGAGCCGTCATACCTTTGCCTATTCCTGTCTGATGATTCAGAGTAACTCAAAGCTCACCATTTTAGGATTATGGCTATCAAAACAACTAAATCATCATCTCCAATGGGAGAGACATAATAACATCCACAGACTGTCTAGATGAGTGATGCAGCCTGAGGCATTAATGCAGGTTTGGGGCGATAAATTTGCACATGCTCTCTTTACGGTGGAGATTTTGTCAATGTTTTTATCCTCTTTTTCACTGATTCAGTGGTGTCAATTAGATTTGGTTTCAAAGTACTCTGAAGACCTACAGAAGTATAGTGTGTATTTCTCCTCTTTGTTGTTAAATTAACATGATTTGGAAAGAGAGTAACCATAAAAGTTCTTATGTCTGGCCAAATAAGCCTCTCTTCTCAATGGGCTACCAATTAAGCCATTTAGGTTCAGAGATTGACATCCCGTAACTTTCTGCAACACTTTACAATACTTGTTTTGATTAAAATGATGGTTTATGGATTAAAAAGGTGAGCAGTGCGATCTTTGTGTCAGGTAATCAGGGTAGCAATTAAGGCTTTGTGGTTTGAACTTGTACTGTCTACTATTTTGTGGACCTTTTCCCTGGGGTCATAATCTAACTTTCCAAAACACCAAAACATTTGACTTTTGAAAGGGCCAATTTATTATTTGTCAAACTCTCAGGTCAACTTTAAAACTTTGTGTGAAACAGAAAGAGTTAATGTGGGCTAAGCATTGGCCGAAGTCAACTTTTTTCTTCTTTTTAGATAAATACTTACTGCTTTTGCAGAATGTCTTTAAAATGGGCTGTATTTTTCCATCTGTGCTGTGGATTACAATATTATCCTTATCCTGAGCATCAAATTCCACAATCACTTAAAACAGTAAACAGCGCAAAGAAAGCAAAAGCTAGTTTACAGATTATTGACAAATTCAACCTGATTTATCTCACTATATGACACTCCTATACCACAGCTGAATGTCAGGAATTTCTGCAGACATTTCACAAGTTTAAAGTATTTTCTGTTTCTCAATTTTGGTGGATCTTCTTAATTCCTGCTGCAGTGAGGCCAAACACCAGAGATGTTTTGAAAGACCAAAATGAAGGTTTCAAAATGTGTGTTGGCTTTCAAAGCTCATGGGCTGCATTCTTCACTCCCACTGAAATAGGCCACTCTGTTTGGGATAAGGTTGTTTTCCTTCTATAAGTGTCCCTGAGAGTTCACACTGACAAAAAAACCCTTTCTTCTAACAGCAGTCAAGTATCCAGTTTCACACGTTGATGTGGCCTATTTAACTCTGGCAAGTCTATATGTGTTACCCAGAACCGGTTGGCACACCTCTGATAGCTACCTGTCGTTGACTGCCTTGCAAAAAAAGTACGAGCTGACAACAGAAACATACTACTTACTAAACTACTTACTTTCACACTAATAAAGAAACATTTGACAGTGTTCTGGCAAAATCTGAGAAAAGCACTGCTTAGAAAAACAGGGTGTTATGAAAATACAGCTGCGAGCTTGTTTTGGTGACGCATTTTCTCAGGACGCGGTAGGTACAAATTGCTCCAACAGGGAACATATGAGGATGCTTTTGAGCTGAACAGTTCTTTTCACGAGAATAAAAAGGCTGTAAGAGAGCTTAGCAGTATTATTCTGAACATATTTAGTAATTTTTCATACTTGGTGAAGTAGGGGTGCCATTCTTCCCCGTTCTCGACTTGCTCCGTTTGATGGTGTGCACCTGGTCCAGTACGCGCTGCTGTCCCAAACGCAGACTGTGATCGGAAGGAATCGCGAGCGACGTGTCCTCCGCGCTTCCCATAGTCATCGCTGATCGCAGCGGCTCCGGAGGCATCATCTTCCCAAGTCGTTGCCCTTTCCCGTGAACAGCTCGATAGAAATAGTTCCAATAAGAAGTTCAGACCCAGAGAAGGAGGAGGAAGAGGAGGAGGAGGAGGAGTGCGGGTTGACTGTGCGCAACGAATTCGGCGGATGTGCCAAGTATTGAGATATGCTTCAAGTATTCCCAGAGCAGAAGCGGTGAGCTCCACCCTCGGGACCGCGCCCCATCGAGGTGGGTCCGAGGAGACTTCACATGCAGGTGCGGAAGGAAGGGAGGGGCAGAAGGAGAATGCAGAGCCTCCAGAATGAGCAATAATGGCTCAACTGAGCTGCAAAAGGGGATTATCATTGGGAGCTGCATCACAAGTCAGAGTTTGGTGCTTTGTCATATCATGCTTCCTCTCTTTTCATTCATACCTGTAACTCGAGCCTAAACTGTAAGATAAACTTTGTACCTGTATGACTACAACAGGTGCTAAAAAGAAATAGTCTTATTGTAAAAGTTAATCACTCCTTATTTAACTAATAACTTTACCTGAATATCAAAAAGTTCGATTTTGCTCCTGAACAATAGCAACAGGAATTTCTTAAACACTGAGCCCAAAATGAATCCAAAAATACTTCAATCGAGGGGGACATTGTTTCTGAATTTCAACTTAATAGCTACCATGAGGAACTCTTGGTGTAATTTCTGGTAGCCCCATGGGCAAAGTTATTATCACTGATTATCCTGTCATATTTCTATTTCTAGATCTTACCCTGCATTACTATAACACAAATTAAATCATTCATTGGAAATTTCTGACATAGAAAACATTAAAGTTGACTGTTATGTGATTAATTAGCTTGACTTCCAACTACCCTCTGTTGGCAGTTTTAGACATTACAAGTAATTTTGCTATATACAGAAATTATGTGTCTTTTTTCTAAGAGTCTTATTTGCTTTTGTACATGATAAAGAGACATCGGTGTTAATTTTAGCCTGTTTTATAACTAGGTAAGAACCCATCACTGGAGCTTTAAGTTTAATATTTATCAATATTTTGCTGCTAATTTTCTTGTATGTTACATGTATCAAAAAAAATCTTCTCCCCAAATTCATTATTTTCATATTGCATTATCGCCTTTTTATGTTTTTGGTGGGTGTTAATTCTTCAGCTATCCCTTTTACTGAAACTCCTTTCATCTCATGCTCAATCAATCAATCGATTTGTATTTATATAGCACCAAATCACAACAGTTGTTATCCCAAGACTCTTTCCAAAGAAGCAGGTCGAGACCAAACTCATTGTTTGATGCATTACAAAGACTCAACCATGAGATGGGAAAGATTTGACACATCTCACACAACATGACTGCAGCCCTTTGCAGTATTTAGCAAGTTACAGTAGCAAGGTAAACTTCCCTTCAACAGGCAGAAACCTTGAGCAGAACTGGACTCATGTTGGACATCTACCTGCCACTGTTTCACACTCTGTTAATTCTTAACTTAAAAGAATCACATTTTACTCAACATACTAGAGCTTCATAGATAAGTTAAAGATAGATAAAGAGAGTCAATGGGTTGTCAAATCACAACATTATATGAGACTTTTTGCACAATAACTGCTTTTACTCTTGTCCACTTATTGACTTTTGGTGCCATCAAGATTGTGAAACTTTCACTTGCAAAGTTCAGAACTTTTGAAGACTGTGATAGTGAGTTCACATGAAGAATGCCACAATCAATGGAGTTCAGACGCCATAAACTTTTATCGCACACACATGCTTTCCCCACCAAGTCACCCCATACTGTGTTCTGAAGAAATGCTTCAATAACCCTACATGTCACCTTTGGACAAACCCACAGTAGATTCACAATACCTGTCTGCCCTGTTTACGATTCAATCACTGCTATGCTGTAATTTAACCATCTCCAGTCTGCTCAAACCCGAGCAACTTTTAATAACTCAAGTTTTAAGATTCTGCTGTTGCTCCGTCACAATAACTAACGATTTGTCTCACATGAAACAAAACAGGACTGAAAGACAAAATTGAAATCTGTTCAACCAGCCCTATGCATTATGCATTATGCAAAAACATAAGCAGTTTTTGGATGTTTATGAAATAGACTGAAACTCATATTGATGTATTTTTATTATATTCAAAAGGAAACAAGAACATCAGTGACAAGACTGAGGATTTTTATATGCTAATTTTTAATTCCTGAAATGGGTGCAAGGGTGTAGGTGTCAGTGGAGCAGGTGGAGAAAAAACTCCACCTGCTGAAACTTTTGACCGTCAATAGTCTGCAGAATGAGATGAAATCTCAACAATCCATGCACAAGCATGTAGAGGACAGGATAAGCAAAGACTTCTTTGTCCACAAGAGGCACCAAAATTTACACCGACCCAAACTTCCCTCTCTATTTCACTTCGATTTTTAAAATGCAAGTTTTTATTTTTTAATGTGTTTTTCGAAATGGATAATTCCCTCACTAAGACGACATCAGCAAATTTCTCTCTGTTTAATGTGCGACAACAGATGCCGAACTATGTTTCTGCCCTAGATTCATAATTGCTGACCTTGTTAGAGCACATATTTATTAAGTGTGCTTGTTTGAAATCCTGAACGCATAAGGCCCTCATGATAGTCGCAATCACAAATCAAGAGCGAGTTATTTATACTGTTAAAATGGTTAAATGCTGTTTCAGGGGGAAAAGTAAAATCCTAACTCACGTGTTTGTAATGAATTTTAGGAAGGGAAAAAACACATATTACCTCAGATACTACAGGTGATGCGTTTTTAAAGACAAACACTAGACTATTTTTACCTGTTGACTTGCATTCACACAAATTGGCAGTGAAAGACAATGAAATGGTTTTTGCAAGTCAGCTGGAACAGTGAGCAAAGACTCAAGGGCCAAATCAGAAAGCAGAAAAAGAAAAATGAGGTGGAAAAAAAAAAAGACATGAAGAGAAGGAGGGGATCATTTAAACTTGCGCTGTCTGCATAACCGGATTGTTTTAGGCTAAGTTTCTGCAAGTGACATTTTCCCACCACACCCTTTACCCTAACACTGCCAAGGTAATAAATGAATATCATGTGTGTGTACCTGTAGTGTAGAGAATGTGTGTTTATGACAGCGTTAGTCAATGTGCACAGAAAACTTCTGCTGTATCCTGAAAGAGGGAGGAACATGAGTGTAACATATGTGAAAGAGAGAGTAAAATAATCCACGCTGGTGAGCTCATTAAAGGTAAACAAGGGGATTTTGTTTGATCAGAGTACAGCTGACTGCCTGAGTAAATGATCCACTAAAGACTTGTATTTTTAAGCAGCACTTATCACATTTGACTCTTCACCACGAGGATAAAATGTTGTCCATGACCCGGTTATTTACAGATTTAAAATGAGATGCAGCCGTGAGCAACCTGTCAGCTATGCTAGCTATAGTTTTGTTCTGCTGTGATGTTGGCACGCTGACAGGGTAAGGACCACACCCAAGCATGAGGGCTTTGTATGTGTATGTGTGTGTGTGTCACTGTTCACCACTTACAATTTTGGCAGCAGTACATTGGAGAGTTAAGCCTTCGCAGACAGATAAAACTCTGACTAATGTCTACTCACTGTGTCTGTTAGTCTAAAGCTTGATAACGTTACATTTAAGACGTCTGTTTAATGCCAAAGTAATTGTTATCACAGAGATTCACAACATTTTCTGCAGATGTAAGGACGTGTGAACAGAGGTTTTTCTGATTTCTATCAAAAAACTCTGTAAATGCAAAGCACAAAGTCTGAAAGAACATAGTAGCCCCCCACTTTAGGGCTCAAAAATAGAAAGCCTGTGAAGTCACACCTCAATACAAGTCCCACTTGACTGTGTGTGCCTTGGACAGTTGCCAAAATATGTCACAAATACGATATATCACACTGAGATCCTGAGCAGTTTGAGCTCTCAGATTGATTTACAGGTTTACTTGCCCAACCACAGTATAGAGTGTGGGTACTTCTATGGAAGACTTGAGAAGGGGGAAACGTGACTGAATCTCAAAGTATTGTGAGTACACATGTTGAAGATCGATACAGAGAAGCTTTGTCATAGATAAATATCAACCTTTACCCCCACAGGAGCGGTACAGGGTTGTATAGGGTGTACAGAATGTATAATGTGAACCCGATACCAGTGGACCCTATCTGTTTCTCACTTTACGTTTCATATTTGTAATTTTACTAAAAGAACTTGAGACAATATGTTTAAGCAGCACAAAGAGGTTTGTGTTTTTATATGACCCTTGCATAGGCGTTTCTTTTTCCAGAAGTAGCTTAATCTGTTTTTTTTCTTCATACCAACATTGAAGAGTCTTAGTAGTAAAAGCATTGTTAGACTTTCTGTGTACACAGCAGGCTATGTGATTATGTTACCTAAAAAGACACAACATGGTATGTGATTGAGTGACATACAATGAAGCACAGTGGCTGAGTTAGAGTAAAGTGTATGGAGAGACGGTAAGTCTCTCATGTGACAGGATTGTCAGTGCTGTAAATACAACAGACTGCAAAAACTGTGGTGACTGCACCATCTAGCGGAGGAGTTAAAAATTGCAGTCGGGGTGCAATAAACAGTGAGTGTCTCATCCTGAACGTGGCTATTGTTGCTGTATCTACTGAATTGGTGACTATTCAATATGCGAGGAAACATCTGTCATTATTTAAGAAACACGGTCAGGATATCAACCTTGTGAGGGCTGATGCAGATATGATGCCTTCACGATTATGTCAAAATGCTATTCATTAGCCGGATTAACTGGCCGACCAATTTATTGGTCTATTTCTAATCAGAGGTCAATGCACAGGCTGTACATCAACACAAACAGCCTGAGATAGCTCACTGCTGTACGTTTCAAACAACAAGATGTGGATGCAGACCAAAACATTAGGACCATATAGACCTACACCAAGAAGCCAAAACATTAACACATGGGCAATCCAATGCAAGTCAAAGAGCTCTACCATAAATTCTACTTCTGGGAAGCTTCTAGATATACAGTTTTTGTTGTCATGACCAGACTGGGGTTTTTCTTGCACTATATTATACTTGTTCGTAGTTTCTGAAAGAGTGCCCTATAAAATATCCACTTCCTTTACACAAGGAGAGCAAAATATAGATCATTTCAACTGTTTTAACCATCCATCTGATCATGTTAATAACTGATAATGAAGCCTCTGAAAAGTAGAATTTCTGGTGGAGCTATTGTGCTGGATTGCATTCATGCTCCCCTGTGTTAATAATGTTATGGGTGGTGTACATAATTCCCTGAACTAGAGAATAGCTTGTAACGAAATGGGTAGTTTGAAGTTTCTCTCTCTCATGCAGCCTGTGTTGTTACGAAAACTGTAGGCTACTAGATCCTGCAAACACCATGGGATTTTATTGGTACAGCATAAAGGCACAGATTTTATTCACTGAGCATACTTGACCAAGAGGAGTGATGAGGCACAGCCATCCAAAATACAAACACAGGAAAAAACAACAACAACAAAAGGATAAACATTTTTTCAGACCACACAGTGAATATTGTTATTTCAACCTAACCATCTGGTGCTTGGTTTTCATCAAGACAAAAGCTTTGTCACCTTCAACATGGATAATCCTGCCAGGAGAGAGCGCAATAGAGTCACAAAAGTTACTATAAAAAATACTGGTAGCCGAGTACCAGAGAGAACAAACATTACAAAGAACAAAAGAGAAAAAAAATAAAGGTGTAAAATGGATAATTTGCTAGTGTTATGATGCAAGAATCACCCCCAGTTCACTGTGGGTGACTGTAGTGTGGTCTGTACCATACAATAATTTGCATTTAAAAACAATTACACTGATACACCCATCATTTATGGTGTTAGAGTAACACTAACTGTGCTTGGAAAATACAAAAACATGTCCATTTACCTTGTTATGGTGCATAAACAGTACCATTACAAGTGTAGTGTACACATCCTATACATCAGTGCTCTTCAGGTTCAGGCTTAATGAGCCAAAGCACATTCTTATCCCAACTCACGGGGAGGTAGAAATACTGCAGCAAGCTCACACAGTCTGAGTTATAAAAGTAGTGTGTCATTAAAAAGGTAAGATAATGCTGCTGACACCCGAGTGTAAACTGAACCTGGTTTGAACGGGTTTGTTTCTAAAGACAAGTGAGCTGTAACGATAAACCCCCGCTTTAAGATATGACTAAAGGGTCTCGCCCCCCTCCCCCCCTCACTCTGTACCAACTGCATTCCTTTAAACAGCAAATGCACCTAAACGATGGCTCTTTTAACACTTTGACGCCGTATAAGAAACATAAATACGGCTTTTATGTCTTTACATGTAGTGCATTACAATCTGTAGAGAGGAACACTCATTTTTTGTTATTCAATAAAAAAAAGAGTTTAAATCAGAGCAGCTGGACACTGTAAATCCAATAAAGCAGTGTACAAAGGATAAACCATTATTGGCTCATTTAACTTACACTTAAAAGAGGCACTACAAACTGTAAAAGAGAAAGTCATTGTGGCAGAGTAACATCAACACTGATTAAATGATTTGTTTGCCAGCCTATATTTAAACTTGTCTCACATCAGTCACACCTTTGATGCAATGCATATGCTTGTTAAATTGGGTAAAATTGCAACTGTGCATATAGAAGAAGAAACATTAATCTATGTAAAGTTTGGCACTTTTGCTGGTCTTCGCTTCTGATTACTGTCCCTGTATTTTGGCTCAGGCACAACTCACTCGCTGCTACAGCGACGCACGTCTGGAGTATTAACTAGTCTAGCATGTAAGTTGAGATCCACAGCAGATGTCTTCTGTCTGCTCCAAATATCAGGCTGATACTACAGAGGATACTAGAGCTTTTGCTGTCCAGATCACGGTGCCCAAAGGAACTCAATACAGTTTGTCAGTGATCCCTGAAGTTTCTAAATATTGCCTCTTTCTTTTTGGGTTTCTTTCAATCGACAAACCGGATGAACTGTTTGCAAACATGAGAAACACTTTTTTCTCATCGTTTCTTTTAACAATTATCTTCATCAATTTTTTTAACTCGATGTACGGACAGGCAAAGTTCGAATGACACCACTTTATAGCAAATATCTACACATAGATTTAACCACAGTGTACCAGTCATTGGTAGCAATGGAAATGCAAATGCGTTCAACAAACATAAGGTGTGACGACCGTGTGACTGTTGGTCTGTTAGAACACGAGTGTTTTAGAGGAGAAGAGTAAGGATACTGTGTGTTTGAGCTAGAAAATAGTGTTTTTACTTTATGTGTCAAAAGAGTCTCTGCATGCACGTCAAGTGCTGCTAGTCATTAACTAGTCGGTACACATGGTACTGAGCTCCATGTTCGCTAGTGGACACTTCAAACACAAAGGCGATGCACAGCAGAGTCTCCTGAGTTTCTCTGTTGGAAACCACCTGATGAGAGAGGAGAGAAAAGGTCAAATACAAGGTTTTAAAATCACAAATTTCAGAGATGCTGTGGGATTTAGAAGTGTAGGGATGCACACATACCTGCAGGATGGTGAAATTTTCCAGTACACTGTTCATCATGTAGTTCTCAGGCAGGTGTTTGAGTTTATGGATGAAATTGATCATGTATTCACACATGGGGGAGCGATGGATGCGGAACACGTACTTTCCTCCTTCCAAATGTGCATATTCAGTCTGAACAGGAAAATCCACATTCACCGTTTCAACATGAACCACACCTTTGTATGCCATCGTATAAATCTGTATTCATTTGCATTTTAAATAAACGTGTCATCTTCTCACCTCAACTTTCTCCACCACCTGTTTGCCAAAAGAGCAGACCTTTGTTGAGACACTGATGGTGATGTTTTCTGTTCCACTGTACTGGCTGCTAACGCCGTAGAACACGCCAGAGCCTTCTTCAATGTCACTGCTCAGGTCCGCCTGAATAAGCACAAGAAGATGGCGTGAGTTAAAAGCACTGAAGGAAACTAAGAAGCAGCCACTGTTGTTTCATTCGTTCATTCATTCATTTTTTGTACTGACCCAGAACTTAACCAGGAAGAAAGCGTTGTGTGGCCCTTTTTCATAGAGCTCCTTCAGGCCTCCTTTCTTCTCTGAGAACTTGTCGTAAATCTGCCTCACATCTATCGACTCCAACACGGGGTCGTTGTAGCCCGGGTTCGTTGGGCCGATGTGTACAAAAAGGTGTTTAAACTAAAAGACAGAAACAATTCAGACCAAGAAAAATAAGTTTGACGAATTTTGGAAAATCTGGAAGGTTTTCTGTAATTTCCTTGAGAAAAATTATATCGAAGTAGATGGCTGGAATGAGGAGCTGAACTGAAGATTAATTTATCTTTTCATTTTATCTTGTTTTAGTGTACCCATTTAGACCTTTACAGACATATGTATCTGTGTGTGTATATTTATATATCTAAATATGCATAAAGAAATATGCATTTATTTATTTGTTTACTTATTTTTCATTTATCTTTTTTCTTTTTTTTTCCTTCCAGCTATTTATTTATCAATTTTATTTTTATTATTACTATTTTTATTATTATTATTATTATTATTATTGTTGTTGTTGTTGTTTTCTTGTTTGTGCCTTCTTGTTCTATGTGGTTCACCCTTTGTACATTTACAAAATGTGCAATAAACATATTTCAAAAAGAAATATAAAATAATAAAACAATTCATTACACACTGTTAGAGTTCTTTTGTTTGTTTGCTCGTTTAAAGTAAAAGAGTGAAAATATCCAGATTTCTGTACCGTCTCTCTGTCCCTCTGGCTCTCCATGAAAGCACAGAACTCCAGTAGCCGAAGTTTTGCAGAGGCGATCGTTCTGTCCTGCCATATAGGTGCTGCTATGGCTGCAGGGCGTGGAGGGGGCAGGGGTTCATAACCTGCCAAACATAAAAACCATCAAATCAATGAGCATATATAAACAATAACTAGTGCTTATTATAAAAAAAATGCAAGTGTTTGTACATACTGATGGGTGCAGAGATAGGGGCTGGTATTGTGGTGAAAGGCGGCTGTGCAAAGGGCTTGATGCTGTCGATTAAACAGTAGAAACGCAGGAATCAGCATCTTTACAAGATTTAATAAATGACTCACTCCAATTTGAAACAAACACAACAAGAGTGAAACTTACTCCTGAGAATGTCCAGGCTGCCCTGGCAAAGGTCCGGGCCAAAACTATAGAAGAAAAAAGAGGGGAGAGCAGTGCAGATTGTTTTACTCAGACTTTTACCCAGAGGGAAGCAAAGAACAGATGTGTGTGCATGTCTGAGAGTCTGTGTCTCACTCTGACTGGTGGAGGGAACTGAGTCTGGGGTTTCATCACACTAGCAGACACAATCTGAGCAGATGAGAGGTTGGCTACCGTCTGCAGAGCCTTGTCTTTGGATACCTGGTCCTGGATGAGAAAGACGGAGAAACACACAATGATAATGCTCCGCTTTAGAAAACGAGGTTAATGTCCCACAATCTGCCAACCTTCAGGGCCAGTTTAGACAGCAAGCCAGCCAACAAATTATTCAGAACTTCAGCACGATGCAGTAACTACGAGGGAGGGACAGGACAAAAGGCAAAGCAGATGTAGAGGGGGTGCCAAAGCAGGAGGCGCACCAAGCTTGCAGAGTAGAAGAGCTAACAGGAGCCATCACCAGCATTGAGCTTAAGCCACTAATAACAAAACAGCAGGACTTTTGGGGTCTGGCAGTAGATCTGCATCGTGGACTAGCAGCAATGTGAGCCAACCACAAAGCACAAAGCCTGAAGCAGAAACTGTAGTTGTATAACTAGAAACTTACCAAGTTCATGGCCTATGGCAGAGGAGACACATTATTAATTACCTTCATTACATTCAGAACAAAAGCAGGTTATTGATTTACTGTTAGTTCATGAGGTGGATCACCTTGCTTGCTCTTTGAAGAGACACCACCCTGGATCTACTCTGACAAACAGGCTCGCACAGAGCTTGAAAACATTCTGTCTTTTCCTGATACACACAGTATTAACCTGTACTGAAGTTAGTCTAGAGAATATACAAGCCCAGAAATCTGACCAAAGTTACAGTGTAGAGTGTAAAGAACACCAACTTAGAAGTCTTTGACATCAAATTATGCCTTCAGGATATTTTTTATTGCAGGGGGAGTTAAAACCACATGAAAACAGCTTCAACAGAAAAGACTTAAGAGGACTGAGAGAAACGTCTCAGAGCAGAGATGTTCAGAAGAGAAATCATTGAAAAGAGAAAAATGAAGCCTGTTACAGGGGGGCACATGTCATCCTCCTACTGTGTCGTATGTGTTTGCATGCATTCATGTAAACTACCAAAGTCATGCACGTACTTGGTTAGCTTCTTAAAGCCCATGCATGCACCAGTTAGTCACAGTTTCACCAGCTTCACTTAGCTGTCCAGTATACATAACTCATCTTTACATAAAGCCATAGCGGATCGACCAGTTTACTTCACTCTGAGCATGCCTTAAGGCTACGAAGACCTGCTACTGAGGTCAGACAAAATCGAAGGTCTGGGTTTCTCCTGAACCTTTTGGAAAAAACTTTCGACTAATAAAGCAAAGCGCAGTAGTATAAACTTTAGCAGGCAGGTAGTTGTTTTTTTAAATCAGCATTTATCTACGGAGCCCAGGAGGTGACATGAACTTTTTTTTAATTCGAATTAGTTTCTCGCATGTGCATTTTATTATATCGCAGGTGCGATTTAACTGTTTGTTAATAAACAAAATCACTTTGTGCAAGTCTGATTATTGCTAATGACAAAGTTGCTGTGTTTTAAGGATCCTGATGAGGTGTCTCCTACTCAAAACACTACCAAATGTGACCAAGCTAGAAAGTATCTCTCTGTGAGTTATACCTAAATGAAAGAAAATGCTGATTATGCTCTCTGTCCATGACACTGTCCTTCTTCTCTCACAACTGAGTTGCATGCAGGATTATTTACAAAAACGCATGCACAAGATACAAATAAAACGCACGTTCAAGATACTAAATCACAGGGCTGAAACGATATGCTTTTCTCCTGATTCAATTCTTCTACAATTTTTTGGAAGCCGATTCGTCTTAAATTGCGATTCTATTTCAGGAACCATATTTCCCCAAAAAATAAACATCACATCTTAGTCAGTTTTTAAGATTTATTCCTAAATTTGAAAAAAAAATAAAAAAAATAAAATAAATTTTGGAACATAAAAATAAATTTAAAAATTGTAGAACAAAAAGATTGCAATACTTATGTGAATCGATTTTTTTCTCCAACCCCCTACTAAATCGTACGTGCGAATAAAAAATAAATAAATAAAAGTTCATGTCACCTCCCAGGATCCGTATTTATCAGTCAAGTCCTCAAACTTGTATTTCCTGCTGCCACCAAGTGTCTGAACTTGGCTAACAGTCCTGCCAATGCCATGCAAAAACCCTCTCTCCTACAACAATCACACTCAACGCATCTCACGCCTTACAACTGAGCAGCACATTCGGGCCACATGCGGAGCGAAGCAGCTAGCACTGTTAGCAGCCGGCGTAGTAAAGCAAGTCAGTGAGCATGTGTACCTTGAGCTTAGACTGAATCTCACGTGACTTTCTCTTGGCCAAAACTTGCAGGTGACTAGAGACCTGACGAAAAGAAAGGATGGAAGGAAAGAGGAAAAGGGAGGGAAAAGAAAAGAGGAGGGGGACGTGACTACAGAGAGAACAGGGAGTTGACTGAAAGGGCACCCACCTTGATGCTTGTCTGGTATTCTCGTACCCTCTTTCGCGCCAGAACCTGAATGTGACTAGACACCTATTGGGCCAGAGTTATCCCATGAACAATATACACTCATAATCAAGTATCAATGCAATGAGGTTAATCCATCTTTATAAAACATGAATCGCTGCAGCTTTAAATGACATCTTTGCTTACCTGTTTACGTGTGCGTGTCTTCCCTGTTCGTAGCTTGATATAGCGAGCTATCAGCTCATTCCGACCTGAAATTTTAAAAAGAAAAGATTTATAAGAATAAAATCATCGACACTGTGAAGTGACTTGAAGAAAGATGCCAGTTTTCTTGATGCTTTCAAGTGAAATAGCGACAGTACGATAGAAAATATTTACAAGCAAAACAATTCAAAATAGGGTGGGAGAAAAAAAATCAATACAGCATAGTATCAAAATATTTTGTCTGGTGATATATCGTTTTGTCTTATTTACCAAGTATCGATTTTTCAAATTAATTGCCAATATGAAGTCAAACCTATATAATGGAAAAATAAAATCAACTGTTCGTCCGGTGATGTTGGCAGAGGTGACATCATAGAGCAGGAGAAAGTTAGTGCAAAAAATATGTATAAAAGGTTCGCAAGATGTGCTACATGAAAATAAAATACAGTGTGAATAAGACAAACATAAAGGAAAGACAAATGTTAAATTAGCTAAACAGTTGAAAAAATTAGATAAATTGGTATATATTGTATTGCAATACTCACTGTATTGCAAAATGTTAAAAATCGTAATAATATCGCATCGTGATAATATTGTATTGCAGGGCCACTAGTGATCTCCACCCCTGTTGCAAAAGGGGATCATTATTATTTAGAGTGAGATAATCAAGTTTATTCAAGAACAGTTTGGTGACCCCAGACCAGACATGATCGATCATTTCAAATCTAAGTTTTTCACCAGTGTTTACATCTCACTTCCCTTTATTTAGTGTCATTTTTACTACAGCCAAAATGTCTCCAAACAACAGACACAGCATGTTTCTGAGTACAAGCTGCTGGAGTTGCTCTGTTGGGTCAGTGTTTAAGTTTGCCTCTGTGGTGCAGACGGGAGGGGAGACAGAGTCACGTGACTACACACACACTCATGGTAATTTGTTTTAAAGGGGACAGCACATGAAAGTGCAGATTGGGGACAGTACAAAGCAAACAATCAATGTGGGCAAGATGATGTCTGTTTGAGGTTGTTATCGTGAATGTCTGTTTATATTATTCAGATTAACTGCCCAGCCCAACACCAAGAGGAAGATAGTAAAGTTAAAATTTGGCTAAACATGATGGGGGGAAAAAAAGAAGATTGCATTGACCTGACGGTGACCGGCTGCCACTATTTCCTCTCTGTCACAGCCAACCTCCTGTCATTACAGTGGATCTATCATGAAAAAAGGCTTCTCTATCACTAACAAAACTTTCAGATCATCTAGGTTTAACAGAATAACAAATATTTAAAACATTTCTGGTACTTATGACGGTAAATCTCCTATGTGGTCTGTGGCAGTGGTCACTTTATTCAGCCTATTCTGCACTTTTTCCCTCCCAGCTCCAGCCCCCACCTGATGATCTGTTTTCCTAACATTTACAAGTGAGTAACTCTCTGTGTGCTACCATGCTGGAGATGTCAGAATAAGATAAGATCCAAAGATAAAAGCTGACTAAATAAAGCCGTATGGTCTGTTATCAATAAATCATTTACACACATGTGCAAACATCATCACCATCTTTGTTTCTGGGAAGTGGAACGATGCTGCAGGGGATAAGTCACGTCAGGCTGAGTCACCTCAGTTCTTTGGATTTACCAGAACACAGAATTCCCCAAAATCAGCAGAAGAGGCTGACTCAGACCCAGCAGTCTGCTCTGATTCCCTAAACAGGACACACAGGCTTTCCTGCAGCCTAATGCTACGCCACATATGGTAAAACACTTCTTCCTCAGAAGTCAACTCCTGTAAAGTTTGCCGAGTGTGATTTACGCTCTGACGAAAGAAAAAGGCAACCCCCAAAATAGTTGGCGTTACTTTCAGCGACATCGGCGTTTTGAAAAGAGGAAAAAGACAGAATTATACAAAACACATGGCGACCCAGTAAAAAAGAAAGACTTGCAAAATCACACGCTGATATAACAAACCACCACCAAAATGTTTTTGACAGAGATAGTTTGGGCCAATGGTAGCATCTGCAGCACGCTTTACAGTCTGAATTAAGCTCATCTATAGAAGCACACCCTCTACTTCCACAACAAGGATCCAAACCAAGCTGAAATATCATTATTAAAACAAGTTGCCTCTGTTTTATCTGCGTCACCCTGCGTGTCCTGAGAGCAAGTGATGTGTCTGCTGATCAGCCTTATTTGGGAATACATGCTTGACAACATAATCCGAGGTGACATCATGGTAGTAACAATGACTGAGAGCAAAGGCAGGCGGCACAGGCTGGAGCTCAAGTTCTACTAACACTTGGATTTGGGGATTTAGCGTGTTTGATTTTGAATGCCATCTTTTTCCTGCATCTTTCTAGCAGCTGCACTAAAGTGATAAATTTTATGAACTTAACGGTTCCAGCTGAACATCAAAGCGCGGCGCACTAAATGATTAAAAGTGTCTGACTTTGATGTTCATAATCAGGCGTAGAGGACAACCCACAGATGGTCTGTCGGTTTAACTTTGCTCAATTTGATCATCTTAAGTATAAAATCAAAAAGGTGCTCTGATAATCAGCTAATTAGGGTTTAGTCACATTTTCTCAACATTAGCTACGCTGCAAATAAATGCATTCACACTCCCAGCAGCCACATATATGATTCAAGCTTGCATGTTGTTCAGTTGTTTAAAAAATTCTGTTTGAGGGATTTTTTTTTTTTTTGGATGATGCATGTCTGTGTAATTTCAGACTGTGTGATCAAGTGTAGGGCTGAAACGATACCTCAAGTACCTCAAATACAAAGAAATGATTGAGGAATTTTCTCTGCCTCGAGTGACTGTCTATAAGCTCAAATTGTCACTGTTTAGCACAGATTATCTTTTGGTTTTGCGGAGTGGAAAAATGAATGATGAGAGGAGCTTTTCTTCTGCAGAGCTCCAGTAGCGCATTAGCACTTCGTCTCCGAGTTGTGGGCGGAGACAGCACTGCTCTGCCCACTCCTCTTCATGATAGCTTGCAACCGAACATCACCAGTGTAGTAGAAGTAACAGGTAACATAGGAGCTATTCAGCTCTCGAACACTAATATCATAATTGGCTTTCTTACAAGCATTGCAATTCGCTAACGCACAAGCTTGTTCCGCGTTCCTTGTTTCTCAAAAAAATGTAAAAAATGGATTGTTCATAATTAAACTAAATGTCTTATTTTCTCTTGTATATTAATAATTGCTCTTTCACTAAAAGAAATTATGTTTTCTCCGATTACTCGATTAATTGATGGAATATTGGTAGAATACTAGATTACTAAAATATTCGATAGCTGCAGCCCTAGTGTATAAAATGTGATTTGACTTTGTTTTAATTCAAAGATAGTCAAATAAACTGATGTTCACCATAGTAACAGTGTGTATGTTAGGTAAATGATGTGAGAGAAAAGTAGGAGTGGCAGTTTTGAAGTCAGTGTTGCTTCCCCCTGTGTAAATGTGTTTACCAGTGCGCGTCTAAAAATAACTTTTTAAAATGGCAGGAGTACCCCCCAGTGATTCTCTACATGGAGGGATTTTTGCCCTTTTTGGGGGTAGGTAGGGGGGCTTAACGCTGAGCTTCACTCCCCTGTAGAAAATTCAGGCCTTGCAGCATCGTTATTTAATGAGAGGGGAGTCGGGGTGCCAACACACTGACCCCACACAAAATACCACAATGATGAAACAAACCTCCCCTTTCTGTTGCATGGGATCATGTATCCCATTTCCCTCACAACGCACACTTGCACATGCATGACCCGGGCTGCTGCAGGCAGGAATGCCAACTCAGAAAGAGAGAAAAATGCTGGGAATGTTGGATGCCCGCCAAGGACTTCAGTAAGACGGAATGAAACGTTCGAAAAACTTCAAAGCTTTACTCCCAGGTGGCGCCTTGAACAGATACTGAAAAAAGGGGAAAAACTAAATTGGCAGTCTGGTCCCACAGAGCAGTATTAACTAGTCCGTCACTAATTAGCGCTCAGGGGGAAGAGCAATCAAGCACCCGTTTCATGTGCATGCTGACTTCTACCTTACTTAAATATCAACCTGCCGTACACTTTGACCCTGTCAGGGCTGGCTGCTCTTTGACCCAGACGCCAAATAGTATCCTCCAGAAATACCTGGAAGAAATCTGCTGGGCCTGAACAACAAAACTCAAAGGTCCACCAGGCTCCTAAGTTAAATGGAAAACCAAACTGAATCAGAAATAAAGCTCCATTTTTATTTACCGTCAGTTTTGCTGTATTGGTTATGAATTCAGGGTTCCTACACAGTTGGAATTTCCATACTTTTCCATACCATACTTTTTAGAATTATTTTTGGAAATACCTTTGGTGTGTCCCAAATCGCATACTTCCATACTAAATACTTAAAATTTTGAGTATACTCAACGCAAAATGGAAAAAAGTATAGATAGTATGTGAAAATTAAGTAGGCAAAAGTACCCGGATGTGTACTTAAATAGGTCAAGATTTTTAGTATCCGACTGTGGACACCCGCCGCACTCATTTCATCAGTAAGAATGGTTGCGGACGGCTGTGGTGCCAGTGGGTGGGCGACAGTTAACCTGGGAGCCTTGTACAGATCTAAGTAATAAGTTGCCTTTTACACGTGTTCTTTCCATCAAGCACTGCCAGCGTTTATCGTTTTGAGTATATTTGTGGTGCAACCTGGGTAACCTGTTTGTCTTTTACCGCGAACGTTATCACGAATGCCATTTAGCACGCTAGCTAGTAGCCGCTGGGTTGTTCCGATTTGGGACGACACTGCACCCTCGAAACTCAAGCACTAGGCGATTGAGTACATAGTAGAGAATACTCAATTTGAAAAATCTAAGTATTTAGTGTGGAAGTATGCGATTTGGGACACACCACTTCTTTTCTATTTTAGAAAACAGTATTTTAGCACTGTGGTAATAGTCTGTAAACATAAATATTTTTCCATACTTTATTTTTCATTTTCCATACTTTTTAAGACTTGGAAATTGACCAAATTTACTTCCATACTTTACATACTTGCGTAGGAACCCTGTGAATTGTCTAATTATAACCACTTTGCAGAAGTTCAAACTGCTGCAGGTTTAAAGAGTTGTCTGCAGTGATTTTGTCGTATTGGTGAGATTACTACAAAGCACTTCGAGAAAAGCTATTTTAACCACCTACAGTTTGGCAGAGCTCATGCAATAACAGTCATTTATCAACAGTGGAGAGTGGCTGTGTATATTAGAGACTACCTTACAAATCTCATCCCCTAATTAGTGTACTTCAGCGCTCTATGTGCAAGAAAGCCTTTCAAAATAAGAGCTCCAGATTAAAACAGACTGATACTAGTTCTTTATCCTTTCACTTCAAGTATAAAAGCAGGTAGGTTTCAAATTAAAAAATACACCATCATTGGTTTGTACTCTGATATCAACAAATTACACTGGAAAAGAGTCAAACTAGACAGAATGGCTGGATCATATTCATGATAACAGAGATGTGCTCTTCCTCACCATACATCTTCCCCTCATCTGACAGTATGATCTTCCTCCTGCCACAGGGAGGGTAGATGGCCAGAGCTTCTTGAAAGCTCTGCTCGATGTCCGGACTCCACACTCCCTCGGGGTCACCATCCAATCCACGGTCCGCTCCGTCTCCCATTCCTTCTCCATCACCACTCTCCTCCTGCGCCCCATCAGGGCTGCCACGGCAACTCCACTCCGACGCAATGATGACGGCTCCTGCCACAACACACCTGAAACACACAGGGAAAGATATTTTTTTAAGAAATCACAGCATCCCTCCAAATCTTTGCCCACGTGTTTGTATTTATAGACTGTGAGTTTTTGGTCCAGGAAAGTAAACTCCCCCATGATCCGAACAGAGCTGCTAATGTAAGCCTAAACCCTGGAGGCCCTAAAGATAGGACTTCATGCAACAACATGCCATGTACTGGACCAAACAAAAATAAGTTCATTCGAGTGGCTGGTGCGCGTCTTCTTACACGTTATAGTAAAATGATGTACAGGAATATCTAAACAGTACTTCATCATGCCCACCCCTGCCAATAACAGCACTTTAGTTGTGCCTTCCCTGTCAGAAAAGCCTGGACACACCCCTACAAAAGAGGTACAGAGGAAACAGCGGGATCTGAACAAAGTAAGGCTGTCAACTTTCTTTAATAAAACCTGTATGAAAACACTTCTTAGTTGATTTGAAAAGAATGATTCCCGAACTGGCAAGAGGAGGATTAACAGTCAGTGCGCGACACAGCACTGATCAGCATGTCAGTCTCTCACAAATTGACAAGGACGGAGTTAAAAAAGAAAATTTAGAGTGACAGAAGAGCCTGAAGAACTTACTCTGCAGCCTGTGTCAGATTATCGATGAATATTAACAACAAAAAAAATTAGGTCTTTCTCTGTCACTTACAGGTCTCTGCATTATGACAACAAATATAACTTTCAGAGTAAAGTTTAGCCAGCTCCACATGTCTGAAAATACCGGTCAATGACTTTATTATCAGCAGTGATACAATGTCTTATAATACAGGGTAATATGAATAATTGCATTATCTGAAAATGTTGAACAGATTTGTTGAATATTGTGTTTCTTATGTTCTTTTGTTGTTAAATTAATGTTTTCAAGCCAGTAAAGCACAAATAGCTTATTATTACCAGTGGTCGAACAAATAGTTTTTCAATGGCCACTGCCAATACAGATTACCAGGGAACAGGTATGCTAATCTATATCATCTTTTTTATTTTTTTTTTTAATTAAGTCCTCAACAGGGGGGAGTGAATATAATTTAACATTCTTATATCCTGTTTTAAATTTAAAAAAAATGATGGGTTTTTTTGAGTGCTAAGATCTTCCTTTTTAAAAAAGTTTTTCTGATCTGAGGTAATCTTATTGAATCCACCTCATTTCCCCAAAATGTCATTTTTATTTATGAGTCCCAACAACAAAGTCAATATAAATCAGACACATTTTGAAGGAAGGGAAAGATAAAGAATAACTCTGCGCCCGCCGAGAATGGTGACAGATTTCTTGAACTCAAAATGTCTCCACACCTCAGCGAGAGCAGGATCAGTTTCATCTGAAGTTGTTTACGGTTTCCCCTGGTACAGTGTGTATTAATAGCCAAGGTATTCAGGGTTAAAGACCTGACAAGAAAGATGTCAAAACATTAAGAGCTTGTAAATTTATTACTGATCAAGGTCACTGAAGACACTACCGGCCGGTCTGGATATTTAGGTTTCACCAATGGACGGTGGATCTACTGAGACAAGTTGAACACAGTCGGTAATGATGAAACCAGTTCAGAAGGCATGATTAGGCTGTATCATCTTCCTGAATCTGTCAGTTTTGCTCCAATGAGGAAATTAGAAATTATTTTGTTATTATTGAGGATGCCCCAAGTCTCCTCAAACACAGGCTCACATATACAGCATGAATGCTGCCTGGTGTGTAATGTTTTCCAGAGTGCAGCTAGCATGGCCCCGGCCACAGAGAAACCACAGAGGATCAGTGTGGTCGCACAGCTTCCCCTGCTGTGGTGGGCTTATTGGACACACTCTGTTCAGTGCCTTCCCACTTTCAATCTCTGCTGACGGAACTGTGCTGCTGCCATAGAGATCAGACAAGCCACAGTGAAAGAGTGAGGCAAGAGCAAAGTATAAAAGAGTTTTGCAATATTCAAAAAGCAGGACAAGTGTCAGTTTCAAAGTTTCTTGTTTGTCTGAAGTCACAAAGTACCATTTCTGTACATGATACACCCTTCCATGTTTTATTACAGGCCCTGCAGAACTCTCTTTGTTAGGACCAACTCTTTCCATACTTTTCTGTTGCTCTCTGAAGTCAAACCATAACCAGTCTTAGGGGACATTAACAGGGGACACATTCGAGGTGGGAATAACCAGTGGCCCCACGATACGATATTATCACGATATTTGGGCCATGATATGATATTATAGCATTTTTTAACATTTTGCAATACGGTGGGCATTGCGATACAATATACTGCGATCTATACAATTTTTCAGCTGTTCATCTTGCTAACCTTATGTGTCAGGTCCATCTCATTTGTGCCCTGTTTGCATTCCTAATGTCTTTCCCCATTTTATTTTTCCATTATCATGGATTTGACTACATATTAGTATTTAATTTGAAAAAAATCAATACTTGGTCAATGAGACGATACGATATCTCACCAGACAAAATATTGCGATAGTATCCTGTATCGATTGTTTCTCCCGCCCCTAGGACACATGTGACTTAAACTTTATTTATGGCTATATTAGCCTGGACTGAAAAATGTATGTAACATAAGAGAACCGAAGTTTGTTCTTTCCTTAATTGCAAAAGGATATTATGTGGAAAGGTAATAATCATAGACTGTATATACTATGGACAACTTGGTTCTGCCTCCCGCCTGTATACGGGTTTAAAGCCAAAAGGCTCTCGGTATTTCCGGGATTTTTCTTCATTTCCTGAAACCAACATTGCGCAGTAGCATTGTGGGCATTCGGCGGGAGAGTCACCAAGAGTCGCTGTGATGACGCTCGGCTCAAACAGTGTATCCCCTGGGTGAGCTACGCAATCCCTGAACGCCAATAGGCTGTATCAGGTGCCAATCATAGAAAACATGAACCTCCTAATAACTTTTAAAAACGGAGCTTCACAGAAAAAAGAGGACTTGAGCACAAACCAGTCTTATAATAACTACGTCAACACCACAAGCGAGGGGAGACAAAAAATGTATATTCTGTGTAATAAATTTCGTCCACAGCCCTATAAGCTTTGCTGGCAGAGGCGGGATTTATGACCTATACTGCAGCCCGTCAACAGAGGGTGCTGTTCTAGGAGTGGTTTCACCCAGAGAGGAGGCAGACGGCGTCCATTCTATATACAGTCTATGGTAATAATCCACTGAGTATCAGGGAAGATATCCAGTCACAGGTTTTTGGTAATTAGCATCACCTATTCACCAAAGAGAAGTTAATTTAATACTGTGCTTTAAAAGATTAAGAGTATTTCTCATCATTGCCACTTCTGGATATCATGAATCTGCTCTCCTTTTCACAAACTAAAATCCACTCATAAAATGTGAACTCAAACAGCCATGATTACTTTGGGGGTCTTTTTTCATTCCCAAACATAAAAACAATGTTCCTTTAAAAACCATTAAATAACACTAACATGTAATATGAGGTTGAATTAAAGCTGGAACTCACAAAATCTGGTCAAAATAATTACGATAGCTGTTGAGCAATGTCCAGTGTAGTATAGTATAGCCCGGATTTAGATTTAGTCTAAACTTGTCTAAATTTAGACATCTAAAATCTTTCATTCTTAGACCTGTGGTAGCCTGATTTTATACCAGTCGTCTAGGCTACATTTACGTGTCTGTTAGACCACTTTTAGACCAAAAAATGCTCAGTGGGATTGTTGCAAATGCTCTTATTTGCTTGAGGATTTTACATTGAGAGTAGATTACTAAATATTACGCCATCTGACCGATATATTTAAAAGTTATTTAACACCAAAGGTATGTGTTTACATTGATACTTATGCTCTCTTTCAGATGACTTGAGGATACATTTAATCTTACGACTCTAATCTGCACAGCTCATGAGGTCAACCGCATTATGTCAGGGTGCTGCTACTTCCCTTGCTTACACACCTCAAATATAATAGGACGGGATGAATCATTCAATTCAGAGCAGTAAATAAGAGAAAGGCTATCCATGGCCCTAACTCTCAGTTCAAGTATCTCCCTCCAAACACTGTATCTGTTTAACATATCTAGTTGTGCCTTACAGACCTGTTTTTCAAGACTGTGAGTGAGAGTGCTGCCTACAGCGCAGATAGGAGAAATCATGCTTCTGAGACCCTGTGATCACAGCTTCGTGATTTCCCTGAGAAGTGGTGATGCAAAGTTGGCCATAATGCACTGCAGGCAGGAGTTTCAATTTAGCTCCCTGTGGCCTTAAGGTCAGGTGTTTAGTGCAGCGAGGAGCCAGTGGAGCATTGAGCTAAATAAAGCTATGAGCTCAGCAAACACATGCACATTACAGGCTGCCTTCTGCTTCAATGGGAGAAGCAGTGACATTATAATTAACCGAGTGAGATTTCATCACAGTTCCTCGCATAGAATCACTCCTAAATCTACCAGAACTATAGCGCTTTGGTGGTTTTCAAGGTTTTACGCACGGAGAGAGTTGAATTCGAGCCTTAAAATGTCTCATCGTGACAAAACGACAAGAGACTAACTAGGGTGTTATCTGTATTTTTGACTTCTGTTCAACCAGTAGGACCAGTTTCACATGTTGGTGACACTTTCACAGTAACAAGAAATGAATCCCATCCATGAGTGTGTAACAGAGGGAAAGCTGAAATCACGCTCAACTCTGTGTACGCACTTTAGCTTACAGTGAGTTAGCAAATCCGCTTTCGCTCCTAAGTTAAATAACTTAAGTGTAACTAAACAATGGGGTTGTTGAATTACCTCACAACAACTTAAAAGAGCGGGAGATAATCGGCTTTTCTATACTTTTGCGAGTTAATAAGACGAGCCTCTTGCTGACATGCTAGTTGGTTAGCTCGCATGCTAATATTACCCTAACAAACTCCAAACTAAGACCGACTCAGAACCTAAAAAAATCATTGTTACTGCAACTCCGGGGGCAGGGCGAAAACGATACGAACCCCATGCCAAAGACAAGAAGCCCTGAATCAGCAAAGCGGCGGCGAGAAAATGCGAAATATGCCAAATATCTGAAAACTTCAAGCACACTCGAAGCGAAGCAGCAGCTGCAGCAGCATAAAAGTTGCAGCGCACAACAAAGAAAGTATCTGAGAGCGCACTCACCTCACAATGGCTCTCCTGCTCCTCTCTTACAGGCACACTCTCCTCTCGCTGTATTTTGGCTCCTACGGTTGATTTGCTCTCTGAATATTGAGTGTTTCCTTGGTTAAAACAATAGTGTTTGACAGGGGGGAAAAAAGGCGGAATGCCAGGTATGAGTTTGGTATGAAATCAACGCGCGGAGGAAAACGCACAGAGGCGTGGCGTCGAAACACGCGCACACGCAAAAGTTTTGTGGGTCCCGACACAAACTCCTCCCCCGACATCAGACTCCTTGGCAGGAAGAAAACAGACAGGAAAAAGTGGAGGGGTTTGTGTTAATGCTCTTTTCCTCATAAAGTAGCTTAAGTGGACATTGCAGTTTTTCCTGCAAAGTTGGCCGACAGAATTAAATCACTTGCAATCCTGGTCAAATCGAGAAAAGTACTGAATTCCAAGGCCTTGCATTTGATCTACAACTCTTAGATTGTTCCCTATATGTCTTACTGTGTGGAACTGTGGGGATCCGCCTTTAAAACTAATATAAATTCAATGATACACAGGTGTCAAATCTGGCCCGTGGAACAATTATATGTGGCCCACAAGATTATATCATATTAATATGAAGTCTGCAGATTTCCTCCAGTATAATAATGTAAACTTTAGCACCATTATTTAAAATGTCCTTAATAAGCCACGAAAATCTGGGAAATTAAAGAGTAAGGAAGATTTAATAAATAGTCAAGGATGTGGGGGGGTTCAATTTTGCATCTCAAGATTACAAGTCAAATATGATTTGAATTTTTATTTCATGCTTTGATTTTGTTCAACTCAGTATTTAGACTTGTGTCATTTTAATACTTTAGATTCCAATTTTAAATTTTAAGTCATATTTTGACCTTTTAAACCTGATTTCAACGTTCTTCTGATGTATTTGCTCTTAAATGCATTATTTTTCTGCTTAATATGCTCTGATCTTTTGAACTAATAAATAAAAATAGAATAAAAAATTAATTTTTTTCTATTTCAGGTTGCCTTTAAACTTATCTTTCTATCTCTTTTGAATTTCCAAATGATTTATAATCATTGCTATTTTTGTAACCTATTTTTTGAAAAGGAGGTTGACAGTTTTGGTGAAATGTTGACCCTCTTTGGCCCTCAGGTTAGACCTAAATCCAGATTATGGCTGTTGGTGTGGTTGAGTTTGACACCCCTGCAATAATAAGACTGCAAAAACGAGCTATACGTATTATCAATAAGACTGATTATTATGATTATTATGATCACACAGAGCTACTTTTTCTAAATTCTCATGTTATGAAATTTTATGATCTGAATGCAAATTATGTTTAGAGCAAAATCAAAAAAGCTACCTGACTCAATACAGAGGTTCTTTGTCCGTATATTCTCAGAGGTGGTAGAAACAGGAGATGTGTCTCCATTACTGGAGTTAAATTCTGGAATGATGCCAACATAAATCTAAAAACATGTCATTCTTTTTTGGTTTGAAAATGGTTTGTAAAGCTATTTTTGAAGCTTATAAGTGTGATTAATTCTCTGTTGTTGTGGTTTCTTTGCTTTTCTGGAGGTCGGTAGCCTCAAAAGTTGATAATACAGGATAGGCTTTTATAAGCAGTCTGCTTTCGCCTATGCCTTTTCAGTCAATATTCAACACATGATTCTTGATTTAGTGATTTTGTGTGAAATGTCAATATTGTGTACAATATTTGGTGTTGTCATGACTGAATAAACGACTACTACTACTACTACTACTACTACGACGACTAACTGTCCACAGTAGCCTTCATGAACAACAAATGTCGTTTATGTGGCCAATCCTGTGTAGTTATTAGCTTTTATTGTCTACATAATAACTAATTGTTGTTATCCAAAATGAGCAATACTATGACAACATAAAATTTTTGATGATTATTAAAATTAAATTTAGCTTGAGGGGTCTTATAGTTATGAAACGGACCAAAGCTTAATCCTAGGGGTAACCCTTACCCTGGATTAAAGTAAACAGTTGTCTATATTACAAATCCAAAAGTTTCTGTGTTGATGGGTTTTCAAAAAAGAAACTAAATTCATTCTAATATGTGCAACATTTGTCCATTTCCATTACTGCTTTTTCCTTTTTGGGAACACTGGGGGCTGGAGCCTATCCCAGTCTACCACAATAGGCTTTAAAGTGTTACACAGAGGCCCTGCATGAACAGGTGACAAAATCAATCTCTAAGATCTGTTTTATTTTAGTTTATAGTAGTTATTTTCCTCGTAGATACAGGAAAGCATTGGAAACTACAAGCATTAGATGCATTATGTCTTGTGGCTTTGTATGTTTATGTTTCGCAAAATGCCAAACTTATGTCTTCACCCCTACTGCAAAATAGCAGTCTGAGTTGAGAAATTAGTTATAACTTTAAAAAACACACACATGATACTCTAAAAAGTGGGGAAGTTTGTTGGAATAGGAAAGATTGAAGCCTCAGGTGACATCCATGCATCTGTGATGGGGTTGATTTCTTCTGCAATTCATAGAGATGTTCTCAGACACTGTTAGGAGGACTGCTGAAGCGCATAAGGACTCAAACAGGCTTGAGTCAGCTCTGGTTAATGACTCCCATTATCTACAGTCTTGGCCTCCCACACTGACAAGGTGAGAGTAATTGGAGAGAAAGGCTCTGCTTATGCAGCTGACATGTTACTAACAGTGATTCTATTGTGAAAAGAGATGAATTAGCCTCTGAGGAAAATATCACGAGACTGACAAAGAGACTTAAACCCTCTTATTCTTAACAGGCCCCTCAACTGCTGACAATAAGCTTCTGTTCAAAGTACAGATTAAAGACTAGCATCTGATCTCCAATCCTGCAGGACTTTAAGTTACACCTTTTTTCAACAGCTGGAGTCAAATTATTTCTGATCAGTCAAGTTTGCTGAAAATTTCAAAACAGTCACCCTTATACTTTGAAGAGCTGCATCCCCTCTGCATTTTCTTTGGTTCCTTCACTCTCAAGCTGATTTTAAAATATGATCAGATACTGTATGAAGGTGACACTGACAGGATAAGATTAACCAAAAGTCACAGGGCAGTTATGAAATAAGGTTGGATTGGACTGTGTTTGCCTGCACATGGCCACAGGAGGGCAGTATTACCATGATTATGGGAGTTTAAGTGGACGAGACACTGATTGGTGAATAAAATCAACATTTACAGCCCACGAGCAAATTGTTATGTGAAAATTTTGTATTACAACTCTTGAATTGCTTATAACATTTTAATATTTTGATGTTATTATATTTAAATATATTATTTGACATTTATTTACGCAGGTCTTTATCGACCTTTCACTCACATCCTCTAATAATTTAAGATAACATCAACCTCAAAACGCTGCTATTTTCACTGCATGAAAAAGTCTTTCAGTGCTCAGGCAAACAATGCTCCGTACTTAACTTAACCCTTTAATGCCTTTTGCATCATGTTTGAAACATACTTTTATATACTTCTATCAAATCAATATCAGAATCAGAATCAGAAATACTTAAATACTCCACTGGGGGACATTGCTTTTGTCACAGTACTCCAGTGCAAATACAGTAAAACAGGACATAAATAATAGATAAGTAGGAATAAGTAAAAATACAGAGGTAAATAGATAAAATAAGTTAAATAAGTTAAAATAAAGTGATAATATACAAGTATTTACACTATATACAATACAAATAGTAATTATGCATGATAATATAATCAACAAATTACCAAAAAAAAAAAAAAAACTGGATACAGTCCAATAAATAATAAAAATGTCCTCTTGTAGTTTATCAGTTTTCAAAAACATCTAATGTATCAAACGAGATAAATAAACATATTTGTTAAATTTTAAGGGCATTTTGATTTTTTGGTTTCCAGTAGTAAGTGAAATAAACATTTCAGCTCCAAAAAAATGTGAATTTTCTGGCCATAAATTGTGGTTTTAGGCATTAAAGGGATAACTGGATAATCTTGCTGTTTGAAATCCATCAATGTCTGGGGGCTTCCATTGTGAAGTTAGTATTTGCTCGATTGTTTGATTCACAAGTAAGGGAATACTCGTCCAGCTCGTAAGATGCACTTACAGATATTTGCCACTAGATGGGGCGCTTTATCTTATAGTCAAACTCTTGAAGCTCATACAGCAGTTTCATCGCGGCCTCTCAAAGTGGATTTCTCTCTCATGAATTTTGGATTATTCAAGGACAGATGTTTAGTTTCAAGGTGGCAAATGTTCACATAATATTGACTATCTGTCTATAACAATTTATTGGGGCTACAAAAACATGTGGACTGCGTTCCTCCCTCACTCCAACAATAAATATAGTTATAAAAAAGTTGATGTAACAAATATGTCAAACTCAATTCGACTATTTCATGGTATAAATGCTGCCATTATAATTTCCAGATGAGACCAGACCCAGCCACTTAAATAGGCGCTTTATTTAATCTTAATCCTTTTTTCCTGTTGAGCCTACTCACAATTTACATCCATTTATAACAAACCAAAACAAAGCTGAGCTGAATCATTCCAACTGAGTGTCAATTTCTCATCAACTTTCACTTTTTATCTTGAACGTGTGTCCTAAATTTTGATTGTTAAATTCACAGGCGTCAAATGAAGAGGAACTGGAATATACAGGCGCACTGAGATCTGCGCACATGGCGAGCTGCGTCATTGTCATCCTGCAGACTAATACAAGGGCTCAGGTGAGTATAAGCCTCTGACGCTCCACTCCTGAAAATGTGAAATGGTTATACAGTTTATCATCTACTGTCAGTGTATTTGTTTTATTTTACATTCAAATAAATAAAAAAGAGTCAATTTTTTATGTAATTCTTCAACAAGGCCAGCTAGCATGATTTAGGGATAGAGTAGCTTTTAGCTGATAGCAACGTTTAGGGGTCCACCAGATAGTTTCTGGGGTCAAACAGCAAATCACTTTACGCAGCTGCTGATAAAAATAATACCAGGCTCTTTTGACCGCAGCAACAATAGAAAACTTAATTGTGTGATTTTAATTATAAGTTCCATCATGTTGGCCTGTTTAAAAAGTGAGTGAAAATATATATTTTTTTGGTTAAATGCAGGGCCCACTCACTTAAAGAATGTTTAGCCTGGTATTATAAATGAGATTACATTTGTTGTTGACAATGCATACTGTTAAGACATACAAGGTAATGTTTCTCCACTGTAAAGGAGGCATGCTTTGAAAGTATGTAACAGATGATGTGATAAAACAGCTTACAAGTTTGAAGACTGCCATAAATACAGTGACCCAAGATTAAATACAGTATAAGCTTTATTTTAGGGTATCTTTTTAAAAATGTATGTTATGAAGCATTATTTTTTATCCACTTCAATATTCATGGTTTACTTGTAGAGTCACCAAAAAGAGGAAATAATCTTTTAAAAAAGGTATGTGCTACTTCTGATAAACTACATTAACATGACAGTGTTGAAACACTTGTTCCTCCAGTTTAGTTTTTGTGTGTTTATACGCTTAGTATGTGATAACATTAAAGCCCACACAGCTGTATGCTTTCAAAGTTAATTTCTATATCCTCCTGTGTATTTTTCGACTGTATGTACGGCAAAAACAACCGAGCAGCTCACGATAATGATACCGGGAGGAATAACAAAGTGAGTGTGTCCCTGTGTGAACTGGGTGTGAGCTACAAAACAGTGTTATCAGATTCAGCTGTCACACTCGGTGAAAGGCAAACATAACATCACATCTATTGCAGAGGCCATTTATAGACTTTTCCACAATGTCTGCAGCAATGATAAGCTTTTATTCGACATGAAGTGCCCCTTAAAAACCACTTCAGCCGCTTATTTTGAATGCTGAAGAAAAGCCGTAAACATCTCTCTTCCTGTTTGCGAGGGTATGAAATTTAAAATGGTTGCTGTGCATTCAGAGTGCATCTGCCTCTACAACTGTACAGTACAGTCTAGCTGTGTGACTATATTTGTCCTCCCCGCCTTCCTTCTCTCTCTTGCAAGGGGACAGGAGAGTCAAGAGTTGGACGGCTGCCAAGAGAGGCCGGCCCGCCATGCAGCTGAAACTTTTACAAGCCAAGCAGGAAGAGACACAGGGAACGATCGAAGAAGAAAAGGAGCAAAAGAAACAAGTGAGAGAGACATCTAAGCTCTTTTTTCTCTCACTCTCCCTGTCTCTCTCCGCTCTGTGTCCATCTGTCTCGCTGTCTTTTATTATTCCTTGTTAAAGCCATACTGTATTTGCCCGCCTTCAGTGGCAGGGGGTAAGTGTAGGGCTGGAGGACAGGACGAGAGGGGAGGAGGAGGTGGAGGGGGAGAGACTTTGGGTTCAGAGAGTTCAGCTGAGGAGAGAAATAAATGCATAAACAACAAAGGAGACGTGACGTCAGGTTGAGGGGCTGTCCAACCTGCTGGCTGAATCTGAGCCTCCATGGAAGAACCGGATTGTTCGCACCACATGTGTGTTTGTGTATGTGCGCCAGTGTACAGTATGAATGTGTGTGTCTGTGTGTGTGTGTGTCCATTGTCCTAACTTTGAGAACAGACTCATGTGGAGTTTAATCAGGGAAGCTGGACTTTTGTGGTCTGTTTTGTCTCCGCGGTGAGTGTTCGAGGACCGGGAGAGCCCTCCAGAAATGTGTGTATGTGAGTGTGTTTGGTCAGTTTGAGGACTCAATGACTCAGGTATTACAGCAGCTGCGAGAAAGAATTAACCGTTTCACTCACCGTGGAAAAAGAAAGGTTTGTTTTTTTGTCTTCCGGCGTTCGATGTGAGTTTAAAAATGACAGAAAAAGTTTCTTTTGCGATGTAACAGTAAAATGTGCTCCTGTCTTTTGAATTTCAAAATTACGTCAGCTCGGGAGCGAGCTCCGATTGGTTGGCTCGACTCGGGATGCCCGCTAAAACGCAGGTGATTGGACTGCAAGCAGGCTATAGATAAGGTCGGCCATTTATGAACAGATGGATTTATGTTTTCTCTCCTAATGATTGAGGTCATCTAGAGGCGACGGCTCACTCGATCCAAGACCAGCATCGCTGTCCAACTGTCTTGCTGGTCTGAGGAGGCAGAGGGAGACCTGGGAAAGATGCCAACGGCTGGAGGGGGGAGAAAAAAGTGACATTCTCCGAAATGTCTACCCTCCTCGCTCATTGATTCATTTAGAAGTCCCTCAAATCCCTCCCACCGAGGAGGGCAGTTATTATCCCCCTGATGGAATGAGAGGACAAATTGATGGAAGGATAAAAAGAGACGTGGAGAAAAAAGGAGGTAGCAAAATTAAGATGTCGAACAAGATACGAACTCCTCTGAGGTGAGAGAAATTAAGCTGGTGCAGAGTTTGATTCGCGGGCTAATTTGGACGTTGTGACCCCCTGATGGTAAAATACGGTAACCTGGAACAATATGGCAGAAGAGTTTGGATTTGCGTGTTTCTCTCTGTTGCAGGATAGAGGAAGTACGAGGTGAGAGTGGGGTTTTGGATGACAGAGAATCGGTCGTAATGTTGCTATGACACTGCGCTGTGTCACCGTGTCTGCTCGCGACACTAAATGCTTCTTCTCTTTTCTTTTTCTTGTCTGTGTCTTAACTCTTTCTCTCTGACTCCTCCTCTCTCTGTTCTGCCTCTCTCGCTACAGCATGTCCCTCCCTTCCTCTTTTCTGTGTCTCTACACCCCCCCCTCCACCGCCTCCCCTCCTTTTTCTCCCCTTCCCTCTTGGCAGCAGTGCCAAAGTGGGCAGGCGGACCGAGGCAAACGCAGCACAGGGCAGAGCAGAGGGCGATCCAAAGGCTGGCGAATTGATTATGTGTATGATTGTGTTTTGAAGTGTGCTCTGTCTGTGTATTTGTGTCATTTTTTTTTTTTTTTTATCACACGCAACTGAAAGTAACGTGAGTCTGTTCTGAGTCTGTTGTGGAGCTCTTCTCTTTCTGCTGTGCACAGTGTGTTTGATATCACGGCTTGTGTTCGTTGTGTAGGGCTGTGTGTGAGCAGACGTCCCTCTGTCACCCTGTGTGCGGACAGACGCACTCACGCCAGTAGGAGGGGATTGTGGGAAGGGGGTGTAGCACTCAGAGGGTGTGCTCTACTCCTCTCTTTTCCCTTCTTCCCGCCATCACGGCCCTCTTCTCCTCCAGTCCTCCGGCCCAGCCCGCCGCTCACGTTCAGGCTCCAGGTATTTTTCTTTTTTACTTGCGACACCTCTTCCAAGTCTTTTTCACTGCCCTATAATCTTTTTCTTCGGGTTCCTCTCACCCTCTTCCTCTGTCCTCCATCATGGTCTTCGTCCTGTAAATGTGTCTTTCATCGTCGGTTGCCACGCTGCACTCCGCTCGCCGCCATTTTGGCTCTATAGAAATAGCAGAAGAAACTTTTCTGAAGCTCAGGGGACTCTTTGACACCCTGCTGACCATCTTCTCGCTCCCACTTCCAGTGTCTCTTTTTTTCCTCTGTCTCTGTCGCCCTCTTCCTCTCTCTCGTCTCCGCTCTAGGACAGCAGGATCTGACAGGGAGGTGAATTGTCTATCTATACTGTACTGAACAGGTGTCTTTTTTGTGGACTGGCAGGAGGAGGGACAGGCCTTCATGGCTACTTTCTGACCCCAGAGTGCCAACACTGTCAGAGAGCTGTTGTCGTGTTGTGGTCAGTGCAAGTTTTGCTGCTGCCCAGTGTTGAAAAGCTGCTCACACCGACAAGAGGGACACTCGGCTGTTCCCTTATCATGCAGGGTTGTTGCTATAGCGAATACAAGGACAATCTGTACTCTGTTTCTCCTTCCCTTTATTGAATGTTTGCCCTCGCTGCCACTGCGAAAACCCCAATGCGTCTCATGATCATGCGTGTCAGTCTGTAGGTTTTATCTTTCCGCGATCGAAAGGTGTGACAAGTTGTCAAAAGGTTGCAACTGTAATGTTTGGCTTGTCACACTGCACCATAGACTTGTGTTTATGACACTTTACTCTTCAGAGGAAACTGAGGTTAGGCCAGGCCCTGCGAAGAATAGTGCAGATTGTTAAGGGCCAACTGTCATTAACTGTCAGTGTTTCGAAGTTCTTGCTTGTTTAGTCTGAACAGACTTCGATTTCTTTTTCCAAGCATGAATCACAGTGAAAAAGGAGAATCTTGTACAAATGTAAACAGAAGTTTGTCCATCCTGCAGGGCTGTGAGAAAAACAAGCATATTTTTTCTTTTACATAACACTGCGCACTTAAATTTCGGTGTCATACCTCTGTTAATAATACGAAAAATCGAACGCAAAAATCGAGAGGCGTATTCTCCAAATCAGACCAGACAGGATCCATCGATTTGATCATATTCTTTGCATGTATAAGAGGAATTTCATTACAATCAGAATTATATGACCTATCCGCATATTGATCGCACGATTTGAATACTAACTGGACTGCTTATTGTCAATATTTTTATCATCATCTAAATACGGGTTGGTGTTAAGATGGCGCCTTCGTGCCACGTGTTTAAAAAGCAGTGTATATGGGTAGACCCTTTTCAATATGCCCCTTACAATTTGTGGGTTTACTTTCCCTCATTCACTGCATCATCCTCAGCCTTTTTCCCTGGCTCTACCTCGGCTTTCGGTGACGATTTAACTCCTAAAAAAGAATGTCACTTTATAAATATGTATTTGCAGCAACGATGAGACAGAAATGTTGAGAAAGAAGACGCCAGAGAAAATGAGAGAGAGAACAAGGGTTACAGAGACAGAAAGAGAGGTAGGAGTGGGAGAGCTCTTTTCCCCGCCCCTCTCTTATCCTCAGATGAACTTATCGTGTTGCCTCATAATGTTTCTGAGTTTTTCTCCTAGAGGCAGTCATGCTAACTTCCTGCATACAGCCTCAGCAGAGCTGATTGGTTGATATCTTGGCTGACCGGCCACAGTTTGCAGAGAGGCAACAGGAAGTTTCTCCTCTCATGCAGGAAGCAGCAGCTGCTCGGTCCATGACATACGGCACTTTGCACTCTCGCAGGCGCGCTATGTTTGTGTATATGCATGTGTACGTGCATGTGCTTGTTTGTGTATGGCCTGCTCTGTGTGGCATAAGTGAAATGCTGTAACATGTGGGCGTGTAGCAACATGCCAGGCCAGGCATCTGAGATATCAGAAACATTTGAAACCATGGTAACCACACAGCTCATCAGCACATTAGCAAAAGAGAAGACAAGTGGAAAAGAGGAGAGGGGATAGGGAGAGTAAAAGAAGGAAAGGACAGAAACCTCTGGGGTATACTTCCTTCATTCAGGGTTTCAGAGTCACACCTGACCCAAATTAATGACCTTCTGATTAAACGGCTGATAATATACATCATTTTGAATACAAAAAGATGATATTCTTAATTATTTACATGATACTTGATGTAAAATCATAAAGAGAAGAGTTAAAAACATGATTCATCTCTCTAACGTTGGTTATTATATTCGACCCCGCTCCTGTGTTTAAGTTTGTGGTGGACATGATCGTTGTCCACTGTGATAGTCAACACAAAGACTCCCTTATATCCCTGCCTTATCGAGGTTACACTATCTTTTAATCAAACACGCTGTCTGACAGGTTTACCTACCTTCTACTGCCTGTGACTCTAACATTTCAGCCCTCGAGCTCATTAAACAGAGGAGTTGATGGTAAGCTTTCTATTCAATTTAGCTTATCAGGATCAGATGTATTGAGCTCCTGTCTTAATCAGGAGGTCAGACGACTGTTTTGTGTTTGGTCTGCGTGTTTGTGTTTAAGTACTCACATATGGAAGCATGCCTCTGTATACATGCATAAGTGTGAGCATGAGCCCTGTGTGTTTGCGCCTGGTTAATGAGGATATACAGAACATCACAGCGGGCACCTTGCCAAGTGGGCATGGAAGAGGCTCAGCGTGCCCGTCCTTCGTCCTTTAATGTCGGAATCAGACATTCCTTGGGGAGAAGGGAAGATGAAAAGCAAGCAGGTATGATAAAATCACTCCCGCGCTCCATTGAGGTTTAGCTCTTTTTCTCGGGGTCTGTCAGATGCCAAGGCGAAATATTCTCTCGATTAAGACGGGACACGAGTAAGACAAGACATCCGTTTGCATCTTTTTAACTGTGGGAATTCTCCATCCTGCCATTTATTGTGTGGCATACTTCCTCTGCCAACTCCAGCTCCCCCACCGCTCCTCCCCTTTACCCACCATCACCACCTCCTTCCTCCCTCATTGAAATTCTGCCTGGCACACAGACACTGCCCATTCTTGGCACAAAGCTCAGAGAGAGAGAGAGGAAGAGAGAGAGAGAAAGAAACACACAAGAACCTGTACCAATCGTCTGGTGCCCCGTCCGTTGTGTCTGCCAAGCATTCATCCCGTCTCGCGGACCAAGGGACCAGGAAATCCAATAGGTATTTCCCTGCCTCTGCTTCCTGCGTAAATCTGCTCAAATTCTGAGGAGTTTTGTAGGCAACTGAATGCGCTGTGTGTGTGTGTGTGTGTTTGGGGATTTGCTGATTAATTTGTGCGTTTATGTTGTTAGTTAAGGAATAAATCAGACGGATCCTGTGACCTTTCACCGTCTATGGCGAGGAGGCTCGGGCGCATTGTTCTGTAAATTTTACGCGTTTGTTTTGATTCGTTTAAAAATGGTCCTAATTGTTGTGTTATGGAGGTTAATATTAGAAGTTTATAAATTTGTGATTTAAACAAAGTGTAGTTAAATTTAATCCACAAAAAGGAAAATATAATTTGACATTAAAATCTCGTCTTTTCAGTTGGTGTTCACTTTTTAATTTTCCTGAAGGGCCCTCCACTCCAGCGTTGTAGCAGTTGTATTAAATTTATTGAGCACAAATATTTCACCTGGAATGTCTGAAACTGAATCTGGCACGGTCTCTGCAGATGCTGTCTCTGTAGATAGGTTCATAGCTTATTGAAAAAGATAAAATACCCGGTGCTCCAGTACAGCTGGCAAGGAGTTGTGGAAACCCTAAAAAAACACATGTAGCCTTCACCCAAAGAAAGATTAACATACTAACACAGGAAATTGTTTCCAGAAAAACATATCCTGACTGTGCACAGCAGAGAAATGTTATCAGAGGGCAAGAGAGGACAAGGTCTGTGTCTCTTGGCTTATTCAGAGTACTTTAAATGTGATTTTACAGCCAAACAGCCGCAGCTCTGCTGTGACAGATGTACAGACACACCATCTGAAAGGTAGATCACTTTCAAACATTCTGTCCTCAAGAGCTTTTCAGTCATTTTGTAGCTGGAATCAGTCCTGTCATGGGTGCCCCTTCTATGTGCACCCATGACAGGACTGGACAAAGTTCACAATATCAGAAAACAGCTCTTGATAGAGGTCACATGACTGACCAAGTCCAGCCCTGGTGTTTTCAAAACAGTCGAGAGTTGTGCGGGGGGTGACGAGGTTGGGGGACACACACCAATTTTAGCAATTAACGGAGAAGAAGAGAACTTCCTATCAGGGATTAAAGTTTCATCTATTCTTTTATGAGGGGGTGCAAGAATTTCCATTAATTTGACCCCATTCTCTGTGTCATATCACTTTAAGTCTGCTCCCCTCGCCCTCCAGTCAGTAAACGCTTCTTGGCGACCAAATAGAGCCTGTAGGTCTGTCACTGGCACGGTGGCAGAGTTGGGCGTCATGCCAACACACCCCCACCCCCTGTCTGTCTGTCTGGTGCTCAGTAATCAGACTAGCAGGGTCGACTGAATGCTAACTATAGGCCAGTCTGGACCCAGTTTCAGGGGTTGTGGCTGTATGCTAATTTATGCAGGCAGTGTACTGCCTAACCCTGACTATCTGAGGCCCAGGTCTGGCATTTAGTCTGGCACTAATTAACCCTTCAGTGCTGCTGTGTTGACCTGCTGGCACTTTGACCAGAGGACTTGAGCAACTTGCTGTATCGAGATGAGCCTGACGTGAATTTAAGAAACCGACTTCTTCAGCTGAACAGACAGTTTTTGGATCATTCCAGAGCCCGGTTTAAGCAGTACCTTTATATTCACATAAATATAGGCATGTTTCATGATCGTGATTTTTCTCTGTGAACTTTCCAGCTGTCTGAAGAGTATTGTATGAGTTGCTTTCTCACTTTGTGCTCATGACAGTGAGTGTGTAATCTGGGTCTGTTGGCTTCCTTGCAGCTCTTGGCACAAGATTGACTCCATCACTCTCTCTCTTTCTCAATTCGGGGGAAAGTAGCTCGGAGAAAAAGACATTCAAAGGTAGACCTTACAGTGCTTTTAAGCCGACCTAAAATGGCGGATGTACGAGACGCCATTTTGTGTTTCCTTGTTGTGTTTTGGGGGGCAGAATACCAGCCTTGTATTCAATCAGAGGCAGCTGGTGGAAGCCATATTTGCAGGCATCTGTGTGTGTACCTCCGTCTGAGAAGCAGCAGCCAGCCTACACAGGGATAGCCCACTGGAATGAGCTCAGTTTTTGGCAAAAACGGAAACGAATTCCTGGCACAGTCGAGCAGCTACACCCCCCACCCCCCCTTTCGATCACATGCCAGAGTCTCAGGAAGCCAGTGAGTTGTTTGTTGGGCTTTCACACATTAGCGCTCTCACTGTCCAATGTCTGCTTACCATTAAATTATTTGTCTTTGATTTGTTTTTTAAATGGAACGTGTTTCATGAAGACATTCAGCCTCGAGTCGTCAATAAACAAAAAGCTTGGTTGATCGGCGGGGATGTGCCAATATTCAAAATTTCAGACAGCCCTCTTTTGTTAAGACATGATAAATGTTTCTCCGAATCTTGGCAGTGGGACGCGAGCGGCTTTGCAGATGCAAGTCATAATTTTGAATCATTTCCAGTGACAAAAAACAAAGGATAAAAAACAGAGTCAAGCTGAAAAATATGATTATACTCCTTTAAGTGGGGCTTAAATTTGAGCACATCAGTTATGTATATGTAAAGACAGGAAAAAACTCTATTCAGTCCTTTTACCTTGTTAACCTGCCTGTTTTTTACAGATTAAAATAGTCAATTAAGATAACCTTCTGTCTCTTTTTTTTTGTACTATTACAGGAGAGTTACCTTTGTGGATCTCTGATGCTGAGGCAACGTGGATGCTGTCCTTGGGGCTGAGGTAGTAGATTGAATAGTTGTGGGGTTGTGTAACCTCTTCATGAGATAACTATACAATCTACTGTCTTTCCCAAGGAGACAGCTGAGTCAGCCGCTCGCCGACTGTCGGCTCCAGACGGGCAACATGCTGTCCAATCAAAACATACGCTCGCAGCCATCAACATAATACACTCTGACAAGATTTATTTATTAGTTTGTTTGGTGTGTTTTGATTTCTTTGCCAGACCAGGTATGTTAGGCCAGAACGTGCGGCGTGTTTGACTTAGACTCTCTCGGGGTGAGGTAGTAGGTTGTATAGTTTGGTGGGTGGGATAGCGACCTGCTCAGGTGATAACTATACAGTCTATTGCCTTCCCTGAGGAGCTCTCCAAACACTCAGGAATGCTCGACACTCTCTCATGGACAAGTTTTGCCTTTATTCTTCAACTTCATATTAAAAGAATAAGTAGAAATGGTTAACAGTGATGTATTTCAAATATGCACGTCTCAATAAAATCATTCCCTCCACTGATCGGTTCAAAAATCAGTTCATAAAATCATGAAATTGTTTTTTTTTTTCTTCTTCTTCTTCTTCGTCTTATAGTCTAATTCTGATGGTGGTTCGGCTTGTGTACATCAGCAGCAAGGTAGTTTGTTGATGTAGTGCACCCTCTAGTGGAGACTCATGATATGGCTTTGATTTGATGAAGTTTAAAGGCAAGAGAGGGGAAACAGATCAATCGTGAGCAAAAAGTATTCACGCTTCATTCAAAACAAGTAGAAAGTAGAAATTTGGCTTGTTCACAGACTCACAAGCTGCCTGTAATAAATTGGTTGATCATCTTTAAGTTGTCAGCTTAAACAGCTGGTTTTCCTGTTAAAACTTCTTCTATAGTCAAATCCACTTAAAAGGATCTGGATCTAGGGTGCGGTCTTCCCTCCCGATCCATACATCTCTGTTTGATTGGCTTGGCTGCTCGTTCTTGCTCGACAAATTTGTTCATCTCCATGGGAACAGTTTGTTCGTACAAGGAAGCGCCTCCATATTTGACTGTAGGCCTGCCGGATCTTTGGGATGCGATACGCGTAGACCACAGGGTTGACTGCTGAGTTAACATGAGAAAGGAGGATACCTGGAGAAATATAGACAGTACGGTTAGTTTTAAAGGTTAAACAAAGCTGGTTAAAACAAGAGAAAATAGCAAACTATGACAAAAGATGCAGACAATGAGGACTACCTGCATAGAGAGTCCCCTGTGTGACAGCTTGAGGACCATAAAACAGCAACAGACAGTTCATCAGGTGTAGAGGAATCCAGCAGACAGCAAACAAAATCAGAACCAGAGCGAGAGAGCAGGCCAGCCTCTTCTCTCTGAGGAGGGAGACCTTCGCCTGGGGACAGCTCTCTTTCAGGCGTCCCTGCAGGCTCCAGAATATTTGAATGTAAAGGAGGGTCATGACCAGCAGGGGTGCCATGACACATCCCAGGAAGTTAAAGTAGACCATAAAAGGGAGCGAGATCACAGAGAGGAAGGTGCAGGGGGGAGTGAGGGAAGGGGAGGATGTGTTGGTGGAGTCAGGTGCTAGAGGGGAGAAGTTGTTCCAGCCAAGCAGGGGAGTGAATCCCAGGAGGCAGGAGAGAGTCCAGCACACAGAAACAGCAATCCATGTGCGCCTCTGGGAGGCAAAGGCTTTGTATCTAAAAATCAAAAGAAAGACTATGTAAGCTGCGTTTCTTTTCTGCCAGAAAAAATACTGGGTCTTGTTTCAGATTGTGTGTCTCACCTGAGTGGTATGTGAAGCCGGAGGTATCTGTCCACAGCAATAGCCAACAGCGACAGCACTGATGCCTGAGTCAGCACAAGCACAACACAGCTGAGCAGTAGGCAGAGGTCAGGGGTCAGGCTCACCCAGCCGTCCAATAGCACAGCCAGTGGCACCGCAGCTGCGCCCACAAGCAGGTCAGCGACTGCCAGGGAAACCAGGAAGCAGAAGGTTGGTTCGTGAAGTGAATCCCGGATGCCGATACACACTGCACACACCACCAAGACATTACCAAGGCAACAAGCCACAGCAATCAACCCCTCAAGCACCGTGTAGGCCACCCAGCTCCATTCAGCCATCACTGAAGATGGAGATCAGTCAACACAGACAATTCTGTCTCTTGTTAAGCAGGTTTCTCTGCAGATGGGATGAATTCCACAACAGAGTCAAGTCCAACATAATCCTGCGCTTGCCGCTCAGTTATTGTTCCCGCTTCCAGTGCTCCGTCCTTAGAAAGAACTGAGCAGATGCTTTTTATAAGAAACCATGCATGCGCTTCTTTGTGCGCACACAAAAACAGGCGTGCGCTCCGCTGAGAGGCCATCTGTATTTTATCAGGGAGTGAATTTTCCTCTCCAGACTCGGATTAATGTGTCTCAGTAGCGTTAGAGGAGGGGTCCTCTGATTAGGCAATGTAACATTTTTCTAACAAAGGTGTGTCAGGGCTATGGTGTGAAAAGCTCATTGAGCAGAACAACAGAACACATCATACTGACATAATATCCCCTTAAAGAGAGTCTGAATTCACAAATATAAGACTCATTCATCCATGTGTAAGCAGCATAATACTTCAACTGCACAAAGTCAAAGTCACTTTTAAATCTGCCCTATTTTTTACATTCTAGAAGTAAATTATATGTTTTAAATCTGCACATTATCAATGAAGCTGATTTAAACAGTTAAAACCTAATAAAGCAGTGCTAAATTAAGAAGTATAGAATAGAAACACTCAAACAAGAGTTTACCGGTTCAAATCTGCTCTACTATCTAAGTCCACACAGCAGAAAACCTTGAACTGAATTATTTTATTAGCTTGGAAATTTTTAAAACCACGTTTACGATAAATTTGAACAGTGATTGCATTTTTATGATGTTGTGTGCGGCAGATTTATTAATATCTGCTGATTGCCTAAATGGCTAATCAGTTTCAGTCAACGTCTTAAAAAGCATCGAGTGTGTACTCTTGTCTTGTGTCATCAGATGTTACTGATTAACAGTCTGTTTCTGATGGTGGTTTTCAACGCACGCTTACTTTGCATACGGTTTTGACTCCAGGTGTATGTTTTGCACGTCTGCGAGTGTGCGTTTGTTTGTTTCAGTTTACAACCATGTCTGTGTTTACTTAGGGGATATTAGCTGCACAAATCTAGATACATTTGTAGGCTTTTGCACAGAGACAGACTGACAGACAGATAGAGACGTGTATAATCATCTTTTTTTTTCTTTACAGATATTTATACAGAATTTAAAAAAAGACAAAACCACAACTTTTATTTTTAAAATGATTTAAGTTCTACTTATAAAGTAGACGTTTAACAACCTTTCAGATTTACATATTTTCCAATACCAGCAGCATCAAAATCAAGATTTCCTCTTTCTCTTAAACCATCTTCAACAATGTCTTGTGAGAGAAATCTAAGATTTTAAATGTTTTTTTTTTTTTCTTTTTTTTTGGATGCTGGTGATTTCAAATACTCAGTATTCACTTTTTGACATAGAATTACATCAAGCAGAAAGGAGATTCATGACACAACCAATGCTGCACCCCAATATCCGTTTTGTTTGCTCTGTTTCTATACTTATAAACTCAACATCATGATTTCTACACTGCATTACTGTCTCCTTGTAGACCCCTCAATGTCTTCTCATCAAAGCGGTAGGTGAGTTTCCTCTTCACCTTCTGAATCTCCCCCGTGCGTGAATAGTTCCTCAGCGCCCGGGCCATCTTCTGGTAAGTCATTGGCTTGCGGTTACCCTTTCGTCTGCCCCACAGCTGAGCCAAGCGCTCCTTATTTTGGGAGGAGAACTGAAACGTGCCAGCAGAGGACTGGACCCACCAGATGCAGCTCCGCATCGATGGCGTCTGGAGCATCTCAAATAGAAACTGGAACAACCGCTCCTTCCTCTTTCCTGCAAAGGAGGAAGGGGATCTTAATACTTATATGAGGCCGCATTGACAAGAGCATGTGCGTAAGTGGAAACTTGTATGTTTTCCCCACTAGAATTAGAATGTATCATCTCTTAATATACAAGGGTTGCATCTGTTGATATGTGGGAAATGTTATAAATGTTGAGAGTTTTGAGACTCAGGTGCATGTGCGCTTGTGAATTTGCATGCTGTTTGTATACCTGACAATGGGGCGAGAGGCAGAGAATCCCTCCTCCCTTCCCTCTCACTGGCTGGGGATGATAAATCTTGGTAATCCTGGGAGCTACTAGACTGGGAGTCTGAGTCAAAGTTTGCAGGAGCCTTGTAGGGATATGGAATGTGGTCCTGGTGATAGAAAACATGCAAATGGCTTCAAAATATAATATTTCTCAGAGTCAAAAGACTTAGTTAAAAGACTAAATGTGTGTTTTTTGTGTTTTGCTATGAAAGAGGTAAAAAGCTTTAATGCACTGTAAGACTTACCCAGTGGTTGTCATGGGGGCTTGTCCAAGCTGGAGGCAGGGTGCGATCTTCATATTCCTCATTTGGAGTGTGAGAGCCACAATGCCATTCGTATGGATGCTGACCTGACCAGCTGTTCTCTGTGTACATACAGAAAAAAAGATATACTCAGATAATAGAGGCCAGGATTACAAATCCTGCATCAGTCCAGTTGCACCTGTTTTCAATACCTATGATCCTGATGCCATGGTGACAGTGAATGTTCATTTGTTGCCCCATGCTGGTTGGAGGTGATGCAGGTTTGTGCACAGGCTGGACCTCCTGCGAGTGCTCCTGCAGGTACTCCTCGATGACCTCCAGATCCACCTCTGAGCAAGAGGAGGGAGCTCCTCCGCTCCAGGCAACGCGATCCCCGCACAGTCTCCCCGTCACGTAGGCCATCTGAGAAACACCCAAAGAGGACACCAGCATTAACCGCCATTCTCTTGTGAGCTTGTTGTATGATGCTAGCAGAATGAAAACATGTTGATTGCCTCTTTACGTGTTAGTCATTGCCCCATGTGTAGTCATAATCAACACACAACAACACCTGCTGTGTGAAAACCCATAGTTCTTTGTTTTTGTACACTATTGAGTCATGTGCATAAAAAAAAAAAAACAGAAGTTGAGGCCTGTGAGTCTGCGGTGTATTCATTCATCATTTTACAACATGTAGATTTCTCCTTAAATCCTTCATATTTGACATTGCATTAAAACATTTTCTTTCAAAGGTGTCAAAGATAGATGACACATTTCAACGATAGCATGCAGCCGTGAACTCTGTGATACTGAACCTTCTGTGACGCAGTGTTTGTGCCCTGAAAACAAGCTAGTTTACAACACTGTGACTATTTAGTTTGACTGGCAAATTTATGCAAGTGTTTGTGCATTCATCAGCTCATGTAACAGTCCTATAACAGGGATGTGTGGCTCACCTACTTTTACTAAACATCACCTTTTATCCTCAACTAAAGCACATTAGTTTCAGTTCAAAATATTATTCAAAATATCATTTTACTGAAATTTTCTTTTTTTTAAATTTGATTCAACATGAAAACGCTGCTGTAGAGTTAGACATAAAAAAAAAACAAGAACAAAAATGTGGTAATTAAAGCAAACTCACCGTTTCTATTTCAGCCAACATAGTCAAAGGACTATCTGAGAAGAGAAAATACTGCCGTTAGACATCAGAATCAAAACTCCAAACTCAGATCATAAACAGAGAAGTGAAACACGCTGTCACACAGACTTCCCTGGCTTATTAGAGATGGATATGAAATCATGTGACAGCTTAAAAAAACAAATACACAAAGTCAGCAGTTGAAGAGTCAGCACAGACAAGAAAATCTTTGTACCTTGTTGAGTCAGCAGTGTGTACTTTTGTACTTTTGTATCTGGTCCAGTGGAGTAGTATCCTCAGGCAGCAGAGGGTGGGGACATGAGAATGAAAGCACACCTGTATGATGATGCACCACCAGGATATCACCTCTCTTATAGTCTATGCACAGGTTTGGCCAACCCCTTTTGGCCAAGAGACACAATGAGTGTTGGTGTGTTAGAGTGGGAGGGCTTTAGGAATTTTTTTAGTCCATTTGTTGTCTGTTTTATGTCACAGAGTGTGTGGTTACAAACCAAAAGCCAAGTTGACAAAGATGCCACACTTAAGCAGAGGGGAAGGACAAAGTGGTGATAACTGTAGGAGTTAGGAGATGATAGGATGGAGCATTGAGGGAATATGATGTGATATGAGGAAATGAGAGGAAAATGTGTAACCCCTTCAAATTTTGATGAAACGTGAATGTAATCACAGCCCAGGATTCACTTTTTGACTCACTGGCTGAGTTGCTGAGATGAAAAAGTTCACCAGCCATGAAAATCTTTTTTTAACAGACAAAATATGTGATATGTTTTTGAGTGACACACATTTGTAATGGTATATTTCAATAAGATAATAACATGTTGAGGCTGGAGCACTGCAGGCTGCATTTACAGGCCAAGTTGTGCACAGCCCTCTAAAATTTATTGGCTGGACAGAAAATCTATCCACATTTGATGCTTGTTAATGAAGGATTCTGGATGTAATACTAAAAAATCATGAACAAATTTGATGACATATTTTTTTGCTTTCTGAAAAATTAGATGGATGATAAAAAATGGCACTTAATCACCCCAAAAAATGATCAAATTTAACCTGTGAAGTTTGTTGATATTAAGGGCCTCCTCTAACTTAGAGGCCCTCAGAGTCCCTCCCAAAAACAGCTGTTAGCAGAAATGAACATAAATTGAGTGCTGTAACATATTGTTATGGGGTTATAAGCAAATGTAAGAACATCTGTAAATGTTTCTATTATTAAGAAATTCTAATTTCTTTCTAAAACTTTATTTCTAGCTGACTGTGACAAGTCTAAAAGTTAGAAAACACTCAGAAAAATTAAATTGAGCTCTCATTTTTTTAACCCAAACAATCTGGAGTCTGGAGGCAAATGCATTTGAACGAGTTTGCTCAGTGAGGCTAGCATTAGCAGAGCTAGCACCCACAGTCTTCAATCCTCCGTATAAGTAAACAACCACGTGCTTGTGTGGGTTGGACATTGCTTTAATCTAGTGCTAATACGCCAATTGAAAAATGCAGGGAGAGATCCCAACAGTTATCTGTTTTTGTTTAGGACTGGGTAGCAGAGCATCATTGCATTTAAGCAGTATACGTAGGTACCCATACCCATTGATCACGAACAATATTTCTGCTTTTTGGAGTGGACAAAAGCCATTCCAAGTGGCCATGTACTGCATACCAACTGATAAAACACATTTCCTCTCCCATCAAGATCCACTTTGAACTTAATTCTTGATCTGGTATCTTGAATTTTCCGTAACTTGCTTCCACATGCTGCTGCATGGAATGACCTCATTAAACCATAATGTGGAGGGAACAGCCCACATGAAGAATACAAAGTGACATAATCCATAGTGTACTACAGCGATGTGAAAGTGAGCAGAGCGAGCAAAGTGAGGAGGTTCCTTTTTTTGTGGTGTCATGTGTTAACACTTCAGACGTAGATTTCAGATTCCAGACTTTTCACCTGGTGTGAGCAGACAGACTTCCTCCAGTCCCTCTGAGAGACGCCGGCTTAAATGAAGGAGAACTTGTTCATTTCACCTCAAACTGATTGCCAAAAAAAAGACAGAAAAACAGATTGAAGAAAAACAATTCTGCAATTTAAACACATTTGAAAACCAGGTTTTGGTGTTACATTGATTCAAATACCATATAAAGACAGATAAAGTTAAAATCCATGGGCAAAACTTGGGCAACAGCAGAGTTTTGTTCACACCTGACGAAAACTCCTAACCTATCTCAACCTTTTCCCTCTGAACAGAATGTCATTATTGGCAGAAAAACTGAAAAGTGATGCTTTGAAGTATCTATTTCCTAAATTCTGGTTCTGTCTCTCTGGGGTTTCCAAGTGAATTTCCTCAAACAGTCCTCAGAGATGTTAATGAGCTCAGTGGCAAACTTAAACTGTTAAAAGATGCAGACAAAAATGTTGATGGCTGCCAACACATGTTGACCTTAGAACTCAAAAAGTACAATGAGAGAGAATGAAGGATGTTGAAAATACCGATTATACATGTGTCAGAATAAATCCAGATGCAGTCTGTGACCCCCTTAAACTGATGATAGATGATGTGTTTGTAATGGGAGAGGTATGTTTGCACAATAAACTTTATTCCTGGGCTATCATCTCCTCATGATGAACTGTCATACTCCACTAACGGGAATGGCATCAGTATCTTTATAACTAGGGAAGATTTAGTGCACAAATTCATCACACTGAAACATAACAACAGATTGTACTATACACCTAGAGCACACAAAGACACAGTTTAGGGTCAAGGTGGGTTAATATGTCAAAGTTTATCAGCAGTTTCTGGACTGAAGTCTTGTTGTTTATATCATTTCTGGTTCAGGATTATAGACCTTGTGAGATGTGCAGATACTGAGATGTACCTGTGTGTCCACTCCTACACCCTTTTGTGTAAAACTCTCAGAAATATTGATTGAAACTGAGCGGCAGCTGAGCAAATAGTGCCAGTGATTTCCTCAAGCGTTTAGGGCTCACCATATTGCAGTCTTTTAAACCCACCCCACCCCCACACACATTAAGAGACACAACTAAATCAAATAGATACAAACATCACAAAATAAACCAAACATGCAAAAACTGCGTGCATGAGGATTATTATTTTTTTCGACCAGAAGTAAACAGTCAAAGCCTACATATCTTAGATTGTTGCATGACTGCTGGTTCTTGTAATGAAATGACTGCTTTCCTGACATCCTCTGCTCATGGGATTTTTAAGAGTTAGTAAAGTTAGTAAAGTTGGCGAACCAGTCCAGCAAGGTGGAGATTCAGCTTCCCTGAAACATCAGGAGAGTTTCCCGGACTTGATACTCATGATGTCACACGCCCTGATGCCAACTGATCTAAAACAAATAACAGCAATACATATAAAGATAGATAGAGAGATAAAATAAGCATTGAAACAAAAAAAGATTTTTTTAAAGTCAGGCATACAACTGGTGACATCCTCATTTTTAAACTTGAAATTAATAACATGCACACCCATAACAAATTTCTAAGTATTCAGGCCTTTGCACAGGCAGCTTACTCTACTAGCATAGGTGAAGAATTGTATTTTTAGGTCCTATGTCTTGCACCAGATCGGATCAAAACAAATCTTCATACCAATTAAAGCTGTGTGGGATGTCTAACTAGATAAAAAGCCAAAAATCTGATCACAGGCAACACCTGATTTATCTTGGGGTCTTATTTTTCCTCAACAAGGACTACTACAGGGTAATGTTGAAGATCCCACAAATAGGGTGCTACAATAGGATCCAAAATGTCCAAAACCAGAAACTAGTCTTGCCAAATCAACAAGTGCATTTTGTGTCAAAAGTGTCAAACTATTGAGGCAAAGTTGAAGCAGAACTCTATGAAGGAATCCCACCTTTATCCATGAGAGTGAAAGTCATAAAAGCCGAAGCAGCTGTGACTCAGGAGTAAAGTAAAGAGCAGATTTTGCAACTGCTACTGGAATCCCATGCCCAGTCACTGATATGGAAGTTGTAATAGCGGTTCAGTTCAGATGTAGTTACAGTGAAAGAAAAATAGTAGGGATAATGGTGCTGCTTGTGGAAACAGATTTTGGAGCTTATTTACAGCAGCAGCAGCTCTGAGTTATTCCTCGTCCAAATAAAAAGACATTTCTTGAGAGCTACACTGGAAGACTTGATGACCGTGTTTTGGAAAAACCCTCACTGTTCAGTGAAATGGGTGGCGGTTAGAATTCCTATAACTCCACTTGCACCTGGAGGACTCAGACAAGGTGATAAGGACAAAGAGAAATGGGACCCTTGTAGTCAGATA